GATCAGAAGCGTCGTTCGGAGTTGATTTCAGATGTCTTGGCCACCAACAGAGAGATAGCTTAGAGCAACGAGGTCCCATTTTTGGGTTTCAAAGATTTTAAGGGAAGATGATGTATTTCTTCGTTAAACCCGAAAAGCAAAACCCCTTTTTTGTCTTCTGAGTCTCAGTCACTTTCTGAGAGGTTAAGAGAAGTCGAGAGAGAAAGAGAGAAAAAAAAAAGGTTTTTGTTTTTTTTTTTTTCTCGAGGAGAAAGGAATCTGGGGAACAATGATGGAGAAAATTTATACAGCACACGTAGTGGAGAAGAGACACCGGTGAAAAAAAAAGCAGAACATTTAAGCCTTTCTTTCATTTAAAATAAAAACGTTAGACCTGAAAAAAAAAATAAAGTGTTTCACTTGTGTGGATGTGGATCCAATGTTACTCTGGTTTTTTCATTAAATATCTAAAATTTTCTCTTTTTTCACTTTTTTCTAAATGTGGAATGTTTACTTCATTCAAACCAGAATAGAACTACATTCTGATAGTGCTAATATGTTTTGCTGTTAACTTTAGAAATATATTAGATGTTCAAACCATTGAAGTACATACACATACTTACATACTAATAGTGTTGCCAAAAAAAGAAAATTGAAGTTAAAAAAGAAATTTTTAACAAGTAAAACCAAAATTAGAGAGAAAAAAAGAAACACAGATTAATCGAGAAAGACGACTGTTTTTTTGTCGTCGAACTAGACACGTTTATTAACTCCGAAACGTCCGGTTTATATCAGTAATTTTATTGGGAAAAGGCAAAGGAAAATATAAATAAACAGAACATTGCCAAATTACTAGCTTAGGGACAAAATCGTAAACTGAATGGTCAAAGTCAAAGGCTTAGAGCCATGTGTGCATGCGTGTGGTGAATATTATTCGAACTGTTAAGTGGCACTGGTAGTTTAGGACTTTAGGGGAAGTTGCATTAACTGATGCTCCTTATTAATCGACCTTTTCTTCACATCTTAACTCATAATGTCAAATGATTATGGTCATTTGCTTAAACTTTGGAGTAGCTTAAGCAGTAATCTTCATTTATTGATTTATGCTTTAAATCTTTGGACTTCTAAACTACATTTATAATTTTCTATTGAATAGTTCCACTGGCATATTACCCAGCCAAATGGAAAGAATCGAAAACTTTTGAGTTTGAAGAAAAAAACTAATTTTAATTATGTGGTGCAAGTTACGTTTTTTGTTCGAACCTCAACTTAGAAACTTATTGGATGTAAAAAATAAAGTTATTTTTAAAATACGTTATACATTAACAGTTTGTTTTTGTATATGCGCGCATTGATCAACAAACGATATTTTGTATTTAGTAAAAGAATGCAAGTATAATTTACTTTTTGTGTGTATAATAGTATATGTTTGAAGTTTGAACCCACAAAGCGAAGAACTTTCCAGCCAAAATGACGCAGACCGGTGAAAGAGGTCCATGAAGCATTTTATATGCAAGTGACCAAGTCAAAAGCTTTTCCAATAACATATACTACACCGCAGTGGCCATTTTCCTTATGATACTATTACTTTTGTCAAGTTTTCTCTATTACATGTATACAGATTGGAACCAACTTTTGGTTTTTAAAACAGTTTTTTAATCTATAAGACCAATTAATGTTGGTTGGTGGAGACAAAGAGGATCTTGGTGATAAATATGGTAAAGAAAGTAGTAATAGAAGATGACTTCACGCGTGTGTCAAGGCGATGTTTGTTGTCCTTTGGGGGACACATTTTAGCCTAAATTAAGATGCTCTTAAGTGACCAAGTCAGGACCACTACAACTCAAAATAATGCAAGATAACAGTATTCTTCTAAACAGTGCCTAGATTTTAGGAAAGTGCCTACAGCTATGCACTTCCGACTGGTTCAAATGCTACGCCCTTCCTCGTCTCTGGGTGCCTAGGTATCCACCGTAAGCCTTTCCTCGTTTGAACCTCTGAGTGTTATTTTGCAGAGTTGCATTGCATGTGTTAAAAAGTTAAAAACTAGCTTTGACTCTTGGCTCAAGAAATATACGAGCCAATAACGAAACCTTGGCACCTATATAATTTATAAAAGGGTATTCTGGTAAGATGATATATTTTGTGAAGCGAATTGTTGGACGTATAAATGATTTTAAGTATACTTTAGTGCAATGGTAAAATTCGTGGAGATGTCTCGTAATTTATTTTTGTATGGAAAGATTTTGGGGTACCACATGTAGTCTTTTTAAGTCGAAGATCACACTGAAATTTGGAATCACGGTCGGGATTCAAACTTTGGAACATGATCCAACTCCATTTTAAAAGCAGAGAGCTCTCAGCTCTCTCGAATGAATATGAATTGGTTTAACTATCGAAACTGGAAATTTTGCAATAGTCAATCAACTTTCCTAGGATTAGTATAGGCTATTCAGGTGATGATTGGTTCTCCCGCTACCACCCGCAAACGCAGCGTTTGCGGTTCGTAGCGGTTCTTAGCGTTTTATAACAATCACGACAACCGCTTTCAACCGCTCTATACCACTCTGTACCGCTCTATATCGCTGAAAATCAAAAGCTCCTTTCCGCAAGCGTTTGCGGTTGCGGGCGGTTGCGGTTTGAAAAAAAAAAAAAAAAAACATAATATCTCCAAATTTGGAATAAGGGTATATTTTTTTGAAAAATACCATAATTATGTTTAAAAATTTCGAAAATACCCTAAATTTTTTCTGTTTTGAAAAATACACTTTTAAAATGTAAAAAGTATGTTTTGACGTGATTTAAACAAAAAAATAATAAATAATTACAAATTATAAACGAAAATTTAAAAAAATAATAAACTAATAAGTTTTTTTTCAAATAAATATAGTATATGTTAAACTGAAACAAATTTTAATATTTTGGATCTTTATATAAACAACTTAACCTCATACACATTCAAACCAAATGAAACTTTAAATAAATTAAAACTTTACATATATTTAAAGTTTATAAATTATTAAAAATTTAAAAGTGGAGAAATATATCTTTCATTTTTAATGTTTATCTTTTGAAAAATTTAAATATTTTTGAAACTTTGCATAAACAACTTTAATCTCACCCCATTTAAACTTTATATAAACAATCTTATATTTTTATTAAATTGTTTAAAAAAAACTAAACAGGTAATTAGGATGTTAAAATGATACAAAATTATTATCAAATATTAATATTTTATATTTCTTATTTGAATTTCGTTTTTATTAAATTAGGAATAATCATTTTACATATAAAAAGTGTATTTTTCAAAACCAAAAAAATAAGGGTAGTTTTCAAATTAAAAATTCATCAAAAAATATATTTCAAAAAAAAATTATTAATATGGTTATAAATGTTTTGAATAATTATATATTATTTTTATTTTAGTAACTTTTGGTTAAACCGCTCTTGCACCCGCTGGCTAACCAGTCAAAAATATCCCGCAAACGCAACCGCTATGAATTGCTATACCAGTCGTACAAACAGCTTTTAATCGCAAACTCCCGCTTCCGCAAACTCCCGCAGCCGCAAACTCCCGCAACCGCAACCGCAGCGGTTAAACCAGTCAGACCCTCAGATTTACCATAAGTTTTTTTCTTTTTCAAATTGTTTCAAGATCCAATTGAAACATAGCAACTTCAGGCGTATATTTTTTTTTTGAACAAATATTATATTTAATTATTTGGAACTAAAAAATGATTATACGAATTTGTTGGCCTTATATAATTAACATAATTGTGTGTCTTTTTGGTTAATCTTATGTAGATTTAACAGAAGTGTTTTAGAGGCTTTTGAAAAAGACTAACTATAAGATATTCACAAAAGGAAAGATATTAGACAAGAATAGTATGTTTTATATTACTGGTCCACCCAATCTCGAGTTATAAGAGAACACATTACTTGTTATTAACCACATTCAAACTATCCGCTTTGTAAAGAACACATGCAGCCACGTAGAAATGAGTTACAGTGTTATTACAATAATTCAGTAGTCTTGTTTAGAACAAAAAAAATGAAAGAGAATCTGAAAGATGTTTTTTAAGCACATCATATGTCATATACATGCACATGATGTGCTTACAAATACTGGTCATCAATTTTAGTAATTTTACTGTTGATAAAAATGTATATTAGAGACAACATCATCTAGATTTCACATAGAATTTCTTTCTAGATTTTGATCATTGTTTGTTTCTTTCCGGAAAGCATATCCAAATAATCATTTAGAAAAAGAAAGTATCGTTCTGTGAAATCTTGTAATAATCTTCTCAATTATGTGATAACAGTATTTTTATCTGGCATACGGCAAATTTGGATACTGATGGGTCTACCATGTTGCTTGTTGTGAGTTCAAAGTGCATAAAGCTATAAAATCCACTCTGTTTCTCACTGTCTTTGTGACCCAAAAAAAAACAACTTCACGTGAACGATGGGAACATTTTTATTGTTTTCTTATAACTAAGAATCTTTTCGACTTTCAAAAGACTAAATTTAAAACGACAAACTAATCAAAACTCAATTTACATGGAATGTTTTTTTATAAACAACACCTAATCGAACTTGTCTGATCAGTTCCAAAACAATGTACTTAAGAATCCAATTCCGATTTAGCTGCCTCAAAAGAAAGAGATTCATCATGACACTGAATCACATGGCAAAATAACAAAAAATAAATTTTCAGAGCCAGACTTTTCAAGTTTCAGAAACCAAAGATTTTTCACAGCTTGAGAGTAGACCAACATTAGATATAGAGATAAGATATAAAGAAAATATTCACAATTTAAGAGTTGAGAAGATCATTTATCTTTTGGACACACCATTAGACTAACTACTTAAAAGAGATCTTCTTGCTGCATTCTTATTTCCTGCAACTCATGTCTTACCCTAGGCTTAATACTAACCTGATCACAGTTACCTGTAAGTAAAAATTTGGGTTTGAAGTAAAAATACAAACTTCAGACCCGCCCAACTTGGTCTGGGGACTAACACACTTTCCGCTCTAGCTTTATGTTCTCTGACATTTTCTTACTCTCTGCAAGTGCCATACAAATGGAGAAAGCTTGTAGTTGTGAAAGGGATGACTCATACACAACATAATATATCCCTTCCTTGATCGGTTTAAAGCTCAAGAATGGATGTTCTTCCGCTTCTTCTCCCTGTAGAAAACATAGAAAGATGATGATGAAACCTTTTGGTTTAGATGTGGAAGAGAATGGATTTGGGACTAGGTAGAGAAACTGTACCAGAAAGAAAAGCTCGAATGTGTTTGAAGAGGGTGGTGAGTTTGATGTTGTCGAGTTCTTGGAGGATAAGTTGTGCTGATTCGTGAGAATCCTGAGATTGCAGCCCATGTCCCAGCCTCCACAATCGCAAGATCCACCTGTTCTCCATCGCTGGATCAAAGACGACGGCCCTCCTTTCTGAGGCATACTATGAACGCCGCTTTGAAGTATGACCGTAGCACTAATGTCTTGGTCAAAAAACCTGTCAAGCTCTTTATTGACTGCATTGTGATACCATCTTGGCATCTTCACGATGATCGCAGCTAGCTCGTTTTTCAACTGCAGGTCAGACTTTTCCGTGCTCTCCTGATCAAGTTCTACAGAGAAGAGAACAAACTCTCTGATGGAACCAGACGGCAAAGAGCTCGAGACTCGCATCTGAGCAACAACGTTGGAGATGAAACCGTGTGTTTGGCCTCTGCCTCTTTGGTTTAGCCACGCACTGTTTCTCTTATGGTCTTTGATAGAGAAGAACGTGTAAACACTGGTACATTCACCCTCTTCCGAGCTTCCCATTTTCTTCTGTGTGGCCGCAATAATGTCGCTTGCTTTGTTCACTGCAAACGTAAAGAGTGGCTGGTTGTTCTTAACCGTTACCCGCAGAACAGCTCGAACCATGGATGATCCTAGCTTCTTCTGGTGAGCTGAATCATTCACGTTTACCGTTTTGCAACCTGAGATACCCAATTTTATTCTTTGCACGCCTTGACCTCTAAGCCCTTCCACGGAATTGCCAGAGTGACTTGCCCTTGGCTTCAGTAGTGGCTCTAGAAACCTTCTTAAATGGCTTGTCGTGGTTGTATCTTTTTCACTGGATTTGTTGCAGTCTGAGCCGTCAACGCCAGATGATATAGCCACATTTTGTGAACCCATCTTTGTGGAGTTAGCCATTGAGTCTTGCTGGGTTGTGGGAGCAGCAACTCCGTCACTGTTAGTTTTGCTGGCCTTACCCATACTAAAGCTAAGCCGCTGAAAAGACGATATACTCTTTCCCTTTTCAGATGCCACCGCTTTATGCAACTTTGAATCTTCTCTCTGGACAGGCTCATCCATACAATGTTTCACAGGTAGCAAAGATGATGCTCTGTCTTCGGTGATTTTACCTCCGGAATATGTATTATTACTTGCTTTATCTGAGAGTGACACGCACTGAGCATCAGTGGAGCCAATTTTACTCTTTGCCAAGCAGTCATCAGCTTTACATGGCAAGGGGCAAGAATGTTGAGTACAGTAATCTACTTCAGCACCACGAACAGCCTGAACTTTTTTAGTCGAACTCCTCTTGCAGGTCTTAGCCTCTTCTCTAGCTAGCTTCTTAGTTGAGTGATAGAGCTTGGATTCCCTCTGCTGCTTTTGACCAAGTTCTCCATCATGATCATCTCGGTTCCTCTCGCGCAACTTCTTTTCACTCTTCTTATGTCTATTACCATCAGCCTTAGAGTTTACCTCCATGCTCAAGCCAGCCTCTGGATTCAATCCATTTGACAAACCTCCATCTTTTCGGCAGATCTTCTCTTTCGGTTCCTTCTGCTCATCTTGTACACTGAAACATCTACGATCTCTAAGCTTCTTTTTCCGTGTACCTTTGCTCTCTCGACAGTCCTTTACAGTTTCTTCACCAGAATTCAAATGCCGTGAGCTACGATGGTTCATTCGAGAAGCTGAAGTACGGTTATGCACATTGCTAGGACCAGCAGATGACTCATCTCTAGACAGAGCCAATGAAGGGAATCTACTCTTCACTGGAACTCGGTTATGACTATGCTGCCATTCCTCCAAGCGACCCCAGTCAAGAACACCAACGTTCAAGAGCTTTTCTTGAGGAGTCTCAGCTCGCTCCAAGAAAACAGGTAGCTTCGACATATACTTGACAAGCTCTTGCTCATCACAAGCCCGAGCCTTTAGACATTGTTTCACTGGTTTAGACGATCTAGTATCAGAAAAACTATTCTCCATAGTAACTGGATTCACATCAGATCCCACTTAAAAAGTCAACATAGCTTTGATGATTTCCTCCTGTATCATGAAAACTGAACCAAAGCAAGAAAACAAAATCAATCACATCAAAAATCTTACGATACCAACCGTAGCAGAGAGTACAATGAAAGCATTTTCTAATAAGTCTTCTTCTCTGGGGTGCTCACGGCATCAGAAAGAGGAAAAATACAAAGAGAAAATGCACGGAGAGTGGTCCTCTCTTGGGACGCAGAAAAAAATGCAGCAAGGTAATGATTTTATCAACATCTTGAGATAATGCTAAAAATGAAGATGGTCCCATTTTTCCCCGAAGAAACAGCTGAATGATAGCGTCCTTGCAATTATGAGCAACTCTCACAATTACTGAGAAACGACAAAAGAAAAATATAAAAATGCAGATTCGATTCAAAACTTTGACGGATCCAAAAAATTGGAGAAATCGAAATCTCAAGGTTTGGAGCAGAAAGTGAAGACGATCAACTAATAAAATAATAGTTCTCGAGATCAACAAATCAAAGCGGCGATTTGAATCGAAATCGAAAACTGAAAAAGTCTCTCCTAGGTTAACAATTCCGCTTAATTATAATTCTTAGCCAAACGAAAGCATTAACATAGAAGAAAGGAGCTTCTCAATCAAGTAAAGGAGCGGTTTTTTCTTCGCTCGGCGAAACGGCAACGTTTCGACGAAGTCCAAGCGAAGAAACTTTCCCGAGAAAATCGAAATCAGAGAAATTGAGGGAGAAATTACCTCAAACAGCGAAAGAGAGAAAATGCGGAACCGACGCAGCTCGGTGAAGGAGAAGACGAAGATAGTCAGAGAGAGAGAGTGAAAAAACAAATCACTTGAAGAGTGAATCAGCAGAGTGAAGAAGATCCGAAAACAAAAAAATGATCCCCATAAAAGCTAGAGAGAGAGAGAGAGAGTGACACTGCGAAAGAAGAAGATCCAACGGTGGAGGATGAAGGAAAAGGTAAATCAAGCGGTCGAGATCATATCGCCATCGAGGAAGGCGCGGGAATGGTTCATGTCAGGTGGTCCCCACTCGTATATGCACATGTTTACGTGTGCGTATTAGCAAAAGATTACCGAAAACTGACAAAAAAAACGCAAAATTATAAAATCGACTTTTCTAAAGATACTCTCAATTATAGACATGCAGTAGTATTTTATTGTTAATAACAAAGGTTAAAAAAAAAATACTTGTAATCTTGTAAGACATGATTGACATCAGGAAAAAAAAATACATGATTAACTTCACGATTCTTTTACTCTATTTATAGTTTACATTTTGTTTGTTTAAGTAATCTTAAAATACTTACGGAAAGCTTACAAGTTACACAAAATAATGTCGAAACTATTTGTGCTAACGACATGGTATTATTTACTAATCAAAAGTTAAACTAAAACTATATGGCTATCGAAAGTGGATAATGCAAGTTGGGTTGTGTGCTCAAACTTGACTACTAACTATATAGATAAATATTCCGGTATACGAATATTTAAAACTATAAAAATGTACAGTTTTGATCTGATTATGTTTATAAATAGTTAAATACACGAGCTATTTATAAATGCAATCAAAAATAAATGCAATCGTGTGGTCAATTTTCTTTTACCCTAATGTTGTTTGGTAAGATAACTATATGATATTCGTGTGTGTGTATAGATTAATGTAAAGTCCTCTGTTGGTGGGACGATCGTGGGATTCATTTCATAGATTCACAGATTAATTTGGGTCCACTGACGCAACTCAACATTAAAGGCTGTAGTTTCCAAGAAAGCTTTGTAATGATCATTTTTGTAATGTAATGTAGTTGTATTAATTAGTTTGGATGTAAATTTATACTGTATCTAACCACATTACGTGGAATATTTATTGTTAGTTTTTACTAGCATTTAGCAATGGAGGGGAGTATAATACTAGAGTACGTCGTATCATACATAAATGCCTAAATGGAGACTTTCATAAATGTTAGTTATAAGTTTATAACTTATAAGCAATGGATGGGAGTATTGTACATAGAATCTATACGAAGAAAAAGTGGCAACTTTATTGTCTTTAATCTAATGATGAAAGATCGAAATGTAGATACTTTTGTGAGAGATGAAATCACCATTCTTGGGGGACACCATATTAGAAAGAAGAAAGTCCTTTATGATATTAGTGGATATTCATCATAAGCAAAACAAAGCTACTAACAAAAGATGAGTGAAAGTAAGATGGCGACAGAAAAAATAAAAGATAAAAAGAGGTATCGCTTTTTCTTTTAGTTAGCACTTAGCACTTAGCAACTATCAATTGTACTGTTTCTCCATCCACCGACGAGGAACTACTTAACTATTTGTTAAAAACTAGGTTTTATAAGAGGATTAATTATTTAGTCGCTTACATGTTTCTAAAATCTAACACAAAATTAAATGAGTCTAAAATGCTTTTGGAGTAGTTTTATTTAGGAATCAAAACTGTCACGGTATAAAATGTGCGGAGGGGATTTAGATATTGTGCTTAAACTCGAGTAAAATGAAATCAAGTTTCCGCCTTCCGGGGTAGTTGATCGATCGATGGGGGATGAAATCATAGATCTCTTCAATGGTGGAACTAAAACAACAAAAAGAATATTGAGTATCCGAATTTGTATGGATTCAAGATTGTCCATTTTGTCGGTTTTAGTGCATGTGTGGAACAAGTGTAGTGCACTGGCTCACTATAGGCCGTAGACTCGTAGTAGCAGGGTAATTTAGCGTAGTAATGTTCCTCATGCTTCTCTGGAGAAAAGTAAACTTGTCACATATCATCACCATATGGCTTACACTTACACACAGGTGGGAGTTAAGTTCGGTAAATTGTATAGTGATTAACGGTAACAAATTAGCAGAAGCCACTACCAATTTTAAAGAAGAGACAAAAAAGAATTTCAAAATTTCATAATCTCTTTTTTTTTCTGATAAAATATTTACTCTTGAAATTGCAGTGGACAAAAAAAAAATGATTACAAGCAGCCTAACCCAAACCCAATTTAATTAAAAGTCCTGAAACAGTAGAGATTACACATTAAAACCAATTTAATTTACCAACCAATCCAATATTTATGTTTCGTTTTTTAATAAACTTTTAAAAAAAAATATTTTATTTCGTTTTTCCTAGTTTCGTGTATTTGTTTTTTTCTAAATAAATTTGTTCCTTATAATTTTAAATCCTTTTTAAAAGTTTTTTTTTTGTTTCCATTCTTTTTTGAAAAGTTCGGTTTCTTGTTTGTTTTATTAAATCAAATAATGTAATAGTTTTTTTCTTTATTATCTTATCGACAAAAATAAAGAGCTATGATAAATTGACGATAAGTTGAGTAGGAATATTATAAGTTGAGTATGAAGTGATCACTATCATAGCCGCGAAAAACCAACAAAAGGAAACCTGATTGATTGTTTGTCACGTAAAATTCGCTAAGCCTATTCCTTATTAGGAGTGAGTTCACTGTACGTAAGCCTATTACTTAATCATGCAGATATTATCTGGATTTGTTGCCGATAATGAAAAGATTCCCTGTATTATCGATTTATCTTGATTAAAGATTCTCCTATATCTTAAAATCTAGGTTGGTTTCACAGATCTATATAAATTCACAAGCCTCCGAGAGCAATTGTCCCCAAGAAACCTATTCCTTCTTATTTCTTAACCATTATCCCCAAGGTCTTGTAAGCTTTTCTGTAAGCTACGTTAGCAAACAACAACAAAAAAGGTTTTGTAAGCTGAAGAAAACCCTACCGAACCTAAACCATCGCCAAGGTTTTGTAAGCTGAGGAGAAACGAAAAGATGGCAGAATACTACGACGAAGACTTTGGGATTCACTTCGATCCGACGGAGAACCAACTCATCAAGGATTATCTTTCTCCCAAGATAAACCAAGTCAAACAGTTTGACTTTATACCGGACATGGACGTTTACGCCACCGAGCCATGGTTGCTTAAGCATAACATGGATCCTCTTTTCAAGAAGTACGAGTGGTACTACTTCGTGACAAGGACTCAAGTCTCTGAGTCTGAGGAGAACATCGGTCGTGGTAAGAAGGCGAAGCGGAAGATCATCGGAGACAACGGGACGTGGAAGGCAAACGCTAAAGAAAAGATCCTGGACGAGGAGACAGAGAAAACCATTGGGATCAAGCAAACCCTAACTTTCATTAAAAGCAACAACAACAACAACAATAACAAGAAGCAGAAGAGAGAAGACGGCACTAGTGCTACTGTTCCCGGCAGCGAGAGCAGCTGGACTATGACAGAGTATATGCTTGTGGAAGAAGATAAGTTTCAAGGAACAGTCCTGTGCAAGATTCACGAGATCAAGAAGTCCAAGGACGATCATGAAGCTTCTGCTTCTTCTTATTATCATAGTCGGTGGGCTTCTTCTTCCTCGGGGAAGCAGCCGATCAATAATGATCGCGAGTCTGTTCTAGCTTCTTCCTTGGAGCAGCAACAGTCACTAGCGTGCAGTGTTAATGTTCCAGAGATTCCTCACACAGGATCTGAGAGTTCTTTAACTTGTGATGTTGGGGAAACAACAAGAGACAGAGAGCACACTGAAGAAGGAAACATGATTAATCAGATAGACGCGTTCTCGATGAACGAGGCAGTTCGAGAAAGATCATCAGAGAGCGATGAAACCAAGGAATTGACACAGGGTACAGAAGAAGATTGGCTTGGAGATTACCCGATTGATGTTGTTTACGTCAATGATCAACAACAAGCACCAATACCCGCTCCTTCTGACGTGAATGCTTCTTCTGCTCCTCTGGGAAACATATCTCGACCAATACAATTGGATGAAGAGGAGGAAGAAGAGTGGACCGAAGAGCTTGTTTCACAATTGACACGAGAAGAAGAAGATGCCCCCAGTCTGCAATGGATGGATGAAGCTTAGAGGACTTTGATGGAGAAACACACGAGTATGAAGAAAATCCTGATCTTATTTAGCTTGCTCAATAATTTAGTTAAAGAGTTTTCGACAGTTAGTCTCTACTTATGTACTCAACTTTTTGTAATCACCTATTCTCCAATATTTTCATTATTAAATAGTTGCCGGTCCGTTTTCTCATATGCCTTTTTCATTTTGTTACTTTTTTGCTTCGGCTATTTGCTTATTCTTCATTACATTCCTCTGTTTTCTTGTATGAATTGTTTATTGACTGATTAAAGACTCTGTATCACTTCTTCATCTCGCGAACTTCAAGATTTCTTCACTATAGATGCTTATAGGCACAAGAACTCCTGGTGAATTTAAAGTTCTAGTGAAAAAGATGTTAATTTATTGTTAGTCTAAAACCTTGCATGAATAAAGTCTCATCAAATATATCAAGAGGGAGACCAGTTTGGCATCCAAAATCTAGATTAGAAAAAAGATGGTGGTCTGGTCCTCAAAGAAATTCTGAAACTCTTTGCCCATAAACACAACTCACCAAACACTGTTTCAAAAAATCAGCCTTAACAATGTTGGCCTTGGAAACATTGACCAAGCTACCAAGGGTTCGTAGACTTTGGGTTGCTTGGAACAGAAGTTAACGGTACATTCAATATATATAGGAAAGCGATGAGGTTAAATTTTGGAAGCGTGGACGGTAAGAATTTTTCCCTGCCTTTGATCTTCAAAGAACAAAATTGTCATTAGATCACGATCCAATAAGTATATTAAAACATCCAGAAATAGATTGTAAATATATTTTTTCTGATTGCTTTCTTTGAAATTATATGCTTTTTTATGCCAATTGTCTGAATATCTTATCCAAAGTGTCCGAGAGAGATAATTTCCGAGGAGAATAGGTCAGAGGAGCTCCATTATAATGTCATCTGCAAGAGACTTCTTCAACTTAAACAAAGAAGAAAGAGAAGCAAGCTAATTCAGAATTAATCATATAGATACATAATTTATAACAGTGTCATCATCATCATCGAAAAAGTCAAAGAACTTAAACGTTTTTAACAAACAAAAAATAAGTCAAAGAACTCAAACTACATGCAACTAGCATTTCTTGATTTAGAATAAGTTTTATAAAGAAATCCTATCAAACCACTATCCCAGTGCTGAGAAGAAGAGATATGTGCACGTATGTAGGATAACAAAGTTTCACATAAAATATCCAAACTAAAAAACAGACGACCTTGACTGGTTAAAACCTCACTGCATATCAAAGTCAAATAGTTTTAGATAAACGTTATGTCTTGCGTATAAGCCATCAATAGCAACGATCATTGTATCCATAACTTGTATTGATGATAGGAATACCAAAGAAAATAACCAACACACTGTAAGAAAATGTCTAAATGATGATATAATCACATATGTAGTGGTGATCTATAACCAATTCAAAAGTAAAGAACCTTCCTTATCTTCTCTTCGATAGCGTACTCCATGTAAAGGTCAACTCAGGTTCATCTGAGAAAGAAGAGCAGAAAGATCTGAGATTCACAACCAAAGGTGGTGGAGAGAAGATCACTGCTGTTCCAGATGGCTGGAGTTATAGGATCAATGGGTTTCTGGATGACAATAATTGTCTACATGATGTCTTTGGTGCTAGCTCAACAAGATGGGGATCATCAGTTTCTGCACTATGACTTCAGGAAAGCAGACCTGGCCTGTGATGGAATGGCAAATACCGACGATGGTCCATTGCATCTTACAAATGATACAGTGGGGAGCACCGGTCATGCTTTCCACAAAACCGCTATCAACTTCACAGCGTCGTCGCCCACTTCATATTCCTTTTCAACAGAGTTTGTCTTTGCAATCTTTCCACTGCAGAAACCACCTGTCTACAGTCATGGAATGGCTTTTGTGATATCCCCAACAAGGAACCTCAGGTATGGGAATAATCAAAATTCAGGGTTAGGGATCTTCAATGAAACACATAAAAACTCAACTGAAAACCATATCCTGGCTGTAGAGCTTGACACTAATCAAGGCCCTGAGGCGCTTGACGAAAGCGATAACCATGTGGGGATTGATATCAACAGTATATTCTCGTTCGCATATGCCAATGCCTCTTACTTTGATAGTACAAAGGGAAGGAACAAAACCTTGCTGCTTGCTGGTAGAAAAAGTATTATAATCTGGATAGATTATGATGGGAAAGAGAAGCTACTGAATGTAACGTTAGCTCCAGTACCAAGTCCAAAGCCTGAATCGCCTCGGTTGTCAAGTTCCATCAAACCAAGAGTGCCTCTCTTGTCAACATTTGTCAATCTTTCAGAAGTTTTCTTGGAGACCATGTATGTAGGCTTCTCTGGTTCCACAGGTTCAGTTAGAAGTAACCAATATATCCTTGGATGGAGTTTCAAGAAAGGCGGAAAAGCAGAAAGCCTTGACCTTTCACAGATTTTGGATCCTCCTAAGCCAAAGTCGGGGTCTAAACTTCCTTTAATTCTAGGCAGTACTATAGCAGCAATTTGTTTTCTAGTAATACTGGGAGGACTCGTGTATCTTTACAAGAGAAAGAAGTACGCAGAGGTTCTTGAACAATGGGAAAAGGAATATAGTCCCCAAAGGTACTCCTTCAAGAACCTATACAGAGCAACCAAAGGTTTCAGGGAGAGTCAACTACTTGGAGCAGGAGGTTTTGGGAAAGTCTATAAAGGAGAACTTCCCTCTGGTACACAAATCGCGGTTAAGAGAGTCTATCATGATGCAGAGCAAGGAATGAAACAGTATGTTGCAGAGATAGCTAGCATGGGAAGGCTAAGGCACAGGAACTTGGTGCAGCTTCTTGGTTACTGCAGAAGGAAAGGTGAATTGCTTTTGGTCTACGATTACATGCCAAATGGAAGCCTTGACGATTACCTGTTCACTAAAAACAAGATGAGAGACCTCACTTGGTCTCAGAGATTGAATATAGTCAAGGGAGTAGCCTCTGCACTTCTATATCTGCATGAAGAGTGGGAACAAGTTGTACTGCATAGAGATATAAAAGCTAGCAACATTCTTCTAGACGCTGACCTAAATGGAAGGTTAGGGGATTTTGGGCTTGCAAGATTCCATGATCGTGGGCAGAATCTTGAAGCCACACGTGTGGTAGGAACCATTGGGTACATGGCACCAGAGCTTACTGCGATGGGAGTGACCACGACAAAAACTGATGTCTATGCTTTTGGATCTTTCATCCTTGAGGTGGTTTGCGGGAGGAGACCAGTGGACCCTGAGAGACCAGTTGAGCAGATGATTCTACTTAAGTGGGTTGCTAGTTGCGGAAGCAGAGACTCGTTAATGCAAACTGTTGACAGTAAACTAGAAGGAGGCTTTAAAGCTGAGGAGGCCAAGATGCTTTTGAAGCTAGGCATGCTCTGTTCACAGAGTAACCCAGAGAACAGACCTAGCATGAGACAAATAATACAATACCTGGAAGGTAATGCCAGTATTCCAAAGATATCATATGATACAGCTGGATTTGGTATGCCCAATATAAGCAATGAGAGAGTAACACAAATGACAGCCACCTCCTCATCAGCTAATTTCTCGTTTGAAGATGTCACAGTTCTATTTGGAGGTCGTTGAAGCATGCATCACAGACTACGACTAAACTTACAAGAAAGCTATCTTTTTTTCTTGCTACATCATTTGTGTCTTTTAAATGACTGTTTTTGAAAGCACTTTTTTTTCCCTTCTCTACAGCTTTGTGTGCCTTTTTATGTGAATGATAGTGTTTGTGATGTGTTGTTCCAAAACTGTGGATGCATACATACAAATAGTAAAGCAAGTTTTTGTTGTCACAGTGGTAATTTACTTACATAGGTCGAAGAGCAGAAGGTATCCAAATGATATCCCTTGTGCTTTTGCTTCGTCCAGACACCTGAATCTGAACAGAGAGAGACAAATACTGACTTATGCTTAGTAAAATCTTAATGCTTCACATTTCGGAATCTTTTGTTTCCATGCCAAACCAAAATTATACAACTTAATGCTAAAGCTCTCATAGAGTATTAAATATATATATGTTACAAAGAGTATAACTACAACCATAAAGTTTATCTCAACGAAGTCAACAGTAACAAACATGTTACTCAACATTTGATCACTTCAAGATTTTTGATTCTATTTCTTCCAAGCTGAGACCCTTGGTCTCTGGAACTACTAGAATGACAAACAACAGTGATACCAGTGCTATGGCTCCAAAGAGAAGGAAAAGATTCTCTGCTCCAAGATACTCCTGCAGGGAATGCATTTTTTTTTCATGGGAGTTACTAATAGCTTACAAGGGAATATTGACCAGCGGGTACAGAAAAGTTACCTTTAAGGGTGAAAACGCAAAGGTCACAATAGCATTGGAGCCAAAGTTTGTAAGAACTGCAAGACTGATCCCTCTTCCTCTTGTCCGGAGCGGAAAAATCTCTGACACCATCAGCCAGCTGATGGGTCCGAATGAGATCTGGTTCGCAAGAAAGAACAGTCAATTGAGGAAAATAAGACTATCAAGTGAAGTAAGCTGAGACTAGACTTCTTTAGTATAGTCTAGACAAAACTATGTAGCCACAGCTACGATAAAGCTAGAGTACAAACCTGGTAGCAACCAACATAGAGAAGCAATGCACCAACAGCGACAAGTGGAAAGCCTCCGAGAAACTTGTAGTATGCTGACAGTAGAAATAAAGACAACGCCTGAAATTTGAAAAATACAAAAGAAAAATCTCTTTGTTATGAATATTCAGCAAAAATAAGTAACAGAACAGAAACTTTAAGCAGAAAGAGTTAGTCATACAATGCCACTGACGCCTCCAATCAGTAAAGGTCGTCTGCCGAGATCATCAACTTTCGCAACAGCTACCCATGTCATCAGTAACTGCAGACGGCATTATCAATTAAAGAGGTCAGTATTGAATAACCAGAAGCTTGTTAACATATTAACACATCAAGAAAAGAAACGAAATAAGTACCTTGAAAACACCAATAATAACAGAGACTCGGGTTGCATCAGCAGCAGCAGAGAATCCAGCAGTCTTTGAATAGATAAGCGAGAAATAAGTCTCATGAAATATCCAACTTAAGGCACAAGAAAATCACTAGGTAATAAGCAAGCATACCTGAAGGATCGAACCAGCATAATAAAGAACACTTGGCTGTCCAGTTATCTGTCACAATGATGCAGATGTATAAAATTAAAGATCAAACAAAAGGTAATCTCACATTCATCCAAAAGGACAACAACAGGGAAGAAGAAGAATCACCTGCTGGAAAAGGACTAAACCTCCACCAATTGTCAAAGCTTTCAAATTAGGCCCTTGGAACACTTCCAGGAAGTTTCCTCCAGATTTCTCATCTTCATAAGCCGCTTGCACAGATAACAAGGCATCATCTACTAACTTCTCCGACAGTTTATCACCCTTAGGTCTGCCACGTAATTTGCTGAGAGCAAGCATGGCCTTCTCTTTGTACTCTTGTAAAGCGCCTTTACCCTGGACGGCTCTGAGAAGCAACCATCGAGGAGATGGAGGGAGACTCCACATGCCTAGTCCCATGAGCAAAGCAACAGGCGTACCAAATCCATACATGTATCTCCACCCTCCAACTACATCAATCTGGAAGCTCCCAACAGAGAAACCCAACTGCCCAAAAACGAAAAAACGAGATTGCTCAGTAAATGAATACAGTACATGGATATCATATAACAGGGACGAGATTGACATTTACCAGAATTCCCAATACGATGAAGAGTTCCTTAAGCGATATTAGAGTACCACGGATTTGAGATGGGCATGTCTCAGCAATATACAGGGGAGCTCCATGCATTGCCTTTGAAGCAAAACCAAATTACATTAAGTGTTAAACAATGATAAACGAGGAAAGTGACAAAGAAATGATTAAGATTCAGGTGTTTGCAGAGCTCACCAAACCAATACCCAAGCCATAGAGAAGCCTTCCAACCAAGAGAACATTAAGATCAGGGGCACAGCCAGTAATCAGAGACCCAAGGAGATAGAGCACAGCAGCTATAATAAGCTCCCGCCTTCTTCCTGAAACAAAACCAAAATGAGATACTCACAACCAGTTAAGAAGAACAAGCAATAGATAAATAAGCAAACAAGACTTACCAAGGAAATCGGCAATGCCATAGACAAGGGTTGAGCCAAGAAGAGCTCCATATAAAGATCCGCTAACCTACACAATTAAAAAGCAGTAAAGACTATAACTTTCTGCTAACTTTATGGCTTAAGTATAAGAAAATCATCTCCAGATAGTATCATACCACAAGTCCTAACTGAACAGGTGAGAAGTTAAACCATGTAGTTCCACTAAGCGCAGGTGACTGTTTCAACAACATCTGATGTTAGGCTTTGGAGCTATCAGGTAACATATAAAAAAAGTAGAGACTTTAAGCAAACCTGAAGTGAGAGAGTAGCACCGGAGGTTGCCCCAATATCATACCCAAACAAGAGCCCTCCCAAAGCCGGGAATACAAATCTACAGATTCGAGCAAGTCACTGTTAAAAATCAGTGCAATCACTACATAAGGGCATTGTTAAGAAATTGAAAATCAGGCAATCCAAAATCTATAATAAACTCAGGAATTGACAAATCTAGAACAGTTAAATTTCCTTGATTGAAATAACGAGAATGATTAATACGCACGGGAGTATCACAGAAGACCAAGAAAATGACTCCGGTTCATCAGAAGCAACCGAATCGGCTACTTCTCCACCGTCGGCGAACTCTCCACCCGCCCCAACTCGGACCTAACCATGAACCAAAACCGGAGAATCAAAACAAAAGATTCGAGATTCAGAAGCAATTAGAACCTAGAAAGCTTTGCTCCTCACCTGAAATTTTCGTCTGTGTCTAGTGACTAAACCAGGATTTGGAGCCGATAAAGTAAGTTCCTTGGAACGGAGGTAAAATGAGTCAGGCCTGGATTTTAAACGCGAGCTGAAGGTACGAGGACTAAGGATTTTGAAGTCGTTTCCAAGTGAAGGTTTGATGGAGAAATGTGACTGAACAGAGACAGCGAAAGCCATGATCGGAGAGGGAGACAAGTGATGATTCTCCCGCTAATTTTGTTCGCTTATCTCTCATCTCCTATTGAATCTGATTCATAAATTTTTTTTTATCATTAAAAATAGTCAATTTTTATTGTGTGGTTTGTATCTTTCCTTATTCAAAGTATGGACAAAACTGTAATTTTCTTGTAGTCACTTATACAGTATATAGCTCTTTCGCCATTCTTAAACCTCTGCTCCATTCAAGCAATGGTGTCTCCAACACTATGGAGTTGATACTGGTCGCAAGAAGAAAGCTGCTTCAACTAAGAAAGAAAGAGAGGTTTTGGTATCAATGTGATTACTTAATGTTGATTGTTGACTGTTTCTTTTTTTTTTCATAACGGTTCTGATTGAATTGGTGTTTTAAATTCTTAGGTAGTAATGATAGTAACCGCTGAGAAATTTAAGAAAGGCAATAACGTTCAAAGGAAGCTGGAGAAGCAACAACAAGACAGGGCACTTGATGACTCGCACCTTGAAGAACAGTTGTTTAGCAGTGGAAGGTAAAAAACCAGATATTTTGGATTTGAAATCATCACATCTTAATCTGTGTTTTCTCAGGTTAAAGTCGTCGTTGTTTTTGTGTAATCTGAAACAGATAAGTATTGGAAGGAAAAGAGCTTGAATTATACACGACGAAAAGAAGAAGGGCAAGAAACAAATTTGAAGTTGAAAAACCACTTTTATACTCTTTTTTGTTTTTGATCAACAATAGTCTAATTTCGCACATTCTATCTAATCACTCCTTTGCAAAGAAGAATTCGAACAAAGCCAAAATATGTTCAAGAAATTAAGAGGAGGGACAATGTAACTATTCAAAAGTTCGCATTTTCCAGAAATTCCACATCCTCTCTCTATGCTGCATCTTCTTAGAAGTTGAAAACTCCATCGGCCTGCAAAAACAACAAGAAGATGCGTGAGCCAAGTGAAATTTCTGTTGAACAAAAAATATCCATTGTAAAAAGTTTTGGTCCGACCTTAGAGAAAATGATATTTTTGTCATTAATTTTCATAACGCCCGATTTAAACTTGCAATCCCACTTGTTCTTAGAACGCTTCACCTGCACCACATAAAAGCATAAGTCCAAGTCCATCAATGTCAAAAAAATGAAACAACTTTGTTAAGTCATTCCTTCATACACTATCAAATTGGCACATGACCAAATGTGGAATGTCCTTATCATCTTCAACAGGCTCTTCCTCATCATCATTCTCGTTCAAAGTCTCCTCATCATCCTCATCTACAAGTGATGAGAAACTAGACGTTACTAAAGTGCACCCAATATATATGTATACAGCATTTACTCAAAACCTATACAATACCATTAGAAGTGTTTGCCTCTGCTTTAAAATCTCCATCGTTAGCTCCATCTTGCTGTGGAATAAAAAACCCTTCATGTTCTCTCTTTGGGGAAGCCTGAAAACGTTTTCAACAACATTCCCCCATTAATACTAACTCACACATGAAGTCTCTCTGAAAAATTATACTCAATGGCCAATAACAAAACATTACCATAAGGTCCATAACCATCGACGGATTCGACTGACCATTCATTTCAAAATTCCCGTATAGAGAGTTTGGATCGGGAGTCTGAAGAGGCGTCTGCGATTTCGTCAGAACAATACACAGATTTTTCGATTGCTTATTTGTGAAATTTAACGAGTGGAATCAATTACGACTCACATGTGTGGGAATCGGAATCGGAGCATAAGAGCATTCTCCGATGGAGCTTATGAGTCCGGCTTGTTTCATCTTCCTTTTCCAAGTCTATACACACAGAGTTCAATTTCTGAATCAGATTTTACCAAAACCCCCAAAAATTCCTCCTTAATCCCTAACTAACCGAGATCGGTGGAAATAAACGAATTCGAAACTTCTCATCCAGATCAATTAGAAATTGAAGATGACCTAAACGATGAGTAAAACAATGGAGTGTTTGTAACTAACCGCTTGGAGCTCGCGAAGAACAGTCTCCTCGAGTTTTCCACTGTCGACGAGATCGTAACGAACCTCGCTGATGACGTCTTCGGTGATGTAGTTCATGCAGTCCTCCATCGTCGAGCTCAAAGCGAACATCGTTTCCTCGGCGGTGACCTAAACCGTTTTTCGCCGGAGGAGGAAGAGAGGAGAAAGGAAAGGATAGGAAGGAAAATGAATTTGGAAACTTGGGATATAAATAGGTTAGCATCCACTATTTATAGCCACTAGAAACCAAAGAGGCGGTTGCTTTAGTTTTAGGCCCACATTATTTATCATCATTTTGGAGGCCCAAACTTTTATATTTTAGCTCGCTTAGATAATTTGGAGGTGAAGCAGACTCATTTGCTTTGGATCGTCAGTTGTGGGTGCAAAAACTTCATATGACATTGTTACAATCTTAAAATTGATAGATTTTTATGTTCTTTACAAACTTTTTGTTATTTTAATTTTTATATAGTAAACTGTATAATTTGTCTCTAAACCCAAAATGATATATCTAATTTTTTTTTCCACCATTGAATATATATTTAATCTATAAAAGGTTCACAATTAATTATTACACAAATGCTTTTTTTTTTATACACATATTACACAAATGTTTGATAAGACACATACTATTTTTTTTAAGCAAGTAAGGGCCATATTATCGGATTTCATTGTAGTCCTCTTGAAAGCTAAACACGGCCGTGGATATGATAGGTAAAGTTAGTCTTCTTCCCAACATGGCAACATCAACACTCAAACTCGTGATTTCGAAGCTCATTCGTTTTAGAAATATCTTCATTAATGAATTATGTAGGACAAGCAGTATAAACCAAATTGAAATGATTTGAAAAATGTTATACAAAATTGTACTATCGTAGATATATGTTATACACTTGTACAATATTACCTTTATATCACTATCGAGACTGGTTTTTTTTTTAAACATCCTTGTGCACCTGAATTCTCTTTCTTAACATGTACCTTAATTCTTCTAAAAATTCATAACAATTCTTACGTTTTTAAACTCTCATCATCCTAATAGGCCAACATCACTACCAAAATGCCTATCACGACGCACATTTGGTTTTTTGTTCTTAATTAAGCGTATAAAATGAGAATGTGTGGGTTTGTTTGTATTATCAATCGAGAAGTGTCATTTGTGTCGTGACGGAAAGCATGAACAATTATTTAAGCGTCCAGGTGGGGAAATTGAGTTTTCGGTTTTGGTTGTGTCCCTTAAATTACTCTTCTTTTCCAGGTGACAGTCCTCGTCAGTTAAGTTTTTTAAAATAGTTTTGCAAAATGTCGGGTTTATGAAACACGTGGTGGTCTGGAAAGATAGTATCTTTAAACATTTGACTGATCATGACATTTCATTTCTTTGATTAAACTAATGGACCTAAATTATAATATTTTTGCGTATTAGATCAGATGAGCAACCCCCACCAAACTCAACGGTCAAATTTCACATGCTATATTGCCTGCTTCCGAAATATATATATATAAAATTAACCATACCATTTTTGAACCGTACGAGGTTTGGAGAAATACTCAACAAGTTTGTTTGTACTTTGTATCGGGTGATCTTTGGTTTTTTTGTTACTCAAGTTTGTAACGGTTGAGCCAAACCAGTGCATAACCTTTTTAAAATATTATGCAAACTTGGATATTCAATATTTTTTAGATGATATGAATGAAATCTTTAACTAATGAGTATCACCCCAAAAAAGGGCTATTAGCAAATGTTTGTACTAGTATTACTCACAGTCATGCCATAAATATGATTCAAACTCGGTATTATGAATCACAGGTGACAAGATTAAATGGTATCACTTGTTAGAGCAAAAACCTAAACTTCGACTACATCAACCTAAAAAATGTGTTCTACAACTAATTTGCTTAGATCGAAAGATTAGCTTTTATGGTACTTGAAATATTAGTTTTTATGGGTTTCATGTTTTTTTTCCAATTTAAACATTTTGAAAAACGGACGGTTTTTGTTTGTGAAAGTAAAACTAAAAGGTTTAATGATCTATATAAATATCGATAGAACAGAATGTCTTGTCCAAATGTGTATGGTATAATCATGTCATTTTAGTCTTATGGTCAATATATTTTGGAGATTTCTCAAGATAAATTAATGTGCTGAAGGAGCTTTAGGCTGATTTGGTTGTAATTCGTAAATGGAGCCAAAAGAAAAGTTGAAATGGTGTAAAAGGTTGGTGTTGATTGACACCTGTCAACTACGTAACATAAAAATTCCCAACACTACGCAATTTGCCGGTCATGCAGATTCAAAGAGAAAAACTTCCTCTCTGGAAACACGTGTTGGACATTACCTCTGCCACGTAACTGACGAAGCTTCTCCTTCGGTAACTACGAAAGAGAAGAACCCAACGACCTTAAACCGCAACGTGGGGTTTGCGTCCGACACGCGTCTCTTTAGGCCTCAAAAGAGACTTTAGACCAGAAACCTCATTTATGATGAGTAACGGACATGCCACACGTTATTAGTTTGCCAAATTTTCCTCCAAACGATTTACGTGTTTGAAATTGAATATTTAGCTTTTAGAATATGAACTTTCCAGGTTCAACTCGCGCAGGGCGCTTTGTATGTAGAACGTAAATTTGTTCAGTAAATAGTAAGTGCCTTCTTGTTGCGCAGCTCTGATTTGAAATTACTTCGTTTTTTTTGTTAAAGCTCTCTAACATGAGTTTACAAGTATCTCAACATCAAACTGAACATTTATCAGATCGGGCATTGATCACTATAAAGAAAAATGCTCTGTATTTATCTATCCAACTAATAATGGGTGATGTGGAAATTCCAACGATAAATTGGTAAGGTTTCATTTCAAGTTATAAAATTAACAAAAATTAATCAAACTAGCTTGCTAGAACAAAAGCACTCCAAGCACCTACTAAAGTAACTAACCATGTATCAGTTACTCTTTTTCCTGTAACTATCGCTGATATGGTTTACCAACATTTTGATTATACACATTGGTATCACTACCCCAAATAACATTATAAATTACATTATATTTTTTTAAGTAACAGTAACAGTCAACGAAAGTTGGAAACAGAGCCGCCCCTGAGAGTAAGCAGGGCAAGCAGGTGCGTGCGGCCCTTCTTTTTATATATAATTATTCGGCCCTTTTTTCCTAAAAATGTCTTGTAGTCTAGTGGTTGCATAGTAGTCTCTTCAGCTTTAGTGTCTTGAGTTCGAGTCTCTTTGACTTCCAACTTTAATTTTCTTCAAATTTTTTATAATTTAACCTTTTTTCTTAATAAACTAAACGGCCCTTTTTTTTCCTAGCTTGCGGCCACTCTCATGTCAGGGACGGCTTTGGTTGGAAACTTAGATTTTTTAATGAATTTTCCGTGTTTGTTTGTTAGTATAAGATTCGAAAGTGATGGTTGGTATTGAGCTCGACGGATGTAGGGCAAATGGTTTCGAAACATTTAATAAGTAGTATATGGTTTTGTTTGTATTTTTTGCTTCGAGATATAAATAATAATATACTGATTGAAAGAAAAACCTTTCACGTGGCGCAATGTATTTGCCTACTGTCAACTTCAAATACCTGGCAACTGCTATCCAGCTTTAGCAGACACGTGGCCTGTGCAAAAGAAAAATATATCTTTTTTTTAATTTGTTTTGTAACCGTAACTAGGGACCCATAAAAATCATCGGATGCTTGCTATCTTTCACCTGAGCTCACACGTCATCCTATTGTTGGCCGCCACGTCCTAGAGAATTTTCCGCAAAGAGCTTCTCTTTCTAATTTTTTTAAAAAGCAATTTAGTTATTTTAAAATCTTAGTTCAATTGTGTTGGAAGAAGCAGAAGAGTTGTGTCATGAAACATGAAAAACTGTGAATCTTGACTCAATTGGTGGAAAATAAGCTTAGTCAAGATTATTGTTCACGCATCGTACGTCTGATGATTTTTTCTACACATTATTCAGTAGTAAAGTGCGGCTACACATTATATGAGTAATTATAAACTAATATAAAGATAAACATTATTATAAGATGCATTAGATATACAAAGCGATACATAATATATATAAATAAAAATTATAAAACGGCAATTATAACATGAAATGGAGGGAGTATGATAGAAATTTTTGAATTAGAACATAAATTAAGCTGACAATAAAAGAAAAGACAACATTAAATATCTCATTGTGCCTTTAAATATTAATCATCTTCACCTTTCAGTATTACCTGTAAATTCTCCGATTCATATATTAACTGTAATGGGTGAAAATAGCTAGACATGTGTTAAAAATCGAAGAAGAGAAAATGTCAGACTAGAGAGAGGGTCAACGTTGGTCCCCCGGTTGTCCAAATTCCATCTACGTACTTGTATCTTGCTTGTATTACTCAGTGGAACCATTTGTGATTGATTCATATATATATATATATATATATATATATATATATATTTTTTTTTTTTGGAACCAAGGCTTAAGTTGACTAGATATTTGAGTATTGTTTATATTAGAATTTGTATATTGTTTAACATTTGTCAATTTCTATTTTTAATACAACAATTTATAGTTTGCTTAACATTTATGTTCGCAGTACATAGATTTGTATAAAATGTTGGTAAAACTGAAAATATTTTAGCAAAAAAAGTATAAAATTGGTGAAACTGAAAATATTTTAGCAAAAAAAGAAGCAAAGTTCAAAATATTAACAGACTAAATGCATCTGGTGTAAACTAAAATTCGTTTTTTCATCTGGTTTCTCGAATTGGTTGACAACAAAAATGATGTGGTGATATGAGAATCTACTTTCTATTACTTGGTAGAAATAGTATTTTGTCTATTTATCAATAAATCAACAATATATAGTATGTATCTGGCGGTCATGATGAATGGTTTTCACTTTGTGTTATTCTTGTACTTTTAACCAAATATTAAATAAATCCATATATAACATTATATGGATTTGAAACTCATGTGGTGACACATCGATATCATTATCACAAAACAGTAAATTAGGTTGTTTTGATCAATTTCACGTATATATATTTATATTTATGCATAAGAAACAGCATTCATGCAATAGCAATAACGTATAAGAATAAGTTACCTACTTTGTGGTTATAAGCTCAAAACAATAGAATGTGTGCATCATTACTTTTAGTTGTTAGGTATAACCATAGTTGGATTTGTCGATCTATATCGTGGGTCATGCATGTACTTAACATTATTATATGGTATACAATTTAGAGTACTAGTTCATGTAATATGGATTTAATTTTTTTTATATAAAAAAGTAATATGGATTTAACAGATGACAATTTGTCTACTAGATCACCTTAAAATAATAAAGATGATTTACTGATGACAGCTTAAATTTTGGTCTAATGCCATATTTAAATTATATCGAATTTAGAAGTTCCGACAACTCAAATGTCTTTGTTTACGTGAATTAATCGTCTAAGTAGTCACAACGCAAGAAGCCAAGAAGGCAAGAACCATCCCAACGTGAATTGATCGTTTAAAACTAATCTTGTTATTTCATACCAAAAAAAAAAAACGAATCTTGTTATTTAAAATAATATAATAGTATTGTTGTAATATTTGAGGTATCGGAAAATTCAGCTTATATAATCAGAAATTTCTACACATTGTAGCTGAGTCTGAATATGAACAATGATGATGAAATAGTAACGATATCAAAACAAAATATTAGACTATTTATACAATCTAGCATTACTTTATTATATACAAAATCAAACGAAAATTTGCAATGAAATTATGCAATATCTTGTTGCCATTTTTATTTTTGCGATACATGTTTTTTATTTATTTAAAGATTATCTTATTATATTATCGAATTATTGAATTGTATTATATTTCGAGTCTGATTAAATCAGAAACAATGTTTTATATTAATTTATGGTATATATTAAATTACAAAGTATAATATTTTAGAATTTCTGCTGTATAATAAATTTTCTTCACACATGTCAATTTTTTTTATAAATTAAAATCTTATTAGTAACACAAGCTTGTTAACATTATTCTTTGACTGTAACTATTTTTAGGAGATATAAGCTGTACTCACTCAGAAACAATTCAATATTTAATATATGACACTATGGACCGGGCGGCTCTGATTACTCTTTTGCTCGATGGAGATGGAGACATGATTTTTTATTCCTCTTTAAATATGTTTTCCAAACATCAATTTACTGGATTTGGCGAGAAAATGGGCCGGCATAATTGATACTCGATATATGATAAAATGGACCAGGCGGCTATAATTGTTCTTCTGCTCAATGGAGAGTTAGACATGATTTTTTCATTCATTTTCAAATTTGTTTTCCAGACATCAATTTACTGGATTTGGCACGATATGGGCTTAACTCACTTGGAAACAATTCGGTATTTGATATATGATACAATGGACCGGACGACTCTGATTGCTCTTCTGCTTAATGGAGAGCTTGACATGATTTTTTCATTCCTTTTCAAATATGTTTTTCAGACATCAATTTACTGGATTTGGCGCGATATGGGCTATATTCACTTGGAAACAATTTGGTACTTGATATACGACACAATAGGCTAGGCGGCTCTGATTGCTTTTATGCTTGATGAAGAACGAGACATGATTTATTATTTCTTTTAAAATATGTTTTTCAAACATCAATTTACTGGATTTGGCGAGAAAATGATCGGAGACAATGGATACTCGATATACGATAAAATGGATCGAGCTGCTCTAATTGCTTTTCTGCTAGATAGAGAGCGAGATATGATTTTTTTAGTCATCTTCAAATATGTTTTTCAAACATCAATTTACTAAATTTGGTATGGGAGAAACGGAAAAAGGCATAGTGAAACAGTAATGTCTCATACTAGAGTGAAACAGCTCGTCGACAAGCAAGTTCGCAATAAATTTACATCTATATAAAACCTTTTGCGACGCAAAATATAAAAAGGGAATGCATACATGGTTTAACTTGTAAATCTCTATATTCACCCTTTTTTTTTAACCTTTAGTTTTTAGCTTTTAGAAACTCAGAAACAAAGTAGAATTCATATAACAACAATTTTTTTTTTTTATAAATTTAACATTTCATTCAAAAAAAAATAGAGATAATCATATATAGAACCTCTGTTCCCTACTTTTATAATAAAATCTGTAACAAAATTGTGTCAATTTACTTAAGAATCAATTGTCCTCGCATGTAATATAGATCTATCTAGTTTTATTTTAGTTCCAAAATGATGATGGCCCAATTAATAAAGTTTTGATATGTCAATTGTCAAAGTAGTCAAACATTGGGTATATGATGATATTCATATACATGTAACATTAGCCGAGAGATGATGTCTCATAATATAGCACGTTTCTAAATCACTGATTTATTTGGACACTTGACAAAAACTATGAATATGTAATTAAATTTTATTACTATTAACAAGTCAATTGTCAAACTAGGTAACAAATCCTTAAAAATCTTTGAATATTAATTCATACCTTATTTAATTTCCAAAAGTATTTTTGTCTTAAGACTCCACACATGTTTGCCATGTTTGCCGCGTAATTAAAATAATGGATAAAAGATTGGAACAAAACGTAAAAGGTTGAATGAGAATAATTTCCACGTATTTTTAATTAGTTGATTTTCCCATATCTAATAAAGTTATTAAGTTGTAGTTTATAGTAAAACAAGTGGAATTGGTAGGCAAATTTTCCATAGTGAAATTTGTAAGAAAATCTCAAAGAAGAGATTATAGAGAGAGAGAGCATGCGTGTCATCAAAGGTTCTTTTCACTTTAGGTCTGAGTGGTGTTAGCATTTGATTGGCACACGTAAGTCTTTTGTATCGCGATTCAGGAAATGTAAGTGTACACGTGGTTTTAATCAACGGTCAAGATTCATTCGTCCAGATAGAGGAGGAGGGAGATACGTCACGCCATTCGACAAGCTCTCTCCTTCGGTTCTCTGTTCTTCATTTGAGTTTAAAATCTGCCCGTTAGAGACTCGGGCAGATGCCCGTAAATCAAAAGGAAACTATATTTTATTTTATCTAATAAATTATTGATATCTTCTGCAATATAAAGCTCCCATGGCCAACCTTGTTCAAGCTTCTCTCGTTCTCTCTCTGCGTCTCTGTTTAACTAGTTTTCTGGTTTTCTGAACGGGGAGAGTGATGGCACTGTGAATGTTCCACAATTCGAACGTTCGCATGGCCGATATTTGTTACGAGAACGAGCAAGTGGTGAAGAAGAAGACGACGGCGACGACGAGGAGGCGCGAACGGAGCTCGTCACAAGCAGCGAGGAGGCGGAGAATGGAGATCCGGCGGTTTAAGTTTGGCTCCGGCGAACAAGACGTCGTGTTCGTCGACGGCGATGCACAGAAGCGGAGGAGAGGAGAATCCACCGTCGCCTCAGCCTCCGCATCCGCCGTACTCTACGAGTTAGCGAATGCTGAAACGGCGAAGGAGGTTGTCGTCTTATGCGAGTCTCTGAGTGCATTGCCTGATCCGGAGGCGTATCCTAAATACGGCGTCGCTTCAGTCTGCGGAAGAAGACGGGAAATGGAAGACGCCGTTGCTGTACATCCGTTTTTCTACCGTCAGAAAACGGAATATTCCTCCACCGGATTTCACTACTTCGGCGTTTACGATGGCCACGGCTGTTCCCATGTACGACGCCGATTTTTTAATTTAATTTTTAAAATTCGCAAACAGTTACGACGTCGTTTCTCATGTTTTAATTGTTTGTCGATTTTTGCAGGTGGCGATGAGATGTAGAGAGAGGCTACATGAGCTAGTGCGGGAGGAGTTGGAGGCTGATGATGCTGACTGGAAGAAGTCAATGGCGCGTAGCTTCACGCGCATGGACATGGAGGCTGTCGCGTTGAACGCCGGTGGTGCTGCGAATTGCCGTTGCGAGCTTCAGAGGCCGGACTGCGACGCGGTTGGGTCTACCGCTGTGGTGTCCGTACTCACGCCGGAGAAAATTGTGGTGGCGAACTGCGGCGATTCCCGTGCCGTTCTCTGCCGGAATGGGAAACCCATTCCTTTGTCCTCCGATCATAAGGTTTACATCGTTGATATCTTTATTTCTCTTAATTGTTTATTTTTGCATAATTAATTGTGTAAATGTGCTTTGTCTCTGTCAAAGTTTTATCTTAGATCTACGGTTATGGTTCGCTCGCCGTAATTGGAAATTATAATTTCGTTACGTGTCACGGTCTAAAACTTAGCCATCAATTTCTCGTTGATTAATGCTTTCTCCCTTAAATTTAATGTATTTATTAGTATGAATTATTTTGATAATTGAGTTTTTTGTTTAATGGGCATGCAACACCTGGACGGTTGTTAAGAACGTATATTCGCTTTTTTAGGTTCAGATGAGAAGATCTGATAAAGTTTCTGAGTTTAAATCCGTCGTGTCACTGTTTTCAATGACTTTATAATTGTTTATATGACACTATCTCTCTTTTGTTTAAACAGCCGGACCGTCCGGACGAGCTAGACCGGATTCATGCAGCGGGTGGTCGGGTTATCTACTGGGATGGCCCACGTGTCCTAGGGGTACTTGCAATGTCACGAGCCATAGGTCAGTAAATTGATTACACTTGACGAAACACTCTTGTCTCTTGTCGTAATGTTTGTACAAAAGTTTTCCGTACTTTCAATAATTAAAACTCGTTTCGCCGCGGAATTTTTATTTGTTCTTTATTATTTCAGGCGATAATTACCTGAAGCCGTACGTTATCAGCGAACCGGAAGTAACCGTATTGGACCGGGTCAACGAAGACGATTTCCTCATACTCGCAAGCGACGGTCTTTGGGACGTCGTCTCGAACGAAACTGCATGTAACGTCGTCCTAATGTGTTTGAGAGGAAAAGTCAACGGTCAGCTATCTTCCTCACCGGAAAGGGATCTCGCCGGCGCCGGGAATGTGGTGCTGGGAGGAGAAGATACATCGGATGAAGCGTGTGAGAAGGCGTCGGTTTTGCTGACGAGGCTTGCATTGGCTAGACAAAGTTCTGACAACGTGAGTGTTGTAGTGGTTGATCTCAGAAGAGACACGTAGCTGTTTCTTGTTTCTCTCGTTCCGTCTCTCTCGTTCGTAATGTTTGTTTTTTTGTCCGGAGTCATTGACTTTTGGACTTTCTTTTATCGTTCTTTTTGCTCTTCGGCTTAAGGCGAAGGGTTTTTAATTAGCTTGCTCTTGGGTTATGTCACCATGTAGTTCGTTAGCGAATAGCGGGTTACGTTAGTTCTTCAGAGACTTTCACCCCTTAGTGAAACGGTAAAAAGCCGTGAACTTTGTAACGTACATGTGTTGTTAGCGAAAAAAAAATACAATGTGGAACAAAGTTCAGTTTCTGAGTCATTCTCCTTATTGCATCATCTCTACTGATGGTAAATCCAATCTTAACACAAGTTTAAGACAAATCCGATCATATCACAAATTTAAGACATACGTTCATATCACAAATTATACATCAAAATATGATGTCGTATTACGCTTGTTTGTAATTTTTCATATTATAAAATTTAAAAGAAGTTTTTTTTGTTTCCTTTTTCTTTTTCTGTATGGTTGTGGTTCTGAAACTGAAATCATGTAAATATATATTCCAAATTCTTTTAATCTGAAAATCCAACAATTTAAGGTAAAAAATGTGGCGCTTTTTTGCTGTGTTGGGTTCCAACCTCACAAACAAAGTGGGCATTGGGCCTTATGGGCCATACATAGCTTAAAGTATAATACATAGCCTTGTAAAACCCTGAAACAAAAACAAAATCAAAAACATCACAAACCTCTCGAAGGAAAATTTAACCGGGAAAGCGTTATATCGAGAGTGTCGATTACAGAGTACGAGTCTCAAGCAATCAAATCTGATTGATAATCGTTCCTGCTAATCTCTTCTAACGAGGATCGATCTTCTTCTATATATCAGGGTGGTGTGAATTTAGAAGAAATCAGATATGGTAGTTTTCGCACATCCACCGGAAGAGGAGCTCAACAATCCCTTTTCTATCTTCGCCAATCCAGAGGAAAATCTCAAGGTAAATTTCTTCTCACACAGATGTTTGAAATCGACGATTCAATTGCAGAATGCCGTTGTAAGATTTCCCGTTAATTTCTGTTTCTCAGGTCCACACAGAAGTTCCGTACAGTGATAAATCCGTGCTCAGCTGTAGCAATACGAAGGAATCGCTCGAGAAACATCTCAAAGTCACCGGAGGAAAAGTCTATACCCGGTTCCCTCCTGAACCAAACGGTTATCTACACATTGGCCATGCCAAGGTAAAAAAAAAATCAACATGTTCTTCTGAGGTTTCTGAGACACTTTTGCTTGATGATGTTGTTCTAAATTTGCTGTAAATTTCAGGCTATGTTTGTTAATTTCGGTCTGGCAAAGGAGCAAGGAGGCTGCTGTTATCTGAGGTTTGATGATACAAATCCTGAGGCGGAGAGGAAAGAGTATATAGATCACATTGAAGATATTGTTAAATGGATGGGTTGGGAACCATTTAAGGTATTAGTTTTGTCTCTGTTGTACAGTGACGACTAGGCTCTTGTTATTATATATTCATCTGAAAGTTTTTTTATTTTTTTGGTTCTTAGATTACTTACACGAGCGATTATTTCCAAGAGTTGTATGATTTGGCAGTGGAGTTGATTCGAAGAGGTCACGCTTATGTTGATCACCAGGTTTAAAAAAAAACGTCTTTATATGTATATGGATTCATGCCTTTGTCGTAACTCGTAAGACTTACTCTGTGAGATAATCTACTTGCAGAATGCTGAGGAGATAAAAGAGTACAGAGAGAAGAAACTGAACAGTCCATGGAGGGACAGGCCTGTTGAAGAGTCTCTTAAGCTTTTCGACGAAATGAGACTGGGGATGATTGAGGAAGGCAAGGCAACGCTTAGGATGAAGCAGGATATGCAGAATGATAATTTCAACATGTACGACCTTATTGCCTATCGTATAAAGGTAAGTGAAAAGCTAAAACCATCTTTGGTTAACAGTATTGTTACATCTTTAGTGTGTAGGCTGTGACGTGTTTATATGTTTTTTGCAGTTCACAGCTCATCCTCATGCTGGTGACAAATGGTGTATCTATCCGACCTATGATTATGCTCACTGCATTGTTGATTCGCTAGAAAATATATCACATTCGGTTTGTCCCTCTCTAAGTCTTTTGGCTGTTGAAATCCATATTCTTTAAGTGAATCTGAGTTTCTGACATTTTCTTTGATGTGCATAAATGTAGCTCTGTACGCTTGAGTTTGAAACCAGGAGGGCGTCTTATTATTGGTTATTGAAGTCACTGGGTCTCTACATGCCGGTTGTGTGGGAGTATTCACGTTTGAATGTCACAAACACTGTCATGTCCAAGCGTAAGGTTGGTAAAATACTTATGAAAAACTTTTATCATTCTTTGCAGTGAACCATGATGGTTGTAACATTCGTTTTATTTCGCTGCAGCTGAATTACATTGTGACAAACAAGTATGTCGATGGTTGGGATGATCCACGTCTTTTGACACTTGCTGGTTTGAGGCGGAGGGGTGTGACTGCAAGTTCGATAAATGCATTTGTACGAGGACTTGGAATTACCAGAAGGTTTGCCTTGCTTCATATATATCTGAAAACACATATCATACGATTTTGGCATTTGTTAATTATATCTTCACTGAACTCTGCTATCTGTTGTTGGTGTATTGAAGTGATGGTAGCATGATAAACATGGGTCTTCTTGAGCATCATATTAGAGAGGAGTTGAACAGAACAGCTCCACGCACAATGGTGGTGTTGAATCCTCTTAAGGTGGTCATCACCAATATGGAATCAGACAAGGTTGTGGAGCTTGATGGTAAATGGTGGCCTAACACCAAGAATGATGATCCCTCTGCATATTATAAGGTTCTGTTCTCTAGAGTTGTATACATTGAGCAGTCTGATTTCCGAATGAAGGATTCGATTAAGTACTATGGACTTGCTCCTGGTAAATCAGTCATGCTTAGGTATGGAAACAGCACGCTTACACTTATCATCATTACCACTTTGGCTTTGAGTTTGATTTTCATCTGTGACTTAATGTGCTTCCTCCGGTTTGCAGATACGCTTTCCCGATCAAGTGCACCAACGTTGTGTTGGCTGATGACAATGAAACCGTTTGTGAGATTCATGCGGAGTATGATCCCGAGAAGAAGACTACGCCAAAGGTCTGATTCTTTGACAATCTCTATAGTTTCTGCAGTTTTTCAGAGGCTCTAATTTCAATGGTTACAAATATCTGCAGTGTCTACACTGGGTCCCTGAATCTTCACCAGGAAAAGAGCCCTTAAAGGTTGAAGTCCGGTTATTTGAGAAACTCTTCAACTCCGAGGTAAATTTTTCTTGCTTTTGTTGTATTGTTATAGTTCCTGATTTTTGTTAAGTGATGTTAATCAAATGAATCAAAACAGAACCCAGCTGAGCTCAAGGATAAGTGGCTAACTGATATGAACGAAAACTCCAAAGTGGTAGTTTCTGATGCATATGCTCTTCCAACTATTAAAGATGCTTTGGTCGGGGACACATTCCAATTTGAGAGGCTAGGTAAATACATTTTTTTCTTTTGCAATTCTAGATGAAGAGCAAGTGGTATTTTGGGTTTTGTTTGTCTAAATCAACACTGACTTGCAATGGGTTCTTATAGGTTATTTTGCGGTTGACAAAGACTCTAGCCCGGAAAAGCTTGTGTTTAACCGGACCGTTGCACTCAGAGACAGCTTCAAGTAGATTACACTTGCACCGAACATATGAATTTTAGGCTTTTACTTTGACTATGTAGCTCTTTTTAAATTTAAATTGGAGAACTAACATTTCTTTGTTACATTATCCAGTTATTTATCATGAAAATATCTCAGCTTTTGTAGTCTCATATATGTTCATGATGGGTATATTTATTCTTCTTACATACTGAAAAGATCTATTGAACGTATCTCAATAAATGATTTTTAAGATAACAGAAACTGTGAGAGTCTCTTAGCTCTATCAATCAATAATTTAACGGATGTGTGTGTGTGTGTGTGTGTGTGTGAGAGAGAGAGAAAGAGAGTAGTTCATCAAACCCTTCGTTTCATTCAAATGATAGCAAAAGACTACATTTCATAGTCATGGAAAATTTGCATAGTCTGAGAGACAAGTAACACCGTTAGGATTTATGCCCCTTGGCTTCAGTGGTTCAAATCTGTTGTGAAGAACAACTGAATTAGGTGTCGCACAAGACTAATGTCACAAAAATGTATCCGGCGATTTAGAGATTTATAGGCCCAATATTATTAAACATTATGGCCCATTTATAACTTTCTTTTTCTCCATTGTAAAACATTTTTCTCCACAACACTTATAGAAGTCAAATTTGCTGCCGAATCGATACAGTATAAGTTGTGTTTGGTCGTGTGCATATGCAAGTGTCTAGTCGAATGACGGCTAAAATGTTGATGGAGAAGACCATAATGAACATGAAACTAATCAAGATTACGAATGCAAGATTTTGTGTTTCGCGTGAGTTTATACATGGTGGTTAATGTGTCGTTATCATGACTCGGTATATGATTAAACTTTATCTTTTTGATAATCCGTTGATCAAGTGACATTTTGAGTTTTCTAACAAAATGTTTAAATGTGTATTTTAGACAATTCTTCTTAGTCATTCAGTTGAATGGATCAAAGAGTATATAGAAAGTGATTGAAATTAGACCAAATACAAAGAGAGTAAAACAAATATAATAAGACAACCGAAAAAAATCATCGTTGTGAATTAATAAATTAAAAGAAATATAAACATATTTACACTTTGAATATGAACCTTCAACTCTTTGATTGTGAAAGATCAAAAGATTTCCGAACTGAAAAAAGAAAGGAAACACTAAAAGTGACATTTGTTTGCCAATAGACCAAATAAAATTATTTAAGACTTGGGAACCCTAAATTTAATTATGTACAGTAATCTTGAAAGGCCTAAGCGATTTTCTTTTTGTTTGTTCATGAGGCAGGACTATATTGTGGTAAGCATGAGACTACGTGTTAATTGAGAACAATCTGCTCCGTCTCCCCAACCTGAACCCAGTCAACATTGTTCCAAATTGTGTGACATACTATGCATGCATGACCAAACTTGTTACGAAGGTTGCATGAAGGCATGCAATCCCCCTCCAAGCCCCCCTCCAAAGTATGTACACTTTCTGTCTGTATATTCTTCTTAAATTATTTCCTTGATTAATAATATTAATATATGTGTCTTGGTCTTATTAAGGGAGGACCAATTAGTACGTCCAAGAGAACCCTGTTACAAAGAGTGTGCCAAAGACTGCGGTAACAGCTTAATTTGTATTGAAAAATGTTTGAAAAAATGCACTTAAATAATTATTTTAATTTCCATACAAATTTGTCGCTTCTATTATGATATATGTTTCTCATATCATATTCTGAGATTTTATATCTATATATTTTCGTCAAATAACTAATAAAAAAATCATAATTTTTAAATCGAATAAAACATATGTTTTTGTCAAAAGCCAACTATAACGTTTTTGACTCTTGATGCTTGAATGAATGCAATATACAAATACGATTACAATAACAATTTGCAAACTAATACATGGATTTGGAACTATATGTATGTATTTATTCTTCATTTGAATTCTTCTAAATTTAATTATTGAATACCCTTAATTTACCAATGAAAAGTTCTCCACATTTCTAAGACGAATACATATAAATTTCAAACTGGCTGTTGTTCAACTGAAAACTATCCAATGGCGTTTTCCCAATTTGATGATGGATGGTTGTTTACCTTTTATACAAAGTACTAGCGGTGTTTTTGGGCAGCAGTTTTCTTCTGTTTGATCACCAACAGTTTCCTTCCCTCGACTACAAATTCTGGCATACCTTTCTTTTTTGAACAAATCATGATGACTTATTTTGAAATAACAACCAATTATAGAGAAACCATCATGGAAGAGGTAACAATAAACTTCTCTTTAGAGCATCTCCAATGGACCCTTATTCCTTTATAATTTAAGGGTTTTGCATTCCAATGGACCCTTATCCCCTTATATTTTAAAGGGATGAATAGTGCACCCTTAAATATAAGGGGTCACTGTTCACCCCTTAAAAATATTTTGAATTTGCATTTTAGTCCTTGTAATTATACAATCTTACAAATAACATTTATAATACTTTTTGTGATCAGTTTAGTCTAAAATTATAATTTTTTTTTAACATTTACTCTCTCTAATAAGAAATTTAATTACCACCACATAAAATCAAATAAAAACATTCATTGATTGGAAAATTATGGAAACAATATTGTAATTTTAGTTTAATATTTTTATATATAATTTTATGTTTTAATGTAATTTTATATTATTATGTAATGTTTTAATTAATAATATTGTGTAATATTTTATTAAAGTGTTTTTATTGCATTTTATGAAAGTTTTAGTATTATAATTGATTCTAGTTACTTTTAAGGACTATAATGCAAAAATATTTTTTTAAGGGGTAAGGATAAGGGTCTCCATTGGAACAAAACTTACAAACCCCTTATTTTAAAGGTGTGTCCCCTTTATTTTAAGGGTGACCATTGGAAATGAACAAACTCAAATTAAGCTTTTTCTAATTTTTACTTTGTATAACATCTCTTTGTTATCTTATCCATTTTATTTATCATGAACATATCTCAGCTTTTGTAGACTGAAATATATGTTCATGATAGATGAATTGAATATATTCTGCAGGGATGTCAGTGTCTTCACCAGGAAAAGAGCCCTTAAACTCTTAAAGATTGAAGTCCGGTTATTTGAAAAACTCTTCAACTCCGAGGTAAAATTTTCTTGCTTTTGTTGTATTATTAATTATAGTTCCCTTTTATAAAGATCGTCTCCAAGCATAACTAATATTGGTAAAATCAAAACATAACCCAGCTGAGCTCAAGGATAAATGGCTAACTGATATGAACACAAACTCCAAAGTGGTAGTTTCTGATGCATATGCTCTTCCCACAATTAAAGATGCTTTGGTCGGGGACACATTCCAGTTTGAGAGGCTAGGTATATACATTTGTTCTTTTGAAATTCTAGAGGAAGAGCAAGTGGTATTTTGGTTTTGCTTGTCTAAATCAACACTGACTTGCAATGGATTATAGGTTATTTTGCGGTTGACAAGGACTCTAACCCGGAAAAGCTTGTGTTTAACCGGACCGTTGCACTCAGAGACAGCTTCAAGTAGAATACACTTGCACCGAACATATGCATTTTAATTTTTACTTTGACTATGTAGCTCTTTTTAAATTTAAATTGGAGAACTAACATTTCTTTGTTACATTATCCATTTATTCATCATGAACGTATTCCTTCTTACATACTGAAAATTTCTATTGAACGTATCTCAATAAATGATTTTAAAGATAAGAGAAACTGTGAGAGTCTTTTAGCTCGATCAATCCAATAAATGATTTTGTAACGGATATGTGTGTGTGTGTGTGAGAGAGAGAGAGTAGTTCATCTAGCCCTTCGTTACATTCAACGATAGCAAAAGACTACAATTACATTTCATAGTCATGGAAAATTTATAGATCTGCCTAATTGTGCGTAGTCTGAGAGACAAGTGACACCGTTAGGATTATGCCCCTTGGCTTCAGTGGTTCAAATCTGTTATGAAGAACAACTGAATTAGGTGTCACAAAAATGTATCCTCAGCAAGGAGATCGGCAGACTTTCTTACCAGACGTGAGGAACCATTTGTCTATAACATGCTTTGTGAAGCTTTTGTTAGCACGTCACAAAATTTTAGTTGTGAACCAAACTGAGATTTGTTATATACATGCATGGGTATTCAGAGATTTTGTAGCACGTGCCCGGGTCTAATTGAACTAGCTAGTATCAAACAAATCGGTCCACGTCCAACTAATTTGGACTGCTACAAACCGATCTGTTAGAGCACAAGTCTTTATAACCCAAATCTTTGTAGCTACATGTCTAACTCGAAATAGCCCTCACTTACTTGAAATTAAATTTCCCTTAGTCAACAACTTAGGAATATTATATTATATCTGGTCAACAAATTAGTAAATAATATAAGAAATGAAATTATAATTCAAACTAAGACAATTGAAGCATTACCAAAAAAAAGAAAAGAATTTATAGTACATATGTACTTTCCAAATATATAATCAATTCAAACCAAAATAATAAATGTATATTCCAAATATATGGCAGAAACAATATAATTAGATATATATATATATAAGATACACTCTCACAACAAATCAAATCATATCACAAACAACAAATATTCAATCTTATTTTTGAGTTTTATATATCAGTTGTAAAAAAATGGCAGCAAAAATGTATACCGTAGTGATGGTGATGGCATTGGTGTTGATAGGATGTCATCTAGAAGCATGTAATGGTGAAACACCATCTGTTCCGTCTCCCCAACCTGAACCCAGTCAACATTGTTCCAAATTGTGTGCCATACTATGCAATCATGACCAAACTTGTTACGAAGGTTGCATGAAGGCATGCGATCCCCCCCAAAAGTATGTACACTTTCTGTCTTCATATTCTTCTTAAATTATTTCCTTCATTAATAATATTAATATGTGTTTTGGTCTTATTAAGGGAGGAACCAGTAGTACCTCCAAGAGAACCCTGTTACAAAGATTGTGTCAAAGAGTGCACTGCTGGCAGCTTAATTTGTATTGAAAAATGTTTGAAAAAATGCACCTAATAATTATTTTAATTTTCATACAAATTTGTCGCTTCTATTATAATATATGTTTCTCATATCATATTATGAGATTTTATATCTATATATTTTCGTCAAATAAATAATAAAAAAAACTCATAATTTTTAAGTCGAATAAAACATATGTTTTTGTCAAAAGCCAACTAAAACGTTTTTGGCTCTTAATGCTTGAATAAATGCAATATACAAATAGGATTACAATAACAATTTGCAAACTAACATATGGATTTTGAACCATATGTATATACTTATTCTTCATTTGAATTCTTCTAAATTTAATTATTGAATACCCCTAGTTTACCAATGAAAAGTTAAATATTTATGATTATTATTGAATACCCCAAGTGGTCGTATCCCAGTGGTACTTGAGGGAGGTAAGTCTCAATATGAACCCGGGTTCGAAACCACTTGGCCACAACGGATTTAACATCCATTCCGTTGGGGCCCTGGACCCCTTTCGAGGGGATAGTCGGGTTTTTCGTTCGGGTTAGATCCTCGGAATAACTGAATACATCTGGACAAAGCCCAGACCATCGGTTTGGGCCCCAGGACTGGTCGGTGACTGTTTGGTCGACTCCTCAGACCCGGATACCAGAGATACCAAAAAAAAAAAAAAAAAACCTGCAAAGAGTCTACAAACCTAGACTGAATACACATAATTCTGCACTCTTAACTTGCTGAATGTGAATGGAAATATGCCAAGAAATGCAAATTGCCTAAACCAACACTAACTTGCAATGAGTTCTTATAGGTTATTTTGCGGTTAACAAGGATACTAACCCGGAAAAGCTTGTGTTTAGCGGACCGTCGCACTCAGAGACAGCTTCAAGTAGATTACACTTGCATCGAACATATGAATTTTAATTTTTACTTTCACTATGTAGCTCTTTTTAAATTTAAATTGGAGAACTAACATTTCTTTGTTACATTATCCAGTTATTTATCATGAACGTATCTCTGCTATTGTAGTCTGATATATGTTCATGTCTGATATATATATATATATATATAGTTATATATATATATAGTTATATATATTCTTCTTACATACTGAAAATATTTATTGAACGTATCTCAACTTAATTATATCTCGTCTTGTAAAAGAAGAGACGATCAGTTTTTGACTTTTTTCTAAGGATAAGAGACACTATGAGAGTCTCTTAGCTCGATCAAGAACAATTGAATTAGGTGTCTCCACAGTCTTCAGAGGGTTAAAGCAAAACTCATAAGACTAATGTCACAAAAATGTATCCTCATCAAGGAGATTGGCACAAGGGGCAGACTTTCTTACGAGACGTGAGGAACCATTTGTCTAACCATGCTTTGTGAAGCTTGTATTTGCATGTCACAAAATTCTGTTTGTGAACCAAACTGAGTTAAAGAAATTGTCTATGTTATATACATGGTATTCAGAGATTTTGTATGGTTTGATTGAACTAGCTAGTATCAAACAAGTCGGTCCATATCCAATTAATCCGGTGGACATTTTTAATTTGAATGGCTACATACTGATCCGTTAGAGCCCAATTGCAAGTCTTTGTAGCTATATGTTTAACTTAAAATCGCCCTCACTTGAAATTTAATTTTCCTTGATCAGCATCTTAGGAATATTATATTATTTCCGGTCAACATCTTGGTAAATTATATAAGAAATGAGATTATAATTCAAACAAAAATAATTGAAGCATTACCAAAAAAAAAAAAAAAGAATTGAAGTTTTAGTCAATTCAAACCAGAATGGTAAATGTACTTTCCAAATATATAATAGGAGCAATATAATTCAATATATATATAAGACACAATCACAACAAACCGAATCAAACCACAAAGAACAAATAATCAATCTTACTTTTGAGTTTTATATATCAGTTGTGAAAAAAATGGCAGGAAAAATGTATACCGTAGTGATGGTGATGGCATTGGTGTTGATGGGATGTCATCTAGAAGCATGTAATGGTGAAACACCATCTGCTCCGTCTCCCCAACCTGAACCCAGTCAACATTGTTTCAAATTGTGTGCCATACTATGCATGCATGACCAAACTTGTTACGAAGGTTGCATGAAGGCATGCAATCCCCCTCCAAGCCCCCCTCCAAAGTATGTACACTTTCTGTCTGTATATTCTTCTTAAATTATTTCCTTGATTAATAATATTAATATATGTATTTTGGTCTTATTAAGGGAGGACCAATTAGTACGTCCAAGAGAACCCTGTTACAAAGAGTGTGCCAAAGACTGCGGTAACAGCTTAATTTGTATTGAAAAATGTTTGAAAACATGCAACTAATAATTATTATTTTTAATTCTCATGCAAACTTGTCACTTTTACTATGATCTATGTTTCTCATACTGAGATTTGATATCGATATATTTCATCAAATAATTAATAAAAAATTCATAATTTTTAAGTCATTTTTTTGTCAAAAGCCAACTAAAACATTTTGGCTCTTGACGCTTGGATGAATGCAATATACAAATACTATTACGATAACAATTTGCAAACTAACACTCGGAACCATATGTATATATTTATTCTTCATTTGAATTCTTCTAGATTTATTTATTGAATACCTCCTAATTTACCAATGAAAAGTTAAATACTTATAATTTTCAAATTGGTTATTGCTCAACTGAAAAATATCCAATAGCGGCTTTCGAATTTGATGATGGATGGTTTTTTACCTTTTATACAAAGTATTATCGGTGTTTTTTTGGGCCATCAGGCAGTTTTCTTTTGTTTGATCACCAACAATTTCCTTCCCTCGAATACAAATTCTTTCAGTTGAACAAATCATGATAACTTTTTTTGAGAAACAACAACCATTATAGAACAAATCACTATGGAAGAGGAAACAAAAATCTTCTCTTTAGAAATGAAATAATTCAAATGAAGCTTTTTCTAATATTTATGTTCATTTTATAGATATGTTCATGAAAGATGAATATATTCTTCTTACATACTAATATAAGTTCTTGGGTTGAAACATGAATTGAACATCTCTCAGTTTTATTAACGGAAGAGCTTCCGGTTAGACATAGTAGGAAGCATTTGCTCTGAAAATCGATAAATTATTCGGTGTCTGTACTTTCTTGCATTCTACTTGTTTCATCAAATTGTTCTTCGATTCGAACCAAACAATGTCGCGATGAAGAAGCCTATGTCGCACAAATTGGTATAAAGCGTTCATGTTATGTCGGATAATCGCATAGTAACGATTATGGTTCAATGGACTGAAGATCTCATGATGGAGACGAGAGTCTAATATATAACTAAAACGATTTATGTATGCAAAGATGCAACAAAACAAAAGGGGTTCTTTGAAAAATACCCTATTTATGTTTAGATATTTCAAAAATACCTTAATTTTTTTCTGTTTTGGAAAAATACACTTTTTATATGTAGAAAGATTGTATTAACCTTATTTAAAAAAAACCATTATTGAATAATTAATAAATTAAGTACAAAATTCGAAAATATTATTATGAATGATATTATTTATGTTCAGATAAATGTATGTCAGTTATTTAAATTTTAAAATTAGAAATTGATAAATCTAGACAAAACTTTATAATTTTTCTTCAATAAATTTAGTTATTTTTGGAACCTTATATAAACATATTTAATATCACAAATAATCTTTTATTCATCAAACATTGACCATAATATTGAGCCATAAAAAAAGAATACAAAACTTTTTAGCAGATAATTATGAACTATTTTTTTTATCAGTTTAAAATGAAAAAACAATCAATATCAAATCATAATCTTTTGTTTTATTGTTAAATTTTATTTTTATTAATTAATTTCGTTTTAAATTAGTTAGAAACTTCAAAGTATGATAATTTATAAAGAAATTTTGTCAAACAAAGTATGAAAATTTATATAAAAAGTGTAGTTTTCAAAACAAAAAAAAACTATGGTATTTTTCAAAATAAAAACTGATATTAAGGTATATTTCCAAAATTTCTCAAAACAAAATGTAACAATTTTTTGTTTAATGTTTATTAATATGTTCACATTGATGGGCTCGCATTTTGGGCTAAAAGAGATATATGTCTTTGAAACAATTGTCCTCTCTAATAAGCCCAGAATTAGACTTTTCCCATTTTCTCGCCGGCGATCACCACCCTCACCGTTAAATCGTCGTTCGAAATTTCACGAGGAGGGAGTGAATCATCCAGAGCAGACGTTGCCGGAAACTAACCATGGACTCTCACCACGCGTCTCTCGGACGCCGGACCGTAAGGATTTCCTTGTCGTCGCCGTCGTCTTCATATTCGTCGGACGGTGTCTTACATTCGTGTTTTTATGTGATCTTTATAGTTGGAGGAGATTCGTCAAAAGAGAGCGGCTCAAAGGCTTAGCAAAGCTGCTTCTGGGCCAGATCTCAGCGAAATTCCTCATCCTGCCGGTAATTTTATCTCTTATTCAATCTTCGGAGATTTCGTTTTTCGTTCGGTAATTACCAAAATCGTTCCAATTGTAATGCGTTTGCAGATTTTCCAGGGATCAGAAAATCCGAGAGCGGAAACATACTTTCTGAGGTAACATTTCTGATTATGAATTCTGCTTCTTTGTTTCTGGAGCTTATTAAAAATTTACCAGAAGTTAATCTAATCGGAGAATTGAGATGATCATGATAATGAGAATCCTTGAATTTGATTTTTGCATGTTTGTTTATATTCTGATAATGGTTTGTTCTGGATTGCTTCCACAGACAGATGTTGGTGCTTTATATTCTCAACTCAAACAACTGCAGAGAAAGAATGCAGAAATGGAGGAGCACAACAGGATCTTGTCAACGAAGGTATTTTTTTGCCTAAAAATGGCTATCTCCTTTCCTCGCAGGAAATCAGATTCCATGTTCTTCTTTTGAATTTACTGTGTTGATGATGGTTTTTGTGTCAATGTGGTTCAGCTTCAAACAACGGAAGTCGAGAAAGAATCACTTGAGGCTCGGTTGAATGTGCTTGTGAGTTACACTTTAAGCTGTTGTTTGTGCTATTATCCAATCCAGGTTCTGTGATGTTTTGACATGTGCTCTCTTGTGTGTGGATAACAGGAACAAAACACAGTACCATCTCTGAGAAAAGCCCTCAAGGAAATTGCAATGGAGAAAGACGCTGCTGTTGTTTCACGAGTATGGATTGCTCCTGTTTTTGTTATTTTTGGTGCAAAAGTAACCTCCTTGTGATTGCATTTTTGATTGGTATAGCTGTTGAATTACAGGAGGATCTCTCAGCTCAAGTTAGGAGCCTGAAGAAACGTGTTAAAGAGGCAGAGGAGGAACAATACCGAGTATGCCAATAGTCTTATGTCTTCCAGTTATTAAGTTTCCTTTCCATTGTTTTCTAAACTTACTATTACTCATTTGTTGACAGGCTGAGGAAGATGCATCATCTCTCAGAGCAGAGCTTAACTCGATACAACAACAAGCGATGGGTACTTCATTTGCTGGAGTTTCCCCAGACCAAGTATTAGAGAAGGAGATGGCCAACCTAAAATTAGAATTACAGGTTCGAGTGTGTTTGAGTTTGAGACAGATACTTTCCCGTCAGAGTTTTTGTTTCTTTACGATAGTAATATTCTTAATATGCACAGAAAGAGTCAATGTTGAGGCACCAAGAACAACAGCGTTTAGCTGAAGAACAAACCCGAGTTGCGTCTTTAATGTCTGAGAAGCAGGAACTTGAACAGAAAATTTCTGTTTTATCCAGCAATGCCTCAGGTAATATACTTTCATGTGCAAGTCTTCTTCTCTTTACATTAAAACTAAGCCTGTATTGCAACTGTCACACTCATTGGGTGTTTATATGCATTAACTGACGTCTAAATGCTTTCTGAGTTCTTTGGAAATCGTTTTTCTAAATGTGCATTGTTGGATTCATATCAATAACTTTGTTCCTGTGCTATTCATTATGCAGAAGTATCAGGTTTAGGTCAAAAGGAATTCTCAGTGGTAAGTAAATGTTAATAACTCACTGTTGCCACTTGCCAGCATTTAAGCCTTCTTCAACGTTTTATGGAATCCCTTAGTATTAGATTTGATGGTTTTCAAATGTAGGAAGATAAAGAAAAACTTGAGAAGCAGTTGCATGATATGGCTGTTGCACTTGAAAGATTGGAGAGTAGTAGGCAAAAGCTTCTCATGGAGGTAATGCCTTAGTCTTATGCTAGCTTATGTATAATACTCAATGAACATGAGCTGAGAAATCAAATTCGTGCATTACTATTTTCAGATTGACAACCAATCATCTGAAATAGAGAAGCTTTTTGAAGAAAACTCGAACATCTCGGCTTCCTATCAAGAATCAATCAACATATCAAAGCAGTGGGAGAATCAAGTAAGCTCTTCTCACTTACTTTTGAGCGCGAAACATTTTCTTGGACTTTATGCTGATTTGTTAGCAAACCGTATAGGTGAAAGAATGTCTAAAGCAAAATGTAGAACTCCGTGAAGTTCTGGACAAGTTAAGAACAGAACAAGCCGGTGCTCTTACACGAGCGCCTTCAGAAATTCACGCCAATGGTTCACATGGACCTGAAACTCTCTCCCTCAAGGTTTTATTTCTTAAGTAATTATAGATCTAATATTGAAGTTGTTGTTTGTGTGATTGAAATTTCGCATTACCTTTTTTCAGGGAGAACTTGCGAAAGAACAGAGCAGAGCTGAGTCGTTATCTGCTCAAGTTCTCCAACTCTCAGCTCAACTCCAGCAAACAACACAAGCATACAATGGCCTTGTGCGCGTGTAAGTTTCACACAAGACTTTCTTCAATCCTTTGAGATTCTATCTCTATCTGTCTTGTTGATTTTTTTTTCGTTTGCGATTTGTTACAGATATAAACCTCTGCTTAGAAACATTGAAAGCAACTTAATCAAGCTGAAGCAAGATGGGTCGGTTACAGTGGCACAGTGAATCAATGGCACATTTCTGTGTATTTGATAGATGTTTATACAACAAATGTCTTCGATCTATGGAGACACTGAAATTAATACATTTTACCTTTTCTATGTACAATATGATTCTATTATATTGAAAGTTGGTTTGGTGAAGAGCTGGTCTGACTCTGGTCTCTGGAGTCTGGAGTATAATTGAAATTCGGTTTATCCTAAAAACTCTGGGCCTTTGATTACAGGCCCATTTAACTTGGGCTAATTATAATCGTCATGGCCGAAATTCTGGCGGTTTAGTACAATCTTCAATTTTGAGCGGGAAATGATTTCTTCGCTGACGGCAAACGGAGGGCCATCAGTTTTCCGGCGTGATCTCGATTCAAACTCTCTCAGGCTATCACGCCGGAAAAAGTTCATTTCCTCGCTACGAAACTGCAAGAGCATTTCCCAAGTTCCACCGATTCACGCCAAGATCATTCGGACCTTCCATGGACAAGATGCTTTCGTCGTCTTCGAACTCATCCGTATCTGCTCCGCTCTCGACTCTCTCGACTACGCATACGACGTGTTTCGATACGTATCCAACCCCAACGTATATCTATACACCGCCATGATCGATTGTTTTGTGTCATCCGGTCGTTCCGCTGAAGGAGTCTCGTTGTATCGTCGGATGATTCACGATTCGATTCTCCCCGATAACTACGTGATCACATCGGTTTTGAAAGCTTGCGACTTGAATGAATGTAGAGAGATTCACGCTCAGGTTTTGAAACTAGGGCTCGGGTCCAGCAGATCGGTGGGGCTAAAACTGATGGAAATCTACGGGAAAGCTGGGGAATTGGTTGATGCGAAGAAGGTGTTCGACGAAATGCCTGAGAGAGATCAAGTTGCGGCAACAGTGATGATAAACTGTTACTCTGAGTTTGGTTCTATCAAGGAAGCGTTAGAGATTTTCCAAGATGTCAAGATCAAAGATACGATTTGTTGGACAGCGATGATCGATGGGTTGGTGAGAAACAAGGAGATGAACAAAGCGTTAGAGCTTTTCAGAGAAATGCAGATGGAGGAGAATAATGTTACTCCTAACGAATTCACAGCCGTCTGCGTTTTATCCGCCTGCTCTGATTTAGGTGCGTTGGAGCTCGGACGCTGGTTACATTCGTTTGTTGAGAGCCAAAAGATGGAGCTAAGCAACTTCGTAGGCAATGCTCTGATCAGTATGTACTCTAAATCCGGTGACATCAACGAGGCGAAGCGGGTTTTTCAGAGGATGCGAGACAAAGATGTGGTTTCGTATAACACGATGATATCTGGATTAGCAATGCACGGGGAAAGCTTTGAAGCCATTAAAGAGTTTCGTGATATGGTGAACAGAGGGTTTAGGCCGAATCAGGTGACTTTGGTTTCGCTTTTAAACGCATGTAGCCACGGAGGTTTGTTGGATATAGGGCTTGAGGTTTTCACCTCTATGCGGAGAGTTTTCGGCGTTGAGCCGCAGATTGAGCATTACGGATGTGTTGTTGATCTTCTTGGCCGAGTCGGGAGAGTAGAGGAAGCGTATAGATTCGTAGAAACCATGCCGATGGAGCCGGATCATATCATGTTGGGAGCGATTTTGAGTGCTTGTAAGATCCATGGGAACATGGAACTCGGCGAAAAAGTCGCCAAGAGACTGATTGACTCTGAAGGTTCGGATTCTGGTACGTACGTTCTCTTATCGAGTATATATGCTTCGTCAGGGAAGTGGAAAGAAGCTACTGAAGTCAGAGGAAGTATGAGAGAATCAGGGATTGAGAAGGAGCCAGGTTGTAGTACTATCGAAGTGGATAATCAGATTCATGAGTTCTTTGTGGGGGATATAACACACCCTGAGAAAGATGCAATTTATCAGAGATTACAAGAACTGTATCAAATCATTAGATGTCAATAAGTATGCCTAAGTTCCTCAAAAATTTGTTTTGTATATTCTCTCTGGTTTTAATGTGAAGAAACTAAAACGGAAAAAATTAGTTATAAAGCTTGATTGAGTGAGCTACGATGGGACTTCTGACACTGTGACTACCATCAGACCAGACCAGAGACGAGCTTATTATACCTCCATCCTTGAGGTCTTTACCAGAGATGGTCACAGCAAACGATTTCTTCTCCTTGAGGGAATTGAAGCTCAGAGTTTCCGGTTCTACGCTGATCTGAATCTCCGGCCGTAGAGGAACCACACTCGCCTTGTACGTGGAGTTTGGAAGTCCAACGTTAGTCACGGTTCTTCTAAACGTGATGTTGAATGGAGCAAGAGGAGAGACAAACGAAGCCATTGTTGGGTAATTCAAATCCTTGGTTTCTATTCTGTCTGAACAATCGACGTTCTGTCCTGAGACTTTTGTGAGCAGCGCTGATTTAAAACCCTCTGTACATAGCATTTTGAGGTAATCTTCTGGCTCTAGTTCATACACAAGTCCCGGGTCGGTGGCTTTGGTAGGGTTGATTTGTCCAGAACCATATGCAAATTCTTGCTCGGTATTTTTCGTATTGTTCATGGGCTTAGCTGCAGGTTCAACATGTCAAATACTCTGCTTTTGTATCCTTTTAAAAGTAAGAAAAATCAGAAGCAAGATTTGGTTTGCTGAACATTACCGGTCGTCATGATAGCGGATTTGATTGCCGAGGGAGACCAGTCTGGGTGAAACGACTTGACATAAGCCGCTACACCTGCCACATGAGGGCATGCCATGGATGTGCCACTCACTACACTAAACCTCACACTTCTCTTGTCCCCAGGGAGTCCTGAAGGAGAACCTAGCGGAGAAAATGCAGCCAGAATCTCCAATCCAGGTGCACTTACGTCTGGCTGCAAATCAACAACACTGATGTGTTAACGTAGAGCCAACGCAAGCTATATACAGTATGATCTCTGTTCCGGTTTCGTTACCTTCAATATGTTCTGGATATTGTAACTTGGCCCGCGAGAAGAGAAAGATGGAACATAAGGAGCTTCTCTGTCAACTATCTCTTCGGTTCGCAGTATCTCCGCTTGTGGGTTTCTAATAAAAATCCACTCTTTTAGCATTATCATCAAGAAAGCAAAACGAAACTGATCTTGACTTTACTTACTCTGTAGAGTTGATGTATGTTTTGATAGAGTCACAGTCCTCCAAGCTCACTGAAGAGGCAGGCAATGGAAGCGCAAAGGCAGTGTCTTGAACCAATGTGTTTTGAACAATGGCTCCAACGGCTCCGGATAAGTAAGCCTGTTTGTGTCCGTCGTAGTCGTCGCAGAGGACGATCTTCCCTTTGACTAGCTCGCTGTCCACACACCCACTTGAGCAAAAACTGTCAATAGGCAACGATCATAATCAGCATCAACCAAATCCATCAATGTTGGTTCCTTTTATTCAAGATTTAGATTACTTACCCGGCTTGGAGCTCAGGACAACTTCTTGAAACGTTGCGGCCGTAAACAATTGGATACTTTGTCCCATTGAAGTCGACTGGATTAATTGACAAACCCTGTTCAAGAACACACAAAAGTATCAAACACACACTCTTGTACTTTCTTACTCAAGTCTGAAATCTTGTAATTCGAAGAAACGTAACGTACCGTTAAAGCTTTTCCGTTGCCAAGAACGACTCTGTCAACGAAACGCCGGTCCGTAGCGCTTGCAGCGACGGTTATCACCCACGGCCATACATTCCCGGCCGTCCCTAGGTCGGGTCCATTGTTCCCGCCGGAGCACACCGTGACAATCCCTCTAGACATTGCGTGGAACGAACCGATGGCTTTAGCATTGGTCATCAGATTGGATAAAAAATCGGTTGCGATCGACATCGAGATGACGTCAACACCATCTGCTATGGCGTCATCAAACGCTGCAAGGACATCTACGTCGCTGCAGCCAATGTTCTTGATGCAGACTTTATAGGCGGCGACCCTCGCCGAGGGAACTCCACCGCGAGCCGTGCCTTGGCCCAGGCCGTAAAAGCTAGCCGATGGAACAGCGTTACCGGCAGCCGTTGACGCCGTGTGGCTCCCATGGCCTTCTTCGTCTCTTGCTGACACGGATGACTTGCTGTAATACCTAGCTCCGATGAGTTTGCTTGTAACACAAGAAAAAATAATATTAAACAAAAAGTTTTCTTTCTAAGGAGTTTGATAAGAAAAGTGTTGGAATGTAATTTTACTTGTTGCAAGTGAAGTTTTGGCCACCTTTACAAGAACCTTTCCATTTCTTTGGAGGCGGACCAAAACCTTTATCGTCGAAGCTCTCAGATTCCGGCCAGATTCCGGTGTCCAACATTCCAACAATGACATCACTTTCTTTCACACTCTCTCGTTTCGCTCTCTCATCAAATCCGAGAAAGTCCCATGATCTTGTTGTCGTCAGTTCATGATTCTTGCTTGGAAACACAGAGACTACATCTTTCGAATCTGCACATTTGTAAATGGAGAACAAAAGGTTATACTTTTTTTTTAAGGAAGATCTTTCCAAATGTTTAGACTTTTTTTTTGTTTTTAAGAGATTAATTCAGATTTGTTAAGTACTCACTTTCCAGCTGCTTACTCTCGGCAAGAGTTAGATGAGCAGCGAATCCATTGAAGCTCCTTTCATAGCTTCTTATCAATAAGCTCGATGCAGAACTGAAGGTCGACAAATCAGAAACAAAGAGAGCATCTATATTTTGATAAATGATTCAAAAGAGAACGATGTAGTCTCTTACACATGATAACTGTTTCAAATGTGGCAAAGATTGAATCTTACTTAGATTTACAAACTTTTTGGATCAATTTGAGATGGTGAGATGGAGGTGAGTATCCAGTCTCAGGAAGTGATCCCATGTACACAATATACGCCTGCATATGTGTGTGTGCAGAGAGAGAGAGAGAGAGAAAGAGTTATAATTACAAAGTGTTTTAATTTGATTGAATCTAACAAAACAGAGCAAAAAATTAGCTTACTTGTCTATTATTATCTGCGAAAACATCTCTGGAGAACATGAATGCTAAACAGATTAAGAAGAGAAATGTAAAAAACTTAGCCATGTTGTGAAACTCTAAACAAGAGAGTCAAATTTGTGGGATTGTGATTGAGAGGAGGAATGTGTTACAGATTTTAAACTTCCCATATCTTCATTCTCATGAAATATATGGAAATGAGCGGTTTGCTTTGATCTAGTCAAGAAAATAGAAGAAGGTGCATTTCTAATTTATGTCTTCAATAAAAATTGAAATAAAAAACTTTCCAAATTAGAATGCACAAACTTAATTAGTCAATCTGGCTAAAAGTTCTATTTTTATTTGTTTTCCCTTATCAAGAGTGAAGAGTCAAATATATATCACACAAATAAAGACAAATACATGAAAAATCTTACTTGGTTGATATGGCACTGACCTTAATAGTCAAAGAGGTCTTGACCAAAAAAACAAATCCTATTAGGAAAAGTGATGGATGGAAGAAGCCATTGGTGACTTTTTCTTGTGTTTTCCAAAAATCTATCAAGCTTAGGTTAATTATTTTCATATTTCTAATGATATTTTGGTTTATGTTTCTCTCAGTTACCTTCACTTTTGAAATTTCAACCATTCTGCCATTCACTACTTTCCATCACTCTAAATGACAATTAGATCCAAGTATTATATTGCAAAGTCCAACTTTTGATCCCACTTCAGGCATAATGAGAAATAGCAATCATCATTTTCAGTTCCTTATCTAAGTCTTATTCAGTTATCTGCATTATAGTTTTTCTTTCCACTCTTCTCCATTGCTCTGGTGTCCACCATTTGGTACAATATTGCTTAATGACAACAGTTACAGGAACAAAAGTTCACTAAACTTGCATTAAGTTAAATCCCACAATACATTTGTTCCAAATCATTCCGGATACACAGATACAAAACTTGAAATTCAATGGGACTTTTACAACTTTTATCACAGGACTCTTTCAAAAGAATGAAGACCAAAACAGAATCCGGCCTGAAACTTGGCTTATGAGGCTGCAGGATCGTTTATGACTCCCAAAAAATCGTCTTTGATGGTTCCCACACAAAACTGCAAAAATCAAAAGACAATATGAGCAAAACCAATAAAGATAAAAGCCAAAAAATGATTATGACTAGAGTTATGGCAGATGGTGCATACGATTTCAGTGGCATCGACTCTTGTGCCAATAATCTTTAGTCTCACTTCACATTCCTTCTGGATCTTAACCTGCAGGAGAGCATTTGAAGATTCAGTTTCTTGAAGATCAGATGAAACACTGCTGAAAAACAAGAAATAGAGAATAGAAACATACCGATCCATCTGATGTGGTATAATTAGGCATGTCTCCAGTCTGAAACTCCATATCATCTGGAATCAACTGTGATCATCAAAAAGAGGAGAAGACAATTTAATATAAACACATAGAAGAGCTAAGAGGTCAAAAATCATCAATGTAAGATCATAAGCTTACATGCTTGGAGACGAAAATCTGAACAGGGCCAGCTTCAGCGAAGAATCCCATCTGTTATACATTTCATCATTGTTAAAGAATGATTCGTCACTAACGATATACAAAACCATATAAACATATGATGATGATATACCTTATTGACTAAAGTGACAACGGCTTCCAAAATCTCGCCTTTGAAAGGTCTGAAAACGACGCATTGGTATTTAACCGGAAAGGTGACAAAACCAGTCCCATCTCTGATCAATCCTTTTCCTATGGTTTCTATTCCGGTTATCGCCACTACAAACCCATGACGGCCACTGTCGAAACCAACACAGCCAAAAAAGGATTAGCCAATTAGCATCAACATGACATTGCAATGATGAAATTGCAGCATCCAAAGCAAAGACTAGCTAGCAGGCAACTAAGTGAGAGGCAATGGATGAAACTCACATCTTAATCTTAAGAAAGAGACTAACTTTGAAACCTCAAAAAAAGCCAAATCCTTTAAACAAATTAGCTGAAAAAAAAAACAGACTTTAAACAAACAAGCAGCAGACAAGACTCCAATTGAGCTAAAAGGAACGATTTTTAATCGAATTGATTTCACATAAACAGCACAAACAATTGAAAGAGACGAAATTTAGGGTTTCGAAAAAAAAGATGCAATTGAATTTGAAGGTTTGAGTAAGAAAAACGAAGGCCGAGCCCTAGAAACGAGATTGGAGGATTGAAGAAAAAAGGGTTTCCGATTAACACTTTCAAAAACCAATCAACAGAAAGAACAAACATCCCGAATTGTTTAATTCTGCGAGGAAGAAAGGGTAAGAAACCTGCAAGTGCCCTCGACATCTTTCATGAGCTTAGAAACCAGATTCTCACGAAGGTTTCGACCAAAGAATCTTGGATGCAATTGCATGTTACGCTCCAATACTATGTGGAAGAACATCTCGCTATCTCTCTTTCGCTCTGCGTCTTGAGGCTTTAGTGAAAGTCTTCTTGTTAAGCAAAATAAGTTCGACCAAAAAAAATGAAAAGGAATCAACGCGATTGTTAAATATAACCTGCTCAAAGGTAGATCTCTGTAAACCGTCAGATTCTGATAAGAAGAACGGTCCAGATTGAAATAAAGTATTTCCTTTTTTTTGGTCGGCTAAAGTATTTCCTTTTTCTGGTGTTTAGAGATTTTTGTTGAAATTTTTCCTTTATGAATTTGCATTTTTTTTACAGCTTGTTTGTTGCACTTCCTACTGCCTCCCTTGAAAACTCGAAACTATAACATTTTGTTATCTTTGTATTGCTGTAATGAAATCGTTTTCTTTAACATATTAGCGAGGAAGAAGAGAGAAAAAAATAACAGAACAGTTTGCTTTTTATTTATAAAGAAGCAAAACCAAACAGAACAGTTGTTAACTGAGATATTGATACTTCTTATAGGGAAGAAACACGTCTTGTTGTTTAATTCAAAATAACTAAACTACGGATCAACCAGCGGAGGATATTTCTTTATCGGAGGCGATGTGTACGGAGGATATTCCGGAGGAGGATACGTCTTTACCGGCGGCTCAGGATACGTTTTGACCGGTGGCTCAGGACATGGCTTGACCGGCGGCTCAGGATATGTCTTCACCGGTGGCTGAGGATATGTTTTGACCGGCGGCTGAGGCAACAGCGGTGGATACGTCTTGACCGGTGGCTGAGGATACGTCATGACCGGCGGCTCAGGACATGGCTTGACCGGCGGCTGAGGCAACGGCGGTGGATACGTCTTGACCGGTGGCTGAGGATACGTCATGACCGGCGGCTCAGGACATGGCTTGACCGGCGGCTCAGGATATGTCTTGACCGGCGGCTGAGGCAACGGCGGTGGATACGTCTTGACCGGTGGCTGAGGATACGTCTGACCGGCGGCTCAGGATACGTTTGACCGGCGGCTCAGGACATGGCTTGACCGGCGGCTCAGGATATGTCTTGACCGGCGGCTGAGGCAACAGCGGTGGATACGTCTTGACCGGTGGCTGAGGATACGTCATGACCGGCGGCTCAGGACATGGCTTGACCGGCGGCTGAGGCAACGGCGGTGGATACGTCTTGACCGGTGGCTGAGGATACGTCATGACCGGCGGCTCAGGACATGGCTTGACCGGCGGCTGAGGCAACGGCGGTGGATACGTCTTGACCGGTGGCTGAGGATACGTCATGACCGGCGGCTCAGGACATGGCTTGACCGGCGGCTGAGGCAACGGCGGTGGATACGTCTTGACCGGTGGCTGAGGATACGTCTTGACCGGCGGCTCAGGATACGTCTTGACCGGCGGCTGAGGCAACGGCGGTGGATACGTCACCGGTGGCTGAGGATAGTCTTGACCGGCGGCTCAGGATACGTCTTGACCGGCGGCTGAGGCAACGGCGGTGGATACGTCTTGACCGGCGGCTGAGGTGTTGAATATGGAAATGGTCGCCAAAAAGGAGGCTTCTTCCAGTGGCAGCCAAAAAATTTACAAAAGAAATTTGGAGAAGAAGAAGGAGAAGAAGCCAAAGAGAAGCCAACAATGCTTCCTTGTGTTACTAACAACACCAGAGCTAACTTCAATGCAAAACACTCCATCCTTTTCTTGTTGTTGTGGCTTGTGAATTAGCAAGAGGAAGAAGAAAACGGGGTTTTAAACTAAAGAGAGGACTCAAGACTCTTACTAAACATTGAATTGTAATTGCCACATTGCATTATGAAGCTCACAGCTGGTTTTAAAACCCTAAATCCAGGAAGAAAAAGTGACAGAGAAGCTTTTGGTTCCATTCATTAGCTATAACACGTTTGACATTTTCAAATGCATGCAACCACAACCCTTTGGATTCTCTCTTAGTAGGGAGGAGTTGACTTTCAAGACAATCCAAATTATACTTTTAAGAGAGTTGGTTTTTCAGTTAGGCTTTGAGTGATCACGAAAGTGAAACCGAAGATTCCTTTTAATGTAAAAATGTGTGAAGAGACAGATTATAGTAGTAGTAGTATATATACCACTGAAAAAAATTTCGGTTGATGAAAAGAAATTAAATTTTCCAGACTTTCTTTTTACGGTCTAATATGAGTCAGAGAAGAAGAAGACAAAGAAGATGATAAGCACATAAAGTTTTGAGAAAAGAAATGGCATGTGTTCAAATAAGATGATGATGATATAACATGTAAATTGTGTTTTCCGAACAAAGTCTCAGGGAGCTTCAATTGTCTCTCCCGCTTTCATGTGTCGCCTTTTTTCCTCTTCTTTCCAGAGGTTCTAACTGCAATATCCAAAACCAAAAAGACTCTTTCTGTAAGTGACTGAATCAGAGATCCAAAGCTCAGAATCATAAAGATAAGCAAGAACTGAAACAATCATCAAAAGTCAGTTATATGAGACTTAAAACTACCTCTCTTTTGTTCATAAGAACCGAGGCCTCCGATCAGCAGGCTTAAGAATTTGGAAAGAGCACATCAAACTCTCATCAACACTCATCATCGCACCAGCATTGTCGAATTCACCACAATAGTTTGGAGCAGAGAATATAGTAACAAGCTGTCTATCAGCAAAGAACTCATATCCATCCTCTACAACCTACAGGACAAAGAGAGAGAGCTTTCATTAGAAATCTTCACAGACTTTTTTCACAAGCAAAGAGGAGAAGCTAGACAAACCTGGTGAGCACGACAGATAAGATCCATATCGTTCTTGATCAGAAAATCCGCAACTCTATCAGGTCCAAACGTGTAAGACACTCCACGGTCATTCATCCCCCAGCCTTTAACATCTTTGCTCGGATCAGACCAGAGCAGATCACATAACAAGCCAGAGTCTGGCACATCCGTAGGCCGCTTGATGTTCTTGATCTGCTCCACGTTTGTCAAATCAGGAGAGAGACCACCGTGCATGCATAATATCTTGTCGTCTATCACAGCAGCCACGGGGAGGCAGTTGAAAGAATCTGTAAACACTTTCCACAGCCTCACGCTGAATCTACGTTTGCATTCGTCGTAGAATCCGTAGATTCTGTTGATGGAAGCGCATTCGTGGTTGCCTCTTAGGAGAAAGAAGTTCTCAGGGTATTTGATTTTGTAGGCAAGAAGAAGACAGATTGTCTCCAAGCTCTGCTTACCACGGTCCACGTAGTCTCCTAGGAATAAATAGTTAGCTGTTGGAGGAAAGCCTCCGTACTCAAACAGCCTCAATAGATCTGAGTACTGTCCATGAATGTCACCTGAAAAATTTGAACAAAACCATTACAAATCTGAAATCACCTCGAAAACAGATTTCATCCAAACAAACAAATCGATCCTAGGTTACATCAACCACTAAGGTCAATGAGCTTCAACGAGAAAACGTTTAAAGGTCAATAATTTATAACCTTTCAAGAGGTCTCATTTTAGAGCAATCCAATGATCTTTATGTGTCCATTAAGATGTCTTTGATTTTCGAGATCAGCTGCTGCAATCAGATGATGGATTAAACATCTCTGTCTCTCTTAGCTATTCCAGAAATCCACAAAATTGTTTCCTTTCAAGATTATCTATAACTTGACCAAACACATCTCTGCCTAAACCAATTCAAGTTTCAAAAAACCTACTCAAGAACAAAAAAAAAATCCAATTTTTAGGAGCTGATCTAAGAATAAGGCTAACGAAGCTAAAGCTACAAAGACAATCATGCAGAGCTCAGATCGCAAAAACGAAAAGTAAAAACACAGAAATCAAAAGGATTACCGCAGATCTTGATGGGGGCTTCGAGCTCAAGGAGGTTAGGCTGTTGAAGGAAAATCTCTCTGGAGACGATGCAAAGCTGACGGATCTCAGACTCGTTGAGCATAGCCTGCTTCGTACCAGGCTTAGGGTTTCTGTAATCCAGCAGACGACGAATGATGTCGTCGAGCACGGCAGGGTCCATGCTTCCCTGCCCTTGTTGCGCCATTCCAGCCAGACCCACCACACGATCCAACAGCACCAAATCGATTAAATCCTACAAAGTTTCAATCTTTTCGGACAATAATCAAATTTGGTTTCGAAAAATCTTCTCTTTGATCTTTGGACCAGAAAAAGTTTTCGTCTTAGTTTCCCCAAATTTTCTTCTTTTTTATTTTATTTTTTTCTTTCCAACGAATTTCTGTGATGGGTGAGTTTATCGAAGGTTAGTGGGTTTCTTTCTCTTCCTTTGGTTTATTTATTTATTTTATTGCCAATTTAAAAAACAAAATTCAAATAAAATAAGTCTCCCAATAATAATAGCTTAATGCAACTCTCTCTGCATATAATGTTATAATCATACCTCCGTGTTCTTCCATTTTGGATGGATTTGATGGTCCCCACTATTAGCAAGCAATGTAGGTCATTATTTTCATATGTAGTAATGTTCAATGTTTGATCAAATATCACCAAAAGCAACGCTGTAATTTCAATATATATCCTCAAATGTTTTAACTTGAGCAAACTGCGTCACTTGTAGCACTTTTTCCACTAGATTTCCGAGTATAGTTTGAACTTTGAAGTCGTTTTCGTGATTATTATCATTTGATAGTTAAAGTCAATTAACAATTTTGAAATTCGGATCGGTCTATATAGTAGACATTTTATACTATAAAAACTTAAAAGTGATACATAAGACGTCAAGTCTTCAAATAGAGAAGAAGTTGAATCAGGACCAGAATTAGTGACTGATTCATTCTGAAATTGAAAAGAGGATTAGCTTCTAAGTTCCGATCTTATATCCGCCTAAGATCATATCCTTCTACAAGAAATAAGATCATATCTCAAACCAAACACGTTTAGCTAAAATTAGAGCCAACTCTTTTCTTTGATCTTAGTTAGTAACTAATCCAGATGTCGGGGGAAAGAGAGTCGTTGGTCTTGTCCGTTTTTCGTCTTTTTTACCTTTACTCAAATACTCTAGAAACAAATTAAAGTACAGACAGAGACAGTGGTTGGAATATCTTGTGTCGTTTTCCCACTTCTCATTTGTTCCATCTTAGTGTTTTCCCCCATATATTCTGAGGTAAGTACAAATTTATATAATGATCTAAACCTTCTTTTATAATTGTAAAGTTAGTTGTGTCACTAGTTTTTGCAAGATGCACAGCAAGTTTAACCGGAGAACGAAAAAAAAAAAAAAAAAGAATGAATAAGTGCAAAGCAGAACTAACTAGCTTTCATTTTTTCGTTTTTCCTAAACACAAATCCATCAAAGATGGTAAGAGGAGAGTAAACAAAGATAAGTATTCTACATGCTCTTGCATCGGCACATTTCATCAGCCAAAAAAATCGAAAAGAAAAGAGAGAAGAGAAGAAGAAATGATTAAGCAAAAGAAAACGGAAGCTGAAAGCTTTAAGCTTTGAATCAAGTAGAGCAGCAACCTCTTTTGGCAGCTCCAGATGTATCCTCAACGTTAATCGTTGTTCCTTGCCCTGGAATCGCGGAATTAGCAGCCGCTGCTTCTTGAGCAGCCAAAGCCTTTTTGCTGATGATGTGGTAAATCTCTGTTAACACGGTTTGAAATGCTTTCTCTACATTGGTGGCTTCAAGAGCAGATGTCTCCAAGAAAGAGAGACCTTCCGTCTCAGCTAGAGTCTGACCATCTTCCTCAGCAACTGATCTCAAGTGGTTTAGATCAGATTTGTTCCCAGCCATCATGATCACAATGTTGGAATCCGCATGGTCTCTTAGCTCGCGTAGCCACCTTAGGGCATTGTCAAAGGTTTGTCTCTTGGTGATGTCATAGACAAGAAGAGCACCTACTGCTCCTCTGTAGTAAGCGCTTGTGATGGCTCTGTATCGCTCTTGACCTGCCGTGTCCCAGATTTGGGCCTTCACTGTCTTTCCTTCAACCTAAACAACCGTAACACAATCACACAAACAAACACACTCAGAAACTGAAGCATCCATGCACAGAGAAGAGAAACGAATCTAGTGCATTCACAAAATCATCTTCATTAAATCCATAATCAACATTTTTAATACATCAGCCGCCTTGATGTACCATATGTATGTAACTATGTACCATAACACTTTCTTAAATTGACATATAATGAGTTGACTTTTGATGATCACTAAAAATAATATTATTGGGGACAAGTTGTGGGAAGCTTTTTGTGCATTGGCTCTTTCCACCATTCATTCATAGACATAAAAAAAATTAACAAAAGCATGCTTATGACTCATGGCCAGCACATGTAAGATTCTCTTTTGATATAAAACTCTCTCAGAAATCAAAATAAAATCAAACAAAATTTTCAAATATAGCTGAGAGAACAAAGCACCATATAGTTCATAACATTAAACTATTCAAATCTTGAGAAGGACCTTTCACTTTATATGTTACACAACGCAGAGCATGTTCTCAAGTCTGACTAAAAAGGATTGTAAAGGATGCAACTTCAAAAGATCAAAAAGAGCAAAACAGAGTAAATTTAGAACATAACCGAGCTGAATTTTCTACTACCTAATGACATGGATTTGATAGCAAACCAAAAGGCACAACTGAAGAGGAAGTAAAGACCTCACGGTTTAGGGCTAAAATTAGTTGGCAACAGAGACAGAGTAGACTAAGAAACCACTACAAATCGCAGATCCTAACCATAAACCAATGGAGATCACATGAAAAAACGAAAACAAAGCTTGAATTTTGTTCAAATTTCTCTGATCCTGATACCATGACTTGTGAATTAAAATCCTCCTTATATAAACAGGACAAAAGAGAAGAAACTGGAATCACCTGAAGAGTTCTTGTGGCGAATTCGACACCAATAGTGGACTTGGATTCCAAGCAAAACTCATTCCTGGTGAATCTAGACAAGATGTTTGATTTCCCGACACCAGAATCGCCGATTAACACGATCTTAAACAGATAATCGTAATCCTGCTCTACTCTATGCGCCATTTTCCCTCTTCGATCCCACCTAAAAAAAAGCAACAACCTATACATAAACATCACCGACATCAACAAGCGATCTTCACAAAAAACCACATCGATATATACCATCATAAACTCGACGGATCCATAGAAATTCAAATAACTCGAGCACAAGCAAATCAGATACGAAATGAAACATACCTTTAAAGTGGCGGATGAATCGTGAAATAGAATTTCGCTCTGTTCAGATCTGCTAAAAGGATGAAACCTCTCTTGAAGGAACACTCTCCGATTACGAAAAATGTTCAGCCAATTGAGGGAATTCTGAGGAACTGTTTAATTTGTCTTTGGAGGTTTGTTTTCGTTATTAATATTTTCCCTTCTTACAATAAATACGTATATACATACTATAGTGTATATGATGTTCGTCGTATATATTGAGTTGATACGGCAAAAACGACGACGCATTACAGAAAATGACAAAAAAGGGCTGAGGTGGCAGGCTTAGGATATTCATTAGCAGGCTGACAAAAGTAAGAGGATGTTTCAGGGGTGTGATAGTAATTATGACTTGTGTTATCATCGTATACGGTAATGACTGCCGTGTCACACTGTTATCAGCCATTTACTAAATGACACGTTACACGCATGCCAACTATTTTTCAAAAATATCCATCTTTCTCTTATCTAGTAATACATATAATGATTTTCTATCATTTCACATTCTGTCATGTGTTGGTGATGCTCTGTTGATTGATCATACGATGGTTCGAATAGTAGACAAAAGATTAACATCATTTTTGTCACGAAATTATATAATCATGAAAGTCGAAACCACGCAACCGAGTGCAACGTTACATTTTGCAGATGACACTAAAACATTTTAAAAAAATCTGATCCAACACAAAGCCACAAAGGTTCTTTCTTTAGCCATCGACTAAGAAGCGTGTATTACCTTTTTTTTTTGTCTATTAGATAAAAGATAGTACAAGAGTTTATAGGACATACATACATGAGGAAACCTATGAGTCGTAGCTTTCTTTGCTAAGTGATAAACCAAGACATTTTGACATCTTCAAATTACAAATTATATCCAGCCAATTCCGACTTTCATTAGCATTGATCCAATAAGCATATAGATAGAATTTGGGTTAATACTTCTTGGAACATAGAGATAGTGTGGAGAGAAATTTTGTATAATTTTAACTCACCCCCACGAAGAAAATGCAAAATCTACAATATATAACAATTTTTCCATATCTGCTTAAGAAGAATTTCTAAATTTCGTAGCTTCGTTACATATGTTGCAGCAAAACAAAAAGGCCGACTTTGGGTATTTTAAGTGGGCCTCCTTCTAGATTCAACCGACAGTAGTTTGTGATATCTCTCTCTGTGGTAGAAGAACAGAGGAAGCCAAAATCCGACGCAGAGAGAGACGACGACGAAGATGAGAGAGACGGTGAAGTTGATAAGCATGGAAGGTTTCGAGTTCGTCATCGACAGGGAAGCCGCCATGGTTTCTCAGACTATCCGAAGCATGCTCACTTCTCCAGGTTTCTCTCCTCTTCTCTCTCTGATTTCCACTTTTTCCTTTTCTCTTCTCTTATGCCGATGTAGGATTTTAGTGATCGTAATTCCCAATTCTGTTATTGTGATCGTACTTGATTCTGATCCATTCTGTCAAATCTATCTGAACTGGTTATGAATCCACATCAATTAAATCGAAATCAAGCGAGAGATTATGCTCAATCAGAAACTCAATTGCGTGATTGAATCTTCCAATTTCAAATCCAAAGTCTGTGGCTTTTTCGTTTTTTCATGCCATCACTCTAAAATTGTAATTCCTTGGCAAAGAATTGATCTTTGAGATCCTGCATTTCAAAAATCTCTGTTTCTAGATGCATAGTTGATGGAGATCTGAGGAAAAAAAACTCTGTTTTTATGTTTGTGGGTAGGTGGATTTTCGGAATCGAAAGATGGCGTCGTGACATTCCCTGATATAAGCACGACGATTCTAGAGAAGATCTGCCAATACTTCTATTGGTCTCTTCAATACTCAAGGTCCATTATCTATCCATCTCACTTGTAGTACCTCTTTCTCTCATTGATCCTTAAGAACATGGCATTGTATATAGCCTCTCGTAACCTGTTTAACATTTTCAAAATTTAATCACCAATTGCTATCTAAGTTTCACTTAGTAGATAGTTCGTATAAGGATGATAAACAACCTCTAGAGAAGTAGTTTTTTTGTCTCAGTTTTTCTTCTTCTTATAGTCTTCTTTTCTGTTACAGAGGCAAAGAGACTGAGTTTTACATAGAGCCTGAACTGACCCTGGAGCTGATGATGGCTGCTAACTATCTACACACTTGAAGGGATTGAAATGATGACGCTGCTGAATCTTATTCGTTTACTTTAGGTGTAGACGTAAGATGTAAATCCCCGGAGCAAAATTGTGTGTATTTGACAAAAAATAGGCATTAGGTTCATGAAGAACTATTGAATACTGTAGCTCCGAGGGGAAGTTGTTGTTTACTAGTTTTAACTATTTATTGGCTGCAACATCAAAGTTATTTGTGGCGTTGGTTACTAGTTTGCTTATGTTCGAACAGCTCATTAGCAAGCTTTGTAATAAGCAACAAACATTCTGTCGTAATAATAATATGTTTGTTGCCGAATCACTTGAAAATTACTCTTTGTTATGAGATTGTGCATAATACACAAAGGGAAAGTGCTCTTTGAGCAGCAATGAAATCATCACACATGTTGGCACGTTGTCTTCTGCAAACGAACGGAGGTCGAAAATGTCTTTTGCTGCACTTGCCTAAGATGTCTCTTATAAAGCTCTGTAGATAGGGCCAGCTTGCTTCACATATCAGTAACTGTACGTATCAGAACACTTGCGTCACTTTAAAAAATTCACATTCTCAAAACCAAGGTTGTCTAGGCACATTTTTCCAGAACAAGGCTGTTGCTTCTGCCTCCAAATTTGTTCCAAAATCGTGGGTTACGTAATTACGTTTTGGCTCCAACCATCTTGTTATTGGACCACTCCTTGGTTTCGGTTTGTTTTTTCCTTTCACGTTTTTTAATTGGAACTAGCAACTTGTAACAAAAAACGGACGAAATATGCAAATTCTACCACATATTATAATATCCTATTCATTATGTTATTGTCCACTAAAATAATGTATACCTTTATTGGACTACAAAGAACAACATGATTATCTCCCATAGTTGACCTCTGTTTACAAACTTTAACAAAAAAGATAATAAGACTAGATTTTATTTTGATTTATAACACAAGTTAAGAAACATATTCAGAGGAATTAACTAGATTTCTTTTTAATTTTTGCTTGGTCCATTTACGATATCTACTATATAGCCATCCTTCCCATCTTGAGCTCCATAGAAATTATAAACCAAGTTTAACCAGATTTTGTAGATGGCGAAACGAGGAGCTTTCTCTAGCCTCCTCTCATGTCTCATTGTCTTGTTGTTCTTGACCCCAGTCTTAGCAGTCACAAATGATCATCAAGAAAAACAGGTTTATTATTTTCATTAATAATTTGAAGAATCTCTTGGTTTTATAGCCATGCACCTTCATTATAGATGATGATAATGTCAATGTTTGATGATTAACGATGAAGGTGTATATCGTCTACATGGGTTCACTTCCTTCTCGAGCAGACTACTCACCAGTGTCCAATCACATTAGTATCCTTCAAGAGATCACTGGAGAAAGGTCTGCTCTAATTAATTCATTTCTCTAATCATAAATATCAGTCATAAATAATTTATAATATTGTTATGAAGATCTAACAAGTATATATGCTCTAGTTCCATCGAAGGTCGTTTGGTGAGAAGTTACAAGAGGAGTTTCAACGGCTTCGCGGCGAGACTCACTGAGTCAGAACGACAACTTGTAGCAAGTGAGTGTTCTTCTCCTAAATGACCCATAACCTTTATCATATCGTAAGCCAAGTTTTTTTGGGTCATTATAAATGAAAACGTCATAAATCATATTATGGAAACGGAACGAAGTGCTTACATAAATCTTACAAAACTGATGTTTCTTTTGGTCACTTGTAAACGCAAACAAAAAACTTGATAGCATAACTATTTTGTGATAGTTTTTTTTTTTTTTTTTTTTTTTTTTTTTTTTTTTTTGTTTTTTCACATATAAACACAAAAATTGATACAATCAAAGAAGAATATATGAACGACTAGAACCCTTCGTGCCTTTGTCAGATATGGAGGGAGTTGTGTCTGTGTTCCCAAGCAAAAAATTAAAACTCCAAACGACGGCGTCTTGGGATTTCATGGGGCTAAAGGAAGGAAACAAGACGAACCGGAATCTGTCTGTGGAGAGTGATACAATTATCGGAGTCTTCGATGGTGGAATCTGGCCGGAATCCGAAAGCTTTTCCGACAAAGGCTTTGGTCCTCCTCCAAAGAAATGGAAGGGCATTTGCGCCGGCGGCAACAACTTTACGTGCAATAAGTATATCAACTTTCCTCTCTCTTTAAACTCTAGTCTCTGGAAGTTGTTAAGTCAACACTTTAGGTTCTTGCTAACTTTCGATGTAGGATTTTAACAAAATTTTAGAAAAGGTTTAGCAAAAAATGTGATTTGGTATTTTACCAAAAAAAAGGTGTCTTGGTTTGCTTTGAGTTTTTGCATGAAAGTGTTTTGATTTCTTTTTTCACATGAACGTAATTGTAAAAATTACGTCTGAAACAACCGAGACTTAAGTTAGTTTAGGTAAGACTCTACGTGAGCCAGAGGTTTAGGGCAGAGATTGATCCGTTGGTCCTTTTGCAGCAAGTTGATTGGGGCAAGACACTATGGACCCGGAAACGCTACAGATCATAGCGGCCACGGCACACACACGGCGTCTATCGCGGCTGGAAACGCAGTCGCAAAAACCAGCTTCTTTGGGCTCGGCTATGGAACGGTGAGAGGTGCCGTTCCAGCCTCTAGAATCGCTGCTTACAAAGTCTGCGCCGGAGAATGTAAAGATGAATATATACTGTCTGCGTTCGATGACGCCATTGCCGATGGTGTTGACATCATCACCATCTCCATAGGTGATATTGATGTGTACCCGTTCGAGACAGACCCGATCGTAATTGGAGCTTTTCACGCTATGTCCAAAGGGATCCTCACTGTGAACGCGGCTGGTAACACTGGTCCGTATACGGCGTCCATCACGAGCTTAGCACCGTGGATGTTAACCGTTGCAGCAAGCACCACGAACCGTGCGTTTGTCAACAAAGTGGTCCTCGGCGACGGAAAGACACTTGTCGTACGTAACACGCAACACACTCATTTCTGTCATCGTAGTATCTCTGTCTGTGAACTTACCAATGAATCTTTTTATCTTCTTAACAGGGAAACTCAGTGAATAATTTCGATCTGAAAGGAGAGAAACTCCCATTGGTGTACGGAAAATCTGCTGCTTCGTCTGCCTCCCTAGTGAAATGCGCGGAGTAACTTCCTCAACAAGAAACACCATGTGAGACCTAGAAATATTTTCAAATTACTGATTGATGATGATGATATTTTACATTTTTTTCAGGGACTGCACACCAAATTGTCTTGACGCATCCCTGGTGAAGGGAAAGATCTTGGTGTGCAATAGATCTCTTCCATACGTAGCCTATACAAAGGGTGCTGTTGCAGGCATTTTTAAAGATGGCGCAGACTGGGCCCAAATCGAGGGTATACCTGTATCTGGCTTACAAGAAAATGATTTTGAGTCTCTCCTCTCTTACATTAAGTCCACAAAGTAAATAGTCATCTTCTCTCTTGTTGAATGACACGCTTTGTTGTGTATCTAATATATGCTTCTCATTGTTTCTTTGGTTTGATTCTTTAGTACCCCAAAAGCGGCTGTTCTAAAAAGTGACACAGTCTTTAATCCGCAAGCTCCTAGAATTCTTTCCTTCTCTTCTCGCGGTCCAAACACGATCGCTACTGATATTCTCAAGGTATAGATATTGGTTATGCTCCGATTAACCTTTTTTTTTTTTACCGATCTGAGACGGTGGTGTATGAAAATGCAGCCGGATGTGACAGCACCAGGACAGGAGATTTTGGCTGCAAATTCACTCAAGGCATTACCGTTTTATGACAACACACATGTGAAATACACCATTGAGTCCGGAACTTCAATGTCTTGTCCACACGTTGCAGGCGTAGCCGCCTACGTCAAGACGTTTCATCCTAAATGGTCCCCTTCGATGATCAAATCTGCCATTATGACAACAGGTATAGAAAAACTATATTTTTAGGGCAAAATTTAACTTTCTTGTCTCGCAAGAAAACCATCAACTTTTGTTCATGCTCTGTTCTTCTTGTGTTTTTTTTTTTTAACTTATCTTGCAGCTTGGTCGTTGAATGCTTCTGAAAGTGGCTATGCATCAACCGAGTTTGCTTATGGAGCTGGACATGTAGATCCAATAGCTGCTACTAATCCTGGACTCGTATATGATTCGACCAAAGCAGACTACATTGCCTTCCTCTGCGGCATGAACTATAATGCGACAACCATAAAACTCATCTCCGGTGAAGCCGTCACTTGCGCTGGAAAAAACTTACCAAGAAACCTTAACTATCCTTCGATGTCGGCTAAACTGTCAAGAACTTATGGCTCTTTCTCCATCACTTTCAGCAGAACCGTCACCAACGTCGGTACCCCAAACTCTACATACAAATCAAAAGTAGTCTTAAATCATGGATCTAAGCTCAACGTCAAGGTCTCTCCAAGTGTTCTATCAATGAAGTCGTTGAACGAGAAGCAGTCTTTCACGGTTACTGTTTCAGGCAGCGATCTCGGCTCAAAGCTGCCTTCGTCTGCAAATCTAATATGGTCTGATGGCACCCATAACGTTAGAAGCCCCATTGTTGTTTATGCTGGTATCTTCCCATCATTATCACCATAGCCGTCCGTCATCTTCACCATGGCCATCAATAGATCATTGTTATTGTTGTTCTGACATTCTACGTTTTAGTTATATTATTGCTCGAAGTTTTCTTGACTTCCTATGTGTCTTGATGGTCTAAGAAATCCAAGATAAGTCATCCTAATGCAAACATCATTAGAACATTTCACTGTAAAGAATTAGCAACAATAGATAAACTGCAAAAAAAGGTGTACTTATAATAGTTTTCAGAACTGTTAAATACATTTGATGAATTTGACAGGGGGAATAACCTCAAACATGGTTAATTAGATTGACTGTGGGGTTCAAATCTAATAGTTGATGAATTATACTGAATAACCTTAAACAAGGTTAAATTCAATAACGCTCATTCACCATATTTGCTAATTAAACTGTCCTAATAAAACTCCAATATATTTTTACCACCTGTTTTTATTCTTTTTATTCTCACTACAAAATAAAGAAAATCAGAGAAACTGAATCTGTGGGCATTGACTGGGAGATAACACTAAATCACCGTATTTACTAATTAAGCTGTCCTAATAAAACTCCAATATATTCTTACCACGTGTCTTTGTTCCTTTTATTCACACTAAAAATTATAGAAATACAGAGAAAGTAAATCCATGGAGATTGACTTAGGGGATAAAGTCAGAGAAATTGAATCTGTGGGGATAGACTCATGACTGAGTGAGGGGATAACACTAATTCACCATATTTGCTAATTAAGCTGTCCTAATAAAACTCCAATATATTCTTACCACGTGTTTTTGTTCCTTTTATTCTCACTAAAAGTTATAGAAAATCAGAGAAATTGAATCTGTGGGGATAGACTCATGACTGGGTGAGGGGATAACACTAAATCACCATATTTGCTAATTAAGCTGTCTTAAGAAAACTCCAATATATTCTTACCACATGTTTTTGTTCCTTTTATTATCACTAAAAGTTATAGAAAATCAGAGGAATTGAATCTATGGGGATTGACTGGGGAGATAAGGCTAATTCACCATATTTGCTAATTAAAATATCCTAGTACAACTCCAATATATTCTTACCACGTATTTTTATTCCTTTTATTCTCACTAACAATTATAGAAAACCAGAGAAATTGAACCTGAATTATTTAGAATTGACAGTATGGTGCATGAATGATATCTTTAATCTTTCTTTCTGCTTAAGTTTTGTTAAATAATGGATGCATGTATGATATCGTGTATAAAAGAACATCTTTTCATGCTAATCTCCAAGAAGTAAAAAGAAAATTGGAGTAAGCTCTAATTCGTTTTGTAAGAAAATGGCGAAATTAGGAGCAACTTTCTCCTGTCTCCTCTCCTGTCTCTTTCTCTTGTTTTTGGGTTCAGTTTCAGCAATCAAAGATGATCTTCAAGATAAACAGGTATATATTATCATTATAATATTATTGACCTTTATTTGGGGTTAACATTTACTGACTTGAAATTATGGTCTCTTGTTTCTCCATATGATGACAATGATTATCTATGAAGGTGTATATCGTCTACATGGGTTCACTTCCTTCACGAGCGGACTATACACCAATGTCACATCACATAAATATACTTCAAGAGATCACTGGAGAAAGGTGTGGTATAATTAATTCATTTCTCTAATCATAAAAAGTTAGTCATAAATAATTTGAAATATTGTTATGAAGATTCTAACAAGCATATGTGCATGTATATACTCTAGCTCGATCGAAGGTCGTTTGGTGAGAAGTTACAAGAGGAGTTTCAACGGCTTCGCGGCCATGCTCACTGAGTCAGAACGAGAACGAGTAGTTGGTGAGTGTTCTTTGATCTTTGATTTTTTTTTTTTTTTTTTTATTTTTTATTTATCTTATTTGATCTTTGATTCGTGACACTTTTTTGTTAAAATGGTTTTAATTAATTAGAGAAAGGTTTCATAAAATGTTTTTCTTAGAAATGGAGGGAGTCGTGTCTGTGTTCCCAAACAAGATGTTACAACTCCAAACGACGAGATCTTGGGACTTCATGGGGTTAAAGGAAGGAAAAGGGACAAAGAGGAATCCGACTGTGGAAAGCGATACCATTATCGGAGTCATCGACATTGGGATTTGGCCGGAATCTGAAAGCTTCTCCGACAAAGGCTTTGGTCCTCCTCCAAAGAAATGGAAAGGTGCTTGCTCCGGCGGTCGAAACTTCACATGCAACAAGTAAATCTCTTAAACTAAATATCTTCTCTCAGTAAAGAATTAGTAATTAAAAAAAATAGTATTGCTGGTTTAAGAACACACTTGAATATTTTTTGTTTTTTGATGAAGTACAAAAATAAAAGTTCATACTGTTGATATGTTAATTGTATTTTCAGCAAGTTGATTGGGGCAAGAGACTACACAAGGGAAGGCACTAGGGACACTGACGGCCACGGTACACACACAGCGTCAACAGCAGCTGGAAACGCAGTCGCGGACGCAAGCTTCGTTGGAATCGGCAATGGAACGGCAAGAGGTGGCGTTCCAGGCTCTAGAATCGCCGCTTACAAAGTCTGCAGCGCCAGAGGGTGTACTTCGGAAGCTATAATGTCTGCGTTCGATGACGCGATAGCAGACGGTGTCGACCTCATCAGCATCTCTATGGGGAACAAAACCGCGCAAATGTTTCACGAGGACGCAATCGCGATCGGGGCGTTTCACGCTATGACCAAAGGGATTCTAACTGTTATTTCCGCTGGTAATGGAGGTCCGACAGATAGCTCAGTCACGGCTGTAGCGCCATGGCTATTAACCGTTGCAGCCAGTACCACGAACCGTGGTTTTTTCACCAAAGTTGTTCTCGGAAACAACAAGACACTTGTCGTAAGCATCAAGAAACCTTCTCATTTCTAATACCACACAAACCTCTATCTCGTTTTTTACCAATGACTCTTCTCCTATTTTGTTTTTTTTTTCCTTAACAGGGGAAGACAGTGAATGCTTTTGATTTGAAAGGAAAGATGTACCCTCTAGTTTACGGAAAATCTGCTGCTTTGTCTGCTGACAAAGAAGAGTTTGCTGAGTAACTTTCTTCCCAAGAAACACTATATTTCTTTATTGTTATGACTCTGATGAGATCATTTTTTTTTCAGGCTTTGTTTGCCAGGGTGTGTAGATATTTCCAAAGTGAAGGGAAAGATCTTAGTGTGTAACAGTCAGGATACTTTGGGTCTGTTGGAGCCATCGATAAAATTTGCAGCTATTGCAATCATTTATCCAACCGTTATACCAGACGTCGCCTTCCTTCAGCCTTTCCCTTCCTCTGCTTTACAAGAAGAAGACCATCAATCTCTACTCTCTTACATTGAGTCCACAAAGTAAACAACCATCTTCTCTGTACATCTGCTCGAGATTCTCCATCTTCTTATCCTAAAATATACTTGTGTTTGTTTTCTCAGTTCTCCACAAGCGGCCGTTCTAAAAACTGAGTCAATTTTCAATCAGACATCTCCTGTTATTGGTTCCTTCTCTTCTCGCGGTCCAAACAACATCGCTGTTGATATTCTCAAGGTAAAATATACAAAACATTTATGATATCGGATCCTTTGTGTTCCTCCAATTTGAGAGACAATGGTGGATGAATATTGCAGCCGGATGTAACAGCACCAGGAGTGGAGATCCTCGCTGCATATTCACCTTTGGGTTCACCAGCTTCTACAGGGGACGATACAAGACATGTGAACTTCTCTGTTGTCTCCGGAACTTCCATGTCTTGTCCGCACGTTGCAGGTGTCGCTGCGTATGTCAAAACATTTTACCCTAAATGGTCTCCTTCCATGATTCAATCTGCCATCATGACAACCGGTAAGCGAAAAGCCTTTCTGTTCTGATTTTTTTTACCCTTTCTTGTCCCACAAGGAAACCTCTGCTCTAATCTGGTCTCTTAACTAACCTTTGCAGCTTGGCCGGTAAATGCTACTGGAACTGGCTTCACATCGACCGAGTTTGCTTATGGATCTGGACATGTCGACCCAGTAGCCGCTCTAAATCCGGGACTTGTCTATGAACTGAACAAAGCAGACCACATCGCCTTTCTCTGCGGCATGAACTACACTGTGACTTCCCTGAAACTCATTGCCGGTGAAGCCGTCAATTGCTCCAAAGATAACGAAATCTTACCAAGAAACCTCAACTATCCTTCAATGTCGGCTAAACTGTCTAGTAACAGCTCCTTCACCGTTACCTTCGACAGAACCGTCACCAATGTAGGTACCCCAAACTCTACATACAAGTCAAAGATAGTCGCTGGTCACGGATCTAAGCTCAGCGTCGAGGTCACGCCTAGTGTTCTGTCTTTTGAGACGGTGAGCGAGAAGCAATCGTTCAAGGTGACTGTTACAGGCAGTGAACTAAACTCAAAACTGCCTTCGTCTGTGAATCTAATCTGGTCGGACGGTACTCATAACGTGAGAAGTCCCATTGTTGTCTGGACTAGATGATACTGAAGAGCCAAACATCAAGTCACTAGTCACTATCTTCATCATAAACAAAGTTTTAATTGCTATTGTTTTATGTTTTCCGTTTCTTCAATCTATGTTGATCTCCAAATGATTTGCAATGAGACAATCTAGATACTTATTGTGTTCTTTTCTTTATTTATAATTATGGTCAAGCATGTTAGAAACTTTTAATACGATAATTTGTATTAAACAATTTCGTCGCAAAAGCCACAAGAAAAAGTTTTGAGACACATTTCTTAGAGTTCTGAAACAAGGTGTACTTATAATAGTTTTCAGAACTGTTAAATACATTGACTAGGGGATAAAATTTATTACTTGATGAATTTGAATAGGGTGGAAGCCCCCTTGGCCCAGTGGTTTGACTAAGGGTTCATTAATGCTTTTATACCAAGAGATATGTAGTTCGAATCCTAGAGAATGCGGTTTATTGTCAAATATGCAGATTATCGAAAAAATGCTTGCAGGAGACTCGAGACTGGCGGTCTAGATACACCAGAAGACAATGGGGTTCAAATCTAATATTTGATGAAATTGACTAGGGGATAACGCTAATTCATCATATTTGCTAACTAAACTGTCCTAATAAAACTCCAATATATTATTACCACGTGTTTTTATTCTTTTTATTCTCACTAAAAATTATAGAAAATCAGAGAAATTGAATCTGTGGGGATATTGACTCATGACTTGGGGGGATAACACTAATTCACCATATTTGTTAATTAAATTGTCCTGATTAAACTCCAATATGTTTTTGTTCCTTTTATTCTCACTAAAAATTATAGAAAATCAGAGAAATTGAATCTGAATTCTTTAGTACGGTGCATGAATAATATCTTATTAGATTTATTTCTTTTTTAATTTTGTTTAAGAATGCATGTATGATATCGTGTATATAAGAACATCTTTTCATGCTCATCTCCAAGAAGCAAAAAGAAAATTCGAGTAACCTCCAATTCGTTTTGTAAGAAAATGGCGAAATTGGGAGCAACTTCCTCATGTCTCCTCTCATGTCTCGTTCTCTTGTTTTTGGGTTCAGTTTCAGCAATCACAGATGATCTTCAAGATAAACAGGTATTGGTTGTTGACTTTTTTTTGGGTAAACATTTACTGATTTGTACATGGTCTCTTGTTTCTCCGTATGATGATAATGATGAATCTGATGATTAACGATGAAGGTGTATATCGTCTACATGGGTTCACTTCCTTCACGAGCGGACTACACACCAATGTCACATCACATTAATATACTTCAAGAGATCACTGGAGAAAGGTGTGGTATAATTAATTCGTTTCTCTAATCATAAATGATTAGTCATAAATAATTCAAAATATTGTTATGAAGATTCTAATAAGTGTATGTTTATATTCTCTAGCTCGATCGAAGGTCGTTTGGTGAGAAGTTACAAGAGGAGTTTCAACGGCTTCGCTGCACGACTCACTGAGTCAGAACGAGAACGAGTAGCCGGTGAGTTTTTTTTTTAAAACCAATTTAATTTTAACAAAACATTATAAGTGATACGTTCTTCAATAATTAATACCTTCTGTGTTGTTAGAAATGGAAGGAGTTATTTCTGTGTTCCCGAGCGAAAACTACAAACTCCAAACGACGGCGTCTTGGGACTTCATGGGGCTAAAGGAAGGAAATAATACAAAACGAAACTTGGCCGTAGAGGGTGATACTATTGTCGGCGTCATTGACACTGGGATTTGGCCGGAATCCGAAAGCTTCTCCGACGAAGGCTTTGGTTCTCCTCCTAAGAAATGGAAAGGTGTTTGTGCCGGCGGCGCAAATTTTACGTGCAACAAGTAATTATTATTATTTTATTTTTTTAAAGTTTAACAAGTAATTATGTTTACTTACTTATATTTACTAAAATATTAGCTTATCGTTTTCAGTAACAGTATAATTTAAGTGAAAGTACTTTTTCAAATCAAAATTTTAAAGATATTTACAAATGTTTTTTTCATTTAAAATTCACGATTGAATAACATAATATTTTTCATTTTAACACAAACTAATTCAAATGTATGATTGGGATACATTCCTAAATCCTATATATCCAATTTATTAAATCTAAAACAGAGTTATTAATTATAACATTGTTAACCAGTTGTTTGGTCGAAGTTAAATATTGACCAATCCGGGAACTAATCTTGGTTACTAAAATATTACAATGTTTTAGCAAGCTGATTGGAGCAAGAGACTACACAAGCCAAGGCACTAGGGACAACGTAGGCCACGGTACACACACAGCGTCCACTGCGGCTGGAAACGCAGTCTCGGGAGCAAGCTTCTTTGGAATCGGCAATGGAACGGCAAGAGGCGGCGTTCCAGGCTCTAGAATCGCCGCTTACAAAGTCTGCGCGGAGAAAGGATGTAGCTCGGCATCTGTACTGTCTGCGTTTGATGACGCGATTGCAGACGGTGTTGACATCATTAGCATTTCTTTAGGGACAGCTTTTCCACGTTCTTACGAGCAAGACACAATTGCGATCGGGGCTTTTCACGCTATGGTCAAGGGAATTCTCACTGTGCACTCAGCCGGTAATGGTGGACCGACTCCAAAATCTGTCATGAGCCTAGCGCCGTGGATCTTAACCGTTGCAGCTAGCAACACGAACCGTGAATTTGTCACAAAAGTTGTTCTCGAAAACGGCAAGACACTTGTCGTAAGTCTCAAGTAACACTCTCATTCCTATTATCATAGTAATCTTTGTCCCTTCTAATCTTTTGTTTTTTATTTTTGTCTTAACAGGGGAAATCAGTAAATTCGTTTGATCTGAAAGGAAAAAATTACCCTCTTGTGAACACTGTTTCTACATATGAGGGACCTCTGGTGAAGGGAAAAATTTTGGTGAGCGGATATATAAATGGCTCAGAAGAAGCTGTTGCAACCATAAATATAGAGCGAAAAGGCGGCGTTTCCTTGGTTAAGCCTACGCCTTTCTCTTCTCTATCAATAGATGACTTTGACTCTCTCGTCTCTTACATTAACTCCACAAAGTAACAAACCATCTTCTTTAATTTCTCTATATTTCACAGTCTTTACATTTGCTTTAGATTTATCCTCCTTTGTCTTGATATCTCTGTGTTTGTTTTCTCAGGTTCCCGCAAGGCACTGTTCTAAAAACTGAGGCAGTCTTTGACCAGACAGCTCCTAAAATTGCTCGATTCTCTTCTCGCGGTCCAAACTTTATCGCAGCTGATCTTCTAAAGGTTTGCATATATAACATGTGTATCATCTTGCATGGTTCTCTTTCGTTTCTCAGGTCTGGGAGACAATTAATGGTTGGTTGAATTGCAGCCGGATGTAACAGCACCAGGAGTGGAGATTCTCGCTGCCTTTTCACCTGTGGCTTGTCCATCTTCACCAAAATACACAAAGAGCGACACAAGAAGGGTCAAGTACAACGTTCTGTCCGGAACTTCAATGTCATGTCCACACGTTGCAGGCGTGGCTGCTTATGTTAAGACATTTCATCCTGATTGGTCTCCTTCCATGATCCAATCTGCCATCATGACAACCGGTAATCTAAAATCTTATCCATCTTTGACTTTCTTGTACCTCAAGCAATCTTTTCTAACGGTCGTCTCTAAATCAATCTCGCAGCGTGGCCGATAAATGGAACTGGCTATGTAGCGAGTACTGAAACTGCCTATGTATCGAACGAGTTTGCATATGGATCTGGACATGTCGACCCAATAGCCGCTCTAAATCCTGGACTTGTCTATGAATTGGGCAAAGCAGACCACATCGCCTTTCTCTGCGGCATGAACTACAATGTGACTACCCTAAAACTCATTGCCGGGGAAGCCGTCAATTGCTCCAAAGAAAGCGAAATCTTACCAAGAAACCTCAACTATCCCTCAATGTCGGCTAAATTGTCTAACAACATGAGCTCCTTCTCCGTCACTTTCGACAGAACCGTCACCAATGTAGGTCCCCCAAACTCCACATACAAGTCCAAGGCAGTAGCGGGTATTGGATCTAAGCTCAGCGTCGAGGTCACGCCTAGTGTTCTGTCTTTTGAGAACGTGAACGAGAAGAAATCTTTCAAGGTGACTGTTACAGGCAGCGAACTCGACCCAAAACTGTCTTCGACTGTGAATCTAATCTGGTCCGACGCTACTCATAACGTGAGAAGTCCCATTGTCATTTATAATAATTTTAAATACTGAAGAGGCAATATCAACTCACTAGTCACTATCTTTATCATAAATAAAAGCTTTAACAGCTGTTGTTTTATGTTTCTGTTTCTCCAATCTATGTTGATGTCTTAGGATTTGCAAATGGGACTAGTTAGTTATATTACTGGTCTATGTTCTCTCGATGTGTGTTGAGATAACTCATCCTAATGCAAAAATCATTAGAATATTTCACTATATTATGCATACAAAATAATAGATAAACTGCATGCAAAACAATTCCAAATTGATCCAGATGATATGCCATTATTTTTCGATTAATGAGATATATGATCCATAGCATTGACACGACTTCCAAAAGTTCTATAAATTGATAAGTTCCATTACCTTCATTATTCGCTTAAATCAAAGTCCTAGGACGTAAAACTTACTGATTATTACCATTATAATTGGCTTCTCTGTTAATAATCGAGCAACATATAAAAAAAAATATTTATAAAAAATAAAGTAATGTCACCAAGACTGATTTTCTCCTTCTTGTAGCCTTAATCACGTCTTAATTAAGTGCTTAATGTACCCTTTTAATTTATAAAGAAAGTTAATTCGGTTACAAACATTTGATTGTCGGTAATGTGGATTGTCTCCTTGCGACTAAAAGAGAAGATAGTCGAATTCGATAACTAACTTTATTTTCATTTAATTTAATTTAATTTTTTTTTTAAACTCTGGTTTGTATCTCTCATGCATTGATTAAAACTAAATAATCCATAACAATCACAAGAACCTGTAATATCCATATTAACTCAAAATAAATTACTGATACATTTTCTTTTAATGTTATATCGTGTAACAGTGTAATTTGGTGATTTTCTCTTGATTATTATATATTGAAATAATAGTTTATAAATGTTTACCGTGATTTAAAACATAACACATGTCATGAACTGGAAAAGAGAAATGTCATATTATGGAGAGGGAAACTTTACATTTATAATTTAGTCAACTCTTTGCCGACAAAAAGAAAACCAATTTAGTTACTGGACCTAATTAAGCTTGAGTTAAAGAAAAAAAAAAGTCTTTGAAAAACAAAAAATCACTCAAAACACTTTGGAACGGATATGATGTTTTTTATTATGACATTTCGATGCTAGCTTAAGTCTGAAAACTAGACCTCGTGACTGTTCAGCAAGTCGTAAAACAAAAAGACGAATTAGAGGAATCCACAACGTACCTGCTTATTTGGTGAGCAAACAAGACGAATCCACAAGTAATTATGGACGAATCAAAAGCTTTAGAGGATATCTTAGTTTTGTTTTGTAACTGTATAAGCTAAGAAAATGTATTTAGCCTATGTAGTGTGCGAAATAGTAGAATATTTATAGGATTACTTGATTCCAACTGTATTTTGCACGAATGCTGGATCCTTTTGAGTTTTGATAATGACTAATATATAAGAGGAAATCTTTCTTTTGAAGATGGTTGAGGCTTGAATTGTTCTTCGAATCGTTTAGTGTAACCTCCGGGACCGGGAGGTGCACATTTCTCACAGTTATTAATTACTCTCATTTGATGGGCAGATTCGTTACTGTTATTAATATTTTACTCCCTCAGACAAAGTTAAATACATTGACTATTTGACTGGGATAAAATAATTTAATAGATTACCATATCCGCTAATTAAAGTGTATTTTTTATCTTTCTGATTCTCATTGATTTTTAGTAATTTAAATGAACGAGGAAAAAAGGAAATTAATCTGTAATATAGTTTTTTTAGTTTTTTTTTTTTAATTTAATTTGATCTTGCTTTTCAATTTTCAGTAAGAAATCCAAAACCAAAGAGAATTTGAGTTCAAATTTTACCTTTTCACTAATTGTATTCAATTAAGCTGATAATTCATAGATATGAGTCCTAAAACAATGTGAACACAATATGGCAGTTTAGTTGGTACAGAATTCCAATAAACTTAATTATTTAGGTAGGCTTGATTTTCTTTTTAATAATTAAAGGCAGAAAATCAGAGTAATTGAATTTGGATTCTTTGGATTTGCCACTGTGCATGTTTGATATGTCGTCTATATATATAAACATCTTCTCATGCTAATCTCCAAGAAATTAAAAGAAATTTGCAGTAACCTGTAATTCATTTTGTAAGAACATGGGGAAATTACGATTAGCTTCCTCCTGTCTCCTTTCCTGTCTCTTTCTCTTGTTCTTGAGTTCAGTTTCAGCAACCACAGATGATCTTCAAGATAAACAGGTATCACCATTATAATATAATTGATTTGTATTTTGGTAAAAACATTTATTGATTTTGTTATTATGCCCTCTTGTTTCTCCATATGATGATTTTCATGAATTTGATGATTATGGATGAAGGTGTATATTGTCTACATGGGTTCACTTCCTTCACGAGCGGACTACACACCAATGTCCAATCACATTAGTATTCTTCAAGAGATCACTGGAGAAAGGTGTGATATAATTAATTCATTTCTTTAATCATATATGATTAGTTATAATTAATTTATTTCTCTAATCATATACTTATATATAAGTTAGGATATTGTTACGAAAATTCTAATAAGTGTTTATATATATATATATACTCTAGTTCGATCGAAGGTCGTTTGGTGAGAAGTTACAAGAGGAGTTTCAACGGTTTTGCTGCCCGGCTCACTGAGTCAGAACGAGAACGAGTAGCCGGTAAATGTTCTTTCGATTGTTGAAATTATTTTAAAAGGTTAGATGATAATGAAATCCCTTATGAATTTTTTTGTTTTGCTTAGAAATGGAGGGAGTCGTGTCTGTGTTCCCAAACAAGAATTTCCAACTCCAAACGACGACGTCTTGGAACTTCATGGGTTTAAAGGAAGGAAAGAGGACCAAGAGGAACCCAACCGTGGAGAGTGATATCATTATCGGAGTCATCGACAGTGGGATCACGCCGGAATCTCAGAGCTTTTCCGACACTGGCTTTGGTCCTCCTCCGAAGACATGGAAAGGTGTTTGCTCCGGCGGCCAAAACTTCACATGCAACAAGTAAATCTCTTTAAACTAATTTCTCTCTGTAAAGAATTTAGTATATATTGTTTTTTTTTTTTTGGTTTTAATTTTATATTGTTGGTCGAGGAACACTTACAAACTACAAGTTGATCTGTTTGTTATTTTTCAGCAAGTTGATTGGGGCACGAGACTACACAAGCGAAGGTACTAGGGACACTCAAGGCCACGGTACACACACGGCGTCAACAGCAGCTGGAAACGCAGTCGCGGACACAAGCTTCTTTGGAATCGGCAATGGAACTGTAAGAGGAGGCGTTCCGGCATCTAGAATCGCCGCTTACAAAGTCTGCACCGAGTCAGGGTGTACTTCGGATGCTCTACTGTCTGCGTTCGATGACGCGGTTGCTGACGGTGTAGACCTTATCACTATCTCTATCGGAGGTAAAACCGCGCAAATGTTTCAACACGACCCTATCGCGATCGGTGCTTTTCACGCTATGGCCAAAGGGATTCTCACTGTTGTTTCGGCTGGTAATAGCGGTCCGATAGATAGCTCAGTCTCGGCTGTAGCGCCATGGGTATTAACCGTTGCAGCCAGTACCACGAACCGTGGTTTTTTCACCAAAGTTGTTCTTGGAAACAACAAGACACTTGTCGTAAGCATCAAGAAACCTTCTTATTTCTAATATCATACAAACCTTTATCTCGGTTGTTACCAATGACTCTTCTGCTCTCTTTTTTTTTTCCTTAACAGGGGAAGTCAGTGAATGCTTTCGATTTGAAGGGAAAGATGTACCCTCTAGTTTACGGAAAATCTGCTGCTTCGTCTGTTTGCGATGCCGAAACGGCAGGGTAACTTTCTCCCCAAGAAACACTAGCTTCATTGTGATGATGACCTAGAATTTTTTTTTTTTGCTTTTCTTTCATATTTATAATATGATGACTGATGAGATCAATTAATTTTCAGGCTTTGCGAGCCAGAGTGTCTAGATAAATCTCGTGTGAAGGGAAAGATCTTAGTGTGTGGTAGTCCGAAAATTTTAAAAATAGCTAATTCAACTGGAGCTATTGCAATCATTTTTCAAAACCCTAAACCAGACGTAGCCTTCATTCACCCTGCACCTGCCTCTGGTTTATCTGAAAAAGACTTTGAATCTCTAGTCTCTTACATTGAGTCCGCAGAGTAAACTACAATCTTCTCTATCGTTCATACATACATCTGCTCAAGATTCTCCATCTTTACTCTGAAATCTCTTGTGTTTCTTTATTTTTTCTCAGTTCTCCACAAGCAGCTGTTCTAAAAACTGAATCAATTTTCAATCAGACATCTCCTGTTATTGGTTCCTTCTCTTCTCGCGGTCCGAACACCATCGCTGTTGATATTCTTAAGGTAAAATAAACAAAACATTGATGATCTTGTTTCTTTTTTATTTATCCAATTTGAGAGACAATGGTGGATGAATATTGCAGCCGGATGTAACTGCACCAGGGGTGGAGATTCTCGCTGCATATTCACCTTTGGGTTCACCGTCTGTAAATGACCCTAGACATGTGAACTACTCTGTTCTCTCAGGAACTTCCATGTCTTGTCCGCACGCTGCAGGAGTCGCTGCGTATGTCAAAACGTTTTACCCTAAATGGTCTCCTTCCATGATTCAATCCGCCATCATGACAACCGGTAAGCAAAAACGATATCTGTTTTTTCTACCTTTTTCTTGTTCCACAAGTAATCGTTGTTGACTTTCTGTTCTTATCTGGTCTCTTAACTAATCTTTGCAGCTTGGCCGGTAAATGCTACTGGAACTGGCATCGCATCGACCGAGTTTGCGTATGGATCTGGACATGTCGACCCAATAGCCGCTCTAAATCCTGGACTTGTCTATGAACTGAACAAAACAGACCACATAGCCTTCCTCTGCGGCATGAACTTCACTTCTTCTTCTCTTCAGGTCATTTCCGGTGAAAAAGTCACGTGCTCCAACGCAAACAAAATCTTACCAAGAAACCTCAACTATCCTTCGATGTCGGCTCAATTGTCGCCAACAAATAGCAGCTCCTTCACCGTCACTTTCAACAGAACCGTCACCAATGTAGGCACACCAAACTCTACATACAAGTCCAAGGTAGTCGAGGGTCACGGAACTAAGCTCAGCGTCAATGTCACGCCTAGTGTTCTGTCTTTTGAGACCGTGAACGAGAAGAAATCTTTCACGGTGACTGTTACAGCCAGCGAGCTCGACTTAAACTTGCCTTCGTCAGTGAATCTAATCTGGTCTGACGGTACTCATAACGTGAGAAGTCCCATTGTTGTCTGGCCTAAATGACACTGAAGAGCCAACATCAAGTCACCATCTTTACCATAAATAAATCTGTAATTTCTGTTTCTTCATTCTGTGTTACAGTTATCTTATTACTCTACCTATATGATGTCTCGGCTTCCTTTATTTATGTTGATGTCTTCGAAAATGTAAGTGGGATAATCCAGATATTGTGTTCTTCTCTTTATTTATAAATCTCTGCTGACGCCGTATCAGTATGGTGTGCTTGGATAACGTTTGTTACAACGGTGAAGTGTGCCTAACAAACAATAAGAAACGGAACAAAAAGAGAAAGCTAGAGCAGAAACGGAAATATAAACACTTATTTACCTATGTTGATGCATCGAGTGCATCATCAGTTCACCTTTATCATTGTTGTTATGTTTCTTTATTCTTTGCTAGATACACAAATTCGTGTGATAATCCAGTACTTTGTTGGAAATGAAAATTGTATTACTTAAATCGTAATCTGTTGCATGAAGTCCTTTTCTATGAATAAGGATCCGGTTCACCTTTTTTTTTTTTTGTGATAACCTAACTAAATTATACGCTTAGACACAACCGACGTATGCTTATATATAGTTAGATTTTTTTTTTGGTGGGTTATATATATAGTTAGATTATGAACCATATTCAATATATGATTCTTATTCTGTGTTCTGTTGACCGAAAAAATACATTAATTACTCCATATGTTGAACTAATAGAATTTTAACAAATCATAACAGAATATTAATTTTACATTGTTGCTCATCGTGTGGGGTAGTGCTAGTGGCACAATTTTTTGTAATAGGTCATGGAACGTGATATCATCATATCAATGATTATTATTAGTTTTTTTTTTATGAAAGAGGATGAGCAAGTGTTTTCTTGATAAGATTATTTTAATGGTCCCATCGTTTGATTCCATTTTTGCTTGAGCTTAACAGACTTTTTTTTCTATTTTAAAGTTTTGTTTCTGGTAAATTTGGAGGAAACAGGAATATCTTTGTTGTGTAATAGTTTCTCTCTCTTTAACAAAAAAAAAATAGTTTCTCTCATCTTTATTCATAGTAACTTGTCTAACAAGTTCTTTACAATAATAGGAAATATACTTATTTAACAATCAAGGAAATATACATAAATCTTCACTTTCCTTCCAAGTCGATCCCGTTATCTCCGAGATCTCCTAACAGTTTCTTATTGTTTCTTGATCTTCAGAGAGACGACTTACATTGACTTTAATTGTTCATGTAGAAAATGGCGACACCACCAGCTTTCTTTTGTCTCTTCTTCAGTCTCATTGTCTTGTTCTCGTATTCAGTCTCAGCAGTCATAGATGATAATCAAGATCAACAGGTATTATAACAGTTCTTATCATCATATTTTGTCTCTCGCCATGATTATTCTTCATACGCGATGATAACTGATGATGATGATGATGATAATAATAATAATAATAATCCATGAAGGTATATGTCGTCTACATGGGTGCACTTCCGTCTAGCGAGGTCTACACACCAATGTCCCATCACATGAATATTCTTCAAGAAATCACGGGAGAGAGGTGTGAATTAAGTATATACATCATTCTCTAGTCATAGTTGTGATTAAATAGAGTTATTTTGTATGATCTCGATCAATACTCTAACAAGTAGTGATACATCTCTAGTTCGAACGAAGGTCGTCTGGTTAGAAGTTACAAGAGGAGTTTCAACGGGTTTGCGGCTCGGCTCACTCAGTCAGAACGAGAAAGAATAGCCAGTGAGTGTTCTTCTTCTTTTTTTTCATGATAAAGTAAACTCTAAAGAAATATCAATTTGGTTTATTCCTTTTTAATAATTTGTTGCATTATTGTGTTCTTCAAGATAAAGTAAACTCTAAAGAAAGTTCAGTTTGGTTCAATGATTTATTTTTGAAGCTTAACTAATTAAAACCATTTATGTTCTTCGTAGACATGGAAGGAGTTGTGTCTGTATTTCCTAACAAGAATCTACAGCTCCTTACGACGACCTCGTGGGACTTCATGGGTTTAAAGGAAGGAACGAGGACCAAGAGGAACCCAATCGTGGAAAGTGATACCATTATCGGGATCATCGACAGTGGTATCACGCCGGAATCTGAAAGCTTCTCCGACAAAGGCTTTGGTCCTCCTCCAAAGAAATGGAAAGGTGTTTGCTCCGGCGGCAAAAACTTCACATGCAACAAGTAATTAACTTCTTAAAATATTACTCTCTTCAAAGACTATAATACATGAAACAACGAATGATCAACTATCCTTGCAGCAAGTTGATTGGTGCAAGGGACTACACAAGCGAAGGATCTAGGGACGTTACTGGACATGGTACACACACAGCGTCCACGGTGGCTGGAAACGCTGTCGCGGACACAAGCTTTTATGGACTTGGCAATGGAACCGTGAGAGGTGGCGTTCCGGCCTCAAGAATTGTCACTTACAAAGTGTGCACCTTCTTAGGGTGTAGCTCCGAAAATATATTGTCTGCGTTTGATGATGCGATTGCGGATGGTGTAGACATTATCAGCATCTCCGCCGGATTAGGATTTGCCTTTCCTTTTGAAGAGGACCCCATCGCTATCGGTGCTTTTCACGCTATAGCCAAAGGGGTTCTCACTGTGAACTCAGCCGGTAACAGCGGTCCGGAAGCGGAAACGCTAGTGAGCGTAGCTCCGTGGATATTCACCGTTGCCGCCAGCACCACCAACCGTGCATTTTTCACAAAAGTTGCTTTGGGTGACGGCAAAACACTTGTCGTACGTATCAAGCAAACTGTTTTTTTCTTCCTTTTTTCAAATCTCTGTCTCTTCTATTCATTTTCTTAATATGAAACAGGGGAAATCAGTGAATACGTTCGATTTGAATGGAAAAATGTATCCTCTGGTGTACGGGAAATCTGCTGCTAATTCTTCTGCTTGCAGCATTGAATCGGCAGAGTAACTTCCTCCACAAGAAACATCATGTTCATGCATATGACCTAGAAATAGTTTCATCTAAACTGATAATGATTGAGATCTTATATATTCTTATTTTCAGGCGATGTGAAGAAGGGTGTCTTCAGGAATCCCTCGTGAAAGGAAAAATAGTAGTGTGCAATTCTACGGATTCAAACGATGCTCAAGTAGATGGAGCTGTTGCAGCCATTACAATCAGCCCAGTGAAGGACATTGCCTTTGTCACTCCTTTGCCACTCTCTACTTTATCACAAGAAGACTTAAACTCTCTCGTTTCTTATATTAACTCCGAAAGGTAACGCTGTTTTTTCTGTTCCCAAGTTTGACCCGAATCACAAACAAACAATACAAGTCTTACCATGATATATGTAACTCGGCATTGTTATCTCAGTTCTCCGACAGCTACTATTCTCAAAACCGAGGCAGTCTTTAACCAGAGAGCTCCTGTCGTCGCTTCCTTCTCTTCTCGTGGTCCAAACATCATCGCAACTGATATTCTCAAGGTCTGTATATATATGTACGAGCTCAGTTTATGTTTATCACTCTATTTCTATCATGTTCTGACTTCTGAGAGACAATGGTGGAGGACTTGCAGCCGGATATAACAGCACCAGGAGTTGAGATCCTCGCTGCATTCTCACCTGAGACTTCACCGTCCTCAAGATATTTGGACACAAGACGTGTGAAGTACTCTGTTATGTCTGGAACTTCAATGTCTTGTCCACACGTGGCAGGTGTCGCAGCTTACGTCAAGACGTTTCATCCTGATTGGTCTCCTTCCATGATCAAATCTGCCATTATGACAACCGGTAACCAAAAATTATAACATGAGTAAAGCATGCGTATTTTCTTGCCTCCCAAGAAACCCATCAACTTTTGTTTAACACTCTTCTTTCTTCTTTTGGTCTCCTGAATAATCTCGCAGCTTGGCCGATGCATGCTTCTAAAGCTGGTGCATTAACCGAATTTGCTTATGGAGCTGGACATGTAGATCCAATAGCTGCTACTAATCCTGGACTCGTATATGACTCGGCTAAAGCAGACTACATCGCCTTCCTCTGCGGCATGAAGTACAATGAAACTACCGTGAAACTCATATCCGGTGAAGCAGTCACTTGCAGTGGAGAAACCTTAACAAGAAACTTAAACTATCCTTCAATGTCGGCAAAATTGTCGGGATCTAATAGCTACTTCACCGTGATTTTCAACAGAACCGTCACCAACGTGGGTAGCCGAATCTCTAAATATAAATCAAAAGTTGTACTAAATAACGGATCTAAGCTCAAGGTCAAAGTCTCGCCTCGTGTCTTGTTTTTTAAGAAGGTGAACGCGAAGCGGTCTTTTACTGTGACTGTTTCAGGCAGCGATCTTGACTCACAACTGCCGTCGTCTGCAGACCTAATATGGTCTGATGGCACTCACAATGTGAGAAGCCCCATTGTTGTTTATAAAAGTGAGTGAGAATGTGGTGGAAGACTTATCTGGCACGTCTTGAATATATTTGACAGATCTACAAATGACTAAATTATACGGTTACACTTACATAAGAACTTTAATCACATGCACAATTTATAGTAACACAATCACGTAAAAAAATCAACGAAGCTAATAAAATTGCAGAGTTTATTTAATACATATTTATTTTTCTGTAACCTGGTTATATACAATAAAATCACAATCACATCTCGAGATCGACGTCCATATATAGCCAGGTTACTAAGAGCATCCATCATCAAATCTCCCCTTAAAACCTATTATAGTGTGAAATCCATCTCCAACCCACCCTTATTTTTAACACTAAAATGATGGAACACTATTTTTTCCCTCATTTATAGTGTAACCTTATTTCTTCCCTCAAATTTGATGTTGATCTTTTTTATTTGCATATTGATCCTTTAATTCTTTCTTTTTTTACTTTTAACTTAAATATATCATAAAAATCATTTTTATTTTGATTTTTTACTAGAATTAATCATAAAACAGTATTTTAGAAGATGGCATGATTTATATTACACAACTGGATTATAATTCTATTTTATTCACTACAAAGTAAATAATAATAGAAAACTTTTAAAAATTATATATATGAGAAATTATTGAAAGTTTTTGTTTTTTTAATAGAAAAATGTAATTTCTTCATATAATAATAGTTTTATTCAAATAATATACTAATTTATAGAGTTTTTATTGAATAATGAAATAAGTGGGGCTAATTTGTGAAACTTATAAATAAAAGGTTTTTAAAATAAATATGGATTAGGAATATACTTAGAATATTCTCTTTTTAGTGTTAAAAATAAGGGAATACATTGGAGAGAAACATCACACTATTATAAGGGAACACTATAATAAGGGAGAAAATAGTGTAATACATTGGAGATGGTCTAATTAATCACCTTTTTCACAGTGAGGAATTAATTAGTAACAGAGAGGTTCAGAGGCAAAACGACAGGTAGACAATGCAGCAACTATTGAGACTGTAGTCCAAGAGCAGAAGGAAGTGAGGCCCAAAACAAATCAGAAACCCAATGCAAATGAGTCCATGAAGAAGCAACAGTCAAAGAGCCGAAAACAGAGGAGTTGACAAAGTGCAAGGAAGGTGCAAGGAAATTGCCAAAAGATGTGTGTACGGCTAAAGCAATAACGAGGCTAAAGCAATAAGACACAAAACAGATATGACATCCTGACAACGATTGGAGAAGATGTCAGAGTGTGTCAAGTCGTTGTATGATCCCATTAGGGTTAAGAGAGTCTTGTGTATCCTTCTAGTATATAAATAGAGCTACTCCTCTATTTATGAAATGAAAAATGTTTTAAACTCAACTTTATCCAGTTTTTCTTAAATCCTTTCATTAATAAATGAAAAGAAGTTGATTTTTTCCCAGTTTCAATTTTTTTTTTTAAGAAGAAACAGATTTTCTCTACTATATTTACGCAAAAAACCAATTAAAGAGAAAAAAATTAAAAAATTAAAAATCTTAATGAGGTTTAGAAAACGTTAATTATCCGATTGAATTTATTGTTATCTATCAAGATAACCCAAAACTTTATTGGCATAATAAGCTAATACATTGCATGTGATTTTCTTTTAAAATAAGATAATACTAAATTTTGTTATATTTTTTGTTCAAAATAGTATATTAACAATCAGAGGAAATTGATTGAGTTTCTTTAATTTGAATCCAAGACATATCTCTTATATATATTCATCTCCTGCCAATTTCCTAATGAAAAAAAAAAAAAAAAATCAGAGTGATTTTAATTTAGTTTGTTCGAAATGGCGAAAGGTGCAACATTTTATTGCCTCTTCTCATGTCTCTTCGTCTTGTTCTCGAGTACAGTCTCAGCAATCAAGGATGCTGATGATGAAAAGCAACAGGTATTACTATAGTAGCTATTGTTTATCAAAACAAAATTCATAACTATTTTCGTTTCATTTATAACAAAATCAATATAAAATTGTTTTTATGATATCTTGTTTTTCACTATGAGTCTTTATATGACCATCCATATACACTATCATTCATGATGACACTGATGTTGATGATAATCTATCTATAAAGGTATATATCGTATACTTGGGAGCACTTCCGTCTCGAGAGAATTACACACCAATGTCGACCGATCACATTGGTATTCTCCAAGAAGTTACCGGAGAGAGGTTTAATTAATTTAATTCTGTCATATTACATATAGAGATACCTTGTTAGATGTAGATAAAACGTTATGATAGTTCTAAAAAGTTTTTTTTATATTATGTGTAGTTCGGTCGAGAAGCGCTTGGTGAGAAGCTACAAAAGGAGTTTCAACGGGTTTGCAGCACGACTCACCGAATCCGAACGTGAAAGATTAGCCGGTGAGTGCTTTCATATATATGGTTTTAATTAATCACTAAACGAATTCACAAATATTTTAATAGATAGAGAAACCTTTAGAGATAAAGAGATAAAACTGACAAGAATTTTTGTAAATTGTCGGTGTTTTTTTCAATATACAAGCTGCGGTTAAAAGTCAAATACAAAAGAAAAATGATAGGTTTAGTCCAACACGATACGATCTTAAAGAATTTAGTCTTACATGGACGGGTAAGACTAGAAATGATCCTAAAATTTTTTAAGACATCTAAACCAATCCTATCCAACCATCACAAAACGGGATTAAAAGACTACATCGGTATGCGTTTGGTTTCCACCACAACAAGGATAGGGAAATTATGAAAATAGTCTAAATTTTGTATCGAAATAAAGTTATTGTTATTGATCTATCTTGTTTATGCATAATTTATTTTCTTTATTGTTTTGCTATTTCTTCTCTCCTTACATTAGCTAATGTTGTTATTTTAGGAATGGAGAGAGTTGTGTCTGTGTTCCCAAGCCCAAAAATGAAACTCCAAACGACTTCTTCTTGGAACTTCATTGGTCTCAAAGAAGGCAGCAAGACAAAGCGGAACCCTAGCATTGAGAGTGATACAATTATCGGAGTCATCGACAGTGGAATCTGGCCTGAATCGGACAGCTTTTCAAACCAAGGTTTTGGTCCCTCTCCTAAGAAATGGAAGGGCACTTGTGCAGGCGGCAAAAACTTCACCTGCAACAAGTAAAACACACTATTTACGTTCACTATAAAATTTCGTCGAACAACGTAACTTATGAGCACTTTTAAGCTTCAAACCCTAAATTCTCTATTTTGCAGCAAAATCATTGGGGCAAGAGACTACACAGCCAAGTCTAAAGGCAAAGAGTCGGCGAGGGATTACACGGGACACGGCACGCATACGGCGTCCACGGCTGCCGGAAACGCTGTCGCAGGAACAAACTTCTACGGGCTAGGAAATGGAACCGCGAGAGGTGGCGTTCCAGCCGCCCGAATCGCCGTTTACAAAGTCTGTGACGCTGAAGGTTGCGGCGGAGAAGCAATTTTGTCTGCGTTCGACGACGCAATCGCTGACGGTGTGGACGTTATAACTATCTCCATCGTGCTCAATGACATTCCACCGTTCCAGCAGGATCCTATAGCGATTGGGGCTTTTCACGCTCTGGCTAAAGGAATTCTCACGGTGAACTCAGCCGGTAACGACGGTCCGAAAATCAGCACGGTCACGAGCAGCGCACCGTGGGTTTTTAGCGTTGCAGCCAGCATCACGAACCGTGCGTTTATGGCCAATGTTGTTCTTGAAAACGGAAAGATACTTGTCGTGCGTAACAAGAAACACTCTTATCTCTATCATCAAAGAACCTTTGCTCGGTTTAACCAATTTAATTCTTATTTTCTTATGAAACAGGGAAGATCAGTGAATACGTACGATCTCAATGGAACCAAGTATCCTCTGGTCTACGGAAAATCTGCTGCTTTGAGTACATGTAACGAGACTAAGGCTAGGTCACTTCCTGTCCAAGAAACCATCAATATTTTATTCTTTCATTTTGCGGCAACATGGTTTTGTACATAACTAATCTGCGATGAGTTTTTTTTTTTCATCTCTTGCAGGTTATGCGAGGCAGAGTGTTTAGACGGAAAAGTTGTGAAAGGAAAGATTGTGCTATGTGAATCGTCGGAAGGTCCAATAGAAGCTCAAAAATTGGGAGCTGTTGGATCCATCGTAAAGAACCCTGAACCAGACCACGCCTTTGTCCGCTCTTTCCCTGTCTCTTTTTTATCCGATGATGACTACAAATCGCTCGTCTCTTACATCGAATCCACAAAGTAACGATTTTGTCTTCCTTTCTTATATTTATAATACGCTGCATACTTCAATTTATCCAACTTTATTGGCTGTTTCGTGTGTGGGTGTGTGTAGAGATCCAAAAGCGACTGTTCTGAAAAGTGTGGAAGCCTTTAATCAGACAGCTCCTCTTGTTGTTTCTTTCTCTTCTCGCGGTCCAAGCACCATCGTTTCAGATATTCTCAAGGTAATTAATTAGTTGATTTTAGTGCTGTTTATTAGTCTCTTTTTGGAGTTTTGCTCAAGCCCTGAGAGACAATAATTGATTGAAAATGCAGCCGGATATAACAGCACCCGGAGTGGAGATCCTCGCTGCCTATTCACCAGACAGTTCACCAACTGAAACAGAGTTTGACACTAGACGTGTAAAGTACTCTGTTATGTCTGGAACTTCAATGGCTTGTCCACACATTGCAGGCGTGGCCGCGTACGTCAAGACTTTTAATCCTCAATGGTCCCCTTCCATGATCCAATCTGCCATAATGACAACCGGTAAATTAAAACTTGAATCCAATTTTTTTAACATACTTGTCCCGCAAGAAACCCATTGATAAGCTTTTAATTTGTAGCTTCGCCGATGAATGCTTCTGGTCCTGGCTTTGGAATGACCGAGTTTGCTTATGGAGCTGGCCATGTGGACCCAATAGCTGCCATTAATCCTGGACTTGTCTATGAATCTACAAAAGCTGATCACGTCACCTTTCTCTGCGGTTTAAATTACACCAGTGAGAAATTAAGAATAATATCTGGTGACAACAGCATTTGCACGAAAAAAAATTCCAAGGCATTACCAAGAAACCTTAACTATCCAACGATGTCTGCTAAAGTGTCAGGAACAGGATCGTTCAAGGTTACTTTCCAAAGAACTGTCACAAATGTTGGTAAGCCAAACTCTATATACAAAGCGAAGGTAGTCTCTAGTCCTGGATCTAAACTCTCAATCAAAGTGAATCCTAGTGTTCTGTCCATGAAGTCCGCCTATGAGAAGCAGTCTTTTACGGTGACTGTCTCAGGCAATAGTCTCGGAACAGAACAACCTGTGTCAGCAAATCTAATTTGGTCTAATGGCAGTAATATTGTGAGAAGCCCCATAGTTGTTTATGCTATGAGCTGATCTGCGGTGGCTAAATAAAGATAGATTTGTTGTTTGTGTTTGCTTTTAGGTATTGATTGTTTGTTTGCGTTTCTCTTTGCGACTTTACATTTGGATAATAACATGCTGTTGGGTTCTGAAAACTCTAAAAATTCATTTTTTCAGAAACAGATGGGAGTATCATTTAAGTAAATAATGGCTAAAGTTCAAATAAAACTCAAATAAAAAGATGCTAGCAAGGTAACAAAAAAAAGTCTTTGACAAATTCTTGTTCTCGCATAAAAATAAATAAACATGGTTGATAACTTGGCAGCTTAATCTACACAATAAAGTAGTCTCAAAAGTCTGCAAATTAAAGTTAAGAGCATATTTTCCAGTCTATTCATATAAGATATCATTCCTTTGTTTGCCAAAACAGAAGATATCATTCCTTTCTTCTTCAACCTCTTAACTAAATAGTACTATAAGGAGTAAGAACTTATGCCTAACGCATGATGTGTAATCCCAATCAAGCATCAAACTATAGTATCTTTCATTGATCCAATTACTATTCTCGAATAATTCTCAGAAATAATAGACAACGAAAATGTGATTATCGAGGGTCTTACTTGATATCGGGAACAAGTGATTGATATATAGCGTAGTAGTAAATCCAAATATTTCAAATTCTATAGTCCGTATTGTATATACTTCTCTACACCATGAAAGGGTGATTTAACATTAAAACATACATTGTAGTATTTAATTTTAGGTTATGGGTGTTTTTGCTTGTAGTTTCGGACTATAGAATATGCAACTATGAAGGCACGTACTCTAGGTTGGTTATCCACTATTTGGATAGTTTTCTTTTTGTGGACATAATTGATTGTAATTTGTAACGAGCATAAATTATTTGATCTTGGAACCCAATCAAGGACTACCATAAACATAAAATACTGATATAAAATCTCATTTTAAAATTTTGTTGCAACGAACTGATATAAACCCGATCAAGGACAAGGACAACACTTTTACACACGCGTAAACTTGTATGTTTGTTATTTTAGGTCAAAAAGTCAAAGGCATATTTTACCTTTACACATACATATTAACATTATAACATATATAGGTCGGCAAAACACATACATATGAACTTGCCCACGCTACACATACTGACATACACATATACATATTACATACACGTACATAACTATATATATGGCATTGACTTACGTTCGGAAGTAAAACAAGGGACCAGTGAGAAGAATCTCTTACACGAGAATCCATCTCTTATCCATAATGGACAACAGTTCTCAGTCTTTACATGCTTTTAGGTATTCACATTCCGCGAATATATATGTTTACAATATGCCAATACTTATTTGCGTGTATATAAATAATAATATACCCGAAGATTTGGGTAAGTAATTGTATATTTTTCATAAAAATGGGCACTTTCCTGATGCTTTTGAGATATACGCGAATGGACCGGACCATATATGTACCAGTTTTTCAAGGCAGCTGGAATTTTTTGGTCTCCAATTTGAGATATTATATGATGAGATATAACGATTTGAGTTTTATTTATTCCCCGGAACCGAATCTCTCTTCCCAACAACGAGTAAACAACGTGTATCATCGTCACGTGATACTTTGCGAGTAAGGCATCCATAGTTCCATATATAGATAAAATTGTAAAAAAACAATATTATCTTTATGTTTCAGAACTAGATCTTCCCGACAACGTGTAAACAACGGATTTTTTCGAATGGTCAATATGTATTAGATGTTAATCTACTAAGCTATAGATAATTGGTAAATAATCTATGTTTCTGTTGATAAATATTATCAGTTTTTAACTCAATTAATAACTATCAAGTCCTCATATACTATGCTGTAAATATTTATTGATAAAAATGTTATTTTTGTAGTGAAGTTTCATAAACTGTAGCTCAAAATCAATTGTATTAGTCCATATTTATTTATATATTAATATAGAAAGTTATAATCAGCTGAACCACACAAAAGCTGAAATAGTTGATATGTCTGGCTTTGTTTCGGTTAGTTACGGGTAAGTCAAGTTTTTTTTGATCCGAATTCAAAAATATATCTAAAACTTTTTTGACAAAATTTAGATATCTGAACTTTTGAACCTAACGTTTCGTTCTGTCCTTGGCTCTGAGTTGATCTTGTGGCTCTGAGCTCATCTAGTAAAGACGATCACTAAAATTTTATAAACTATTTTATTGTTTAAAAGCTTTCAAGATATTTTTCACAATAATTAATGATTGATTTGTGAACCTTGAAGATAAAGAAGAAGAAAACGAGTAGACTTCATCAAGTGGAGAATTTTTGTGGACCTCAACTTCTCGTCTTTGATCATATATTTTTTCTTAAAACAAAAAGAAAATTAGTTATAGATAAAGTTAAATTTAACCAATATAATAGTTATGGCCAATTTCTTTTTAAATATTTTTTTGAGTGCAACTATTCAGATCTAAAAACGGATCATATGAACATGCGTGCGATTGAAAGAACTCTCAAGTTCTTCTTCTGTTCTCTTTTCCACTTTGGCTCTATGTGATCAAGAAAGGTCGCCAATTAATCCTCGGAATGACACGTGGCAATATATCATTTGCCCGACCTGAGACCCGGCGCCGGACTTATCTCTTTAAGATATCTCTTTCGGATATTACAAGAGAAACATTGAACGTTAAGTCTTTGAAGAATCTCACTGTTTGTGTCCTTATCCGAAAGAGGTAAAGAATCCAAATTTGTCTGTCTACAGGCTTCCTCCAAAAAAGACTAGAGCAAAAATTGAAATAGTCGGCTACAAATTAAAAGAATTTAGCCTTACCAATATAAATAACAAATTCAAAGTCAATATTCAAGGTCACTAGTTCAACTTCATTATCAGTGATTATGGTATTATCAGTGATTGTCCCTATGCACCAGAGTCCAGAGATATTAGAGATTAAAAGGCTGGAAACTTTCTCAGTTTATCCAAAAAGGAAAGAAAAAGGAATGGCAAAGAAAAGATGGTGAGGCTTCTAATTTCACTAGCAAAGAAAATAACATCAAAGTAATTGAGATTCTTTTTTAAAAAATGCAAAAGAAGCAATAGTCTTTTCAACATCAAGAAGAGAACATACCCATAATAAGCCTCTTTTTCTTGACGGATGGTCATGATGATGAATGGTTATAATGATGATGATAACTCCACTATCTCCATAACCTAATCCCTTGTAGCATTATGTATATATAGCCCCATTGAGTTCTTGTAATTACACAAACCTCTTCTTCATCATAGTTCTCCTACATAAGAAGAATCACAAAGAGAATCTATTTAAAGAGATTAGAGTGTTAGCTTTGAATATCTATTCATGGAGAGTAAAAGACGAGTTGGATCATCAACTTCTTCTTCTTTCACCACCGAACTCTTCGGATCCAAAGATCCTTCGCCGCCATCTTCCTCCGGAATCTTCACTTCCATTTTCCCCCATCCATCCAAGGTTCTATTACCTTCCTTTTCTTCAAAGTTTTTTTTCTTGCGTGATCTGATTGGTTCTTGAGGCTTAATCTTCGGTTTCTTGATTTAATTTCTCAGGGCGTTGCAAGAGATGGTCAAAACTCCAAACATGGCTCACAAGGTCAGTATGAAAACAACTTCCTTCTTCTTCTTCTCTCCCTGTACTCTCAAAATACTCTGCTTTTCTTGAATCAAAAATGGCTCTATTTTTCTGAATGAAGATGTTTTCTTACACAGCTCAACGTAGAGAATCTTTAACAGCGCAAGACAAAGTTGATCCATGTCATCTAAGCTCTTCTCTTTACTACGGTGGTCAAGACGTATACGCTCGATCCACCACCAACCAAACTTACCCTACAGTGAGTCTTCTTATATTTTTGCTTACCACTTTCAGACTAAAAACAGAGGATTTGGCTGATTAGAAAAACCAACTTTCAGGTAAACAATGAGCATCAAAGAAGCGGAGAACACGATGCTAATGGACAGAACTCACAAGATGTTTCAAGAGGAAACTGGTGGCAAGGTTCACTTTATTACTAGAAAACAAACAATACCTCTAGTTTCTTTGTAAATCTCTCCAAGAACCCATGAAAGCTCAAGCCAAGTACTAATTATATCTACTGAACCAAGACTTTGTATAAATAAGTCTATGCAGGGAAAAAAAAAAAAAAAGAGTTATTAGGAGATTTCCATGATTAAGAGATAATATCAAAGGGATCTCCTAGTGAAAATATCATGAATAGATTTCTCTAGTACTTGTTCCAATCAACTGTATCAATATTTACTCTGTTTTTTTCTCTTATGTTCAACAAAAATATGAAATCTTCAGCGTTTTACCAAACGCAAATGCGCATGACCAATCCAGACATCCTTACAGAGGAATCAAACCCTTATATTATTTAGTTTTTACAGAAACTGCTTACAAGTTTATGTTCTTTCGTCTATAACCTATCGGATCAAAACAGATTAAACAAGATTTAAACTTCGGAATCTTAAGCTGAGGAAGTTTGTATAGTACAATAGCTCTTATCCGAAATACAAAGGAACAACCTTTCATACGCATCAGCCATTTTAGACGCCGTGAAAAGCCTCAACGACCGTTCACGCGCCTCCTTGCCTTTCCTCTGCAACTCCTCTGTTCCGTCGCTCACAACCCGCGAAATCGCCTCCGTTAGAGACTCAACATTCGGTGAGAATGTATATCCCAAATGTGGACCGACGACCACTGACCCAGTGATGCTCGCTAGCTTCGTGGCTAAGACCGGTTTGCCTGAAACCATGGCTTCCAAGAGAGTATGATCGAGCCCTTGTGCTCGAAGAGTCGGGTTCACAAACACATCGATGGCGTTGTAGAATCCGGCTAACGTTTCTTGATCTAACGGTCCAAGAACGATCACGTTGTTAGACCCAAGGTCTCTATATCTGTTTCCCCACGGACCATCTCCAGCTACTAAAACGACGACGTTCTCGCGTGCCGTCTTGTTCTCTTCGAACACTCGTTTCAAAGCTGAGAACATCAAAGGGTGGCCTTTATCTTTCACTAACCTCCCTGCGATTCCAAGGACCAGAGGAGCTTTCTTGTTCTTGCCGCTTCTAACGCCGAACTTCTCTCTGAATCTCTCGCGTTTGGAAACGTCCGGTTTGAAAACGCTCTCGTCGACGCCGTTTAAAATGATCTGGACGCGTTCCTCAGGAATCATGTAGATCCTCTTGAGTACGTCGCCGCAGTGATCGCTAGTTGCCACGTGGTAAGCGTAGCGTTGGAAGAATTTGACTTCTTCCACCACTCGCTTCGCTCGCTCCGTCAGAGCAGGAGAAGAAGGCGGGGGCTGTTCTTCGTCGGCTCCGGCGGCGGCGGTGGCGTCTGCTTGACGGAGGAGTTCTTGAATGATGTCGGAGTGAAGAGTCTCGTAAGCGATTCCGTGCCATGACGCGACCACGTTTTGGAGGTTCTTGGCTCTTGTGTGGAGAAGCCCGACGCTTTCCGTGTGAACCACGTCAAATGGTTTTCCGCTCGCGTTCTGCGTCTGCGATTTCAGGAAAATATTTCAGTTAAATTATTTTAAAAGTGAAAATGTAATTTATTGAAAAATTGAAATTTAAATGTCATTAAGTAAAATTTAATTAATTTAAGTTAAATCTGAAATGAGTGATACGGCAGTTTGCGATTAAACAAAAAAACTTTCCGCATTTGTACGTAAACGCTAAGTGCGATCGACGTCCAAACCAGCAATCGCAGTAACATTTAAACTTCCGGTTTACCTGAAGCTGTTGCGAGACGGTAGCTTGATCGAGATATCCACCAGAAGTCGGCTCAGAGAGATGGAACCGGAGAGTTTCCAGTCGATATTCAGGGAACGACGGAGAAGCGGCGGTGAAAACATGAACCTCGTGGCCACGATTAGCTAGAGCAAGGTGCAGCGTAAGCGCGTGTCTCTCGAGCCCACCAGCTTGCGATTTCTGAGGCCATTTCTTGACCACCACAGCGATCTTGAGAGTCCTCTTCGGTTTAGTAGGGAAGAAAGTGAGATGGTTCCAAGCGGAAGAGAATCTAAGAAGGTCGATGGTTTCGTTGTTATGGTTGCCATCAAATATGTGAGGGTCGGGATTGTGATCGTAAGGACAGGAACAGAGTGTTGTGTTGTGTCGGAAGAGAAAAGAAACGAAGGAGAGGAGAGAGAGGAGGAGAGTGAAGTGATAGAGATATCTGAAACAGAAGGAGAAACGCATCAATGGGTTTTCTCTGGCCATGGAAATGGAAACGAGATTGAATCTGGAAACTCAAATTTAATCGGTTAAAACAAAAAGAAGAAGTAATTGTCAGTGGATTGAATCTGGAAAAAGGGTTAACCAAGGCACTTGATTTGGATTAGATCGTGTTCTTTTTTTTTTTTTTTTTTTTAACATCAAAATCGTGTTCTTTAAGTCATATGCACATGCTCTCGAAATAAATCATCGCAATAAAGTCTTGCCCCTGAGAAACTAGAATATGAAATTAACGGCAAAATTGGTTAGCATTGAAAGAAATTTGGATTGCGTGCCGTCCCGACCGAGGAAAAACGCCGAGATGTTGACTTTGTGAGATTCAAACGACGTCATCTTACTGAAACGGAAGGAAAACAAAAAGAATGCGCCGTTGCCGGGGATCGAACCCGGGTCACCCGCGTGACAGGCGGGAATACTTACCACTATACTACAACGACATTTTGTTAAAAATTAAATAATAACAAAAATAACGTAGTATTAAACTGAACTTCACAGACAAAAGCTCTAATTATCTATGTACATGATCTATAAGAATGTAGTGTTCTACGGTTGTGCGTCTGTGCCTATATTTGCATCGATAAAAATATGTCAGCGTTAGAAGTTTGATTATCCCATACTCAAAAGTCCAATATATATATGGTTAATGGTTGTTAGATAAAGGCTTTAGCATAAAGGGATATTAGACCAACTTTCGGTATTAAAAACTAGTAGTGACGAGTAAAACGTTGCAAATTCAAAAAAAAGAAATCAATATTTGTTTTTCTCATTAGAATGTGAAGTTGTGAATGCTACAGCAGTTAGTGGTAGGAAGTAGGAACTATTTATAGTATTTTATACGGTTATACCAAGAAAAGGTTGTGCATACTAATTTATGTTTGGTCAAAACTTAAAAGGTAAACCTAACCTTCCCTCTAACATTTGTTACTTCAAAACGTCGCACTAAAAAGAGAAGAAGAATAAAATTTTGACCCAAAAAAATAAAAGGTTATGAAGAAGAAGAAACATCTATGTTTGTCTCCGAATCCCTCATCTCAAGCTGCATTTGTTGACTTAATCCATATTAATCCCAAATAACCAGTCACCTAAACCAATGATTAGGTGTCACTACAAAAAAAAGTGTGTTTTACATCATTTATTTTAAATATTTGCATTAGTTATAAATGATGTAAACTAATTTTACATCACTTATAAAAATGACTGTAATTGTGGTGATGCAAATAATTTACATCAGTTTATTAAGAACTGATGCAAAAAAAAGTGTATTTGCATCAATTATTGCAATGGATGCTAACTTTTTCTCATCAGTTAGAAAAATGATGCTAAAATTTACTTTTAAATAAATTAATTATAATTAAAATATTTATTATTTTTTACTATTTTTCTTTTTTTTCGAATCTGCTTATATTCAAATAATAATAATAAATATTTATAAGCTGAAATAAAAAGACGAATTCCATACAATAAAATACGAATATATTTGTACAAAAATAAAACCAAATCTATACTCATTATGTCAAAGTGATCCAGTATTCATACTAACTAATAACTTAAGCAAAAATAGTTTTCATCGTCACTTTGCTTCCATATCTTCTGCGCTTGATCAACCAGTCGATCACTAATAGTCTAGTACCATTCATCACCACCATAACACGACGCTTGATCGTAAAGAAGTTAAAGTATTTCCTGAAAAAAAAATAGAAAATCATATATCCAAAGTAAAATAAATCCAATCACAGAAAGCATTTGTATTCATATCAAATAATATCTTAAAGCAATTGGCAAGATCTAATGTTTTCTTCGATTGCTTATAGAAACGAGAACTTAATCCTAACGAAACATCTACATAGAAATTAGGCACATAAGTTATCAGATCTATTTACCTTCAGAGGGAAAAGAAACAATTTAGTGTTGGCAGCATGAATACACGAGCTCTTAGGGAAGTTTTATTTGTTAATCCTTTTGTGGATGTCTTCTGTAAACATTCGGTTGTTTCAAAGTTAGATTAGGAGAAGAAGAAAACAAACTGCAGAGGAAGTGAAGGTAACTGTTAGGATTCTACGAATATCTATAATTGATTTTTGTTTAATTTAAGAAAATAAAACTCATTCTACCGGGAACCAAAAAAAAAATTAAAATGAAAGGAAAAAGGAGTTTGGTCAGTTACTAAAAAAAAACTGATGTTAAGTTGTAAAAATTTAACAAAAATTTAATATAGCGTTATTTTTATATAGGCATGCAAAGTTTTGCATTTTAACATCAATTTGAAATTGATGCTAATTATTATCATTATTCTTTTTGTTAGCGTTACTTTTTAATTGATGCTAAATTATTTTTTCATTAGCAAAACCGATATAGATTTATACAATTATATCAATTTTGTTAAAGTGATACAAACTAGTAAAATTTAAATCAATTTGATTGAATTGATGCCAAACTAATTAATTACAACATCAGTTAATTATAATTGATGTATAGTAATTTAAAACAGTATCACTCACATTTGTGATGCAAATTAAGTGATACAATACACACTTTTTTTTGTAGTGTGTATCCCCACACGGCTACACGGATAGCTCATAAAATGTATATTATAAATCGAGTTTCTGTTCGTGTTCAAATCTTTTTTGTGAGGGAACTTTATGATATCATCGTGTATAAGGTGAAGGTTTAGACTTTCCAACTATAAGAAACAAAATATATGTATTTGTTGACAATGGAATCGTATAATTTGGTTTTTGATCTGGTTATGGTTAGCAGCTTTTTCATTGATTATTAGTTAGGAGAAGGAGCCTATTTTATACATTAGCTACCAGAATTAGAGCCTCAGAGCATAGTGGCATGCACATAACTTATATTAGAAGTTATATTGAGAAACGGATTTTGAAATTCCTTCTCTAATATTTTAATACATTTGGAAAAGTGTACGATGATCTTAATCTATTTTCAATCAATTTATTGTAAAGTTTTTCAGTGTGTTTCTTCTTAGTTGATGATATACATTCGTTTATTGGTGCAATTTTCCTAATACTGAAATGGGATACTGATCAATGAAATGACAAAGATACTGTTGGGGACAAATTTTCAAGAGTGTTTGGATGATCGAATCGGAGTGGGTAGTATTCACCAAAATACGTCGAATCTTTCAGCAGATAAGTCGGTTCCCTATATTCACTGTTCCTGTTTTTTTTTTACCGCCTTTCATAATTCTCCTGATCGGAATAAATTCCTCTCATACTAATTACAAATTCACAATTCTCTCGAAAATAATGTGATTTCAAAACATTGTTACACAAATTTAAAATTTAGGGATAGAAATATTTTTTACAGCTGTAATATAATAATTATGTAAACTATAAATAGTGTATAAATCAGAATTTAGGCTGAATACACTGTTTTAAGAAAAACAAATTTAAGAAAATTCACCTAAAAAAGGTCATCTTAAATAAATGCACTCATCTATACAAAAATAAAAAAAGGGAAATATACAAATGTATCTTTTTTTTAATATTTAGGCTTCCTTAATCCTTAATCTCTCTCGTGACTCGTGAGTCGCAACTCGCAACAATTGGCAGGTGAAATTGTCGTAACGCCTTTAACTATAGCTGCCCATCTGTACGATCTTCTTCTTCCTTCTTTATATATTTCAACCCAAACTTCTCTCTCTCTCCCTCTTCTCTCTGTGCTTGATTTACTCTGTTTTCTCTCTGTTCCAGATTTGCTCTGTTTTCTCTCTGTCCTTGATTTGCGCTCTCTCTCATCATCAAATGGAATCTACTGAGCTACAAGACATAGATTTCTTTAGCTCCTTTTCCGGGCACACAAGCCCAACTTTCTTCACTCCAACCACAAGCTCGCTCCGACCCGACTCCGTATCCGAAGACATGGATTCACATAACTTGGACGAAGAAGACGAGTACGTCGCCGACTTGACTCGCCAGATGACTAACTATATGCTTCACGACGATGAAAAGCATCAAAAGGTACAAACTTTTTTATAAAACTTCACCAGATTCGATTCTCTATCTCCTTTTTCACTCTTAATTTCTTAACAAAAATTGTTTTTTTTTTTCCCAAAAATTCAGTCATATGGTGGTGGCTCTGGCTCGCCGCAATCGACTCTTTGGTCACCTTTCGCTTCCGGTTACAGTAGCCCAATCGGCCCTTCCCGTGAACCATCGCCTCCTCCTACTCCGGCGATGGCGGTGGAGACGAAGCCTATTATGATCCCTTTTCAGTCAAAACAAGCTCTCATCGATGACCAGATCCGATCTGTTCAAGCTAACGTGAGCTCAATTTTTTTTTGTAAAATGTTAAATTTCAATGTTTTAATTAATTATTATTAATTTACTCGGAATCTTTGTTTTTCTGTAAATTTGCCGTTGGTTATAAACGGAAGGTCCAGATTAAACACTTGATGAAGACAGAATTTTGTTTCCACCGTCGGATGCATTTATCTTTCTTTTGTTCAATATTTTTGTATGTAGTTCCATAAGATCAAAATGGAGAAAGAGAAGCAACGAAACGATGACGTATTGAGGCACAAAGCAAGGAACTACCACCACCAGCAGCAGAGACCCAGGTCGGGGGTTAAGGCGGTGTTCGTTGACGGGTCGGGTTCGAGAACCGGATCGGGTGGAACCGGAGTGTTCTTGCCACGTGGTCATGGGACTGTTGAGGAGTCACGCAAAAAATCAGGTTCGAGAGCCAATACCCAATAAGTAGAGTAATTATTTCATCATTATTACTTCTTTCTTTCTTCCGTTATGAATTTTTTGTTTTTGGGGATTTGGGAAATAAATTAGTGGTTTTCACAAAGGTTACGTATTATAAAGGACAAAAGTTTTAAAATAAGATAGGATGACGTCTTCTAACATTTTATCAATATATTCTTTCAGATTCCAATTTGTTCTTTTTTGGGGGTTGACAAAGTAGGAATCTTGCATATGTTAAGATATGTCCTTAATATATCTTAATGATGTCAAACAAACCACTGAAAATATTAGATTTAGAGTTCATAATTAAGATTAATTGGTTCGACCTCGACGTAAATGTTATAATTAATGTGTAATTATTTGTTTTTATGTGGTCGACAAAATGGATAAAAAATTTCATGCCATGTTCACTTGCTTAGTGTAAGAATCGACTTTTGATACACTGCACAAATTCCATTCTTTCTGGATGTGATTATCTTCTTATCGTTTACCAGATACGACATAAATACTTTTAACTGGAATGGTTACTAGTTGGGTTACGATTAGGTTGGGTTAGTTTAGATTGAGTATCAATCATCTCAAGTTCAAAACTCAATTATTTAGGAAAAATACTATATAATAAGAATCTTGCTTTACATAATTACACTGTTTGACTGAGTAGATTCCCAAGATTCCTTCTCTCTCACCAAATCGATCTCTTTTTTTCTTTTTTTTTTAAAGATTTTCTGTGGCTGTAGTTCTGACAGATATGCCCTCCTTAATTAGAATCTTACCTCAACTCGTTGGTCCCCATTTGCAAACCCTTTCCCTTTCAACAAAAATAAAACCAATTTAGGTTCAAAAATCATTATCATTAGTTTTCATTTTCTTAAGACCCCACTTGTTTCATTCAATAAGTGGATTATAATCTAAGATAACGTAGATATTTATTCATCCCGTGATTCTTTTCTCTTGTCACCGTTTGATCATTGACAGGCTATAACCGAACCACATAGTGTAAACTTTGTTTCTTTCTAAATATAGTATTATACTCCAATTCGGAATTAGAAAGACACTTAAAATCTCATACCCGCATGTAACACTAACTAAGATTGACACAAATGATTATACATAAAATCTCAACGCTAAGACTTTCTGCATATTTCATTTTCAACTCTTAACCGTTGCCCAATTTAGAAGTCGGTGGTTTAATTTTCGGCATCATATGATTTGATGTGGCTTAGATATTGGTGGGTGGTGGTGGTGACAATATACTATTTATTGTACTGCTGGTATTAAGATTTGTTGTCGTTCTGTGAAACTGATGTCTCAACTGTACAATTCTCTCTCAAGTCATTACTCTCAAGCACCAGACCGGTTTAGTTTGGTTTAAATGTAGATTTAGTTTGGTTTTGACTTTTGTGTCTGACAGAAATATTGGTTGCAGGGTGTTCAACAGTTATAATACCAGCAAGAGTGGTTGAAGCCTTGAAAGTTCACTTTGACAAATTGGGTGTTCCTTCTACATTCTCTTCTGATATCCCTCCTTTTCATGGTACCAACCCCACCTATCTTTTTCCTTCTCTAGTTTCCTTTTTTTTTTTTTTTTGATTATTCTTTGAGTAAAGTTACGTTTTACAAGAATTAGCTTTACAACTATAAACAACCTCTTAATTTTTGCCGTTATATGAATTTAAATTATGTATTTATTTATATTGAAATTATATACCTTAAATTTCTTAGATTTTAAGGTATATAGTTTCAGAGCTTCTCGAATAAATTAAACTGGTGTCGGTTTGACATGATTCTTGACGGTTTTGTTAACCAGCCAGATAAATGTTTTTTTTTCTTCCATTGATATAAATTCTTTATCATGTAGATGCTTTGTTGGTGTCCATGAAGAACAAAAACAACAAAGGGAACAAAAGTAGTTCATCAACTCGGGCTAAAAGTGGACCACCATACATGGTGGAGACGTCCGCCGAGAGCCACGAAGAACCACCGGCGGATTTGCCACATGAATGGACGTACTGATCAAACATTGTCACATGCTCTTGGTTGCTGAAGTTATAGGTTTTCAAAAGGTAGTGTCTTTTCGGATTATAGTGGGGTCATAATATAAATGAAAAAAAAAAAGCTTTCAAAAACCATTATTTTTTTTCATTGGAAATATTTAGGTTTTAAAGGTTGGTGAATTTGTTCTTTTATTATTGTTAGTTCCCTAAGCTGATTCAAGTAAAATCAATAATTCTTGGGATAAAAGAACAATAAAAATGTGCATATATATGTTCATATATATCGCATGTCTATTGTAATAAAAGGGATGGGTTGTTTTGTGTAAGATTCCTTGTAATAAAAGCATTATGCATGTAGCCAGTGTGATAATAATAAAAACAATTATTTGATTACTACGTCTGTTAGCTACTTTGTAACTGTATATACAGAATTTTAGTCATGGTATTCCCGATTGCGAATAACCATTACACAGATAGGGAATTTTCAATTTCATCTAAATAATCATAGGACAGCCTTTTTCTTGACGTTGATGTATATTCATTTGTTTGATAAAAACGATCGAAAATGACTAAATATATAACATTACGGGTTTGATAATTTGCATTCAGTTAGTAGCATATGTATAATACCCAATATCACAATTCGCCGTGATTATATATAGTCGTGTTTCAGTGTTTGTGCTGCTCTGTGGTCTCTTTATATTAAACCGCTTTGAATGTATGTAAATAATGTCAAAGATATGACATGTTCGTGGCCTCGTGGGTGGTCTTAAATCCGCCGACTTCTTGTACAGTGCTCATATGTCTTTGACTTCTTCATACTTTCACTTTATAAGGTTCATGTGCACTCACGTTTGTCCAGTGACGGTGTACATAGTACATTGCTCCACTCCTCATGTGACTTTCTTTTCTTTCGTTTCCTTTTTATTTTATTTGTTTGTTTACGTGCACCGACGAATTATGTGTACAAATATCTTCATGCTACTTAAGTTCGTTTATAATTATTTCTTGAACAAAGATGCAGACTTGTTTAAATAGCTTAACATCGATCAGAATTATCCGACCACTCATTTCAAAAGGACTATCTTGTCTAAGCACTATTTCTTAAATGATTTTAACTGTGCTGTTTTACCAATTGAAGAATTTATCCCAATATACGAACTTTTTTTTTGTATGAATATTAAATACGAACTTATTAGTTATTAGGAGAGTGCCCGCGCAATGCGCGGATTTGCTATTTCCAAAAGTTTATTTTTTTGTTCCCTTTTAAATCTTTTTGGTTCTCAATAACTATTGTTCGTAATGATTTGTTAACCCACATTTTTGTACGTGTATGAAAGTTAAAATAGATTGATTAGCATTTCATTACGGCCTAGATACAAACTTATTTAATATAATAACATTATAACATATCCTATGAGCTTTTCAGATTAGCACAGTATACAAAGAGGGAAACAACAGAGGTCCCCAATTGTACTACCTTTTTGTAATTTTAAAAATACGTTTTTAGATTGAAGTTGAGAAAAATGAAAAACTACTTCTGGACCTTTCCCGAACCTTGTTCGAACTTATATGTTGGACGAATTAAGATGTGGAAAATAGAGTTGAAAAAGAGCTTCGTTCTTGCTCTTTCATCCTTCATATGATAAACCATTATTCGAATGACCAAACGACATCCGCATCAGAGTGTACTGAGACCAAAAGCTCGATTGATCTTCAATCAAACTACTCCATTTCTTTCGGAACAAAATTGAAGAGCTCTAATTTGGAATTGAGGAAGATAAAAGAAAAACTTAATGAGTATGGAGATACTTATTAACTCATTCTTGATCTATCCTTTTATGTAAATAGAACCTTAGTGGGAAGAGACGGCCTGGTTTTTCTCATCTAGCTTCTTGAGTATGTTTGACTTGTAAGTTGAAATCTCTGAATCTTCCAAAGAGTCTGGAGGCCATTTGACGATAGAGAGTGCTCCATTAGTTCGCAGCTTCATCTGCAACAAAAGGAGAGTTAGAAATCCAGATGCATTTAGCTTTAAGCACACTCAAGAAGATTAAAACAGTCAACAACACTGAGAATGTTTCAACATAAGAGACGAAAGGCATATATAAATATCTTGCCTGATTTAGTGAGAGCAGAGAGAGCCTTTAGAGCTTCTTTCCTTGTCTTGTCATCTTTAGCATTCCCCAACATATGTAGAAGCTCTTGAGCACCACACAACTCTACAACCTTCATTCTCCTCTCATATTTTATACACAACAAACCAAATGATTACAACATATCAGCACTGGCGAGAGTAAATAAGTATTAATATCAACTTCTTTCTCTTATCAGCAATCCATCAGAGGGAGAAGTTTTTGAGTTATTCTGATGCTTTACCATCGATGGCGAAATAGGGAAAGCGTAGAAGCTCCTATTTTACAACGTTTAACAGTGTTTAAGCATCATCATTCATACCTTATGGGATCAATCTCTGTTGCAGTGTCATCAGTGATAAAGCCATTGATCTTAAAGCCACGCTCAACATTTTGTGCGCGTTGGAGTAGTATCTTCATGTGTTGAGAAAGAACAAGGAGAAAAGTCTTCTTTCTATAGAATAATATTTCTGTGAGAAAACAACCGATGCGAATCAAACCACCAAGGGAAAAAAAAACAATGGTCCAGATTGCAGCCAATTCAAAGATTATCTTACAATAAAGTTTGCAACAACAAGAAAGAGACTCACCAGTGAAACTCAGAACAGAGGAACAAAGTGTTGTGTTGAATATTTGGTTATGTATCTCCATATTATATATCCTTTTAAAGAGTTTGTCTTGGAATGTGCTTGTAAAGCCATCGAACCTGTTAGATAGGCAATTACGAAACACACAATAATGATGCATGACTCGTGAGTAGTAACAACGAAGTACCGAGATTCCTATTTTAAAACCAGACAACAAAATCTCAGAATAATCATATACACATACCCAAGATAACCAACCGTAAGGGAAACACACCAAACAGTAGTTTCTCTTCCCTTATTGTACGGACTAATATCATCTCCTGCCTACAAGCTCTGAAATTTGAGACAAATTATCAAATTTTCAACCAAGTGAAAGCATCTAGGCTAACCTCATTGTGATGTGTGGAGTAATTGTTGAAGATAGTAATGGCGATGGAAGCCATAACAGCGTCGATGAGCCCATCAGCGCAATTAGAGAGCGAATTGTGATGGATCCAGATATGACTCGACCCGAAAATCGAGATCCCGTCTCCGTCGGCCATAGTCCTCCACCCGTAATGCGACATAGAGCTTCTAAGTTCTAACCATGGCGTTACCGGTCGGTCTACAGTCATGAACATGGATCCGATGGATGATGATGTTCGTCACGAAAGCTAACTCTGAATCTACAAAACACAAGTTCACAAAACAGATATTTCCACCGATAAGCACAACTATTAACAATATGTTAACCAAAAATATACATTGCTATTGGAGTATAAATACTGGAAGGTGGTGGAGCGAGAACGTCACTGGAAACCATGACCACTGCCGCTCAGGATCGCCGGATGTGTTTAAGAGGGAAGAGGGTGACGATGAGATGCTTTGAAGTGGGAAAATTGTTCTCAGCTAAAGAGTGAGAGGAGATTGGCCAACGTTTTTATAGTGGAAGTCGGAACGGAAAGAAGAGGAGGCGTAACCGGTGGATTTAATGGCCGACATTGAAAGCCATAACGTTGGAGGAAGGGAGGCAGACAGTTTCGCCGGAGGCGAGTTAATTTTTGATGTGTGGATCCAATTTGGGCGGAGAAGACGGGCCGGAAATATTGTGCCGGGATTTTTTTTTCTAAGTGACGAAACGACGTCGTTTTGCTGGGAGCAATTATAGTTTTGGAATTTTTTTTTCTAAGTGAACAAAACGACGTTTTGGAGCCAGCGAAAAAAAATAAATGTTTTCTGAAAAAGCTGATATGGCACTCTCTCTCGGGATGCTGACGTGTCATCAGCTGAAGAGTGTTACAAGCCTTTTCAATTATATAGATTAGTGTCAATATACACATTCCTAGAGGCCCAACGATATGTTTCTGGCTTATATCCAAACCAATTTCCTAAATATCTGCTGCTACCCTATATATTTTGATATTTTGGATCGGATCAAATCAAAATAAACAAATCTTATAAAACTGTACGTCAAGCCTGAGTCCTTACAAATCGCACTTCTTCCTCAAACTCAGAATCCATCAGTTCAGTTGACCAAAAGAAAAATAATAGGACTTTTGCGGATTCACCAAATAGAGATACTAATGTGGATCAGCTTTTGTTTAGGAGTAACTTATTAAATTGACCTAACCGTACACAGTTAATCAACTATCTTAGAGATAGAAAACAAGAAAAAAAAAATGAGAACAAAGAACGATAATTATATATTAAAAAAAAATAGAATGAAGAACAAATCCGAAAATCGTTAATGCTTTAATTTTCAGGATTATTGTTTCATCGGAAACAAAGATGAACGATTAAAGATGACAAACATCATAACTGATGTAAAAAAAAAAAAAATCAACAATGTGATTGAACCTCGGTGTGATTGTTATTACTAGTGTTCTTAAAACTCCTACTTCCAAAGATCATAAACCCTAATCCGAAACCAGCCATTGCAGCCAAGAATACTCCTCCATTGAACGACATCACAGCCAACATAACCAAATAAGACAAGCCAGCCCTCACGGTGTATACTACCGTCTGGACTAGCCCGAAACCAAAGCTAGCCGGACCGGCTTTCATAGCTCCACAGCGAGAAAGCCACTCCGAGGCAGCTGATACAACGAAAATGACGGCGAGGCAGACCCAATACATGGTCAGACTGGTCCCTGGCCAGCCATCGAATAGAACCTCCGTGTTTGTCCCCCAAAAGAAAGTCATGTGCATCATGCCACCGTGATGACGGCGGTGATGGTTGAAGAACGCCGACGGTGAAGGTGCTGAAGCTGCCGAGGAAGATCCGCTCATGCCGTTCATTGTTTAGAGATATTTTTTCTCGCGTGATGTGAAGATTTTTTTGCTGTTGTTGTGAATGTATGTGTTGGGGTAATTATAAGGGTTTTGTTTTTGGGTTGGAGTTTGGTGTGTAGTACAATGTACATTGTTACAACGATAATGCGATAACTGTGTTTTTATTTGAGTACTAAAAAAACTGTACTTTAAAGATATTTAGTTGAGAGTATATTCTTGTTTTTCGATGTTTTAAATTTTGAAAAAGTAAAATCCAAAGATTGGAAAATCTTAGAGTCTTTGATCGTTCGTCTGGTTTCTAGCTTTACTGTTAACGAAAATTAAAGTGGGCTGAATTTTTGTAATACAACTTAAACCGTGAAATTGTAGAATTCCATATTTTTCATAATATATTCCAACTTAAGCCCAGTAGCCCACTAATAATTCAATACTATATGTACAATTTATATTTTCATAGGCAAATCCAAAAGTAGCTTTCTCGAAAAATGCAAATAAACCCCGAAACGGTAATTAGACGTCATGGTTGGCCTCAAGTGAGTTTCGTCAACGTAACATTAACAACGAATTAATGGAAAGTCCATAATTATACGGGTCTCCTTTATGTTATCTCGCATGATCACATCATTTTATTTTCCTTTTTAGGGAGGGTTTTTACTTGCACACTATACTATCTGACTCATAAATTAAACTGATTCAGCAAATTCCGAGAATTCAATGAATGGTGATCTTTTTCCTTTTTCTTAAAAAACGATGTTATAATTGACTAATTGTAAATCAAGAACCTAAGAATTTTAAAATTCAAAGGTAAATAAATGTCTCCTTTTTATTTCTAAATATTACCCCTTTTGTACAACACAAACTTTGACAAGTCAAAACACAAGTTGTACTACAATAATATCGATAGTCTTATCTCCTCCACACAAACCCAAAACATTTCAAAAAAGAAACAAATCTCAAATAAATGCCAATAAATACCAAACAACCAATTTCTACTTACATTTCTCCTCTCCTCCCAAACCAAACACAAGACCCAAGAACAAAGAAATTAGAATGGATCATGATCACATGCATGACATGCCTCCACCATCATCATCATCATCTTCCATGATGAACAATGGATCTATGAGCGGAGGAGCAGGAGGACAGCAGCAGATGATGATGATGCACATGACTTTCTTTTGGGGCAAGAACACGGAGGTTCTCTTCTCCGGTTGGCCGGGAACAAGCTCCGGCATGTATGCTCTTTGTCTCGTCTTCGTCTTCTTCCTCTCCGTCCTCACCGAGTGGCTTGCTCACTCCTCTCTCCTCCGTGGCACCACCGGAGATTCGGCTAATCCCGCCGCCGGACTCGTCCAAACAGCCGTGTACACCCTCCGTACCGGCCTCGCCTATCTAGTCATGCTCGCCGTCATGTCATTTAACGCCGGCGTGTTTATCGCCGCCCTCGCCGGTCATGCCATCGGTTTCATGTTGTTCGGAAGCATAACTTTCCGGAAACCTCCCGGTGACCGGAAAACTGACGCTGTTCCTCTATCAGGTTGCGCTTGTTGATCATTTGCTATTATGTTATATATATATATATATCCTTGTATTTGTAATAGAAGATCTGTCTAGGGGTTGTAGTTTTCTTGATTATATTGCGGATTGTTCTTGAGGTTCACGTGTATGTGAGTGTGAGGAGGAGGAAGATTTGATAGTTTCTTTTTGTTTTGCTTTGCTTTGATTTTTGTTTTCTTCTGGTTAATATGATTAAGGGTAGCAAAAGCTGCATATATCAAATACTACTTCTGGACACCAATCTGTGTTTTTTTTCCCAGATTTCTAATGCATTGGAAAACAATATTTTCTGATAAGTTTTCATTACAAAATTCTTTGGAAAAAAACACCAAATTCTTTGAACGAAGAAGATTCACATTTATTTTCCGCCCCACTTTTTCCGTTCAGAGCATATATAATAAATCTTCCTATCGATATATGTTTGTAATACACCCAAATTCAAGATATATCTTGTAATTATTCCATTTGCACTACCCCGTGACCTCGCCGACACGAATACACATGTAGACTACATGCTGTAGTGAGCTTATTTTATTTTCTTGGTTTCCTATGTTAAGGTACTTACATGTATAATTTTCTAATAGTTAGATCTTAGGTGGAATAATTATATCTTTATAATAGCTAGATAGATGTAGGAGAAAATAATAAAGAATTGGTATACAATATATAGTTACTAATGTTCGACGAGAGCTGATTAGTCTCATGGCTCAATTTTCAGTTTCACGCTACCAACCCTTTGAAGGAGTTAAAGAAGGAGTGTCTCCAAGATAATTACCCAAATCGTACAGCTTCACAAATCATATGATAAAACTCTGTTTTCTGTGTTTAATAGAATGTGTTAAATTTTATTTGATGGAAATTGAAAACGTTATTCTACCATCCATCATCGTAGACAAAGAGCTTTAACTACAAATCTGTTGAGCAAGATTAATAAGATCTTCAATAAGTGCTCATGCTTAATATGTGTGCAAAGTCTAAAACATACAACTTTACCAAACAGAGAATGTCTTATCTGATATCCATTTATAACTTCAAACCAAACTTATCACAAAATAAAACCACAAAATCGGTTACTTCATTTCCATGCTTCCATTGTTACTACTTACAAGCTTTGACGAATTAAGACGATGTCAAAACTGTATCCTTTTTATAGTACAAGATATTCAAAACGCTAAAAGCCTACAACGTCTCCATTGTAGAGCAGAGAGAGCTGCAGCAAATTCCGTCTTTAAAAGGCTTTAAAAACAAACATGTCTTAATACAAAATTCGAAAGAGAGTACAAAGCCCATTAGTAACAAATTAGGCCCAAATTACTCCATGCTTGGTCGGGAAAATAATCCAGATATCTTTCCGGTTACATGATTAAACCCAAGAGTCTATAGCTTTCCCCGCAAGTCAAAACCTTCTTCCTCTCCGCCATGGTCACATTCGCCATCAACGGGCAGCTTCTCGCTGCGCCGGCAGTTTCCTCCACCGCCTCTCATCTCTCCACTCGCCGTAAATATTCTACCCATTCTTCTTCTCGCGAACTCCGCTTCAACACACAATTTCCTCGCTTCCCATCTCTTCAATGCAGCAGCAGCAGCTCATCTAATCGGAAGACGGAGCCTTCGCCTAACAACAATCTCCTTAAATCACTCGCGAAATCTCTTGTTCTCGGCTCAGTTGCGTCCTCGGCGTCCCTATTTCTTCCCCGATTCACGTCGATTCTAAGCGGCGGCGGAGGAGGAGGCGATGGGAATTCCGGTGGGTTTGGAGGAGGCGGAGGTGGAGGTGGAGGAGATGGTGGATTTTTTAGGGATTTGTTTTCTCTTGCAGCTCCAGTGGCCGTCGCGGACGAGGAGCAGTCACCGGATTGGGATTCTCACGGATTACCGGCGAACATTGTGGTTCAGCTGAACAAGCTCAGTGGTTTCAAAAAGTACAAAATCTCCGATATTCTCTTCTTCGATCGACGGAGCCAAACCGACGTCTCCACAGAAGACTCCTTCCTCGACATTGTATCGATTCAGCCAGGAAAAGTCTACACGAAATCCCAATTGCAGACGGAGCTAGAAACCCTCGCCACCTGCGGATTGTTCGACAAAGTCGATTTGGTAGGGAAGACGAAACCCGACGGGACGCTAGGCGTTACAATCTCCTTCGCGGAGAGCACGTGGCAGCCGGCGGAGAGGTTCCGATGCATCAACGTCGGGCTGATGACACAGGCGAAGCCGATAGCGACTGATTCTGACATGACGGAGAAAGAGATGATTGCGTATTTGAGGAGCCAGGAGAAGGATTACAAGCGGAGGATTGACAAGGCGAGACCTTGTTTGCTTCCCGGAGGGTTTCAGAGAGAGATGATGATGATGCTTAGGGACCAAAGGAAAGTCAGTGCGAGGCTTCTGCAGAGGATTCAGAAACGAGTCAATAAGTGGTACCAGGACGAAGGTTACGCTTATGCTGAGGTTACGAATTTTGGGAGCTTGAACTCTAAGGAACTCGTCTGTGAAGTTAGGGAAGGAGACATTACGCAGCTGGTTATCCAGTTTCAGGATAAGCTTGGCAATGTGATTGAAGGTAACACACAGACTCCAATTGTGCACAGGGAAATCCCCAAACAGGTAAAAAAAATGTGCTTTTGGTTGATTGTTGCTCATCATTGACATGTGAAGACTATGAAGAATGTTGATAGTATCTTTGTGTTTGTTTGGGTGACACAGCTCCGTCCAGGTCATGTGCTGAACATGAAAGCTGCGAGCCAAGCTGTGAGGAACATTTTCGCTCTAGGCTTGTTCTCTAACATCGAAGTCCTTCCAAGTCAAGATGAGAAGAACTCAGGAGGTGTGATTGTTGAGATCAAGCTTACGGAGGCTGAACCGAAATCAGCAGAAGTCAGTACAGAATGGAGTATTGTTCCTGGGAGCACAGGATATCCTTCACTGGTATGCATTGTTTAGCTTCATTGGAGCTTTATAGTTATATAAGCTTTGAATTTTCACTGAATTTGCTATGACACCATCAGGCTTCATTCCAGCCAGGAGGGTCTGTTTCTTTCGAGCACCGAAACATCCATGGGCTTAACCGGTCTGTCATGGGTTCAGTAACCACTAGCAACCTCTTGAATCCTCAGGGTGATCTTTCGTTTACGTTTGACTATGTACACCCATATCTGGACGGTGTTTACAATCCTAGAAACCGTATCTTGAAAACGAGCTTCATCAACAGCAGCAAACTCAGCCCAGTATTCACCGGAGGACCTGGCTTTGAGGAAGCAGTGCCTCCAATGTTAGTGGATCGAATTGGTCTTAAAGCTAACATATCCGAGGTAAGTAAAAGTAAAAGTCACCATTGAGTCAACTTGTTTTCATCTCCTACAAGCGCCTTGATAATCCTGGTTCTCTCTCGTGCAGAACTTCACCCCTCAGAGTAAGTTCACATATGGACTTGTGTTGGAAGAGATCACAACAAGAGATCAATAGAGTCAAATCTCTACAAATGGGATGAGATTACTCCCTAGTGGAGGAATCAGTGTCGATGGACCTCCAACAACTCTAAGTGGTACCGGTGTTGATCGCATTGCCTTCTTGCAAGCCAACGTAACCCGAGACAACACCAAAACTGTGAACGGAGCTACTGTTGGAGAGAGGAATATCTTTCAGGTTTATTCAACACATCCTCATTGCTTGCTGTTGAAGAAATCTAGAGAAGCTTGTTTAACACAATGTAGTAATGTATACAGGTGGATCAAGGATTAGGTATAGGAAGCAATTTCCCGTTCTTCAATAGGCATCAACTAACGTTAACAAGATTCATTCAGCTGAAGCAAGTAGAAGAAGGATCCGGCGAACCACAACCACCGGTTCTAGTCCTCCACGGGCATTACGGTGGCTGCGTAGGCGATCTTCCGAGCTACGATGCGTTTGTTCTCGGTGGACCTTACTCTGTTCGAGGCTACAACATGGGAGAGCTCGGTGCAGCTAGAAACATTCTCGAGCTTGGCGCTGAGATTAGAATACCTGTGAAGAACACGCATGTGTATGCATTTGCTGAGCATGGAAACGATTTGGGTAGCTCAAAGGATGTGAAAGGGAATCCAACGGCGGTTTACAGGAGGATGGGACATGGTTCTGCGTACGGTTTCGGTGTGAAGCTTGGTCAGGTGCGAGCTGAATATGCTTTTGACCATAACTGTGGAACCGGTTCTCTGTTTCTCCGGTTTGGAGAGCGGTATTAAGGTGAAACTCCAAAAGTAAATTTGATTATAAACTTTACATGCAGATTATGGCTCATTTTGTTTATTTCACTTTATATAATTGGCTGTGTGAATTATACAATGAATAGAGAATTTCGTGATTGTTGATTTCACATATGCTTGAGATTTTATCTGAAAGAAGTATAGAGTTTTAAACTTTGTTTGTTAAACATGCTCTGATTTACACATTACATAAAATTGAGATAATTGTTTTTTCTTTACCATTTAACAGAAAATCAATAGGGTTTAGATCATCATACAAAAATCAATTGACAAGCTTCTTCTACTAGACTTCACTTATTCATCAACCAAAACCCCGAACACTAAGACCATTAAGCTACTATAGTTTGAGACCAGCTAACAAATCGACTCCAAGATTACAGAATCATGAAACTACTATAGTTTGAAACCAGCTAACAAATCGGCTCCAAGATGTCAGCAATGTTCTTGCTTCCTCGAGATCCACGCAAGAAATGTAGAAACGGCATGAGCTTATCCACCAGACCACGAAACAGATCGACCAAAACCAAATCGTTTTGCGTGACTCTCAGTGCCTTGCTCACCACGAAATTGCCACAGTCGCTCCTCGCCAGCCTCAGCAACACGTGTCCTTCGCACTTCAAAAGCTCCTCCACCACCACAAACACGACCACCGAGTCCTTCGCATCCAAAAGCTTCTCCACGATGTAGCTTCCATACTTCTTGGACGATAGGTCAACGCAGTGACCACGGAGGCTAACGGCAATGTTACGCGTGCAACGCAAGTCATTCAGCTTAAGCACGTGTTGGATCACAAAGTTGCCATAGACGTCGCTGCTTAGCCAGAGAGCGTTTTGCGCGACCACGTCCAAGAGCTGGTTTCTGTAGTAAGGATGGTCCGAGTCGGTTATGATCTCGTTGAGGGCGATGCAGCCGTGTTGTGCACGCGCGATGTCGAGCGCGTTGCTGAGAAGCTGCTCGTAAATGACTTCTTTCTTCGCTTCGTCGAAAACTTGCATCCCTCGAACCACAACGTAGGGCGCGTGATCACAGGTCATGACGCGGAGGAAACGGCGCATGATAGCGGCGGCCAGGAGGTTGTCCACGTCGTCTGATTTCCCGAGAAGCTTCCGCAGGCGGCTCGAGCCGTTCTTGTTTCTCGCGATCTCCAAGAAGTAATCGGGGTCTGACGTAAGCAAAGACGCCATCGTCTGGAGCTCTCTTCGGGCTAACCTTGAGGATGAGATCATCTCTTTGAAAGAAATCGCGTCTTCTTGCTCGCTGCTAGTCATAAAGTTAAACATCCATTGCAAACGCATCTCACGTTCTTGATCAGAAGTTACGACGGGGAAGAAATCGCCGGGGAGGGAACTGATTAGGTTTTGATCGTCTCTGGCAGGTGGGGCGACGATTGGGAAGCCACGTGGAAGAGGAGGAGGATTGATCGTCGGGATCTCCGCTTCGAAGGGTTCTCTCGCGGCGGCGAAACGGAGTTTTGGTAAAGCATTGTTCATCGTCGACATTGAGAAAGAATCGATGTATGCCATTGTCTCTGTGACGACGTTGATTGATTCTACAGAATGAAATTTACTCTCCGAAATTAATAAAAGGTTTTTGTTGTGTGATTGTGGGGGGAATGAGAGAGATTTGAGATTTGTGGAGTAATGATATGCGTATTTATAGGCTTTTTGATAAAGGGAGGTTTTGTGATTTCCTACTTGTTACAAATTAACATAAGTCAAGGTTAATTACTTTTCGGAAAAGGAAATTTATACGCCGACGTTTCGCTGGAGTATCCCTTTTTCCCTTTTTAATCATAATAGAGATTCCTTGTTCCGATTGTTTTCTGTACAACTAATTCAGATTAATTAAGACTTTAATTCATCAATATGAGATATACTTTCAAATATATTCATTATTCATCGGGAAATTTTCAAAACTCCACCTCTTGAGATGCCAATTTTCAAAAATACACCTCTATAGTGCAAATTTTCAAAACTACACTTTTTTCATTTAGTAAAAGAACTCAAAACCCTAAAATATAAATCCAAAACCCTAAAATCTAACATTGAACCCTTAAATATAAACCCTAAACCCCAAAATCTAAACCCTAGTATAGGATTAGTGAACCCAAACATATATATTAAAATTGAGGAAATGTGTAATTTTGAAAATTTCCACACTATAAATGTAGTTTTGAAAATTTGCACCTCAAGAGATGTATTTTATAAAATTTCTCTTACTCATCTCCCTTTAACGTTAGGTGTCTCGAGATGGATATTATGTAATTTAGAATTGTAATTCGTCTAACCTTAATTCTCTTTTTATAACCTTTTTTTATGTAAATATATATTCCCTTCAATCATATGTCTTTGTCATTCACTTCAAGTTGAAGATTTAGATTAATGGAGAAAGCCAACATTAACTAGTTTGAGACAAGCTTACAATACGCTCCAAGAGAGAACTACGCAAGAGATGGAGAAATAGCATGAGCTTATCCACCAAACGCCGAAATATAAATCCCTCAACGTAGGTGTTTAAATTGTGCACACTAGAGAACACAACTCCTTCTATTTTGCTAGCCTCATTTGACTCGACAACAAGCTTCTTTAAGAGTGATTATTTCAAGAACCGACCATCATATTGGCATTGGTCCTAGACAATTCCCGATGAAGTCATCATCGCTGATATTAGTTGTAGAGAATCTGTTTCAAAGATCCTTGGAGAGCCTAATCCTGAATTGGCTTATCTCATAGAAAACGAATGAATGAATCATGGGAAGGTATAATCCCAAGCTAGACTTTGGCCTAAAACCAAATTCATTGAAAGTATTGCCACTGGTCAAATGTCTCAACACATTCCTATATTGATTTACTCTACCAAGTTACCATTGATTTCACCGAGTTATGTTTTGAAACAATGTTTGGGATTAGCATGAATCCTCTACGCAACGACAAGAGGTGCCATACACATTTATGCCTAACTTTTGAGTTCTTACTTGTTGATGCGGGTGACGAAATCAAAATCTGAAACTCTAGTAAAAAACACCGAACCATTTATTGATTGATCTCAAAATATTCTTCTTGGTTCGGAGAAGAAAAAAGAGAGCTCCGTGAATAATCCATCATTTTTTTTATTTTTTTTTGCGTTTAGATATCATTCACGCTTATACTAACAGAGACATTTCAACCCAAAAAAACAGACAGAGAAAAATATATCGGACAAGTCACAAACTATCCACGTAACCACGTATACATAATACATATTTATTTATATATTATGGGTTTGTTCATAGACCATTGAACCTACGCTCCACCAACTTCTTCACAAAATCAGAGAGTTTCGAAACATCCAGATTTCAAATAGGCTGAAAATGCCATATAAAGAGAAAGTTTGGATCAATGTTTATCGACAGAAATAGCAAAATGTCAATATTCATGGCATGGCCCCATGAGTGATCGAACATCTTCTGTGTAATAGAAATGGTTTAGACATTCTATCAGACACCTTCTGTGCACAATCCTCACCAAATACAATGAAACACAAATCTTCTACTTCTAACTTCTCTGGCAAAGATTAGACGAAAACACAATATACAAATTAAACAGAGCAAAAGATTAGCACCGCTATTTCCGTAGAGAAATCCGACAAAATTTCAAAAGATTCTTACTCGCAGGATTGAATGTAATTTTCGCGATTATTTTACAAAAAAAAAAAGTATAAACCGAGCTCTTTTCTGGGCTTTCCAAATAGGCTCATTGGGCCTACTCCATCAATTAGTAAACGTGGTGGAGAAGAAACTTAAAAACCCTAAATCCAAGAAAAAAAATCTAAAGGCAATTAAAGGATGGTTTTGTTTCAAGTTAACACTTAGTAAGTGAGTATATGTCCAAAAAGGCGTAATGTTACCTCTTTGCTCGACAAAATAGCAAAATTTGCCTCCATGGCCAGCTTATCCATTACAATGTTTAGTGCAACTATCTCACTCCTGTAATCCAAAGGAAAATGGATGAAAACAAGCCAGTTGACAATATAGTCTGATTCAGTCTAACAAGCCAAAGAGAATAATAAAATCTATAGGATAAAACATACAAGTTGAGTCCCAAATAAGAGGAAGGTAAGAGTAAGCAATATGTGGTACATGTACCTGTAAATCGCTGGAAGCTCCACAACGAATTTGGTAGTCACGACACTCGTTCCATAGCAAAATTATCTGATAGGCCAGAAGCTTCTTTCGGAGATGAAAAGTTTTCACGTTCCTATTTATTCATATTAGCCTACCAATCAAATAAAAGTATAAGCACAATATAAACATGCATCTTGAACAACCGCTATGATTGTAGCTAGTACCTTTAGCTCCATGATCAAATTTGCTTGTTCAAATAAAGAATCATGCACCAAATTTGCAACAAGATAAAAATATGAACCAAACTTTAATCTTGATGTGAAAAGAATATGAACAAGATAACTTCTACTTTAAAAGAATAGAGAAAACCACAAAAAGTCAATAGTTCTTGCATTATACATTAAACTGAGCTGAAGTTACCATCGAGGATATGCAAGAACACAGATTCACTAAACGGATACTTATAATCACACAAAAATAAACTTTAGGTACAAACCGATCTGATCTTTCCAAATACTTATACTTAGGCCCAATGGGCCGACCTATGAATGAGTAAGTTTGTAAAATCACACACCGCAACAAGTGATAAGGTAACAACGGCCGTGTGATTTTAGTTTATAACGATCGGAAACGAGAGAGTTGCGGTGAGGAAGAAGCTAAGGATGTGCCGGAAACTGACATGGTTGAGTTCAACAAGAAGTTGAAAGATAATTTTACTATTAGCCGAGGCGTAAAAGGCGGAGGACGAGAGATTAAATGGAGTTGCAATTGGAGAAGAAAATACCGAACAAGAAACTGAGAAACCCTAAATCCAAGAATAACAATTGAAAGGCACATTTTTTCTTCTAGTCAAACGTTATACATTGCCAAAACTATGAATGCATCATTTAAGTTTTGTTCAATCTAATTTGGACTATGTCGTAGTAGATTCATATCATACCTTGATCACTTGACTCAGTTTCAATCTCTTGACTCTGTGATTTGGATCAGTTGGAAGCATCAATGCAATCAAGTACTTGATATGATGACTATAAATATCTTCCAATCGTTTAAAGTTTTTTGAAAAATTTAGTTTGGTTAGTAAGAGACTTGTGGTTGAGTCAAAGACTCAAAATGTCTAATTCAACACAAAGAGAACTGTTGGTGTATCCGACGGAATGACTTGCTGTTGGATCCTTCTTCATGATATCATTATCCCAAAATTGATTCATCATTCACTCTATCACACACTCCGTTTCTTTGCCTATCATTCACACACTCTATCATTCATCATTATTGCCTATTCATCATTCACACACATTCATTCATCATTCACTCTATCATTCACTCTATCAAAGGTAAAGTTTTGTTTGCCTCTGTTTCTCCTATCTCCGTTTCTATTTTTTTTTATTTTCTGACTGTTATTGTTGTGTGTGAGTTCCTAGAAACAGAAGAGGCGGCTATATGGGGCTATACGAGGATAGGCTGTGTCTCTCCATCATCGGAACATAATTTCCGTCTGCTTCTATCTCGGGCCATGGTAAGTAAACCTAATCTCTAGATTCTCAACTGAACACTTCTTGTATATAGCCTATATATGCTCTCATTCTAAACGAAACTAATAAATGGTTATTCAAATGTTAAATTCACGTCATGTAGAAAAGAGCTACCTTGAATGGAGTTGGCTAGTAAATCTCTGTTCTTCATGTTCAATAATCTATACACCCAAGTACCTCCATCTGACCAAGAGAACTTCAGAACCTATTTCTGATATGGCTAAACCCTGTAAAATTAGATAAACAACATGCAATGATAAACTTTAGAATCATTATCATAAACACAGCTACCTGAAATTAAATCAACTAGCATAACATAAGTAAAACATAAAACTGAAATTAAATCAACTAGTTGTCAAAATTTTGCTTTACAAAAATAAGTATAACATAAGCAATTTATAAGCAAAATATATGCAAAACATAATCAATATGTCAATTTTATCGACAGAAATAGCAAAATGTCAATAGTCGTGGCATGGCCCCATACTGAGGGCTTTCACTAAACTATCAACATGAACGTAACTCAAAAACTTAATTCGGAAAATTTCCCAAACAATACGTTAAATATATGTATTCAGGCTCTACGAAAATTATATAGACTATAGTCTATAGTATAGACTATAAAAACTTTTATATGATACTGAATGTAGGTTTGAGTCACCTATGATTTCAAAGATGTTGACCCACTAATTGAACAACGTTTGTTTTTAGAAAAAAAAAATGGGGGAAATTGCCATTAGTGTACCCCAACATTTTTTTTTTTAAAACGGTATACCCATATGACACATTTGACCAGCGGTGTACCCCAAGGGGTGTAGAATGACCCTTTTATCTTTTGCAAGCAAATAATAAACGAGTGCGACAATGACCATTTTACCCACTGTAGTGAAGTCTACGGAAGAAGTATACGACAATTAGACTTCAACACGAAGTCTACAACACCTTGACATCTTAAATTTAAATTAGAAAATTAAAGAAAAATATATAAATCAAAAAAATTATACATAAAAGAGACCTTGATATTTGGCATCTTTTAAAAAGATTTTTTCTTGCAAATGAATTACTCTAATTATAGCAAAGGCAAAGCAATAACAAACCTAGAAATTTTGATTGCAAAGTCTACTTGCAATGTCTACAATCTTACACAAACCTTAATATTTAAAATTAAAATGTATAAAAAATAGTTTGCTAAAATTTTTTGGATAGTAATCAAAGTAAATAAAATTGTCATCTATATAAAATACAATTCATTAGAATATAAAGGTTTATAAGTATCATGTATATTTGGTCCAACAAGGATAGAGTGTAAGGTTCAAATATAGGGTTTAGTAGTATAAATTGTAAGGGTTTAGAAAAATATTTGTTGGAAACCAGGTTTTCACGATGTGTAATCATTTATGGCTCAAATCTCTGTGGATCATAATGTAATTTGTGTATATGCAACGAAAACTAACTTATGCTATACCTTTGTTTGTGTGAAATAGTCGGTTTAGTGTTTAGGGTATGGAAGACTTCTAGTGTAGACTTGCTGAGAAGACATGGACATGAAGTATAAATAACCGGAATCTTAAATTTAACCAGATGATCCCCTTTCATATAAATAGAGAGCGAAACCCTAATTTTGGTTAATCCATTGAAACGATTCTCTCTCTTGGCCACACGGCGCAGCTTCTTTGTTATGTTTTGTTTTATGTCTACGCATCTCTATGTATCGTGAGTTCCATATGGCGTTTGTATAGGGTTGTGACCTCCATCTAGTAAAGTGGTGGGATGAGGCTATGATGGAGGAATTCGTTCTCCTGCGACGTGCTACTGACAACCAAGGAGATTGCGTTCGTGTCCTGAGAGTTGCTGATCGGATTGAGGCAGAGCTAGGTGAACTGAAACGCCTAGCTCTTACGGAGAACAAGCGTCACAGGGGAGTGGAACTGAACATCGTAATCGCGCTTGTCGTCCTCCTCGCAGGCTTCATCATAGCCTGCGGATGCATGATTATGTTTTAGAAAAGTTTGCATGGTTGTTTGAGGAGAGCTGTATAATATTTGTTGTATTTTCCGTGTTTTAGTAGACATCTAATGTAGACGTGAACGGTAGACTTTAAAAGTAGACTTCCTTATCGTTTTAAAGTATATGTTAAAAAATAATTACCAGAAAATTGGCTACATATTTATTGGTAACCCTAAAACCTTCATCATATGTTAGTCATGATGTTGACTACTGTAAAATTACCAATGTCAATTGCAATGTAAATGTAATTAGTCGAGTAGGAACGATATTAAGAAGACTTAATATTTTTAACTTCATGTGTAGACGACGAGGAGAAGTATACAATTAAACATTATTAGCGCGGGAAAATTCGCGGGCTTTTTTACTAGGGCATTCGAAATAATGACTTCATCTGTAGACATCATTAGAAAAGTACGTTTTTTCATAACTTCAATTGAACCAACTTGAATTTACAATAATTAGACCGAAAACCGCTCCGATTACCACGGGTATATCGATAACCGCTCCAATAACCGCTCCGACCGTGCGAGAGTTTACCTAATCTCCCCATTTGGTAAAGTTTCATTTTTCCCAAACGAAAGTTAAAATTTGTCACGAAAGGGCGATTTCCGACGTTTCGAACGCCGCCGGCGATTTCCTCTCACTTATATCTCCGCCGCCTGTGGATAATTCGTATAATCGTCGCTGCTGTAAAAATCTCCAAGTTCATCTCTCATCTCCCGTCCCGCTAGTAACGACCGTAAGCTATTTCCCTCTTGTATCAACTTTTGCAGATTCCAGTGTTCCACTTCACCGTACTAACGAATTAGCCTTTCGTCTTGATATCCTCCGCCACCTATACTCCATTGTCGTTGATGTACTTCAGCATATCGTCGTTGCCATACTTCCTCCATCATCTTCACCATACCCCGGCGTGGTACCGAGTATAGCGGTAAACTAGGGTCAGTAAACTACCCAATCTTTCGATTAATGTTGTTTGTCGTTCGCCGTATATTAGGGTTTGGTGATAGACTTCGTATTAAGGCTTGGTATGTAGACTTCGTATTATGTCTTCGTATGTAGACTTCATATTTGGACTTCGTATTTAGACTTCGTATGTAGACTTCATAGTTCGACATCCGATGTTGACTTATACTGTAAACTTTAAAGTTATACTTCAATTTGTTATATACTAGTAATAGTGATCTTTTCGTTTCTTGCTATTGCATCAGGATGGAAAAGCCTACATTTCCTAGGAGGTTTTTCACCAAAGGTTCAGATCCTGAAAGCGACAAAAGCATCGGGTATTACAGCAACAACACGAAGTTGTTCGCAGCTCTCACCACACTCTTGACCGATGATGAATGGGCTGAGCTCGAGGAATCTCCGCTCGGGGTATTCTTCAGGTTCGTGAACAGCAAATTCTCATGGGCTTCAATGATTGTGAAGTGTATGCTCAATATGCAAATAGTGTGCAAGAAGCCCTTCGAGATTTGGAGTGTGGTTGGCTCAAATCCTGTAAGGTTTTCGTTGCACGAGTTTGAACACATTACCGGTCTTAACTGCGAATACAAGAGAGAATCTCAAGGCACCTCTGACTGCGGACATAGATGAGAATGAATTTTCTGAGTTTTGGGAGAAACTTGGTGTTCATACCAAGTTTGGGCCTTCAGTTGATAACCTCACCCGAGCATGTGGGTGGGCCCAAGACTGGTCGAAAGAGGACAGAAAGAGGCTGGCTTATTTAGCCGTCTATGCTGGTTTCATTGTTGGCGAGAGGCAAACTATTGCCACACCGGTCGAGATGGCAAAGCTAGTAATGGATCTTGAAGAGTTTGAAGGTTATCCTTGGGGGAGAGTAGCTTTCTTGAATCTCATTGAATCTGTAAAATCTGCCAACCTCACCAAACACTACTACATTAACAGGTTTGTCGAAGTGCTACAAGTGTGGTCGTACTACGCAATGCCTAGCTTCGGTCAGGACTTCGGTGAGCCTGTAGTGGGTAGGGTATCTCCGACTATGATGGCCTTCAAAGGAATGAAAGGGCGCAAAAATATAATGCAGACTCTTCTTGCGCAGGTAAGTGACGTTTATCAATCCAATATGTGTGTCAATACTTGTACAATGACTGAATGAAACATATTACATGCAGGTTAATTTCAACCATATGATCATGGTGGACAGGGATAATGCTTACCCTAGGTGGGACAACGACGTCGACGATGAACACATCGAGAATGTGATGAAGGCTTTTTACGGAGAGCTCGGAGGGACCTGGAGATGGAAGCCTTCCGACTGGATATCCGAAGGAGTAATCGTCTTGGATAAGGTGAAGGAAGAGAAGGGAATTGACAAGAAGAGGCATCTGGATTCGGGTCTAGGGCCGTCAAAGAGACCATGCCCTGCCTACGGGATCGATGGACATACCTCGGGAGCTAGTTGGGATACATTCCAGTCCACTGTGGCTGCAATGTTTGAACAGTTCAGTAAGCAGCAGACAGGTGAGATCGGTCTCCGTTTCGATAGACTTGATGAGAAGGTTGAGGTCCTTACAAGCAAAATTAGTTGTATGGAGTCGACCATCGAGAAGCTTCAAATTGTCATGTCGGAGGAGGAGAGAGAAGCAAAGGACCGTGTTAAGCCCGACAATGGTCCTGCGTTTTCTCCAGACGGGAAGCTTCCCGACGAGTCCGAAGCTGCAAAGGAGTATGACACGTCGAACGCTGCGAAGGAGCCTGACAATAACAATCCTGCTGGCCCGGTTAGTACAGATAACTCTCGCAAATTCTCTGCTCGTATTGCTGCAAAACAAACAATGGATGAATCTGATAAGCTTGAGAATCCTAAACTCCCTCCCAGTAAGAAGAGTAAAAGTACTAAGACCAAGCGGAAGTAGTCTTGAAGACATCACTTCCACCAATCTGCCTTTACTGTTTGTTTGTTATTTTTCAAATAACTTTGGTTGTAGATTTCATGTCATCCGCCTACACTTTACTCAAAACATTTTTTTCAATCCATTTGGGACACACACACATTTAATAAGCAGTCTAACTTTGCTATTCTCTATCACTCGGTGTAGAACAAAACAGTTGCGTCCTCTGAGAGTGAGAGTGAGACTCCTGAGGAAGAGAGTTGCGAGCTTTGAGAGAATACTTCCCCACCAAGGAAGAGAAGATTGCTGACCTCAAAAGAAGGCAACCGAAGGACACCGCAAAGGTTATTGACGCGAAGGCAAAAAAGACAGAAAGACTGAGGACACTTGCACAGACGCAAAATGGTATATATGTGGGCAGCAGCACGGTCAAGCGAATGTTCAGTAACAAAGAACCTAGAGGTCGTGGTTATGATCCCTTTCGGAAGGCGGATAAGCAGATGAAGGAGGTCGTCTTGGATCATTACAAGAGTTGTCCGTAAGTTCATTTCACCTTTATTCTTCAAATGTATACTTCGATGATTTATTTTACCGAAACATAGTAACTAACTACCAATTCTTTGGTTCTCAGTGGACTAGGGAATAGTGCCTCAACACATTGCTATATCTATGAAAGTGATGTTTGGTTTGAAACATCACTTATGGTAGTTAGTTATTACCGAAACATAGTAACTAACTACCGTAAGTGATGTTTCAAACCAAACATCACTTTCATAGATATAGCAATGTGTTGAGGCACTATTCCCTCAATAATGCCAACCCTCTCCATGAATAAAGCTCCGATATATTTTGCTGTACAGCTCCTACGGTGAGCTATACGGTCTACAACGGAACAAGTATGAGTGTCTACGTACTTTGTGACCCAAAACGCGGTTGGTTCGTTCTTCACAGCCGCCCTGACTCGCCAGGCACAACCTTGGACGTTGCAAATGGCAACAAATAGTTCTGGAGTAGACTTGAAGACATGGAAAGAGAATCTGTGAACCAGAGCCATCAATCGCAACATGCAAAGAAGTTCTTCTTTGTCTCCAAAACGCTGTCCAACGATAATGACGGCGTCCTTATGCTTATCAAAACGACCTCCTTCATTATAGCAACGCCCTTTAAGCCGGATATCGTCGAGAGGAACCTTTTTCTCACGCACATCTTCGTCTACGACTCTCCCATACACACTGTAATCAGCTTCTGTTTCATCAATATCCCCCTTACTCCAATCTGTTGGTGGATTTGGTGGAATTGGATCATCTTCCCATTCCTCTTCCGCCTCATTATCTTCGTGTGAATGTACATCCCAGTCCTCATCATCGGAAGACAAACCCCACTCACTATCATGTTCTACATTATCAGCAACAGGTACATCGTCTTTCATATGATTCCTTTGCTGGCTCGAAACACAGAGGCGTAGTACGTACGTTCTACTAAGCTCAATCAGACTTTGAACTTGCCTATCAGTCGTTACAAACGTAGGAGGAGAATCAATGGGCAGCTGCTGGAGCATAATGTCTGGAAGTGGGTATCCTATCTGTAAAAGCTCAGCATTCTTATCAACCCCATAATCATCTTTCGCCATGTCAACGAGCTCGACATATGTACAACCATCTCTCAGTGAGAAAAGTCTTCCTCCCTTGTCGTCATCCACCTCAAAGAACCAGGTCCCTTTGTCTCTCCTATCCCATTTTCCATAAACAGCAGCTATGTACACCATCTTCTGCAAATATAAGAGAAAGAAGAAGTAAATATTAGTGGGGTAATAGAGTAAGTAGACTTCATGATGAAGTCTACAACATTATCAGCTACTGCCCAAAAAAGCTAAGAACTTTGATTTTCTGAAACATATAATGATTAAGCACGCCAAAATGATACACAGGAAATTAAACAGATTAAAACAACTCATTGTCAAAGAAAATCTTGAAAATTAGTAGGTCATAATGCTCAAATATCGAATTAAAAAAACATACACAAAGTAGACTTCATAGTGAAGTGTAACGGTAAACATCAGAGTGAAGTATACTTTATTATACCTACTGTCCAACAAAATTGAAAACAACGATTTACTTCAAAATATAATGATTAAGCACGTCAAAATGATACACAGGCAAGTAAACATACTACTACAGCTTATTGCCAAAGAAAATCTTAAAAATTTTAATGTCATAACGCACAAAAATAGAATTTCATTTTCAGTCACAATGTAGACTTCATCGTGCCCTCTACATGTAGCTATCAATGAGAAGTCTACCAAGGGGTACACCAAATGCAATTGACCAAATCACGACTTTTTTACGAAGTCTACATTGGAAGTCTACACATACAGGGGTATACTTTTGCAATTGACCAAATCACGACTTTTTGAATTAGACTTCATATTGAAGTCTACTACCATAAGTAGACTTCACAATGAAGTCTCCACGTAAAGTAGACTTCATATTGAAGTCTACTAGCAAAAGTTGACTTCAATATAAAGTCTACTCCCTTATTAGGACTTCATATTGCATGACACCATCCGTGGTACTATTCATTCGTTGACCGGTAGACTTCATTTCGTAGCAGTAGACTTCATACAGAAGTATACACGTCAAAGTTGACTTCAATATGAAGTCTACACGTCAAAGTAGACTTCATATTGAAGTCAACAGTGATAAAAGAAGTCTACTTCAAAAAGTCGTGATTTGGTCAATTGCAAAAGTATACCCCGAGTGAGTAGACTTCAACTGTAGAGTTCAACAACGAAAGTCTTCGTCTGGTCAATTGCAATTGGTGTACCCTTTCCTAAAGTAGACATCTTAGAGAAGTCTACACAAGGGGCCCACATTTTTTGTTATGAAAGGAATTATACAGACTTCTTGATGAAGTCAACAATCCCGAATTTTTGAAAACGTAGACTTCAAATTGAAGTCTACCTCGCGCCGAAGGTTTGAAATTCACGAAAATCGAACGAAAAATCACCTTGAATAGCTGTTTGGTGTAGTGGACGGCGGATTGCGTCGATTTAAACCTTTAATAGAGAAACCCAGCCGTTTCCGTGAGCTTGGTGACCGGAAAAGGCATCATAGAAGAAGTTGGATGTGGAAGAGATGCATTTTCGAGTTTTTGTGATGAAAATGAAGAAAATAAGTGAGAGAAGAAGGTTAGAAGAGAATAGAGTGAGATTTCGGTGGTGTAAATGGGGAGAAGAAGCATTGAAAGCTTCAATATGGTTGAAAATGGTAGTTGGATGAATTGAATTGGATGGCATTTTGGTGAATAAGTGTAGGAGATGAGGTTGGTTTGGACATTATTGTTTTCGAAATAAATCGAAAAATTATAAAAGCTGATGGCATTTCTGTAGATATGTTGAGAGGGTAAGGATAATATAGAGTAAGATGGGTGTAAGTATTACAGGGTATACTTTTGCATTTGACCAAAACATGGGGTATACTTTTGCAATGATCCAAAAAAAAAAGCATGTATATAATATATATCAAAATATATATAAGAAGGCCATGCAATGCATACTGCTATTGACGTGAGTCACGTGAATCACACATCAGAAAGTTCTCGAGCCCGCAAACTTGCTGAGGCAAAATTCTTGATATTAGTTGGAATTGATAACAACATTTAATTCAAAGTCAAAAAATTAATTATATATTATTATATACGCTTGCTTGAAATAATCATTCAATCTAATAACAATTCCAAATTAATTCTACGCCAATAATTGAGTTTGAAATCAGTTTTCATTCAGACATCTTAATTATTTGCCTTATAATTTGCTATATAAAGAGCCAATTGTGGAAATCTTTGATCTCAGGTGAACTAAAGGGACAACCAATTATGAATTTGTGCTCTGATCTCAGCGACAAAGTAGACGAGAAGGTTTTGGAGGACTTGACCTTCAATGTGAAGGAAATACAAGCCAATGTATTGGAGGAGATACTCACACTTAACGCTAACACCGAGTATCTTTGGCGTTTTCTCCATGGGAGCTCTGATAAAGAGCTGTTTAAGAAGAATGTTCCCATAACGGACTACGAGGATGTGAAGATTTTTATCGAGCGTGTCGCGAATGGAGAGCCATTTGATGTTATCTCTGGCAAATCCATTACCGGATTCATTTTAAGGTCTATACTTATAATTTTCTTGGTTATTATTTGGTCGTTTGAGGAGAGAGAGACTCTAGCGTTAAAGCTCAACTGGTTTTCTATTGTAGCTCCGGAACCTCTGGAGGAAAACAGAAGATGTTTCCCTGTAACAACAAGTACTTGGAAAACGTGAAATTCATCTACAACTACCGTTCACACGTTATAAGCAAGTAAGGAAAAAAAAAGTTTTAATCACACATTTTTGTATGTAAACTTTATATGATGAAAGTCTCTTTTTTATTCATATATATAGGCATATAGATGGCCTCGAGCGTGGAAAGGGGATGGTGTTTAGCTTTTGCACACAAGGGAAAAAAACTCCATCTGGTTTGCTAGCCTCAACTGGGACGACAAGCTTCCTCAAGAGTGATTATTTCAAGAATCGACCACCATATTGGCATTGGTCATACACAAGTCCTGATGAAGTCATATTGTGTTCAGACAACAAGCAGAGTATGTACTGTCATCTTCTTTGTGGTATTATTCAAAGAGACGAGGTTGTGAAGGTTGGTGCCTCCTTTGTCTCTTCTTTGGTCCGAGCAATCATTTTTCTTGAAAATTATTGGAGAGAAATTTGCACTAATATCCGTTATGGTCGTCTTAGCGACTGGATCACTGATATTAGTGTTAGAGGATCTGTTTCAAAGATCCTTGGAGAACCTAATCCTGAATTGGCTGATCTCATAGAAAACGAATGCAAACAGAAATCATGGGAAGGTATAATCCCAAGAATTTGGCCTAAAACCAAATACATTGAAAGCGTGGCAACTGGTCAAATGGCACAACACGTTCCAACGCTGGAGTTTTACTCTAACAAGCTGCCTTTGATTTCGCCGAGTTATGTTTCTTCCGAAACAATGTTTGGAATTAATATGAATCCTCTATGCACACCACAAGATGTGTCTTACACGTTTATGCCCAACTTGTCATATTTTGAGTTCCTGCTTGTTGACGCGGGTGACAAAGTCGAAATTGTTGATCTTGTGGATGTCAAGTTAGGGTGCTATTACGAGCCCTTGGTCACAAATCATTCTGGTGAGTTATTTACCTTACAAAAAATGTGTATGTTATAAAATATACGTTATATACATTTTCAATTAATGTATTAATATTGTTTTTGCTAATGTTAGGCCTACACAGATACAGGATGGGTGACATTTTAGAGGTCACTGGATTTTACAATAATGCACCTCAATTTAGATTTGTACGTAGAGGAAATATGGCTCTAAGTGTTCATTTGGAGATAACTACGGATGACGAACTATTAAATGCGGTGACACATGCGAAGATGGTTCTTGAATCATCAAATCTGATGTTGGTGGACTTCACAAGCTATGCTGATATATCTACTACTCCAGGTCACTATGTTTTTTACTGGGAGCTCAAAGGCAAATACAACAATGACATTGCTGAAATTGATAGCAATGTTTTAGTAGAATGTTGCTATATGGTGGAGAAATCATTGAACAATCTTTATAAAGACTATAGGAGTAAAGACGGATCAATTGGAGCTCTAGAGATAAGGGTGGTGCAACAAGGAACTTTCGATGCTCTCATGGAGTCTTTTATAACTCGAGGTGGTTCTTCAACTCAATACAAAACGCCCATTTGCATCAAATCTTCTGAGGCCTTAATGATTTTAGAAAAAAGGGTTCAAGCTCGGTTTTTTACCGATAAGTCTCTCAGTTGAATTGAAATGTTACCATGGAATAATAAATAAAGAAAAATTGTAAGCATGAAATTAAAGTTTGCGGAATAGCATAAGCCTAAACAAAATCCTTCACCCTCATTTTTAGGTGTAATCTTTGCTATGTTTTTCGTTGAAGGTATCTTTGTTAATTAAGTTTTTTTATGCGCGACTTCATTAGGTACTGTAGTTTCTCTAATGGCCCTTTTTAGGTAAAGATTGAGGAAGTTTCTTCTTCAAAGTTCTTGCAAACGAAGTTGCTGACATGCACGAAGAACAGAACAGCATGAGATGGAGAAGGCATCTCATAAAAAGATGGAGAAAACTAACATTAACTAACATTAAACTTGTTTAAAACCAACATTAACTAACATTCAACCTAGTGTTCATCTCATCAAACTACTTAATGGAAAAAAAACCACATCAACTAGTTTGAGGCAGGCTTACAATACGACTCCAAGATCGCTGCAATGTTGCTTCCACGAGATCTACGCAAGAGATGGAGAAAAGGCATGAGCTTATCCACCAAACGCCAAAACATAAAAGCCCTAAACGTATTCTCCTGCAAGACTCTCAGTGCCTTGGCCACCACGAAATTCCCAAACCCACTCCTCGCCAGCCTCATCAATCTGTCTCCTTCGCACTCCAAAAGCTCCGACATCACCACAACCATTGACTCTTCCACCTCCAAAATCCGCTCGACTATGTAGCTCCCATACTTCTTAAACGAGAGATCAACGCAGTGACCACGTAGGTTAACCGCGATGTTACGCGTGCAACGCAAGTCATTCAGTTTAAGCACGTGTTGGATCACAAAGTTGCCATAAACATCGTTGCTTAGCGAAAGAGCGCTGTCCACGACCAAGTCTAGTATCTGATTCCTGTAGTAAGGATGGTCCAAGTCGGTTATGATCTCGTTGAGCGCGACGCAGCCGTTTAGGTCACGCGCCAAGTCAAGCGCGAAGTGGAGCGTGCGATGGTACATTGCTTCTTTCTTGTCCTTGTCGAAAACTCGCATCCCCTTTATCGCCACGTGGGACGCGTGCTTGTCTGTCGTCATGTGGAGAAAACGGTGCAAGATAGCGTCGGCGAAGAAGCTGTCCGCGTCATCTGATTTTCCGAGAAGCTTCTGTAGGCGTTTGGAGCCGTTCTTGTTTCTCGCGATCGCCATGAAGTAATCGGAATCTGACGTCAGCAAAGAAGCCATCCTCTGCATTGAGTTCATGTCTCTAAACGGAGCCACATCATCTTCTTCGCTATTAGTCATAAAGTGGAACATCCATTGCAAACGCATCTCCTGAGGAGTGAAGGCCGAGCGAAATCCGCAGAAGCATGGATGGTTTAGAGGTTGCTTCGCTATAGGAAGATTGGTTTCTTTCGGTGGGGCGAATCCCGGAGGAGGAATGGAGAACCGGACGCCACGTGGAGGAGGAGGAAACACAGGAATCTCCTCCTTCATGGTTTCTCTTGCGGCGGGAAGACGGAGATTCGGTAAAGCATTGAGCATCGACGACAATGAAAAGGGATCGGAATTTGCCATTGTTATGCTACAGATGATTCTACAGAATGATTATAAGATTGTGGAGAATGAGAGTAATGATATGAGTATATTTATAGGGCTTTTGTTTTTCCTACTTGTTATTGACATAACTCAGGTTTAATTACCTTTCGGAAAAGGAAATTTACCTCCCGAGATTTCCCTGGAGTTTCCTTTTTTCCATTTTTTTTTATCAGTTAATGAAGATCTAAATATTACCGCCAGGTTTTTTTTTGCCGCCATGTAAACTAGTTCTTTCAACATGGATTTTCTTTTTCGACAGATGAACTCTTCATTGTATTTTCTTAAGATTTTATTAATATTTTGCAAATACATATTTCCTTTATTCACAGACAAAATATATCACAGTAGTTGTTTCGAGTTCATATTTATGTTGTCCTGGTCAGTGTAGAATGATTTAATTTTAAACATCATAATTCCTTCAAATAGTATATGTATAAGGGTATAACTGAAAAAAGATTTCATTAAAGCCGCAAAACAATAACAATGCCACAGATATATTGAAAATAAAAAAAGAGTCGTTCCTCACAACAACAACAAAATTAACCCTTTGCCAACTTATTTTTCTACGAACAAAAGAAAAATCAAGAACACATGAAAACCAACCAAACCACCATTTCATAGCACCATATATCATCTCAAAAGCTGAGACAACTCAGTAAAACCAAAAAAAACGCGTCTGCGTTTTACTCCCGTGCGTTTTGCGTTTTACTTCTTGGGGACGTTAAGCCTTAGCCTAAAGTCTTCTTCCATGAGAGGAAGTCCTTCTCTAAGCTTCACTTTAGGCTCCCAGCCCAAAACTTGTTTAGCCTTTGTAATGTCTGGCTTCCTCTGTTTTGGATCGTCCGGTGTGTTCTCCACCATCTTTATCTCTATGCTCGGGTTTATTAGCTCCTTAACCGTCTCAGCCAGCTCCACCATTGTGAATTCACCTGAGAGAAAACAGAGCATTTTCAGAACAGAAACCCTAAATGTCAATGATGATGATACAGTGTTTTAAGATAACATGTTGTGAATGAAAAGGCGGACCGGACCTGGGTTACCGATGTTGATAGGGCCAGTATCATCGCCTTCCATGAGACGGATAAGTCCATCAACCATGTCCGAGACGTAACAGAAACTGCGTGTCTGCGTCCCCGGTTTCTGAACTGTCAGTGCCTCACCTCTGAGTGCTTGAGCTATGAAGTTGCTCACCACACGCCCATCGTCGATGTTCATTCGTGGACCGTACGTGTTGAAGATTCTAGCAATGCGGATCTCTACAAACAGGGAATGGACCAAATGAGAGAATTTGAAAGAAAAAGTAAGGATTTGAGTTGAGAGAAACGCAAAACTGACCAATGCCGTGTTGCCTGTGGTAGTCAAACATCAAAGTCTCAGCTACACGCTTGCCTTCGTCGTAGCAACTTCGAACCCCTTTTGTAACAGCAACCAGGTTAGGTTTACAAATCCAAGAGAGCTTTCTTTAAAGAATGTATGGACATACCAATTGGGTTGACATTGCCCCAGTAGCTCTCAGGTTGAGGGTGGATGAGAGGATCTCCATACACTTCAGAGGTCGATGTGAGCAAGATTCTGTTTAGAGAAGGAACAAATGTTAGCTACAAAGCTGATGGTATCAAGAAATAGAGAGAGAGAGAGAGCATGTCACGAACCTTGCTCCAACACGCTTGGCAAGTCCGAGCATGTTCAGTGTACCGATCACATTGGTCTTGATTGTCTGCAGAAACAGATTTTAGATAATCAGAAACTAATGCTTCTCATGACTGTTAAGATGATATGTCTCCGCACAAACCTTGACGGGGTTGTACTTGTAGAAGATAGGAGAGGCAGGACAAGCAAGATGGTAAATACGATCAACCTCGAGTAACAAAGGCTCCGTGACATCTATATTCCAACCCCCAAAAAGCATAAACTAAGATGTTGGATCTTGTTTGACATAAACATGAAACAAACAGAGAGTCTCGAGAGCATACCGTGACGAATGAGCTCAAATCTCGGGTGACCGATCCACTTCTTGAGGTTTTCTTTTGATCCAGTGAAGTAGTTGTCAGCAACAACCACCTGAAGAATCAAAAATCAACACTCAATAATTGATCAAAGTCCATAAAAGCATCACAATTCTGTCGAGTGTAGACATATATACAAACCTCATTCTTCTCATTCTCCATGAGCCTATCAACCAAGTGAGAACCAATGAAACCAGCTCCTCCAGAAATCAAGATCCTCATATTGGACTACACAAAACACAGCAAAAAGCAAGCACATTTCAAACTCATATTAATATCCTTCAGTCACATTCACATTCACAATCAGATCAAACTAATAAACCCCAAGATCTGATAGACTACAATGTAGTCAGCTAAAAGGATCGTCTTGTTCATAGAATGTTTACCAAAGGACTGTGATAAAGGTCAGATCTAAGTGGCATAAACAGATTTTAAGGATCTTCATTACAATGCCAAAGAGATCAAGTCATTTCATTACATAACATCCTCGTGACACAACAGATCGATTCACCAAACTAAACAACGCAATGGACAACAGGAGATTTGGGGCATGAACAATCACGATCGCATCACAATACAAGTGAAAATCTTGAAAGAAATTATAAAGAGTTTACCTGCAAAAACTTGGAATTGCGGAGAGGAGAAGGCAAAGGTGGAGCCTTTGTGCCGTTCTGTGTCTCACTTGTAGCCGCCATTGCTGAGATCTCAATTCTGGATTTTTAGAAACCGCAATAAAATGTGGATGAAATTGACGAAACAAATAAATGAAACGAATGGAGTTTCGATCAGAGAGAAAGAGGATTTACCAGAAGCTTTCGGAAATGAGGAAACAGGATTTGAAAGACAAACCTAGCCCAAATGCTCTGATCTGATGAGAAGAAGAAGACACCCAGAGATCGTCTACTTATACTCTCCCAGATGTCTGACCTTCATCTACCAAATATTGCAATTGAAGAATTTTCTTTGTTTTCCAAATTAATTAATTACAATATTCCAAATATAATTAAGTTAGAATGATTAATTACTATTCATTTTTAGAAAGAAGTCAGAACAGAGAGACTTCAGAAACACGAAATGCGGAATTAACGAATAAAAAATTACGTCAACTACTAATACACGACAACGTTTGACCTAACATAAATCTGGCGTCGCATTTTTTTTGTTTTGCATTATGAAGAAGATTCAAGAAATATTTTTGTTTCTTTACTTTTTTACACTTTTGCAGCTTTAAGCAAAGAAACGTTCAGTGTTTAGTCTACAGCTTCCGCGTTCCAGCTAGTTTTCTTTTTGTCACTACATAATTAACTACATGATAGAAAACAATGTGTATATATGCAAACATACAAAACTAATCAAACCTTTCATTCATTATTGTTTATCGTTACTCTCACATCTACAATCTATGGCTATATGTTATAATAGTGTTCATCTTCAGAATTCAAATGAGAATTACTTCATTTTGGAAAACAGCCTTCTAGTGTCTGATTATTTCATTTTGAAAAAAAAAAAACAAAATAATGGGAAATCTTGAAAGAAACATAGCAAGTACTAACGATCTAATAAGTTGTAATACTCATAAAATTAGATCGAAGACATCAAATAATGTTAAGAAATATCCTCAACAAACTCTTTTTCGAATTGAGTAAGACTTACTTCTGGTTAACACCAACCAAACTAGAGTATGCCTTACGTTTTATCAACACGAAGCACGCGATTTCTGTTTCACATCCCACAATTGGTTTGATTATTGTTAACTACAATGGCTCTATTGACTAAACCCTTTCAAATTTTCAAATGACATAAAGTGGAGGACATCCCGCGGTTTATATACTTCAAATTGGAATTGCATGCCGGTCTTATTGGTTTCAATATTCGTTTGAAGCACATAAAACGGCTCGTAGTTCAACCTTCGGAACCTAAAACTGTGAATTGCAAGCAGTGCAAAGTCAGAGAGCAAACCACTCCTGACATTAAAGGTTCTGACTTCTGATCAAAGAAGCATTGCTTAACGAATGAAATTTATCGTTTCAAAGAAACATTTTCTCAAGAACAACATTTTTCTCAACCAAACACTTTTTCAGAACCCTCTGATTCTCGAATGCTAACACAAAAAAGGATATAAACCAGGTTATAACAAGCTGTGTTTCGGCAGTTTTAAAGAGTTTCAGATAGGAATATGAAGAACTTTGATGAACCTCCAGAGATCTCAGAAGTGTGAAGTTTGAAGTTGATCACATCATTTCTTGAGACTTTCTGACACAGCGGCTCACTTTCTTCTTGAACTCGTCTCTCTTCTCTCGCCATTCTTTCTACGCAAGAGAAAAACACACACACAAAAAGAAAAAAAAAAACTCATGAGCAAGATCTGCTCTTTGATTGCAAAAGCTATAGCCAGTGAAGCTGATGAGAGCTAATCTAATCAAAATACTCACAGCAGCTTCAACATTTGCTGGAGACTCATCGTTGGGACCAGAAAGCATAGATATGATACTCAGCATAATACTTTCAACCTGAAACAACACATATCGGAAACGAAAGACATGAAAAAATCACTTAGAGATCTAGAGAGTGTGAAGTATAAGTATATCTAAAAAATCACTGAGATATCACGCAGACAAAGATTAACAATCTCAAATCAGGTCAACATACAGTATGAACAGGGGTCCAGCGTTCGCTTGCAAGCTCATAACCACTTGGATCATCACCAGGAGGATGAAGAATAGATATGCAAACACGGCCATCAGAATAAACTGCAGGACATAAACGGAAAACCATACGAGCAAACGGACTGAGAAAAGATGGAGAAAGAAATGTCTTATATATTCATATTCCTTTGAATCACTTTCGACTAACCGTTAGGATGCCACATATCTGAAGTAAACCTCACGGTTGGTGGGCTATTGGGGTAATTTTGCGGGAAGGTCATGATGGCGTTAAAGAATCCTCCTTCACTGCATTTGTATTCACCCAAGTTTTAAAATTTAAACCATATGCACAAGATTCTTTGGAAACTAAGAACATTGAAACAAGAACAGAGCAATTTTCATTCACTTCTAACGAAAAGAGTATCTATTCCGATGTAATCTATTGAAAAGCAATTCGATCTCAATCATGAACCAAATCCAGATTTGAACACTTCGCAAACAATTATGTGATCTACTATGTTTCAATCTCAAGCAGTATCAACGCAAATTCAGGCGGCGAAAGCACGATTCCATAAGAATCAGTGAGAGCTATTCGAATTCACTGTTCGAACAAGATAAGAGCAAACCTAAATAAGAATCGAATCCAGATAATATGAACACTTCACAAACAATTTTCTGTGATCTACAATGTTTCAATCCCACAATCATGTGATCCTAAAATGTTCAATCTCAAGCAATATCAAAGCGAATTTAGGCGGAAAAGGCACTATTCCATAAGAATCAATGAAAACAGCTAAAATCTCGATGAAATCAGGTAATCAAAAGGTAAGAGCGATTAAAGGGAGCGAGCGTACTAGAGAGTATCTGGAGGTCCGATAATGGTAACGCCCCATTCGAATATATTCTTCTCATCAACGAGTCCAGCAGAGAATCCATCAACAGGATGCTTACAGAGATCTGAAACAAGAGACAAAAAATCGCATCGAGAACAAAAAGGTAGGCAATCAGAGAACCGTAAGAAGATTGATTTTGCCAAAGGGAAGATTCGAGAGCGTTTGTATGCCTTTGAGTTGTTTCTGAAGGAGAAGGCTAGCTTGCGAAGCCATGGCTGATGATAGAGACTCGAGCTAGAAACTCTAGAGATTTGAGAGAGAGAGAGAGAGATGAAATTGAGATTTTAAATCGATAGAAGGTTCGATTTTCGGGAAATCGATGTTCCATCATGAAAACACTTGGAAGGAGCTGTGATCAGCTACGGAACATACCATTCTAGAGGCTTGTGACGTTTCTAGATTTTGGTTAAACCGGTTTTGATTTGGTTTGATAGATTCTCGGTTCGACAAATTACCAAATCAATGCAGCAAACATCAAAATCGAATGTCTCAGGTACTGTGTCCATTATCTAAATTTGGATAGATTTAAGATTTGCATTTTTTCTTATGATAAAGCTATCGAGAAATTATATTTATAAATCTTGATGATTATTTTCATATTGAGACCAAATCAAGTTGCTATCATGGATGATCCAGGCTTTCTGTATAAGGGTCCATGACTAAAGACACGTTAATCATTTTCATATTTTCGCGACCGTTAAATTACAAAAAGAATACTAACAAAATATACATTGCAACAGAATAAAAATCAATAACAATTAACAAGACACCCACAACATAATTGGCAATAATAAATTTCTAGTTATCATATATCATGGTGGCATTTTTACCTTCTTTTATATATTTTTTTTCGGATATCGTGGTGGTTGTAATGATGACGAAAATAAACTGAGATTGAAATGAAGGCGGCGATATTATTTGGCCGACATATATTACTACAGTGACTGTGAATGTTCTCAAGTTCGTAGCTACACCAAATTACTATCCATGATATAAGATTAAACCAAGTTTAATTGTTGGGTTTGGTTCGGTTTTTGTTGGTCCACATGGTGATATGATATGTTGAGATTCATTCAGTGGTAATAGGCAAACAATTCGTTAGAGATATTACGTTCTAGAGATTATAAGAAAGAATGGATTAAGAATTAAGATATGCTCAATCGGTATTTCGGGTTGGAAACATATTGTAAGCAAATTGTCATGTAAGCAAGAACCGAATATCAAATTGTCATGTAAGCAAGAAGAACGAAGCATACAAGCCGGTCTAAACAGATATAACAAAAAAATGAAACATTTCTACAGACAATCTAATTTCTAAGTTGAAAATGTGATTGCATAGGATTCCAATAAATGACATTTAACCAGAGAATCTTGCCTAGTTTCTTCAAGCTATGTAATCATTACGGTTCTCCAAGGAGAGTACCAACTAGATGTGACAAAATAGTTGTATCGTGCTTTGTTACACATTATATATATTTGATGATCTTATATGAAAACAATAAGCTTTCTCTGCCTAAAAATATGAGAAGACATGTTATCGCCATCAAGCTTCTCCTTCTCATCTGCCTCTTTCTCGGTAGAATCATGCCTCGGGAATGCCAACAAGGTAATCTCATTTCTTTTTCTGTGTATCTGTTTGGTTTGCATGATTTACCGCAGAGAGATGGCAATTGTAATGCGTTTAAATTGAGGACTGTTACATGTATGTATCAGTCCATTTCAAGTTTGGACATGCAAAGATCAGCACAAAACCGAATCACAAAAGTATAATACCAATTTCGGTAAGGAGATCAAATTTTGCATGTAATAATTTAAAGACCAGAGAGCATGATTGATTACATTTATCTAATGGTAATGGAAGTAGGTGGAAGAGACAAGGTGGCATAAGCACCCATCCGGACCTAACCCATCAGGAAATCGCCACCCACCGGCTAAACCCTAAGTCTATATATAACAGCACAACGGTTGCATTAATGAAACGAGTCTTATAAGTTAATGCCTGAAATATCTTATTATAGGATGTAATAACGAGTGAAGCAGCCTATAATTAAGGTGGAGTAATTAAAGTTACAAATCCATTGTGTGTTTGTGAAACTTGCGTTAAACCAATGTACTGTATGTCGTTGTATATTTTAAAAATTAGTACTTTATTACCGTTTCTTTTTACCAATTAATATCGATTTGTATTTTACATCAAAACTAAAGATACTATACATATATATAAAGTGTCCCGTCATTAACACGTCACGATATGATAATTGCGTACGAAGGCGTTGGAGAAAATATATAGTAAAATACGATGAAGCTAGTATTATATATATCATATCTTAACCAAATTAAGATACAACATGAGAAAGCAAAAGATTACAAAGTAACAAGACAAACAAGGGTATGCTGAGACAAAGCGTACATAGACGTCTTATTTAATTTTACTTATGCTAAACCATACTCCGTAGTCCGTATACAAGTGCTGATATAAGCTTCAACTTCACTTGACGCTGCGACAATACAAACAATCAAGAGACAATCAGTTACGACAATTAATCATGGTGTCTAGATCCAGTAATTATCTAAGTAAAAAAAAGCAAATAACAAAGAATACGAGCATTAACTGCATAGAATAAATCTATTAAGAAGAAACTTACTTGTTGCAGTTGGTGCTCATGGAGATTGGGTAGGGAATGCTAACACCGCACTTTCCAGGAAGGCCAGAGGCTAGACTTGGGTTGATGCCTTTTGCAGCAGACTTTAGGCAATTGCATGCTGCTTGGCGGTCCGGTGTGGTTTGAGCCATACTGTTCAAACTTTTGACTCCATCACAGCACGGTTTCGGTGGAGCCCCGCCCTTTGATAGGTAGCCACCACATGGAGCCAATTTAGATACCACTGTGCCACATGAGATTGCTGCATCTACTGATGCAACTATGCACACCGTCAAAACAAGGCATGTGAAGAACCTTAGAGCGAAAGCCATTGTGTTTGTTTTTTCTTTTTGGGTGGTAGCGAAGATTAAGTTGAGTTTTGTTTTCTAAGCTTGTGTTTCGTTGTTGGATGTGAAGAAAAGTGGGATGGGACGATGGGTTTATATAGGGTCGGATTTTATATGGAGAAAGTGATGACTCATTAAGTAGAGTTCGTTAGTAGTTGGAATAGCATTTTGTAACTACTGACACTGTATGTTGATTAGTTTCAATACCGTCCAATTAATGCAGTGTGTAATTGAGGGACACGCGTATCTTAACAACAAATAAATAAATCAATCACAACTCTCCCAACTAGCATAATCACATTCTCCGATTCCATTGGACCACTTTTTTAATATTATGAACGTACGCATTTTCCGCGTTGCTCTACTAACATTTTTGATGTATAGATCGTAATGGCAATATAGATAACAGGTCTTATGTCTATGTTACTACTTACTACCATTGAGCATTATTAATGTCTAAATGAACAAAACAAAACAAGAACGTTCAAATTTTGTGTTGATCGATTTGCGACTAATGTTGTGATCAAATTTCTTTTTTTTTGCTAAGTGTTGTGATCAAACTGATAGCTTCTTTTAGCCTGTGAATGGAATGCATAATTTCTGGTAACTTAATATGTCATTGTTTTTGAATGGAATAGAAGTTCAATGATTCTACAGTTTTCCAAGGAGTATGTAGTTAAAGTAGTTATTAAGAACATAGATTTGTTCCCCTACTAAAATTACAAGCCTTAAGAAAGGAAGCCAAAAATTTCGAAATTTAGTTAAGTCAATTATGGGAATGTACTGTAAGGAAAAATCATCAACACTTAAATTAGGAGTGATCAGTTAGTGGATTAATTTAATTTTGAAATGGTGAAGTAGTTTACAGTTGGTAGTTGTTCGTCCGAAAGAGACAATGAAGAAGTCGGTGAATTGCGGTACACTTGATTTTTTTACTTCTAGATAAACTCACAAAAACATAATCGGTAGAATTTCTGAACAGACAATTAAAGAAATTATCAATTGCACAAGTACAACCATTTGCATTCTAAAATTCTACATTTTTCATTGCTCTCGGTTGTTCATAATTTGTTTCCTTAACATATTTTATTATATGAATGGGGTATTAAATACATATGATTTTAAAAATAATTTTGATCTCATATGTCATATGAAGCATCACAAAAACCATATTGAGGTAAAACAATCTCTCACGTAACAGAAAGAAAAAAAAAAGTAGAAATTAAACAGCTCAGGCTACTTATTTCTTTATTTTCTAGTTTTCTAATTTAACATTTTTTTGTTCAAACTAATTTTGTAATTTTGGAAACACCGAGTATTTCCGTCATTTAATATACAAATTAAATTTGTAATAGTTATTTTTTTAATGGCCTCATAAAAAAGGTTCTGTTTCATACATAATTGATTGGAATGAGCTTGACAAATTTAAATGTTGATGTATAAACCTTTGGAACGTAATAACGTGATATAATTATTACACTAGTGTCGGCAGAGGTTTCTGTAATGAAATGGTGGCTTTCATGACGTACACATGGGATGGGGAGATATGTCAATCTTGTACTATGTCTCTTGACGGTTCTTGGCCGATAGTATCCAACACCATACATCAACCCTTCACACCTAAAGCTCTTGTTAGTCATCGGAGAAGCATCATCACATGCGTAGAAAAGGAAAAGGACAAATGCAAGGAATTGTGTATATATATATATATATATATATATATATATATATATATATATATATATATATATATATATATATATATGTGTAACTAATGTTATTATGTTTTTTAACTATCACAAGGTTAAGTTGGAAGCCTGTAATTCTTCTAGACCCCAAACAACATGCGACCCATTTATAAATATCTGGTTAGCGTTTAACACAATTTTGAATATTGGCAAAAACTAAACATATTTTATTTTGACGAAGTAACATTTGTTCAAATCGTTTTGGGTTGTAAATGTAATGGCCGAGCCATAGTTATTTAATCGTCTTGATTAATTAACAGGTGGTCCAATGGAATTGTAGAGTGTGATGGGGCTAGTTGGGAGGGTTCTGCTGTTTGATGTTAGATACACGTGTCTCTCAGTTACACATTGCATTAAATTAGACGGTATTTAAATTCAATTCACATAGTACGACTAATAGCTGAAATTTATTGATTATGTACGAAACCATTTTTTTTAACTATTTTGCTCCTCCTTTTTAGTTTTGTCAATGCTAAGCGATATTTTGTGACAAAGAATGCTAAGAGCATCTCCATCCCTGTATCTAAGGAGGGTTTTAAGAAAGTTTTATGCAATTAAATGGAATTAAGAAAAGGGAAAAGAAAATAAAATTGTGGAACCAGGTTTTTAGCAAGAGATTTTCGTCTTGGTTTATAACCCGACACGCGTCGAGAGGATATTAATGCGGCGTTTGAAAAAAAAAACAAAAAATAGAAAACTCAAATTTCTCTCTCTCTCTCGTTCTCCGCCGAATCGAATCGGCTTCCCTCAGTCGATCAGGCTCTGTCCGATGTATGATCGGAAAAGATTATCTTGGTTTCTCTCTTTCTCGCCCCGTATGGCTAACCTTTGTCGCCCTACCACGAATCTCACTCTCTCTGTCCATATCTCTCTATTTCTCTTCCACCAAGAGGTTTCCGGTCACGATTCTTTTCTTCATCTACACCGTCGACGGACTGAGCAAGGCGTCGCTTCTTCTGCACTTGTGGATCTCACTGGACGCCGATCCGAAAAGCTAAGTCTCTTCTCTTATCGATGAAAATTGGTTTTGTATGTATGTGTTTTCGTTTTGGACTATCTGATTTTGACTCTTGAGATTTTAACTTCAAAATATATGCAATTGATTGTGTTTTTTCCCCCTTTAGACCTTGAAAATATAGCTTATGTTTGTGTTTGGTTGAGATTGTTTGATGCAAGTGACTGTGTTCTCTTACTTGTGTGGAAGTTTAATTCTATTAATTTGATGTATAAGTATAGCAATTTTTTCACAAGCTCATCATAGTATTTATTATTTTGATTTGGTTTTCACATTTGGATGTATTTCCATGATTAGGTGCAAGGTTCATTGGCTGGTGGTAGCATAACCTTTGAGGCAAGCAGCAAAATGGAAGGCTAGACCATCAAAGATTCATAGGTAATCTCTGTTCCTCTTAGTAGTGTTCCTAACTGAGTAGATGATAGGTTTTGTTTGTATTGTTCTCTATACAACTTATGTGAAATCGTTTTTGCTTTCATTGCTTTGTTGCCTTTTCATTAAATGGAATGTAGTTGCATAGAAATTGGAGTCTGACATCGATTGAGCCAATTTTTGTGTGTGCTGTATGTGAAGTGCAGCTTCTTTTCTTGGTATCTTGAGTTGTTAGTTGATCATAAATTGATGTTTTAATATACAGATGCAGAAATGTAATGTTCTTAATCATCATATCATGGTGTTGAAATGGCAAAGAATGATCCTGCATTAAGTTTGCTGGACTTGCTTGATTCCTTAAGTTGTATTAATATTTGTGTTCAAATTTTTCAGGAGCATCGAGTGGTATAGGAGTCGAGACAGCTCGTATTCTTGCACTGCGTAGTGTGCAAGTGGTTACGGCTGTGACGAACACTGGCTCTTGTGCTAAAGTTAAACAAGATATTGTCAACCAAGTCCCTGGTGCTAAAGTTGTTGTCATGGAGTTAGACCTCAGCTCAATGGAATCTGTCAGGAAATTTGCATCTGACTACAAATCTGATGGTCTTCCTCTCAACCTCTTGATGTAAGCTTTCGAGTAAGCAACAACGCTGGGATAATGTGGTCAGGTGAGTAAGGACAACATAATGGCATGTCCTTTCAAGTTCTCTAAGGACAACATCGAGCTCCATTTAGGTGAGTAATATAAATTCATACTAATATTATGCTAAATCTGTATACACTATCATTTCTTCATTAGTTTTTTAATCAGAGCCTTTGTGAACCAATTATGTTTCAGGTCATTTTCTGTTGACAAAACTTCTACGAGATACAATGAATAGCACTTCATGTGAGAGCAAAAGAGAAGGAAGGATTGTTAGTGTTCAAAATTATAGTTTTGGTAAAACATTTTTTGTTTTGTTTTGTTAAGAACCAAATAAAAGGTTTTAGGGATGGAGGAAGAAAAAATTAAGAAACCACATAAAGTTTGTAGTATTGATTTGTGTGAAAATTAGTAATAAAAAATGGTGTAGAACCAAAAACATGGTTTTAGGGATGGAGATGATCTAAGCAATAGTATTACGTACTAAATCTTGAAACGTCTTTAAACATACCATCTTAAAATATTAAATTGTTAAAAGATTAGTATTTGTAAATTGTAATCTCTAACATATACTTGTGCATAGTAAATATAGTGATACAATTCATTAAACAAATGAATTCTTTTCGTTTAGTAGAAGGAACTAGAAATATAATGAAAGAAGTAAATGCAAATCCAACTACTAGCAAACTCTACTGTTTTTTTCTCATCTAAAATCTCTATATAAACCCATCGTCCCATCCCACTTTTCTCACATCCAACAACGAAACACAAGCTTAGAAAACAAAACTCAACTTAAGCTTCGCTACCACCCAAAAAGAAAAAACAAACACAATGGCTTTCGCTCTAAGGTTCTTCACATGCCTTGTTTTGACGGTGTGCATAGTTGCATCAGTAGATGCAGCAATCTCATGTGGCACAGTGGCAACTAAATTGGCTCCATGTGGTGGCTACCTATCAAAGGGCGGGGCTCCACCGAAACCGTGCTGTGATGGAGTCAAAAGTTTGAACGGTATGGCTCAAACCACACCAGACCGCCAAGCAGCATGCCAATGCCTAAAGTCTGCTGCAAAAGGCATCAACCCAAGTCTAGCCTCTGGCCTTCCTGGAAAGTGCGGTGTTAGCATTCCCTACCCAATCTCCATGAGCACCAACTGCAACAAGTAAGTTTCTTTGTAGTAGATTATGCTGTGCAGTGCTCGTATTCTTTCTTATTTGCTTTTTTTACTTGGCCAATTACTGGATCTAGACCCCCATGATCAAATTCATGTCGTAACTTACTGTTTCTTGTTTGTTTGTATTGTCGCAGTGTCAAGTGAAGTTGGAGCTTACATCAGCACTTGTCTACGGAGTATGGTTTAACATAAGTATAATAAAAAAGACGTCTATGTACGCTTTATCTCAGCATGCCCTAGTTTGTCTTGTTACTTTGTAATCTTTTCCTTTCATTTCTGTCGTATCTTAATATGCAAGATATGATAATACTGCCTTAATCGTATTTTACTATACTTTCTCCTGCGCCTTCAAAACTCAAATCGTTACGTGTCAAAACCAATTAATGACAAGACACTTTATATGTATAGTATTCTTAGTTTTGGAGTGAAAATACAAATCGAGATTAATCGGTAAGAAGAAACGGCGAAACAAATATACAAAGACACACATTGGCTTAACGAGCACCAAGATAATTAACTAACAACACCTAATAACATTGCTTTTTTGAATTTGATATAAATACAAGTTATTTGATTCACCATCAAGGTCTATGTACAATGTACATTCCCATGCATCAGTGGTGGGTCAATCAATTAAATCAACAACTAAAATAGTTCGGTTTCTAAAATTGGCTATAACTCTTGAATGTATAACAAAGTTACGTTTTTATATAGCCACAACGATCTATACAGTAGTATATTAACAATAAATTGAGAATATAATGTGTTTGTTCGTACAGTTACGTAGTACCAATTAATAGGCGATAACTGATTGAGTACCAACTACAATCTCCTGACTTCTAACGGAGTCCATGTACACACAGTGAGGACCATTTGTTGATTTTGTTCTATTTAATTTTTGTCGGTGCTAAACCATATAGTATGAATGATGTCCCAAGGTTCACAAAACTAACACGATCATTTTCCGATTATGTTAAAATGAATCAAATTCTGCATAAAGTCGATTTGTTATTACAAAGCGTGAATACACTAAGGGATTTAGTAAAAAGAACCTAGTGCTAAGATATCAAATGCCCTCTTTTAAATTTTTCCATTTCTAGTTGTTCAATTTTTCTTTGATAAGTTGGAAAAATGTTTGTGAATCCTTTAACAAAATAAAGAGAATAATAGTCTTTTTGAACCAATTTTTTTTTTTTAGTTTTGTCATTGAATTAACTATTTTACCGTTTCGGATGAAAAAAAAAAAAAAAAAAAAAAAAAAAAAAAAAAAACGAGTCAAAATTGGAGTTCAAAAGATTCGACCAAAATAGTTAAATTGCTTCTCATTCTAAACGTTACAGGTAAAAGAAAATATTTATTTTCATTCAGCCCACTCATTATTACAACCCGTTTCCACTACTATCGAACCTAGCAGAACCACCAGAAAAGAAATCTATAAACGGCTGCTCCCGTCCACCACCATCGCCGAAACCGGTCACCGGCGAATCATGACCAGGGACACAACTGGAATCTCCAACACCGTCGTCACTAGCGGCATCCAATGGCTGAAGTGGAAAAAGTGGAAGAGTCTTCCGTCCATGGGAATTGACGTTAATGCCCTCACCGTAATTACCGTGATCACGAAGGGTAAATCGGTCAAACCTGAGTGAACTCGAAGACAGAGACATTCTAGCCGATGTTGTTGATGTCATGTCTGGTAGTTGTTTCCTATGATCTGTGACTGTTCGTTTCTCGTAGCCACCATTCGGAATCGTCACTCCATTGTTACTGTGAAGAAGATCTTTTCTGTATACACTTCCATTTTGGTAGTGATGATCACCTACTTGCTGCATATAGTAGGGACTAACACAACCCACTTCACAATAACAACAACATAACAATTACATTTAGTAACTTTTAAAACGTAAGAAAAAACAAGAAAATGGAAAAAAAAAAAGACCTGCTATTCTTGAGCCATAATTCACTAATAGACATCTCATAATATTTCAATGATAACTTTCTGTATCCAGTGACATGTTCTTGTAAGTTTAAGATTTTCTAGAGATGTATGTGTTGATTGTTGAATATTACACACGATTTATCTATATCTTTTATGCGGAAAAGTGTAGACGTAATAAACAAAGAAACCAATATAGAGGTTTATGTTCTAGATAGAAAAAATATTATTTTATGTGAATATGTGATGAAGAAAGTTTAACAAAAAAAAGAATATGTGATGAAGAAAGAAGATACGTAGAAGTAAGGAATAGGGAGGAGAACTACGTGCCGTTTGCGCAAGGTGGAGGGTGGAAGAAACGGGAGGTTTTGTGGAGGAGACGATTGAAGTAAGCGATGCGCTCCTGTTTCTGCTTTTGGCGTTGCCTGGCCTTATGGTTCTGGAACCAGTAAAAGACGTTCTTACCCTCGATGTGGCCGTAAGCACGGAGCCTACCGGTGATCTGCTGTATCTGATCGGCGCTCGGGGTTCGTATGCCTTGCTTGTAAAGGTTCTCAAGCAGCGTTATCTGATCTTTCGTTGGATTCCACCTTGAACTGCTTCCCGTTCCTGCGTTCCCTTCGTTTTCCATTTTATCTGTTGCTAAAGGTTTTTGGAGGATAGGGTTTTTAAAGGGAACCTTTGCATGTGGTTTTTTGGGGTTTGATTGATATGCATGAAATTCATGGGGGAGGGCTCTAACATTTATATAGCGGTTTAGTGAGGGAGTGGAACAGAGAGTCAAATGTAATGAAGAGAGAGAGAGAGAGAGTGTGACATGCGTGTCGTTTCTTGTGCTGGAGACTCTGAAAACATGGCGTGGAGCGGCTGAGATGGTAAAAAAGAGGCTAATATTTATGAGACGACAAAATAGGGCGAAAATTAAACAATTGGATCTATTCTTGTTTTTTTTTTAGTGAAATCAATCATTAGTTGCAAGTTTAAAAGATATTTTTCATTAAATTTGTTTATAAACCGCGGCTAATAAAAAAAGATAACACAGTACTTGTCAATGTCAAATTGTCTGTAACTGCATCTTAAATATTTTCCGCACGTGAAATTTAATACTAGTATTATACTAAAGTTAAAGTGGAGATAATTGTTGGATTATGTGATTTTTCTGGTCTTATTTTTCTCTGGGAATTACGGATGTTTTGTTTTGAAAGTGTTTTAATGAAAGAGAGCCATAGTTAAGTCTTGGAAATGAAAGAGACAGTAAGGATAAATACGAACGTTAATATAATAGGGCGGCAAAAGATAGCTGGTTGGATTGTGTTCTTTGTAGGTCATGAGAAGCCTATATATCTAGTTTGCTTCGGAAATTGACATATCTTATTTTACCATATTTTCTACACATTATTTATATTGATATAACACGACAATTTGAAGTTGAGGCGCTTGGCTCTTCGATTTCTTAACGATCAATTTTCTTCTTGGAGTATTTAGTAAACAGTCAAAATAGAAAATTCTAGTGTGCTTAGTTGTTCTGTTTCGTGGACTCATTTCTGAAGTCCGATGTCGATCTTATTTTGCTTACTACATAGGTGAAGACGAAACGGCGAGTTCAGATATGGACATGTCCTTTTCTTTGCAGATGGAATGTGACTGAGATACGTACGTGATATCACTGATATGTATCGCACATTTTTTGTTTCTTTTGTAAAAATATTTCACACATTTTCATAAAATTTATCTTAAAACCCAATATTCTAGAATATTACCATAGTCTAAATGTATATTCACTCCATTTCAAATTATTTGTCATTTGTAAAAATGTATTTAAAATAGATATGGACTTTTCAATGACAATTAATTTGAAACAGAGAAAGTAATTTTTTTGTTAAAGGATTTTCAAAATATATAGATTCTAATGTAGCATTAGCAAAACAGATTTTGTTGAATGTCACTAGTGATTAATTAATTGTTTAAATTACTATCACATGTTTTACACCACAATCACGGCTGCATATAGAAGATATAATACTTATATATTTTATCTTTTAGCTTCAAAACTGAAATCTAGACTAGTAAAAAAAAAGGAAGCCAGTAATGTAAGTTTTCCACAGTGCTGAGTCTTCTGACTTACAGGGGTATGCCATTGTACGACTATCAATTAGTTAAAAATCCATTATGTTAGGCCAAGAACTTTGTATGTAGTATTGTGTATATTGATTATCAGATTTTGTGAGAAGTTGGCATGGGGAATGACAAATCGTGAAAGCAAAAGACATGCATGGCATCAATTTGAGTATTTTAGGCACCTACGAATCTATAGGAGCAGAGATTTGCCTCGAGAAAGAGTGAGAGTAAGAGTAACTGAGTAAGAGAGAGAGAGACATATGACACTCCCCCAATCTATCTTTCATTAATTTCCATGTTTTAGTTAAATTTGAGTCATTTACAGATTTACTTATGTTTTCCTTCGTTTAATCCAGATAGAATGATTTCGTCTTACTCTGCAGATTAATTTTAATTTTTGACATTCCGTAATCATACAGTACAGTACAACTGATCAAAACTTTAATTTAATATAATTTATTCAATTTTTTTTTATAAATATCACCATTCTTTTTTTTTCTCTTCAAAAATATAGAAGTTAACTCACTATTGTAAAAAAAAAACAAATACTCCCCCACACACAAAAACAAAATATAGGAGTGAGTATCATAATGGATGTTTTTATTGACATAGCCCCCACACACAAGACACAACTTAGTCTACATAGTTCTCTAATACTAGAATAATATATCTCTCGTATTTTATGATAAAACTTCTGAAAGCGGATTCCTCTCAAATACGGTATGTGTGACTGGGTTCATGTCCAAAAAGACGTACATATGTATAAGTGTATAACTGCCGTAAAAAGGCAGTTTTGTCTCCTTTCTGATGTGTCGTTGGGTGGGACAGACACTTGTAGGCTTGTAGCCAAACTTCTACACGTACGTAGGAGCTCACATTCTACATTTATACACGTATTGTATACATTTCTTCTTATATAATATACGTACAAGTTGTTTTCTTCATGTGCTATGTTTACTATTTTTTAGCATTCAGCCAAAGTACTCTTGTAACCCGTTTGCACTCTCCGTGGCACTTGCTTCCTTTATCTTCCGAAGGTATTATATAAATTCTAAAATAGGAACAGAAATAGTATCAAATAGTACTGAAAAGGTAGACTTTTGGAAGAGGCAGAGCCGTTCCTAGGATTTTGGAGTTCCGAAAGCTAACAAGAATTTATAGAGAATTTTGTTTCTGTTAAGTTCTCTTATTAATTTGCTTAGTTAAGTAAGTTCATACCGAACTGTGTATCCAAAAAGCCTTCTTATCCAACTTGTTGTATGGACCATTTGAAAATAATGGCTTTAATGGGCCAAACTTCCTTATGTGCTTCTATTTTCAGCCACTGTACAGATATCCAAAAGCCTTTACTGAGAGATTTCGATATCTATACACATTATAAGAAATTGTTGTAAACTTCCCAGGCGCAACAACGAGTGTGTGTGTTTAAGTCAATTTATTAGTACAAATCAACTACTCATTCAATGATCAGATAATATCAAGACATGCAACAAACAAAACTTAGCCATTTCCTTTCTCGATTGATTGTGTCATCAACTTCTTGTTGTAAAACAAACAAACTGAATAGTGAATACTGTAAGTTGATTAATCATACAAAATTTTGCAGCATGTAATAAGCCATGTAGATTCTATCTCGTAAAACATTTGTCTGTTACATAATGTTCATTTATTGTCGTCTGATGGGTAAGTTATGCATTTTACAAATTACTCTTAGAAAACCTATTAAAATTATTTGTTCTCTGAACTTATATATAGATTTTCATTTTTTTTGTCCTTGCCTATATTGTACACTATTTCAATTTTTTATCCGAACAAAACGTTAAGGGTCAAAACTACTTCTAACGGTCCTGTGGGAAAAACGAAAAGAAACAAGAAACAATTCGTAAAGAGCAAATATAGAAACACACTTTCTGTCTTATAATAATTAAAAAACCACCGATGATAATAAAATCGAAACAAGAAGAGATAACAAACAGCGATGATGAGTTTGTGGGCGACGGTTGTCTAAGCTTTGGCTCTGTCTATTTATTATCTTATCCAATCATTTTTTCTGGGTTCCCCTCGTGGCTTCTCCAATTATTATTCCTCACAAACCCTTCATTTTGTTTACTTTTGCCGTATTTGCTTTGTATAATTTTGTTTGCCAATTTATTCCACCAACATCGTTCAACACTTCATCATCTTTTTCGTACTCACTTCCAAACGTGGGCAATGGCGCAAAGCCAAGTTTTGAAAATTGGTAAAGGTTTTAGTGGAGTTACGGAGTATGTGTTTGTTCCCAAAAGAAAAAAATAAAGAAATGTGTGTATTGCACAGAAAGTTCTAGCTTAGAAATTTAGCATATTATCCATTGACAAAAAAAAAAGATGTTTATTTCAAGGGTTAATTTGGTAGATATCAGTATTGGGCTTCAATATTAGGTAAACGTCAATAGCAGTTTTAAAATTAGTGTGTACATCTCACGCCGCTATAAAAAGTCTAAAAAGGTCATCATCATTTTGGCAGGATTTTGCAATAGAAGCTTCACTTATCACAAACCCAAACCGTAAATCTTTATACATGAGCCGAGTAATACTATCGCATCAGTATCCTAACTTTTATAGATAAATTAATTTCAAAAACTGAATCTTCCTCTTAATTGAATTTGTGGACAGAAATTTGCCAAGTATGTTTAACCTAATAAACCTTTTTCAGTGGTCTATTTTCGTTTATAAAGAGTAAAGACCATTCTATATTGATCTGTACTTTTACTTTCAACAACAATGTCTGATACTGGTTTACCTAACCTCTGTTTAAATTAATAGTAAACCGAAATTCAGGAGAAATAGAGAAGAAATTTATAAAATATAAAGAGTACATTGGTATACAATCTCAAATAGTATGCATATAAATTAATTATCAGTACAATCACCTAATAACTATAGTCTACACAAGAAACAATAACATATCTACGCCAAACCGTAAAACATAAAAATTAAACCCTAAACTTTACACACTAAATCTTAAAAATTATACCCTAAACCTTGAACACTAAACCCTTAACTTTACACACTAAATCTTAAAAATTATACCCTAAACCTTGAACACTAAACCCTTAACTTTACACACTACAGCCTAAAAATTAAATCCTAAACCTTAAACAATAAACCCTAAACCCTAAACACAGTTCTAAAATCACATAACCTATTATTGTCAATAGTAAACCCTAAACACTAAACAGCGAACCCCAACCCAAAAATAATAAACTCTAAACCCACAACACATATAAAGCACTTACCTAAAAATCAATAACCTAAAAATCATTCACTTCCTTAAACTCAATTAAGAAAAAATGACTACTATGACATGCCAAATAAGTTGAACAAGGGAGCCGCAGATCTGAAGCGCTGACGCCGGAGATTCGTCCTATGATTTCTCCAACTTTGGTTTTCTCCGAGTTACTTACAATAACAACACCACTGTCATTCTGTGTACGAAATAGACATCTCATATAGGTCTGATAGTATGAATCGTAACTATAGTTCGACAAACTTTTGGTTTTTATGGCTGCAATAAAAAACCGACTTTGAGTAATGGCCTTCCAGATAAGCAGCTTCAGGATTATTCTTCAGAACAGTGGCTAGAGATTCAAGACAAGCTTCTCTCTGGCTTGGAGAACCATCAAGAAGGTTCACAAGCTTCTCCAAAACTCTGAGAAGCCGTTGATCTACACTTGTTCCACAAGCATGAGCGATAATGCTCGCAGCAAGACCACTAAAATTCTCATTCTCGCTATTCAACAACGAGAAGAGAAACTCCATGTTCTTCTCTTGGAGGAAGTCATACTTTGGAGCTACATTAGATTGAAATATCATTCTAAGGGAATGAGCACCTGCATCTACTATCTAAACCACAGATTACAAAAAAATAAGAAGAAAAATGAAAAAAGGATCAAACAAACATTCCAAGGCCAATGTTTTAATCCCTCATAAAGGTGGAAACTTTTTGATAAAAGCTAGAAAGATCGAAGAACAAATCTCAATCGTTTAAGCTTCATGTGAGAGACCAACTAGTGATTTCAAATCTGGATAACCATGTGGGGGAAAAGAATTAGACCTTTTTTCAAAAGTTAATAAATTTTCAAATTTCACCTTTTCGTCAGGATTAGTGAGAAGACGAAGCAGATGAAGGAAAACTCCGGCGTCGACAACAGCTTGAACTCCGGCTTCAAACCCACAAGCGAAACTACCGAGCGCCGCCGCAAATTGAACGAGGATGTTGTTGCATTCATCGGAATCGTCTGCATCAGCGAGAGCGGAAGCTATGGCGGGACAGCTCCGAGTTTGAGGAAAGAGAGTTTTTTGGTACGATTTCCGATAATCTGGTTTTTGACCTCGCGAAGGGCCTTAAGCTTGATTTCAGGGTCAGAGGAAGAGAGACGAGTGAACACATCGGCTTGACGGTTATCGGAGGAGGAGGAAGTGGTGGTAGGCATGGCGGAGATTTAGTTTCTCCGGGAAGTGGGGAAATCGGTTAAAAAAGCTTAATTGAGCTCTTTCTCTGTAGCCGGCTTATCATTGTAGCTTGCGGCTCATAAATCGGCTAATATGATATGAAGATATTTTAAGGTAATATTGTAGAACTTATTGACTATATTGTAGCCTATCATCCGATATGGATATATTCTTAATATTATGTTTTTTTTATGTATATTGGGTGCAATTTTCCTTATTTCAACGGGAAACAAAAATCTGAAACAAAATATATATATTTCATAAATGCTTTTTGTCATAAAATCTTGTGGATTTGAAAAAGAAAAAATAAACAGAAATAGTAATAATGTGGACCGTTAAATTTTTGTCTATTGTCAACAAATGTTTTTGTAATCATTGTAAGTTTGTAACCTGAAAATAAGTATACTTGTATATAAAAAAAAACTATAGAATCCAATTTTAATACAGATAAAGAAGATCATATTCTCGTGAGCTCAAACTTTAGATTCGGTTGCAAAACTGTATCCATATTATAACTGAAAAAAATAAGCAAAATAATTTAGTACAATGATTTTTTTTTAAAAATTATCACTAAATTAGTAATTACTACCTGCACATTATACAAACAAATACTTTTCCTTTTAAGAGAAGAGAAATAACAAAATAGTTAGATCAAAATACTGATTTGAAGTAGTATTAGACTATTAGTTTAAAAAGTGTACCCTAATTTTGCTCTTTTATTCAAAATGTTGAGTTAAAGGCACCAAAGACTTTGGCCCTTTTGTGCCAACTGCAAGTATAAACAAAGGAATCCAACTTGTGAACCTAAATTGCTGTGAAAGAGAGGTTTTTCTATCTTTTATATCACTTACAAGAAGAGCCAAGAAAAAAAAAATCGATCTTTCTCTTTCAGTCTTCAATTTCTGCTCACCATCAAGGCAAGTTTCCATCTTTTCCTCCTCTTAACGATATCATTCGCTGCTAAAATCTCTCTTATTTCCAAAAGTTTAAGGCTTTTCCTTAATCGTTGAAAAGGGTAATCAAAATCTTGCCTCATTCCTCTGTAATTTCATACCCAAAATCAGTGTATTGAATCTTTTCATGTGATGTGAGAAAGATGAAGACAATTAGTGGGTTAGGGATTGGTTTGAGTTTGGTGTTTGGGTTTCTTCTCTTAGCACTTATCGCAGAAGTCTATTACCTTCTGAGATGGAAGAAGCACAAGAAGAGAATCACAAGCCAAGAGAGCGAAGAAGAGAAAGAAGAAGAACAACAAATCGGCTACGCTAAGGAGCTTGTCCAGCTCTTCTGCTTCAAAAAGCCTCAACCTTTACAGTCCAACAATGGCGGAGGAGGAGAAGGAGAAATCCCCATGAATCCAGACGAGAATCAGGATTTAGAGCTTGGGTTGATGAAGCATTTGGGTGGAGGAGATCTAGGGTTCGAAGCAGAGCTCATGAAGCTTCACAACCAGAGGTTTCTCTTCACAATCATGGAAGAGACGAAAGCGGATTTGGAATCTGAAGATGGGAAATCGAGATTAGGCTCGAGATCGAGAACGAGAAGCTTGAGTGATCTTCCGATTGACTGTAATACCCCTGGATTCACTCCACTGGCGTCTCCTGCTGCACTAAAGTCGTCGCCTTTGGAGTCTTACTCACACCACGGATTCAATCCTCTGTTCGAATCAGACGGCGAGCTTGAGTTTAACAAGTTTTCCAGGTCGTCTTCTTCTTCGCCTCCGCCGAAATTCAAGTTCTTGAGAGACGCTGAGGAGAAGCTGAGGAGGAGACTGATTGAAGAAGCCAAGAGGAGAGAGTTGAAACCGGACCTTTCGGTTGTGTCAGAAGGTTCGTTTCTGAAGTTCATGAGTCCTGCGATGAACAGAGAGAAGAAACAGAGTGTTGAAGAATCTGATGAAACAGTGACGTTTTCTCAATCTTCTTCGTCAGGTACAAAATCTTTAGAAACGTTAGACCAGAAATCCACACTGGTTGTTTAGTATTTAGATCTCTCTCTCTCTCTCTCTTGCTCTGCTCGTTAATTTTTTATTTTTTTTGTTGAAATTGTTAACAGAATTTCAATTTTATTGTGTGAATTGTCAATTATCTGTCTTTGGGAAAATTTCTTTCTTCTGTATGTATCAATCTGGAAAATTTGCAAATTCTTGTTTTAGTTTTGTCTGAGGAAGATTTTTAGCTAGAAAATGGCTATTAGAATTTTTGTGTTTTGTCCTTTAACTAAGAAACAAAATTTGTTGTATAAAAGCTTTTGGAAAATAACTTTAAAATAAAGTTGTGTTTAGGTTTGGAAGTTGAAGTTAATAATTCAAATCTTTACGGCGCCACAAGTTGAATTTTTCAGCCTCCTTAAGGTTTTTTAACCTACCCAGTGAGAATAAAATATTACCACTATTTCAAATAAACGACAAAAATGTAATGTTCTTTGATAATTGGTAGGAGTGCTTTTAAGCGCAGATTATGGCATACTATAGCATGAATGAATGTGTTTGTTTCTTCACACAATTGTGATTATTACTTGATTTGATGCTTTATATTTTCGTGTATATATTTAGACAATTTGAAGTAAAGAAGAAAATGTAAGAAGGAAATTATACCTTTTGTGTTGTCTGAACTAGAAAAATTCATGGCATCACGCGATGTATCGCCGAAAGGTCTGTTTTTATTTCACTTGCCTTTTTTCCACAGTTTACTTTTGGGAATAATACCTACTCACACCTAAGTGTGTTTGGTTCCATTTCGAAGCGACCAAGAAAATCAAGATAACCTAATTCAACTATCGGTAATTTATGTATATAATTCATTATCAAATCGAACAGCACAAAATTAAAGAATGAGCAAAAAAGTTTATCAATATCATAATCTGCACTTGGAATAGTTCTCAAGTTAGTATTTATGGAAAAAGTCTTATTGGACCACTTAACTTCTGATCAGAAGACTTTATTAGTGGGTGAGTTAGCGACATTTTTTCTCTTCAGAAAATCTAATTATTTCAGTCACTATGAAAAACGGATTTTAGGGTCACAGCTGTTAGTATTCACAGTTATTCCTTTATGTTTGAAAATGTACAAGTAGTAATTCAAAAGTACTTTAAGGGTATGGAATATGTAGAGAATCTATTATCTTTACTTTACATTAGGTGTTTCAAATATCGACTGAAAAGTATTAACGAGATAGTTTGCTAGTATAAGTTTTCGTGATTGAAAAGAGTTTAAAATCACTACCTTTTCTTGCTTATATCTCAAAAACGAATTTGAATTAGACAATCAGCATAAATTCTATAAATGTAAAGCCTGTATGGAACATATTTTGTTATTATTTCTTAGAAAATCGAAAGCTACATATGTGCATGCCTTTATATGTTCATATACGTATAATCCATTAGACATACTGTCATACGTTCGTATGTATACGTAGATATTGTACGTATTAGATGCCAAATGTGAACATGGCGGCACGTGAAAGAACCAAACTCAAAGAGACAGATAAAGGCAAAGGGTCCGAGAACACACGTTAACATCGTGGGGCCCACCTTAATTGTAATTTCAAAATCTCGATTTGGAGTTTGGACACTGGAGCCCAAACCCAACTTTCGCAGAAGCTTCATAATTAACTATGATTTGTTTGTTAATCCTTTGAATCATTATGATTTGTTTGATAAAACTATGAAACTGTAGTCGACCAGGATCATTATAACAAATCTATATCATGTTTTATAAAACATCGTCTAATTTTCTAGTGTTCTGTCATGATAAATAATTAAATACATGGAGACAAACAAAATTAATACAAAGATGCCAAATTTAATAAAAAATACATCCAATACAAGTTCCAAACCATTGATCTCAGTGTGACAGTGACCAAGCCTAATCTCCACCGTTGACACTTGGAGACAAAAATTTCAACTCATCACAAGTTAACAGTATCATCGTATTTTCAAACAATCAAGTATATATACACATTGAAATTTACTGCAAGCTTGTAGAACGAATCATTTAGATACAATAAGTCTATAGGGTATAGGCCTATAGCCCTTTGGTCGTATCCTACCTGAATATACACTATCACTACCATTCAGATCAAGACTCAAATTGTTAAACTACTCTGATATTTTTTGGTAAGATCTTACGGTCGATGATCGTTTCATATCAAATAATAGAAACACACTAAATAAACTTTTGTTGGAGATCTATGATCATTTTCTACATCAATTATCAATAAGTCTTACCTCTAGGGGCCCAAATGGTCGTAAAAAGGAGAAAAACTAATCCAGATGATGAATATAATAGTGGAATTTGTAACAAGTTATTAGTTTCCTAAAGCCTAAATCTCGGTCGTGCATGTTTAAGCTCTATATAGTTGCAGCGGAATAGTTGGATCAGAAAATAATACTACTATTTTGAGCAGGCTGATTTTGAGGTTATGTATATTTAGTGTGATAAATGCATGCTGGCATATGCTTTCACAAAAAATAGCAAAATAATATATATCTATAGGTACATTCGAGAAAATAGCAAACTAAAATTCATTTCAAATCTTGATCCACACCTCTTTTTCGAAACTTCTTGCCAAGTTTTCTTTTCATTCTAAGCCACTCGGAACACTTGCGGACTTGCCGTATTTCTATTTGGGACTTGTCTCATTTTATTGGGCCTGGGCCTGATCTATCTTCACATTGATTCTGACACTTTTGGGATAGCTTCACATTGATTCTCTCAGTTGAGTTTTAAAACTAGACTTAAGTTTTGGATAAAACCTTACATTAGTCATTGATTAATCATTGCTGTTAGTTGTAGATTAAAACCGTAGTCATCTAGTTAAGCTATAAATTGTAATATTACTGCAACGAAAGCATTAGTTATTTTGTTGACACAAATTATTTTCTAAAATAATAGGTTGGGGAAGCAACATATTTTAGGCAGAACACGTACCTACAATCCTAAGATTCTGACTAAACATTCTTGAAATTTTTTATCGGTCTAGAAACTGTTAGCAACTTGAACATTTATAATCATCCTGACGCAATATATTCTCTTTTCTAGTCTCTATATGCCAAAGATATGGAGTAAAAATGAGGTGAGAAATGTACTAGTTAGTAGTTAATACTTAATACTAAGCAGTAGAGATCCAAATTACTGGTTTTGTGAGCAAGAAACATATCGGCCTCCTACCCAATGGTAACATTTGAATGTGCAGAATATTCTTAGACTGATGTTTGCTAGTTTCAACCGCAGTTCTATATCTCACCTCTAACGTACCAAATTCAATGTATATTCAGGTTAAGCTTGTTGTAATACGTATAGTATATACATATAATGTACAATAGGTTTAGGATAAACAACTTAAAGTAAGAAATGACATATACTTATTACTTTATAGATAAAGTAATGATATTATATGAACTATAAAGTGTGATTTGCCTCGAGAGGGGAATATTTTTCGTAAGAATAAGATAAGTGTGGGGATGATCAACATGGACGCATGTTTGCTTTTGTGGGGGGACAAAAGTCAAATTACACTAAATATTTTAAAATTCAATCTTGAAGTTCCCTAACCCCCAAGACATTCAAATAGTCAACTTCTTGATTGAGATAGATTAACGATATCTATGGATTTTGTGGACATTTAGCTTAGGATTCTCCTATTTATTTTTATTTTTAAAAAGAAAGAAGTAGAAAACGTGGAGGGACAAACATAAATCCTTCCGTTCGATGTTAAATTGTTAATTGACATTAATTTGTATCTATATAGATGATATGTATGTACCAGAATATAATCTTTAAAAGAGGAATTTAACCAAATTTTCAACGTCATAAGTTATGGGTACGTTGGAAAGAAAACAAACTATAATAACGTGTATACGTAATTGTATCCTAATATTATTATTTTTTCTCTCTTCATAATTAATATGTATATTTAGATGCGTATAGAACATCGATCGATCAAGACCTAGCTAGCTCACTCAACAGTAGTCTTGCCAATATCTTCAAAAGCGGAATTTGATTTCCTATATGAGTTTGGTTCATTCAAACACTCAAATTTTCTTTTTAATATAAACACAACGTATCGTAAAACTTATAGGTTTCGCAAACAGAGAAAAAAGAAGTAAAAACTAAAACAAAATCAAACCTATAAATACATATATATGGATAGAAAACTGATCAAGATCTAGCTTTCTTAATCTTCTTACCAAAATCTTGAAGAACAGACTGTGGAAACATGGATTCGACCTCTCTAGCTACATCCAAGAAAACCACCTCTCTCTTTAACCACATAGCTCTCCCTTTCATCGCCGGAGTAGCTTTGGGTTTTCTTGGCGGCGGAGGAGGACAATAACACCTAATGTCCGAATTCCTCGGCGTCTCTAGGATCTCTACACGAGAAGTTTCATCATTACATTCCCATTTCCGTTTACTTCTTGATCCATCTTGAAGCTTTACTTTTTCTTGTTCTCGTTCTTGTCCTTGTTCTTGTTGTTGGTGGTTTCCATGTCTTTCAGATTGATTTTCTTGGTTACGTGGAGATAATGCTGAATCTGGAGAGTCGGGTTTCGATGGTACTAGGAGACTGTCAGGTTGTTGAATTGTTGCTGCGATATCTTTTTCATCAGGCAACAACTGCAAAGACTTGATGTTTAGCATCTTATCATGAACAGGGAGAGAAATCGAAAAAATGGCAGTAAAATTAGAAGGAAAATTAATAACTTTAACTGAAATCAGAAACAGCAACAAGATCTCGATATGTATACGTGTGTTTGTATTATTGTATATATGTTGTAAATAAGGATGAAGGAGCAAATAAATTGAAAGTGAGATCTTTGTGTGTGTGTGTTTGGTATATAACAAAGAGCGACACCCCTGAATCGACAAGGGTGCGAGGCATGCAGACCATAAAAAGAGAAGGACTTCTATTAAATAATAATCTTTTTAATAAAAAACCTACACCTACTTCACATAGTCATGTTATTGTGGAGTAATAAATATGTATAATTGTAAATGCTTTTACACCAGCTCTCCCGACTAATTTAGAATGATAAAACCCCTGTCCAATAGAAATCCAATTTTTTTTAAAGAAAAATATAAATTTCGAAGAATCAGCTGTTAATTTGTCACAGATAAAAATGTAAGAGGGACTCAGTATAGCACTGGATGGATTACTTCATTTTAAGCAAGTAAGTTCAACGTATTCGACATTGATAAAATATGTATACATGATTTAAAATTATGTGGGTCCTGCCTGACTCCTAAACATAGTGAGATTGATATAAAAACCCACTTTGTGCGAGGGATCCAATGCAAAAACATACTGGCATATCTTTCTGCATTTTATGTATATAGACACAGGCCACTTTTTTTTTTTTTTGGGTGCAAATGTGATCATACAAACCACCCACTTATAATTAGTTATCTGGTAGACTGTTACCTGCTCTTCTCTAGCCATAAAGAAATCCTTCTTTCTCAACACTCAGGTTCATGTCTTTTTCACTTTTTATATATCTTCTTTACAAATAAAATAAGTATATCCGCATAAAAAGTAGCGAATATTCAAAACAAACATTTCTAAATCATTTCTTTTAGATTTTAAATTGTTTAGAGTAGTTGACAAAACAAAAAAAAATTGTTTATAGGCTTATAGCACTATTTTTGTTTGTTCAACCGACTTTTATGTATTTAGTACTCCCTCCGTTTCAAATTAGTTGTCGTTTTGGCAAAATGTATCTGCAAATATTTGGATGTATCTGGACGTGTTTTGCATTGCAAATACGTCCAAATATTTGCAGATACATTTTGCCAAAACGACAACTAATTTGAAACGGAGGAAGTAGTATTTATCAATTTGTTTATTGTAATTTTTTTTCTTACCGTTGTTTATTGACATTATTGTATTTGTGGTGAACTAATCAACGAAAATGATATTTTCCAAAAGAAAATGCATGTCACATTATCTTACTACATGTCTTATTCGGCTATTCCAATGGAAGAGTTATGTAAACAAAACATTTACTAAGTTAATTTGTGATATAACATCTGACGACATTTTTGAATAAAGCAATAGTTATGTACATACTACATACTCTACCCGAATTCGAGAAAACAAATTATACAGTGTAGCTGGATTATCAAAGGTCCATATAAACCTAATTACACTTGAATATAATAATAGCATAGTTTGTTTGTAATTTTTCTTAATAGCATTCATGTGACTCGTATGCTTAGTACTTTTGATGCATCAAAATCAAGTCACGTGGTTATATATATATAACTAAAATCTGCTGCATCTTCTGTGGAATCTATTCTCTCTTTTCAGCTTTATGTATCCACTTTTTCATCCCTGATCTTGTTAATTAGTAATCCCTCATGTGATCGTGATGTTATTCTTTGCAATTATAAACTTTAAACCAAATTTACATATCATATGTTATGCAATGATCGATCGCATGTCAATTCAAAAAAAAAAAAGCGTTGATCGTATTCATGGGTTTTAGACTTTAGTTATGTAAATTAACGTATGGCGTACATATTATAAACAAAATAACTACTTAATTAATTTGTTAGGATATACATAAATCGCTACATTTTTTCTTTCTCAAACAACTTGTCCTTAATTACAATGATCATATGGTTTTGGATATAGAAATTCATTACTACTATCCAACAAAATTTTGTGATGAAAAGTAGAGAGTCTTGGAATATGGAAATATTGTTGTTATGGAATCATAATTCGATAGATGACAATATGTCTCCACGATGGGGGGTGTACGGGGCCCTTTTGAGATTGCTTGGGTTTCACCGCATCCTAAGTTTCTTTTCTTGTTTTGTTCGAGAATTCTTATTTTTTTCATTTTATGATGATGCGAGAAACATATCTTTTATCAAAAAAAAAAATTCATAATTAAGAAACCACTAGCATTTTTTTGTTTGCTGTTGTTAATTAACTAAAGGTCAATTTTCAGACAAGTGCATCCATTTGATACTTGATGCAATTATGCAAATAGTATAACATCTTATTAAAAGAGTCCATTAAAGAGTGCAAATACTCTATCAAAATTGCGATAAAAAAAGGTATACTGCTCTTATTATATCGTCACAGTATATATTATTATATCTTCCAATATATTAATACGAAAAACAGAAGAAAGACTCTCATATACCAAATAATTACATCTCATGCTCATGCTTAATTATATTGTTTCCCCACACCCTTTCATCATTACACCATTTTCTCAATCTCCGCCAACCTTTTTCAGCAAATACACATATTTTCCCCTTAAATTATTATTACTCCTTTGTTATAAGTTTTTATAATCTTACAGCTTTTTTCTCTATCTTGAATTTTTAAGTCCTTTGGGGATTGGATATGATCTCGGGTCATGCTTACAATAGTATACCCCAAAAAGTCGAATACAAATTTTGTGAAGCGAGGTCGGGCTTTAATTAATAGCCCAAGATACAAGAACGAGTTTTCACTGACCCGATTCTTCCGGCGAACCAAGACCAAAACACGTAATTTTCGGTCAGGTTGGGCTGCATTATTCTTCACCACCCAAATATAGATGGACACGTGTCGTCACACTCTTAGATATAGGCTCCAACGAAAAATTAACGGTCAACATCTGTTTGAAGTCGATCGATATAAAGAAAAGTTCCTTTCGTTTTTTCAGAAATTTTGAACCCATTCAGGGGCGTTTCAGGATCCGAGCTCTCGTTTTTGTTCTTCCTTAATTTCACGAGGTGACTCTATTTTCTACTATTTGTTTTAATAGTGTACGACCTTGGTTTATTTACATGGAAAATGCTAGGAGCCTAGGACAAATATATGTTATACTGTTTCTAGTTGGGGTTGTGTTTTGTCACGAATCTTGATTCATATATTCAGATAAAGATTGAAGAATGGCGGACGGTGAAGACATTCAACCGCTTGTTTGTGATAATGGAACCGGAATGGTTAAGGTAAAGTTTCTCTAAATGCCATGTCACATAATAAAACTATACCATAAAATATATATAGAAAAAAATATTCTCTTTATGGTTTAGGCCGGATTTGCGGGTGACGATGCACCAAGAGCGGTTTTCCCGAGCATTGTAGGCCGTCCACGTCACACGGGTGTGATGGTTGGGATGGGACAAAAGGATGCTTACGTTGGAGACGAGGCTCAGTCAAAACGTGGTATCTTGACTCTCAAGTACCCGATTGAGCATGGAATTGTTAATAACTGGGATGACATGGAGAAGATTTGGCATCACACTTTCTATAACGAGCTTCGTGTGGCTCCTGAAGAACATCCGGTTCTCTTAACCGAAGCTCCTCTCAATCCAAAAGCTAACCGTGAGAAGATGACTCAGATCATGTTTGAGACGTTCAATACTCCTGCTATGTATGTTGCCATTCAAGCTGTTCTCTCACTCTATGCCAGTGGCCGTACAACTGGTCAGTAACACACACACACTTAACTTTTTTCAAAACATTCGCATGCATTGGTTCATTAGCTTTGTGCTCGATGAATTTGCTATTAATTGGTTTAAGCCCTAGCATTAATTAGGTTATTAGGTTTTGTTTTTCAGATATTTTTTTTTTCTGTAATCTAGAACCAAAATATTTCTTGTTATGGGCCATTTTGATTATTATCTATTTTCAGATTTTTTTTTAACATAACTAAATGTATTTTAGGATAGTTTATATTCCAAGAATTTCAGTTTAGTTTGGTTATGTTTTTATGGACAACTCTAAGTGGTCTTTTTGGTAAATGTTGGTTAGGTATTGTTTTGGACTCTGGAGATGGTGTGAGCCACACGGTTCCAATCTACGAGGGTTACGCTCTTCCCCATGCAATCCTACGTCTTGACCTAGCGGGTCGTGACCTCACGGACCACCTCATGAAAATCTTGACAGAGCGTGGCTACTCCTTCACCACAACTGCTGAACGTGAAATCGTTAGAGACATGAAAGAGAAACTCTCCTACATTGCTCTAGACTACGAGCAAGAGCTAGAGACTTCCAACACAAGCTCATCGGTTGAGAAAAGCTTCGAGCTTCCCGACGGACAAGTGATAACCATCGGAGCAGAGCGGTTCCGTTGCCCTGAAGTCTTGTTCCAGCCGTCGATGATCGGAATGGAAAATCCGGGAATCCATGAAACCACATATAACTCGATCATGAAATGTGACGTGGATATTAGGAAAGATTTGTATGGGAACATTGTGCTAAGTGGTGGAACCACAATGTTTGGTGGGATTGGTGACAGAATGAGCAAAGAGATTACGGCTTTGGCTCCGAGTAGTATGAAGATTAAGGTCGTGGCTCCACCGGAGAGGAAGTACAGTGTTTGGATCGGTGGCTCTATATTGGCTTCACTCAGCACTTTCCAACAGGTGAAAACATATTATAAACATTTGTGTCTTTGCTCTTAATATAACTTTTTTTTCTCATAAATATTGTAAAATGTTTGAAAATTTTGCAGATGTGGATTGCCAAAGCAGAGTACGATGAATCTGGACCGTCAATTGTGCATAGGAAGTGCTTCTGATCATCACACAGTTCATGGAATCGCTCAATGAAAACAGAAAAAATTTAAACGGTTAAACAGAACAAACATGATATATTTTTTTTTACCGCTTACCAATTGTCACATTTTTAATCACATTTCTGCAACCAAATTGTTCTTTGTAATTTTTATTTGAAACAATTGAACTAGAAAAAGCAAAATGAGTAACTTACTTATGACACTCGCAAGAAGATGAGTTGATGATTAAATTTTGTTCTTTTAACTCCTTTGATTCATCTTTTTTATTCTTTAGTTTTTTGAATGTTGAAGCAAGATAATCATCACCTCAAATCTTAAGTTGCATGGTTAACTAAAATTTTACTTTGAATACTCCGAGTTCGGTTAAACTTAAACCGAGAAACCAAGAAACAGAAATTTTTGGAAGCACAAACTCAAAGATACTTCTTCCTTCCCCGAGATCGCTGCCGATGAAATCTTGTTGACTAATCACTAATTAGTATGTCAACTTCCTCGCCGTCGGATAACGGAACTCAACCCGGATCCATCCCCGGCGATTTTCCTCCCGATCCGCTTCTCTCCACCGGTTCCTTCATCTCCTCGACCACCACCGCCGGTGACGATACTCTAGACAGTAGTGCGAAGCGGCGACCAGTTCATGGAGGAAGCGGAGTAATTGGTTCGGGAGAGAGCGTACGCTTCGGAATGTCGTCGAACGGTAAGGATCCGGAATCGAAGTCGCGTAAGCGTGCGGCGCCAGGAGACAATTGGCTTCCTCCTGGTTGGACAGTTGAAGATAAGGTTCGAACCTCCGGTGCTACAGCTGGCTCGGTCGATAAGGTATTATAAATCTCACAGCTCTTTAAAGTTTGATTCTTTGATTGCTCTGTTGTGTTCTTTGAATTGAAATTTGGATTCTTTGCTGCTACAATATCCTAAGGAAACGACTTTGTTATTGAGAGTATGAATTTGAAGACTATGAAGATCAATCTTGCTATTTTAAGTTGTGTGAAGTGTGATGTTTTAGTAGAAACAATACAAATTGCTAGAAGGAAGACAAAGAGTTGATCAATGTCATAGGACTTGGTTGGTTCTGCTTTGTTAAAGCTTAACCATGGATTAGTAACATTGTCATTTCCGATTGTTGCAGTACTATCACGAACCAATCACAGGGCGTAAGTTTCGGTCGAGGACTGAGGTACTGTACTACTTGGATTCTTGGAACATGGAACCGCTAAGAAAGGCAGCAAGAATTCAGACGTGAGTTGTTTTAACATGCTTAAAGTTTAAACCTTTCACCACGGTTTTCAAAAGCCAATCTAATACAAATTGGGTGTTGTATTTGCAGAATTTTGACGGCCATGGAAGCAGCAATAAATCCAGCAGAAAAGCTAGAGAGCCGCCGCCACCGTCGCCTCCACCACCGCCGTTGAATTTTGATTTTGAGAATCCACCGGAGAAGGTAAGCTGGTCTATGGCAAACGCGGGAGATGAAGCTTGGACACCTTTTATTGGGGACGACAAGGTTCAGGATTCGGTGAGACGAGATTGGTGCACTGCGTTTACCGCTGTCACGACTCAAAACCCAAGTAAACTGTCTTAGTGAAGACGATGATGATGATGACACGGTGGCTATTTTTGGGCCCTTGCAGCTATTGTAAGATAAACAGAGATGGTAGACTTATTTAACTGGGAGATGTTTGCTTAGTATTCATTCCTCACGTGATTTAAATGAATGAGCTCTTATTTGAAGTAATGTGATAATGGGAAATACATATCTGCGTTTGCATTTGTAGTTGTAATGACTAATGAACATCCCTTCTTGACTGATAATAATGAAGAGTGTGGAGCGACAAAGCCTTTCTTATTGGATAAGGAAATTTCAAGCAGTAGTTTATGTTTGCCTTTTGTTCTTCGAACTGCGCAAGAATTGTCCTTCTTGGTTTCTTGCATTTGTGTCACAGAGAAGAGAGCTTATTCCCTGAGTGTTAACATTCTGGAACATAAGCAATTTAAGACAATTAATCTAGTATAATATTACAAGACATGAAGCGTCTGTAGTCCAACGGTTAGGATAATTGCCTTCCAAGCAATAGACCCGGGTTCGACTCCCGGCAGACGCACAACTTTTTGGACCAAACCTTCCGATCAGTTTATTTGTTCACATCAAAAGAGGATTCGTTTTTTGGTACTCTGTCGTATCAAGACCCAATAGACCCATACTCCACAACCATAAATGACAATTGACTACTGAATCTTTACATATTTTTCTGGATGGTGAGCTTTAAAGGTGAATAATTGATTATGGATTTTCTAGCAATATTTTTCTATGTTGGATCATCTCTCTCTCTTTGCTTGATTTTGTTTCATTATCCAAAGACAACTTTTTTGACATTAGTCCTTCCGATTGATTGAGGGTCTATGATCGACACAAAGCACAAACCTGAACCGAAGATCTGTGTATGTTCTTTGACAATTTCCCGATAAGGAACCCCAAAAATCAACTGAAAATTTCATTTTCCGACCTGTCAATGTTATACTAGCAAAAATTGAAACAATCGGATTGTGATTTTGTGGGTGTAAGCAAAAACTATTGTTTTGCTTTAATTTGAAATTTCTTTTTCTTTTCCTGGTCACACTATTGTTTAGGACTTTAAAAGCTGTGATAAATATTACTAGAAAGACCTTAATTTCCCCATTTAGTAATATTCCTTAGAAAGTGTAACCTTCTCTATATGCGAGAGGCTTCCGTTTTAGTCTTGTGCCCCAAGCATAATAGCAAAAGGTCTTTACGTTTTGTTTGGTATCGGTTATTTTTTGCCCACTCTGTTTGACTAAATTTACAGGATTGCCACTGATTGCTTGCTCTGTGGACTGTGTTTTCAAAAAACACGCTATTTCTATGACTCTCCTCCAGCAAATGAATATCGGGGAAAAAGGTCTTCGCTTTTAATTTGGTATGCCTTGTACTCTCTCCTTTTTATAGGGATATGGATATTCATTTTGCAATTAAAGTTTTGAAAAAAAAATATCAAAAGAGAGTTTTTTTGTCGATTCTTCAGCTGTAACCTGAAGGTAACAAAATCCAATCCAAATATTTCACCTCCGACTGCTCTTCATTCTGCAATTTTTGTTCTGTTTTTTCGATTACTCTCCTCTCTGCAACTCTTTAGCTGTGTATGTAACACAAAATCCAAATCCAAAAGAAGTTTTTTTTAGAGTTCTTCACAAAAAGTGATTCCTTTTTGTTTTCTACTTCGGTTTTAAGTTTATAGATGTTATGGAGACTTGATTATATTTACTTGGAGAAACTGTGAGTCATATATACATTTCTGATTTCTCCATGATACAAACCCAAAAAAGGTCGTCTTTTTTTTTTGTGTGGGTTGTTCTAAAAATGTGATTTTTGACTAGTTGAATCCATAAATCATCTGTTTCTCCAACTGTTTTTCATAATGAAACCCAAAAAGGTCGTCTTTTAATTTTGTCTGGATTGTTCTAGAAATGTGATTTTTGTACAAGTTAGATCCATAAACCATCTGTTTCTGCAACAAATAAAGGTTTCTTCTTGTTATTTTGTCCTGTTTCCAGCGTTTGTTGAAAAAGAAATCTCTTTTTTTTTTTGTAGCTCTAAGATCTCTAAGATGGAGAAACAACACAAGCTGAAACTTCCAGTGGAAGATTCACCGGCAGAGACTTCAGAGATGGAGGAAGACGACGACTGTTCTGAAGCAAAGTTCGTGTGGCCATGGGTTGGTCTCGTAGCTAACATACCAACGGTGGTTGAAAAATCTGGTCGGAGAGTTGGCAAAAGCGGTTCAACGCTACGTGATGAGCTCATCGTGAAAGGGTTTGATCCAACAAGAGTCCAACCCATTTGGGATTTCAAGGGACATTCTGGTTTTGCTTTGGTTGAATTCAGCAAAGACTTCCAAGGATTCGAAAACGCCATGAAATTCGAAAGGAGTTATGAATCAGATCGTCATGGGAAGAGAGATTGGGAGAAAGGTATATAAAAAAAAAGCATCTTTTTGAGTTCTTCAAGCATTTTGATTTTAGGGTCACTTTGTTTACCTTTTTATTTGTTTGGAAAAGGTATGCATTCGAGAGATGATAAGCCTTATGGTTGGGTTGCACGAGAAGCTGATTACAATGGGAGTGGAATCGTTGGCAAGAATGTAAAGAAGAAGAGGGATTTGAAAACCGTGTCGCAGATTCAACAAGAAGACGACAGGAAAATGGTTCAGCTTGTCACAAACATGTCTCAGTCGATTGAGATGAAGAAGATATGCAAGCAAGAGCTGGAGGACAAAGTCAATGAGAATGCTCTTTGTTTGGAGAGCTTGGAAATTCATAACGATATGCTAAACAAAACCTACCAAGAAGGTAAAGGATGCAACTTTGATTCAATTGCTTCAATTTTGTGTGTGTTCTTGCACATGTATGTTGACATGGTTCTGTGGTCTGTTTTGTGTGTGTTCCTGATGAGAAGAGGCTGAGAAGATGCAGAAGAACGTGCAAGAGCTGTATCAGCACATTCTGAAAGGACATGCAGAATCTATGTCGGACCTGGAAAGACAGAGGGAGATGATGGAGGAGCGTGCAAGACAGATTGACATAAACGAAGCTGAGATGCAAAAATCCAGACTTGAAAGAGAAATGGTGATTTTGCTTTCCTTATAAATTAGAACACACAAAGAAGATCACAAGACAGAGTTCAAATATGTTATCTTTTATTTGTTGCAGAATCAAAGGGCTATGTGGGAGCAGAATGAAGCTAATAAGGAAGCTATGAATCTTGCAGAAAAGCACCAGGCAAGTAGAACAAATCCTGAACCAAAAGTTTCCATGTTTTCAAATCTTCAAGAATCTGAAACATGACAAGTTTTTGCAGAAAGAGAAGGAGAAGCTTCATGCGAAAATAATGGCAATGGAAGCTAAGCTGAATGAAAGGCAAGAGCTGGAGTTGGAGATAGAGAAGCTGAAAATGAGCACCAATGTAATGAAACACATGGTGGGGAGTGATGGAGACGCAGAGGCTAGAGAAAGAGCTCTGGAGGAGATGGCCAAGAGTCAGAGAGAGTTTGAGGCTAGAGAAAGAGCTCTACAAGACGAAATGATGGCTTTGTCACAAAGAGAGCGTATGACCAACGACGAGTATCAAGACGCTCGTAAAGAGTTGATCAAGGTACAAAACAAAGACCCTTCTGAATGTAAATGATGTTCCAAAGTCTATTGCTTTGAGTTTTTTAAAAAGCTATGGCCTTTGACTTTGATGAGCAGTTCTGGAAGGTGAACGACGATTTGGTGAAAGAAGAGAAGATTAGAGTGAAGGTGATGGGGCAATTAGACCCTGAGCCGTTTTTGCCAGCAGTGATGAGGAAACATAAATTGACAAAATCAAGAGCAGAGATGAAAGCTATGGAGTTGTGTTCATTCTGGGCAGAACAGATTGGAGATGTGCATTGGAATCCATTTAAAGTCATTGAATCTGGTGGAACAGCAAAGGTTTGGACTTTAGAACTCTACTTTATTTCCTGTATTATATGGCACAATATCTCAAGTTTTCCAAATGTGTAAATTGCAGAGAGTAGTGGATAAGAAAGATGGGAAGCTGCGTAAGCTGAAGAATGACTATGGTGAAGAAGTTTACGATGAAGTGGTGAGGACAAAGCTAGAGATAGAGGAGTACAATGCGAGTGGTGGCTATGTGATTTCTGAGATTTGGAACTATGAGGAAAAGAGAAAGGCGACAATCGAGGAAGCAGTGGATGTGATGTTGAAGATAAGGAAGGATCTTGCTGCAAAGGTGAACAAACGTCAGAGGCTTTGAGATATCTACTCGTAGACTTTGAGTAACAATGTTGAAGAGTTTTTTGCCTTTAGAAATTGCTCTCGTTTTGCAGACCAGTTTAATTTAATTTGCTACTACTGTGGATGGTTTGTGCCAGTTAATTTCTTCTTTATCTATCCAAAAAACTAATCTTGTTCTCTGTGATGGGATGTGATGTTAAATTCACATTCTGAGCTTATGGTAATTATAATTTTATGTTGACTTGTAATGTCAAAGCAGCGTCTGTAGTCCAACGGTTAGGATAATTGCCTTCCAAGCAATAGACCCGGGTTCGACTCCCGGCAGACGCATATTTTAGCAAACTATCATTTTAAAACGGTATCGTTTTCAATGGTTATATTTCCATTTTGTGTTATTAGACTAACATAACCCGCCAAAATCGAATCACCGCTTGTAAAGACATTCTCGTCCAATCAGATATTTTATAATACTTACATATATATCAAACGCAAATGTTGCGTGCACGCGCCGAATCGCAACGTGTGGCCATCATTTCTCGGTCCAACCGTCTCCACCACACGCTTCCTCTTCTCTTTCAATTGTTCCGGCGAGAGAAAGAGGAAAATCAGAAGAGGATCACTATTGTTTGATTGATGGCGGGCACTTGCACTTCAATTAGGCCTCGCCTAATTGGCTCTTCATCGATTGTTGAGCTTTCCAGGTTGATTAATCGAGCCGGAGTTCCTTTCTCTGTGCGAATCTCCACCAGAAGGTCCAGAACCCAAGGCCACGGAGGTGGTTTCACAGCGCCGACTTCACGGGAGGAAGGTCCTTCTTGTATCTTCGTCGGCCCGATTGATTCCGCCCGCAAAGAAACTCTAGAAGCTCTTTATCGCCAAGTACGCCTGATAAAATTTGTTTTGTTTGTTTTTGAAATTCGTCTCTGTGGTTGTGGAGGAGTGTGTATATCACTCAGAAATTTCTTCTGGTGAAGTGATTTTTTTGATCTGGAATAGACAATTTTACGTTTTGAATTCTATGTTTTTGCTTCTTTTGACCTGTGACTCTGTGACTGTACTTAGTTCCTGGATTTTGATGTAACTCCCAATGAATTTATGTATGGTCAAAAATGAATTCTGGTGAAATTATTGAGTTTAGCATAATCAATTTAGCTAAATTTTCTGGATATTGAAGTCACAATCTGATTGAATTGTGTAGGCGAGGGATGCGTATTACAATGGCAAGCCTTTGATAGTTGATGACATGTTTGACAGAGTTGAGGTAAGATAACTCTTACTATATATGCTTCTTAATCCAGTTTCTAGCAAGATATGATTTACAATGTTGGATTCTGCTTTCTGTTGCAGCTGAAGCTTCGTTGGTATGGTTCAAAATCCGTTGTCAAGTACCCTCGTTGCAGCCTCCTGCGACAGTCAACGTATGCTGATGCGGAGGTACAATTTAGCTGCTTCATAGATTAGTATATATATCATTGTTTTGCTCTTCTGTGAACAATGTTTTTGTCAAGGGTTGATATTAAGTTGAATCCTTGTAGGACAGAATGATGCATCCCAAGTTCTCCTGTTAGCTACCATATGGATCTTGATACTCTTATTTGGTAGCTCGGCATGCGTGGTGCCCTCGATGTATGGCCTCGGGTTAGTCTATGGAGGAGATCCGTTTGACTCAGGGCTTGTCTATAGCGGCCAGTTGACAACTTCTGTGCCTCTTTTGTCAAAGTTCAATGGCGTCCTCCTCACCGTGTTAGGTCCTGCTTTTGGATATCCGATTGCATCCTCTGCAGGTAACCAGAATGCATTTCGTCTATACGCGTGGTAGTATCTATTCATTTACTTGTACTGAGGTAAATAATGCTGTTTGTAGTGAGAGTGCTTAAAGGGTTGTGGAGAAATGACTTAACAGCTCTAAAAGGAAACTGCCCACATTGCGGGGAAGAGGTCAAAATCTTTGCTTGTAACATTTTGCAGCTACAGAGTACAGAATCCTGGGTTTTTTTCTCAGTTCTCTCACATTTGAGTTTGATGAACTTGTGTGTAGGTTTTCGCGTTTGTGGGATCCGATCAATCAAACCGATCAGCTCACAAAGCTGACTGTCACGTCTGTGAATGCACCTTGGAGTTCCGTACCAAAGTTGAGGTAAAAAGAAGACTGTCTCCCATTTTCCCTTGTTACACCTCATCGCCACCGGTTTTGCATTTACATTTAGAACGCCGATTGCGCCTTAACTAGTCCTCTGTAGCTTTTCTAACAACAGTGATTGTTTGGTGTTTTGTCTTTGTGCTTCAGAAATCTGCGTCACCATTGGGTAGAAAATGGGTTTACGGCAGGATATACCTTGTTTCACGGCCAAGGAGAGATCGGCGTTCAAAGTTTACATAACTCTGACTAAACAAAGAAGATTTTTGGGGATGGTTTTAGTACTGCAGCTGCTCAACTGTATATGTAAACAAAGGATAGCTTTGGTAACATTCAAAACTCAAAAGGTTCATATAATTGTTACTACAGTATAACGTTTCGTCTCTTGTAGCCCCTTTTCTTCAGACAGTTTTACAAAACAAAAATTGTAAAAAGAAAAAATCAGAGCCAACGAAGTATTTGCTGCCTTTCTCAGAGGTAGTTGAGAAGGATCATTTGCTACTGAGGAAAAAGAATCTGAGCTCAGAAGTGTGCCAGGCTATAGACAAGAATCCATGCGAGCTGAAGACAGAGACATGAAACAGAAGATTTTGTTAGAACCTTAACTAGTACTGTTGAGTGTTACGGAAAGAGTTTGGTTTGTTGAGATGAGAAACAAGCATACCAAAAAGAGAGTAACTGAGGCGAAGAGACCCTCTTGGAGTAAAGCTGCATGTCCCCCAAAATCTTCTTCATCAACCTTGAGAATCATTGCGTAGTAACCATAAACTATCCCTGACGATATCGCCAAAAACCTGCAAAATCCCATCATCAACTTCACAAAATTTTGCTGATTGTAGAGGTTTTGAAGCAATGTGATCAAAAAGCTTCAAGTGATTCTAACCACATGAAGATATACACCCAACAGAAGATTTTAATGTAATTCGTTTCGGCTTGAAGCTTATCAAGAAGATGAAACTAAAAACCCCAAGAAACTCATAGAAACAAAGCTGGACTGAGACTGAGACTATTTCTTAGAGTATGGAAACGCAAACGCAAAGAAACCATGTGTGACCTGAAGTCTCAAGTTTAGAACTTACGCAATGATCCAAATGCCTCCAACAAGTGGAATTGAGCCCCATAACAATCCACAGATCAATCCCACCACTTGTCGGATCCAATGCAACACGTCTCCCAATTGATCCTGCATCCATCAACATAATCCCAATTCATACCTAGCAAGCTCAAAATTCAGTTTCTAGATGCATATTCACAAATTGAACTTTAGAAAACAACTTGATCGGAGCAATCTACCATTTTCATTTACACATTTGATTTGATCAAGTGAGATCGACTACAACTCTTACTCAGCTAAGAACTTTCTGGGAATCAAATCTCCATGAGAAAGAAAAAAGCAAGTAATAAAAAAGTCAAAGCAGCTCCGAGATTGCCGAAAACGAGGGAGAAAGAAGAGAGGGAGTGAGTGAGTGAGTACCTTGTCCCAAGAAGCATCGGGATCGAACAAATTCGCCAGTTTCGATGGAGACAAGTGAACGCTCTGGTGATTATATTGTTGTTGTTGCTGATTCAACTTGGCCAATTTCGATTCTTTCATCCTCGATTTCAAAAACCCAAAAAGGAATAAAACAGTAACTCGAAATCCGAAGCCTTGGATATCGAGAATCTGAAGCTAATCCCCTTGTAGAGACGAAGAATCGAGGGTAGTGAGATTCAGCAGCCGCAAGTGAAGAAATGGTGGACGAGTCGTGAGATTATTAAACTGTGACTGCCCTTCATGTTTTTGGATCCAAGATATTCAGCACTGTGTGATTGCCAGATTTTTTTGTTTAGTTTTTTAATTAAATGAAAATAATAGTTTAGTAGGAGATAATAAAATAGTTCTTCGTTGATGACTTTGATAAACACAAAAAAAAAAAAAAAAAAAAAAAGTTATTTATAATTTTGGAACGAGGTTTTAGACATTTTGGATCTGATGCCTCAAAATATTGTGTTTTATAAACTTTTTACAACAGAATATTCAAAATTCTCCTCCCTGCCTTGGTCAAAGTTATTTATAATTTTGGAACGAGCTCATAGACATTTTGGATCTGATGTTTATACTTTGTATATAGAAAATTCAAAATTCTCCTCCCTACCTTGGAGACTGGAGTATATAGTTTAGCTACGATAATGTCTACATACTTTGAATTCTTAAAACATCTTTCTCTGCAAAGCTATTATAAAATCCCCTGATCTAATCTTATATATAATGAGAGGATGTCACAGTGACACCTCAGCATCCTTTTTTCTTTCTCAAATTGCCACGTGGCATCATTCTATTAAAAAAAAAAAATTAACAAAAGCCAATCGTTTTGTCTTCCCGACGTTTACCTGAGCGGACTTGTAGACGGAGATAGTGTGCTCGGCGGCGTCTTTCCTCTCTTGACCAGTGGTAAACTCGACTAAGTTCCTGTGGTAATCGCCCTTCTTTTTCAGGTAGAAGACCTTGGAGTCACCGGAGCAGCGGTGGGGACGAATCTGGAGTCGAGCAATTTGAGGATTCCGTTTCAGATTCCAGAGAGCTCTATCTCGATCTTAGACCTGTATTATTTGATCGCCTATACCAAATTAAACGCGAAATCAATCACGCTAAATCCATGGCAGAATCTGCAGAAAATCCCCTAAAAATCCGAGTAGCTAGATAAAGCGATGATCGATCGATAAACAAACAAAATGGAAGAAGAATCGAATATACTCACAGCTGATAATTCAGTTTACAGAAGATCGGGAAGGTAAGAGACCCAAGTAAAGCACTCACCGTCGACAACATGAGGGCGAATCTGCAAGTTTACATTAACCCATACGGCGTCGTACGTTCCACACTGATATTCCTCCGGTCTAAATAGTTTTATCCAGATTTCGGTTTGCCTTTTATCGATTTGATACGGTCGAAATTTTTATTTACTTTTGTCCAACCTTTACTTTTGCTCCTTCTATGTTTCAATGCAATTTCAGTCTTCCCATTAACTGTGAAAAATAGTATATATTTTCATTATATTTAGATTTCTTTTTGGATATAGAGATAATATTCTCTTACGTTCACATTCGATTCATATCTATTCGGTTTCAATTCTGATCGACTCGAAAAGGGGATGAGGAGATGTACAGTCGAAGAAGAAAGAAGGTGAAGATAGGAAAAAAGGGGAAAGGAGAAAAAGAAAAAAGGAAAAAATAAGGAGAAGAAAACGACGAGGAGATAATACTGTCGAAGAAGAAGACAGGAGAAAAAGGAAAAAGTATTTTGGTTCATTTGATGACCCATCTACACAAATTACTCCATAATTAATTTTATTAGTAATTTTTAATATTTTAGTTTTATAATTTTGGATTTATGTTTTCTGTTTGAATGTTAAGTTGAAGGGTATCATGAATTCATAATTTAGGGTTTGAGATTTTAGTTTTAGATTATAGTTGACAGTTATATATATATATATATATATAAAATAAATTGTGGCCTTCAAAAATTTTAGTTTTAGAATTTGAGATTTTGGATTAGGGATTTGGGGTTTGTGATTTCGAAAATTAAATTTAAATACTTTTAAAATTATTTGTTAGTGTAGATTATGAATCTTAGATATCTATATAACCATTAATTATGTTTAGGGTTTAAAGTTTAAGATTTATTTGAATTTGTTATAAGTGTTAACAATATATATTCATTCTAGAAAATAATCATACAAAAATGTATGATTTTTATAAGTGTTAGAGTTCTTTCTCATGTAAGAGTTAGATTCAAGGATTTAGATATAAGAATTTAGAATGTCTTTTAAATACTTTTTGCTAATTCTGATTTAATGTTTTTTTTTGGAATAAAAGTTTATGATTTATAATTTCTGGTTTAAGTTTAGATTTTGAGTTTGCTTTTTTAATTTAGGGTTTATGATTAGGATATAAGATTTTCAATGTGCTACAAATAGCCACAATTTATTTGTCGTATATGAAAAACGTTTTAATAATTTGATTTTAGAGAAAATAAAGAGTAATATATTTTTACCCTGTGCTAATATATCTGGAAAAAATATAAGAGAAAAAAATATTTATAAAATTCAAATGACAACTAAAATATAAGTAATAAAATTTTTGTAATAGTCACAATCCGCGCATCGCGCGGGTTTAGCCCTAGTAATTATTAATGTATGACTGTACTAATTAAAGAACTTTGATTTAACTTATTAATGATTCTAGTATAAATGGAAAAAAAACAATTTAAAAAAAAACATTATCATTTGCTCCCTGGTTAATTTACTTAAGCCAAGAGGTTAATTACTCCAATAATTTAATTTACAGTTTTAAGTCCTTGATATTTATATAAACTACAGATCGAACCCATTTCTCGTTCCTTTTTTTCAGTCTCCCTCCCTGTAAAGCAGCTCCCAACTTTTCCAAAGCTTCTCCTCTCCCACAATTGAAGACGTTTGATCGAATTCTCTCGAAATCTATAGACTTCTGAAACAAGGGTTTTATAGAAAGGTGGAGATCACACTGAGATCGGCTTTCACAAAAAAAAAAAAAAAAAAATGGGGAGTCCAAAGAAGGACGAGAACAAAGGCTTCTTCGCCGCCATGACTTCCGGCTTCTCCATGTTCGGCAGCGCCATGTCGAGATCCGTCAACGGGTCAGTTTCCTTTAGAGCTCCTGTTTCAAAACTATCATAATTTAACATCAAAGCTGTGTTTGTTTGTGTATATAAACACTCGAGACGAAGCTTTTGACGTCCTGAATCGCTGTGATCGTTGTTCATTTTCTTTGGTTTAAATTGTTATCTTCGTGATATCTTGTGTAATCGAATCTTTGTGCGATGGCTAATGATTTCTTCAGGTGTTTCATTTGTTGTTGAATTTTATAATAGAAACATGGATAATTTCTATTATTAATTCCTCACAGGTCAATAAACAGATCAATTTTTTTTCATTTGGTCTCAAAATCATTTCGATCTAGTCGTTTTTCAATCTAATAAAGTGAATTGTGTTGTATGGTAACGGAGGTCCTCTTGATTTGGTGTTCAAATCCATGTTGATTTTCGTTAATGGCTGTTCGATAAATTTATTTTCAGGTTGCTAAGTTATGAAGGAGTTGAGGTCATAAATCCAGAAGGTGGCAAGGAAGATGCAGAAGAGGAAGCTCAGAGAGGAAGGTGGAAGGACGAGGTAACCATATACATCTCCTTAACTTTACTTTTGTGTTTGTTTAGATTTCCTATTTTGCGTTTTTTGTTGTTCTTGATTACGTACTTACCCGCAAGATACTTATGTTTTGTGCTGAATAGGAACGAGATAGTTACTGGAAGATGATGCAGAAATATATAGGTTCGGATATTACGTCAATGGTGACTCTTCCCGTTGTTATATTTGAGCCAATGACTATGCTCCAGAAGATGGCTGAGGTTAGTGTTAATATCTTATTCTCGTGTGTTGTTCGTAAGTTTGTTGGTTTTATCACGGTGGTATATAACGTTTTGCAACATTTCTCACAGTTAATGGAATATTCCCACTTGTTGGATCAAGCAGATGAATGCGAGGATCCATACATGCGTTTAGTATATGCTTGTAAGTAAATACTTGACTTCCCGAGTTTGTTAGACCTTTAAGAGACTATATCTGTTTGAATGTGAGGTTGAATGTGAATATTTGTTCAGCATCATGGGCTATATCTGTTTACTTTGCCTACCAACGAACTTGGAAGCCATTCAATCCTATTCTTGGTGAGACGTATGAGATGGCCAACCATGGTGGCATTTCATTTCTCTCTGAGCAGGTACGCGCATCTATAGTGGATAATACCCGGAGCTTGTTTGCAATAAGTTGTCTGTTTTGACACGTCTTGTTTTTATTTCAGGTTAGCCATCATCCCCCAATGAGTGCTGGTCACGCCGAAAACGAGCACTTCACTTACGACATCACCTCAAAGTTGAAAACTAAGCTTTTGGGTAACTCTGTTGATGTTTACCCTGTTGGGAGGTAATTTTGTTCCGCTTCTCTCTCTCTCTGACTTTGTTAGAGGCTCTCTTTATTAAGGAAGAAACCTCTTGCTGCATTTACTCTTTCCTTTCAATAGTTCTCTAAGGAACCAAATCATTCTTATTGTGCTTTTACGTCAGAAACACAACAGATTGTGATGTAACTACTGTGCTAGTATCTAGTATGTTTATGTTTTCATCGAAGCTCACGCAGCCTGTCTATTGGATTGCAGAACACGTGTAACCCTCAAAAAGGATGGTGTGGTTCTGGATTTGGTGCCGCCTCCCACTAAGATTCACAACCTAATCTTTGGACGAACGTGGGTTGACTCCCCAGGGGAAATGGTCATGACAAATTTAACCACCGGAGACAAAGTTGTACTTTATTTCCAGCCATGTGGTTGGTTCGGGTATATGATCTCTCATTTCCTTATCTTATTGTTTTGTGATACTCTGTTCATTTTTCCTGCTTCCAAGATATAATTATAATTCCTTGATCTCAGCTCTGGTCGCTACGAAGTGGATGGATACGTTTACAGCGCAGACGAAGAACCTAAAATCATGATGACAGGAAAATGGAATGAAAAACTAAGCTACCAACCTTGTGATGCCGAAGGAGAACCCCTTCCAGGCACAGAGCTTAAAGAGGTCGCTCGTTTGTTTCCCTTTTTCACTTTTTACCACATTGTACATTGTTTTGCTCCTTTGGGATTTTGAACATATTTGTTTTGCTCTTTAGTGTTTGCTTATGCCCTTTTTTTATTTGTTTTGTGTTGCTTCCTTCAGGTGTGGCATCTGGCTGATGTGCCCAAAAACGACAAATTTGAGTACACACACTTTGCTCACAAGATAAACAGCTTCGACACAGCTCCTGCTAAGCTCTTGGCTTCAGACTCACGTCTCCGTCCTGATAGATATGCCCTTGAGCAGGGTGACCTTTCTAAAGCTGGTGCCGAGAAGCACAGGTTCGTCATCTCCTCTTCCATTGCAAGTTCAAGTCTCTTAGCTCCCATATCTAGCATTTCAATGATTAATCACTTGCAATGTCCAAAACCGGTCATGTTTTTCGAACTAGGAAAGATACATTTTAAGAATAGGTCTTTGATCAATGATTACTAGTTAGACCACACAAGCAACACTGTTATGCTCACGAGGTTCTTTGTGGTGTCTTTTTATTTTGTATCTCAGTCTTGAGGAGAGACAAAGGGCAGAAAAGAGGACCCGAGAGACAAAGGGCCAGAAGTTCACTCCGAGATGGTTCGATCTAACGGATGAGATCACATCTACGCCATGGGGAGATATTGAAATATACCAATTCAACGGAAAGTACATTGAACAACGAGATGCAGCAGCGAGCTCGAGCAGTGCCTCCGATGAAGCAGCGGACCTCAAATCGATCGAGTTTAATCCTTGGCAATATGGTAATGTATCAACCGAATAAGGTTGCTTTCCATAAATTTAGTTATCTACGTACCAATCTTGTGGTTTATGGACTCTTGAAGATGAGTTCCATGTTGGTTTTCAAATTTGTTCCAGGGTGAAGATTATATAGTTTGAATGATGAAACGCAAGATTGTGTTTATGTCTTATTGCATCTTTCATTTTTGTTCCATTTCGATGAGAACTAGTTATGTTTTGTTATGTTTTTAGACGTGGTCCTCATATATCATTTTAGTTTCTACTTTGGGAAGAAATTTATGAAGCATTAGACGAAATATTGTACTAAAACGCATTAAAGTACACTAGTTAGAAAATGTGATTCATACTCCTAGGATTAAAGGACAAAAATACAATACTAATTAACATCGATTACATCATGTTCCGCGTTCGTTATCACAAAAAATTATAATAGTACTAATACTAATAATAATGTCTTCATTTATGGCACTGGTCATGTCTATTTAATTGGAAAAACAATAAGTATATTATTATGAGCCGCCTTGTGCAGCATACCATCTTTGATAGTCAAATTACGTAACGAAAATAGAGTAACAAAGTGTGTTGCGAATCATGCATCTCTTCTACGTCAACCATGTCTCCTAAAGTTTCCTCCAACCTTTATAGTTTATACTTTGTCGTCCATCTCTCTTCTTATCACCTTTTTGTTTTAACCTTTCTAGTCATACGCTAAATGTAATGTTGCCAATATCATCGGTGAAAGCTTAAAATTCCAGCTACAGAAATTAAAAGCAACACAAATTAGACTCCTGTAAGAAACAAGATTCCTGAGAGTCTCGTGTGTTTTCAATAAGTCTTAAATTTCAAGACGCCATGCAAACTTTATGATATACGTTTTTGTAACCCACACGAGTTTGGTTTCTATTCGGTAGTTTTAATACTAATCTCTATTTTCATTATTTGGCCAAAATGTTAGATAGATTTCATTTCAATATCAAAAATATCAAGAAAATCCAGGATATAACTACATAGAACCAGATTAAAATTATCGTATTGGATTTCTGATCTATGCCAATATAACTGTTTAGATCAGAACCAATCAAAAGTAACTAAAAATATTGTATTTATCATTAAAAACAAACATGAAATAATTATTTAGCCAATGGATTTTCATCGATCATGATAAAGCGCTTAATTATTTCAAACTTTTTTTTCCTTTAAAAAACAGCTGATTTCATCTTATCCTTTCTAAGGATAAAGGGTGGATGATGGATTCGAAACCTCAAATTTTATCAAACATACATCACTATTCAAGTATTCAGCGAAATAATATATAAGATAATATGATATTTTTTATTTAAAAATGTAAAGAAAAAAACATACAATTTTTAGACTTATAATGTATATTGAATTACTACGAGGTTCTGGGCCGAAGCCCGTACATCCCTTAGTCCGGAATTACAACATGTAAATTGGTTCCGTCCCAAGCGGCATTCGATCATATAACCTCTAAGCTTTATCTGCAGTGTAAAATTAAATTACATTCTTTAATTATAGCCACTTGATTATACTTATAAAATTACACTCTTTACAAAAGGTTGCTATAAATTAAACATGTAATATTGTTCCAAAAAAGTAATTTAAACATTTCATAAATTAAATTAACTCGTTTACAAAAACTTGAACATGGACGGATGGACCAATTAACATTTGAAAACTGTGTATATGCTATCTTTAACGTAGAATTTTGTTAAAATATTATTATTTTTATTTTATGCTTGCCACTCCCGATAATTATCACTGTCATAAAGTGGGGCCCACTAGTTAGGTCTGTGGGCCTGATCAGGAACCCAAACTTTCTTATCCCCGAACTTAACGCCGTTACATTTGCTTCTTCCAATATACACACAGAGTCACACAAAACTCAGTCCCGTGAATTCGACGGAGTTTATCCTTCCGACGACGTTAATTTTTGACGGTTTTTTAGTTGAAGAAGTTTCTTTTCGTATTCTGAAAAAATGACTGAAAAGTGCAACAATGGTTGCTTCAGAATATCCACGTAGGAGTTAGGACACAAATATTAAGATTCTTTTTCTAAAAAACTGGCCTCATATATGGACATATTGTCTTACTTTAGAGATAATCTGGCGAATGTAGAAAATTAGAGGTAATTAACTCTATAAAATATGAATATACTAAGGGTCCCATATACTAATCTTAAGCTATAGTCTAGAGGTAGATGATCCACCTGACACGTGACAGAATTTCGTATTGTTTCAGGCTTTATAGTTTACAGGTAATCTCCACTAACATAAATATTAAACTTTATTTAATAAGATATAATATTCTGAGTATAATTTGTTATTTGTTTAATTACAATACTTTTTTTAATTACAATACTCCATTTTTAGTCCATAGATTTACTCAGGATATAAAATTGGAAATTCATTAATTTTAGTAAAATCTTTAACCAAAACTGAATATGCAAAGTAAATAACTGAATATTTTGTTGAATAATGTTTTTCTTAGTCCATCTTATTTAATTTAATGAGGATAACGATTTGGTTATGACATGTAATATTCTGATTGGCTGGGTTCGAGACTCATGTGATGGTACATCTTTGCCACGTGTTGAGATCTGAGGGATTATACAAGCATGACGAGCGTGGCGGGGAACCTGGTCTTTAGGTGAAGGTGTCCACAGATAATAGCCGGTGAAAACAATGGGTATGACCGGTAGGTCCGGTGGAAAAGGTCAATATAGGCTAAAAAGGGTTTAAGCAAAAAACGTGGTCGTCTTCTTTAAGGGTTTTTGTTTTTGGGCGTTTCAGAGAGAGAAAGAGAGAGAAAGAAAAGAGATTCATCTTGCTTGTGGTGAGAGAAGATCGCATCGTGTGGGTAGCGTTTCAAACAAGTAAAAAAAAATAAAAAAGTTCCTGTCACTTTCTCGGAAAAAAACATTTGGTAAGAAGAAAAAAATTGTGAGAAGGGGTTTTGGTGTGAGTTCTTCGTTTCCGTTTTGTCCTTTGTTTCTCTCCGATCTCGCAATTGCCGGTTTATTCGCCGGTCATTTTACCGTAATTTCGTTCTTTCGAGGAATAATCTCCTAGAAACTGAAGAATTGGGGTTTTAAAGGTGAGAACATTTTGAGCTTTTTCTTCTTGATTCTTTCGGTTTTTTTGGGAAGAAGAGAAACTTCATGAATTTTCGGTTTCAAGAGAATTTCTGTCTGAAAATTTCTGGGTAAATCCTAATTTTTTTTCTCAACCTGAAACGTGATTTCCTCTTTCGTATTTACCATTTTTTTCCGTTGATGTTGCTTTTGCTGATCTGTTGCTACATGGCCACAATCGTATTTGTCGATCTGCGAAATCCGATCTGAGATTCAGAAATTGGGTGACCCGTGATCTGTTTGGCAAATTCGATCCTTAGATCGAAGATTTTGGTCAAAATAAAAATTCTTAGGGTTTAGGGTTTTTCTGTGCGTAAATCTTTGGTTAGTACGGTTTGACTCTCGATTTTGGATCTCAATTTGACTAGGGTTTTAGGGGGGTTTTAGCTAATTTTACTGGGCTCGACCCATTTTAACTTTAAAAATCCTTCCTTTTCTGAACTTCATGCAGTAATTTCCAGACTCCAAAATCACATTGTTCTGTATTTTCACAACTCAATTTTGCTGAATAACTGTATATTCTGATCTGAATCGATATTTATAAATCACATTTTCTTGTATAATTTAGCTAATTCATAGATTTCGATGACTCTGTTTAATTTGATTTCCCATTTTTCATCTACAGGTGGACTGATTCAGATCTGCTTTACCATTGGAAACACAAAACATCATTCGTGTGGCAATCACATAGTCGTGTTATGCATTCTGAGAAATGGTGTCGCATAAGTGTGTAGAAGAATTCGGATACAAAGGCTACCTGTTACCTCCCAATGCAAGAGCTCCCCGATCAGCGCGGGTAATGATGTAGAGAGTTAATTACCAATTTTCACACTGATAATCAGTTTCCATGATTATACTCACTTTCACTTTATTTTTTTGTGGCAGAAGAAGCGAAGTTTCGAGAAGATAAACGAAGAAGATGATGAAATGTGCGCAATTGATTTACTGGCCACCGTAGCTGAAAACTTGCTCTTCGAGAAGAGAAGTTCGCTCATGTCCATCGACAAACCGGTTAACGAGATCGTAGATAATCGTCTCACTACGCAAACTACTGTAAAGGAGGAGTTCCCGGTGGAAGAAGAAAAGCCAGTGACTTTATCCGAGGACAATCGATCTTTGAGCCCCTTCGGATTCAGTTCTGTGACAAATGGCAAAGTGGAGACTGACGCTGACGGAGATGGGTTTAGTAACTCTGGTGGTGGTGGTGATTCTTCTCAAGTCGAGGACTTTAAACCGGTTATCAATGGCGGCGACGCAGTAGCTGTTGACGTGAGGCCTAATGTTGTAGTTAGTTTAGGTAGTAGTAGTAGAACCGAGGTGCCATCAATGGGGAACGGTGTTTCTGTTTCCCATGGCGTTCGCGGTGATGTAAATATGTTTAGTAGAGATGATGATGAAAACTTTTCTGGGTATATATGCCCTCGTGTGACCAAAAAGCCACCTAGGACTGTGCCGCGTATTGGTGACAGGAGAATCAGGAAGATCTTGGCTTCTAGACATTGGAAAGGAGGTTCGAGACATGCAGGTAAGGGTTCTTGACTGTTTTCTTTCACATGTTAAATACGCTGATGTGTTTTGTTTTGATGGACTGTTGCATTTGGTGGTTGCAGATGCGAAACCGTGGAGAAGTTATCACTTGCCTCATCAGAGGAGCTATCCTGTCAAGAAAAAGAGATACTTTGACCACATTTCTGATTCAGTCTCTGATGATTATCGTTTGCGCACTAAGATGCAAAGAGGTAAAGAGACATTTTAGTACCTTTCTTTTTGTTGTAGTGAGATTTTGCAGTTTTAACAAAAAAGAATTTTGCAGGCAGCAAAGCAGTTTCTTCGATGAAAGGTCAAGGTGCATCTTTTGTGTCAAGCGACTCTCATGGTAAAGAAAGGAGTCTCGTTTGAAAGATTTTGTTGGCTCTACTTGTTTATGATGGATGAAGAAGCTTAACGTGTGTGTTTGCTGTATTTTTGTATCTTCAGTGAGACTGCGGATCAAGTCGTTCAGGGTACCTGAGCTTTTCGTAGAGATTCCAGAAACTGCTACTGTTGGCTCCTTGAAGGTAAGTAACAGCTTTACCAAGTTCTTTACTTTCTCCTCCTTTTTCCCATCTATTGACTGACTTCTTACGTTATGATGGTCCTTTTGGTTTCTATAGAGAATGGTGATGGAAGCAGTGAGCACTTTGTTGAGTGATGGACACCGAGTTGGTCTGATGGTTCAGGGGAAGAAAGTCAGAGACGATAACAAAACCCTTCATCAGACTGGGATCTCTCAGGATAACACCCACTTGGACTCTCTTGATTTTAGCCTTGAGCCTAGCTCAGATACGCCTCAACAATTGTTAACAAGGTTCACACTTCTATTCACAAGTTTTAATCCCACACTGTGTTTAAAAACTCAAAATCTTTTTGCGGGCTGAAGTTCTTGTTTTGGTTTCCAGTAACTCGTTGGGACGTATCTGCGAGGATCTGCCTATGTGCCATACTTCAAAGATGGACAATGTGTTCGAATCTGACCATGACTCAGCACTGTTCCCTTCTGACTCATTTGGCCAGAAATCTTCTACAGATGATTCGAAAACTCTGGTTCCGAAATTGGCGCTCCCTCCTCATCCGCCTAGAGTTAAATCTAAAAGGAGTGAGCAGCAGCAGCAGCAGGCTGCAAGGCGCAGAATCCGTCGACCTTTCTCAGTGGCTGAAGTAGAAGCACTTGTCCTAGCAGTTGAGAAACTCGGTACTGGAAGGTAAAAGACATTTACAGATTCATTATGCATGTTTTTGATTGTGAAGTAGAAAGAAGAAGAAAGATGATTGAGGTTTTTTTGTGAAATGTGCAGGTGGAGAGATGTAAAGGTTTGTGCTTTCGAGGACGCAGACCACCGCACTTACGTTGATCTCAAGGTTTGTTTTTAGTAAAATTTACAATCAACTGAACAGAAATCGCATGGTTAGATTATCTGGGTCAAGCGTTTTGGTTTCGTGTGCAGGATAAATGGAAAACGCTGGTCCACACGGCTAAGATATCTCCACAGCAGAGGAGAGGAGAGCCGGTGCCACAGGAACTTCTAGACCGAGTGTTGGACGCTCATGGCTACTGGTCACAGCAACATGTGCAGGTGCTGCAGACTATCAACAACAATGAGCAGCAGCAGCAAGAGACACTGCCTCAGAGTCAGACACTGGTGGCTCCGCTGATTGTCTAATGAGATCTGCTGCGGGTCGCTCTTCTCCTTTGTGTATTATTGATGATGATGATATTATGTAAGAATCTGACATAGTTGCAGATATTTGGTCTTTTTACTTGTTTCTTGGTTTTCTTTCTTTTTTAACTTTCTCATTGTAAAGTTTTAGTTGGAATAAGGTTGTTCTTGACGCTTTTTAGAGGATTTTTTTTGTACATCTCTTTTATCACATTTTTAATCTCTCTACATTATCTTTCTTGACTTTTGTTATGGTCTCTCTCTTCTGCTTCATATCATTTTATGTGATACACGAATCTTCCAATCCAATCAATAGGGATTTTAAGGCTACAAAAATATTATGAGATAGTGTTGATTTTAAATTGAATAGTTTATTGAAAGCTACCACATGCGTTTAGCTGGAAGTAATACCAAATCCAGTGTGCTACTACTTGTCTGAATCTAAAGGCTTTTATTGTGAAAAGCAGAGTGTATGGAATGATTAGGTCCAAAGCAACTTTTGAGTGGAAAGGAAAGTAAAGACAAAACACTTTTCTATGGAATGTTTCAGTTTACAGCATAAATCGAACCGGCTTGGTCTGATCGGTCGATCCTTGAATCATTTAAAAATCTTGATCAGAAACCAATCTCTTGTACCAAACCGTAAAAGCAACAAACCCGCTGAGTGAGTTAGAGGGTCTTGAGAAAAAAGGGTCAAAAACCTACAAACCTTCTCACTGACAGTTTTTTTTTTTTTTTTTCTCGGCTTCTTCTTCTTTCTTCTCCTCCGTACCCAACAGCGAATCCGGCGACGTTTCACCACCTCGGCTAGCGTCTTCTTGTGAATGTTTCTGACGAGAATTGATTCGAGGTGATTCCTCTATACCACGAAACGCCTCTACTTTCCGCGATTCGTTATAAACTTTTGTATCTCGATATGTTCCCTCAATATTTCCGACGATTTCTCTGATGATTTGAAAACTAAACTTCTAATTTCACAACACTGAATTTTGACTCTTGACGCGCAGATTTGAGCTAGGAAGGGCATGAAACGGATCTGCTCGTTTTCAAGTGTTAAACTTTGTAAGTAGCAGTAAACTCACACTTCCTTACATCTCCGTTTGCTCTTGATTGAATTGTGTTTTGCTCGGTGAACTTAAAAAAAAAAAGTGAAAAATTGACCATTTCTTCAATTGTTCCCAAGTTGCTAAATTTCGTGTTACTACTCTAACTGATTCGTGTTCATTAGTTTGTAGAAGTTTCAGATCTTTAGCAGCAGCGCCACAATCTTTAAACTATCATCCCTCGCAATCACTCAAGCGTCGTGTAGTGTCATCATCACTTCGGATGGAGAAAAATGTCAACTTTTCTTCAACTGGTGCTAGTGCCAACAATCCAAGAGGAGCATTGATAGTTCTCGAAGGTCTTGACCGCAGCGGCAAATCAACTCAGTGCTCAAAGCTGCTCTCTTTCTTGAAAGCTTCAGGACATCCCACCGAGCTCTGGAGGTTTCCCGACAGAGAGACGAGCGTGGGTCAGATGATCTCCGCATATCTCTCTAACAAGTCGCAGCTAGATGATCACACAATCCATCTCCTTTTCAGCGCCAATCGTTGGGAGAAGAGGTTTCTTTAGCTATTCTCTTCTTGATTCCTCTGCTTGTCTAAGCAAGAAGACTTGAGAAAGTCTTGACATTTTTGCAGGTCGTTGATGGAAGAGAAGCTTAAAACAGGAACTACGCTAATCGTTGATCGTTATTCTTACTCTGGCGTAGCGTTCTCGTCAGCGAAAGGTCTGTGTATTGATTGGTGCAAGGCGCCGGAGATCGGGTTGCTGGCTCCGGATTCTGTGCTTTACCTTGACATTTCACCTGAGAGAGCTGCTGAGAGAGGTGGGTATGGAGATGAGAGGTACGAGCGAGTTGAGTTTCAGAGAAAAGTTGCAGACTTTTACCAAACTCTACGTGATTCTTCTTGGAAGGTGAATGGAAATCAAGAACTCTCCGAAGTTGAGTTTAGTTTAAACACAAAATGAGAAAACTTAAGCATTGAAATGTTTGTGGTGATGCAGATAATCGATGCAGGTGAAGCCATGGAGGAAGTGGAGAAGAAGATTCAAGAAGTGGTGCTTGATAAAGTCAGGGAGTGTGCAACAGGAAAGCCTCTTTCACTCCTCTGGTCATCTTGATGATTTTTAATCAAATTCTCATGACATGTTTGTTATTGAGTCTTTGGTAATTACAAGTTTGGGATTTGAAGGAACCATATTGAAGAAACAAAAGCTTAATTGTGAGCATTATATACTATAATGGGCCGTATAAGCTCTTTTAGAGGCCCATATATTGTTTTCTGTCGTCACTCATGACATCTTATATCGATTATTTTCGTATAAACTAGTTTAAGCGACATTAAAGAAAGGACAAACAATTAAACGATACTGATACAGCAGGTTAAATTAAACACAAGTAGAAGAATCATCAGTAATTAACAATAGTATCAGTAATAAATCACTAATGATATCTACAAATAAAAGCAACATACAATGTGAGAGGATGTAAGAAAAACTTAGCTACGCGCTCTCGGCCGTGAGATTCCCCTACAGGACTAATATTGAAGCTTTTTGGATCGTGTCGACACACTCATGAATAATGCGAGTGTGATGAATGACTATGAGATCAGCTTTTTAAGATAAAAAAATTGGTACAAAGATTATATTCTTCAATATTCAGGGTCAGCTTAATATTAAAATGCCCATAAAATAAAATAAAACAAAACCAAATCGAATGATTAACATCAAAGTTAGAAAGATGTGTTCAAACTAAGTGGCCAAGTGGCTAATCATATATTCGTATAAATCGAGTAACATCCAACGTGTCAAAAACTTATTTTTAAGACACTATCCGAATCGTTTAATTTGAATTTTTTTTTGATCAAAATTATGTGTATACCATTTAACAATTGTAATAAACTTTCCAAACATACTACATTTTTGACTTGGTAATTAAAGAGTTAAGGAAGACAAACTTTGTATCAATCATACATTGATTGTATACGTAAGGCGGATGTTTTTCTAGGATTCTTGCTGAGAGAAGACTTTGGAGGTTATTATGGGACAACGAAACTATTAAGAAAATATACACTTTAATTAGAACTTGAGCATATGATATTAAAAAACAAAACAAAAAATATTTAGGTAAACAAGTCACAATCATCTTTGAGTATTCCTCTTTCTCTTTCCCATGACTACTGTATACAGTATACTGTGCCAATTAAACTAGAGACTAATCAACTAAGCATTTTGTAATATAATGATTCTATATATGTGATATGTCGAGACCGTATTAAGGAACCTCACTTCGTCTTTTGAACTTTGACTGTTCAAGAAAATATAGACAGAGTCAAAGATATGAAATGAATTTCTTAATAATGAATTAATAAACAAGAAACAAATAGGTTTGGTATCCACGTTCCCCTTCACCCAAAATATTTGTACAATTCCTTGGACTTCACGATTTATCTTCATTGTTGATTAAATAAGATGTATGAGTATTATAAAGATACAAAAAACATTAAAAATTTCAGTTTGGTTGAGAATACCAATGTTCATAAGATTGTCAAGCACTAATCGATTTCGAATACCATCTAGTGGTTAAGCAGCCACTTAGACGATAGTCTTGAATTATAAGCACTGATTAGTTTTTCAGAAAATCCTGTTTTTTTTTTAATTGCTATACACTCCCTATAAGTTTTAAAATCGGGCTAGTGTTAAAAGCTAGACTGTCTAAAGTCTAAACTACGTAACATATGTTAAACCAAAAAAATGGTGAAGTTTCTCTTGTTAATCAAAATTTCTTTTATAGATTTGGTTCAAATTACAGGAATTGCTGCTTTAATGATGCGTATGGACATTTCTTTTAGCAAACTCTTATGTATTGATTCTATGAAATTTACCCATCAGAGATTCAGAGGTTACATAAATCTCACAAATGGGCAGAATCAAACCCAGATCAAAACATCAGAATATCGTTTTTTTTTTTAATTGAGCAAGCATCACAGTATCTAAATTTTGAAAAGCACCATAGATTTGATTGGATGGATTTGATTTTCTTATTTATTTACAAAAATCGAGTATTTTTTTAATTATTAAAGTTAATTTGACTTTTACATGTGACCAAGCACAAGCAAAGCAAGTGGAAGTGACCAGAGAAAAGTTAACCAGAAAAACTACAAAACCATATAAGTAGTTGCAGATAGATCCGACACAAAATTAACTAACCTTTTTAATCATTTTGTTTTAAAACAAAAACTTAATCCACTGTTTTCTGGCGGCTCGTGTTTCCTCGAAAGTTCCATTTTTTCCCCTGCAAATGTAAATAACCAAACATAATCCCTCAAATATAAATTTATGCTCTGTCGAGTCTCTCAACTCTGTGTTCACACGACCTTTCACACCGCTTCTTCTCCTTCTCCTGCTCGTTGTAAACAAAAAAGCTCGTTTTGATTTTCAAACTCTTTTCTTCTTCTTCATCATCCTCTGTGATAAACCATGGACGCTCTGCTTCAAGTTTCCGTCGATGGGTTTAAATTCGAGAACGGATCTGGATCTCGATCTTGCTGCAAACCCAGAAACAATCTCGAATCCGGTAACAACAATCTCTTCATCGTCGAACCCGAGACCACGAATCATTCCTCACCGTCCGATTCTCCTCCGTCGGTGTGTTTGGATAACTCCCCTGTTCTCAAGTACATCAATGACATGTTGATGGACGAAGAAGAAGAAGACCTCGCAGGCCAATCTCGCTTCCTGCAGCAAGACAATTTAGCTCTACAAGCCGCAGAGAGATCCTTCTACGAGATTCTCCAGCAACAATCCCCAAGCTCCTCCGGCGACCAAGATTTCACTCTCCCCGGAAACTTCAGCTCAACGACGACTCTAACAACCGACTCAGCATCTCTCGTCTCCAACGGCGAATCATCACATAGAAAGTACCGTCACCGGAACGACGAAGAAGACGACCTCGAGAACGGCCGGAGAAACAAACAACCCGCAATCTTCGTCTCGGAGATGGAAGAGCTCGCAGCGAAGTTCGAACACGTGTTGTTAGTCTGCAAAGCGAACCAAGAAGAAGAAGCAAAACCGATCCAGACTCCACCAAACAGAGCAGGAGGAAGAACAAAAGGCGCAGCATCAAACAGATCCAAGCTCCAAAAACCCAACGCCGTCGTCGATCTCCGTAACCTCTTGACGCAATGCGCACAAGCAGTAGCGAGCTTTGACCAGAGAAGAGCAACAGAGAAACTCAAGGAGATCAGATCAAACTCTTCAAGCAACGGCGACGGAATCCAAAGGCTGGCCTTTTACTTCGCAGAGGCTCTCGAGGCACGTATCACCGGAATCATCTCACCGCCGGTTTCCACCGCGTTTCCTTCCAGCACGACTTCCATGGTCGACATCTTGCAGGCCTACAAGCTCTTCGTCCACACTTGTCCCATCTACGTGATGGACTACTTCGCTGCAAACAAATCAATCTACGAACTTTCACTGAAATCAACAAAGCTTCACATCATCGACTTCGGTGTTCTCTACGGCTTTCAATGGCCTTGCCTGTTACTAGCCCTCTCGAAACGTCCCGGAGGACCACCGATGCTCCGCGTGACCGGAATCGAGCTTCCACAGTCCGGTTTCCGTCCTTCGGATCGAGTCGAAGAGACTGGCAGGAGACTGAAGAGGTTCTGCGATAAGTTCAACGTCCCGTTTGAGTTCAACTTCATAGCCAAGAAATGGGAAAGCATCACTCTTGACGAGATCAAGATCAATCCAGGAGAGACAACGGTCGTCAACTGCATCCACCGGTTACAATACACTCCTGACGAGACTGTGTCCTTAGACTCTCCGAGAGACACGGTTCTGAGACTGTTCAGAGACATCAACCCTGACCTCTTTGTGTTCGCGGAGATCAACGGAATGTACAACTCTCCTTTCTTCATGACGAGGTTCCGTGAAGCGCTGTTCCACTACTCTTCGCTCTTCGACATGTTTGACACGACAATACAAGGAGTGGATGAGTACAAGAACAGGGCGCTGCTGGAGAGAGAGTTGCTTGTGAGAGACGCGATGAGCGTGATCTCCAGCGAAGGCGCTGAGCGGTTTGCGAGGCCTGAGACCTACAAGCAGTGGCGTGTTAGGATTTTGAGAGCAGGGTTTAAGCAGGCAGCGATAAGCAAACAGATCTTGAAGGAAGCTAGGGAGATCGTGAGGAAACGTTACCATAAAGACTTTTTGATCGATAGTGATAACCAGTGGATGCTTCAGGGATGGAAAGGAAGAGTCATCTATTCTTTTTCTTGCTGGAAACCTGCAGAGAAGTTAACAGACAATCATGTAGTAGTCATTTGAGTCATGTTTGCTTCTCAGATTTCTTCATTTTTTTTGTTTCTTTGTAGAATCTGTTTTGATGGAATGTCTCTTTCTTTTCCTGCAAGTACATATTGAATTTCGAAAACAAAATGTTTCATTATAAGATCTGGAGCTAACACAAAGCATACACCATCCAAAATAGAAAGTTCAAAACTTGTTTGGCTATAACTTATCAAACGGGTTGCAAATTTGCAATACAGACAGAGCAATGAAGGTTCTACTAGTACATATGAACCAAATGTGAACTAATTGCAAATAGACTGCTTGCAGATAGATAGCTAATTTTAATCAAACCCTATTTGGTTTGAGGTTTTGGTGGCATCAAAACGCTCCAGTTCACCTTCTTGCTCTTTGGTTTCTTGAAACCATCGCCTTTTTTATAGCTCGGTGATGGTTTGTCAATGCTCTTCGGGGACTTGTTTGGACGGTTCTGTTCCTCAGAGACTACCTCAGACTGTTTTCTTTTCAAGTCTCCATTTGTTTCCCGACTTGTCTCAGCCTTCGGTTCACTGAAAGAACATACATTTTGACTAGTTACAGCATTATTCTGTTGAATGCACACTTAGTTTGTTGAGAACCAAAAGGTATATACTATAGAAGCGGAGGGACATACCTAAAAGACATTCTTCCTCCATTACTGCTTGAGCTTGAGGGAGAAGCATCAGTTTTTCGACCGTTTATCGCCTCTTCGTTCAGTTTCTAAGCAGAGAACAGTTTTGTTTCAGAAAGCTAGAAGGGAAGAACATTCAAGCGCATACTATGTCAGGCCTCAGCGACACACACACTAACCTCGATAGAGGGATTGAAAGACTGAAACGACATGCGTCCTAACACTGCTCCTGGCTGAGGATTCCAGTCTGTTATGACCACACTGCATCCAATTTCAAATCAGTCATTAGAATATACTTCCAAACACAATAATCAAACCACCAAAACTGTTTTTATGATTCATAAACACATGGAAGCCAGAGTAACTGAAGTTGGCTAGAGTCTAGAAACCGAAAGTAATCAATCAAGAGCCCAAAACAACAAGAGCAAAAGGGTAAACAATGTGTTCGCTTCTAGTAATCAGATGAAACAATGACGGATAATAAATATTAAGATCAAAGTAACATAAAAGAAGTTGTACCACTTCTTTGCAACAGTTCCGAGGGAAGGAAAATTCCCATTAGGCTCTTCAACATCCTTCTTCTTCTCCTCTTTCACAGCAGACCTTTGCATAAACTATAGACAGAGAGCATCAATCATTATTAGTTCATGAACCAGCTTGATTATCAACGTATGGGAATGAAGAAATAACACGCTCTTGTCTCTCAACCACAAAACCAGATTATTCAAATCAATTATCAGCTCAGAGCTACATGACTGATAATGCAATTTATTTGTTCAGTGAAAGTTGCAATTTTTTAGCCCTAAATCAATGCTGTTGCTCGGTGCTAATAACTAAATATTGAATCATTGGTTCCATATCTCTAAAGGATAACTCTTTCGAGCTCAGGCCCCGAGGTGAAATCAACTTCGAAGGGATTATTGATTCGACCAATAATCAAACTCCGGGAAAACAGAGAAAAATTAAAAGAAAGATAAGTGTTAGCCATTCTAATTCGTCAACATACCTTAAGATTTCTCAGAGTGCTACTAATCTCTCTCTTCGCCATTGTAGCTTCTCTCAGAATACTGCTTAATTCTCCCAAATACGAGATTTCCGGCACCGGAGAGAGGAGGAGCAACTCGAGTGTTTTCGTATTTCTAGGTTTTAATTTCCGATTTGAAAAGCGCTGTCCAAAAACAGGTATTTTCCAAATTGACGACGCTTCAAACCTAACCGATTCAAACCGTATCAAATTGGAAAACTGATTATCAAACCAAAAATATTCTGGTTTAGGTTTTGGGTATTTAAAAATCGAGAGCTAAACCGGAACCGAATCTGCAGAAACAAGTCGTACGTCCGCTCGTTCTCTTTGACTGGAGCTCACAGAGGATCCACGATCGACATTGGTTGGTGAGAACTGAGAACTGAGAAGAGAACGATGGATTATCTAGGAATTGATATCCGCTGCGCGACGGAGTCTCTCCGTGACGGCGAGTTTCCGGCGAAGGATTGTCTTCTTCCTCTCATTTCGAAGCTCCTCGGTTACTTCCTCGTCGCTGCTTCAATGACCGTCAAGCTTCCTCAGGTTTTAACTAATCCAACAAACCCAATTCATCGCGATGATCCCTCCCTCCAATTCCCCAATCTGACATGCTAAAATTCTGTAAAAAAATTCGATTTTTGCAGATAATGAAAATCGTGGAGAGTAAGAGCGTGAAAGGCTTAAGCGTTCCAGCGTTTGAGCTAGAGGTGGTTGCTTACACGATCTCTCTCGCCTACTGTCTCCACAAAGAGCTTCCTTTTTCAGCTTTTGGTGAACTCGCATTCCTCTGGATCCAAGCTCTGATCTTGATTGCTTGTATTTATTACTTCTCTCGACCTCTCTCTGTAGCAACTTGGGTCAGAGCTGTTGTATACTTTGCTTTAGCACCGACTCTGTTCACTGGGAAGATTGATCCTTTGGTTTTCGAAGCTCTTTATGCTTCAAAGCATTTGATATTTCTCTCTGCGAGGCTTCCTCAGATTTGGAAGAATTTCAGAAACAAAAGCACCGGACAGCTTAGTTTATTGACTTGTCTGATGAACTTTGGTGGATCCATGGCGAGAATTTTCACCACCATTCAGGTGAATGCTCCGTTTAGTATGCTTTTGGGTCTTTCTCTTGCGGTCTCCACCAATGGAATCATCATTAGTCAGATTCTCTTGTATCGTACAAAAGGTGAAGAAGAAGAAAAGCAAGTCAAAGATAAAAAGATGTCATGAGACAATCATGTGACTAAACTATGTTGTTGACTTGTTGTACACATTTTTTTTATAGTATCTATATTGAATAAAGTCATCTTGTTTCATTACATTCCATCACACGTAATCTCAAAAAGAAAAGCTTTAAATTGCACTTCTTCTTTCTCTTCGTGCTATATTTTGTTACTATCAGAGCTGCGAGAAGTGAGTGGATGTGTTGTTTAAGCAATGGTTTCAATGGCGTGCTTTTGCCTGGATCTGGTCTCCTCAGCTTTGTCATCAACAGCTTCCCATAGCTCAGGGAGTGCTTCACGAATGTTGTGAATATGCTCCAATGCAATATCTACTCCTTCCACTTTGTGTGAGGTCCCAACCTAAACATGAAAAAAAAATGAGCTTTGAGATTTGATAAGTTTTTGTTTTACACTTATGAGTCTCTCTGCTTCTTTTACTTACCCATACAGTGTAGAGACCCACACGTTTCCCAGTTTGAATGTTGCGGATGCTGTCATCGAAGAACAACTGAAAACACCCAAGATATTTAGCTTCAGTGATGAATTGGTTTAGGCAATCAAAAGCAGTAGTAAATGTGTGGTGTGTTCTTACAGTCTTGTGAGGATTGATGTTGGCCATTTTGAAAACCTGTTCAAATGCTCCTTCAGATGGTTTGCATACAACAGGGGTCTCTGGGAGTTGGATGCTTGGGTCAGGATTTGCAATGTAACTGCTAATGTCGAAGATCTCTCTGGTTCCAGCATCAACAGGAGATTCAGTGTTGGTGTTGGGGTTAAGAGTCTCGAAAGATATGACTCTTTCAAAGCAGTCCTCTAGGCCTAGCCTGGCAATAATCTTGGCTCCATGAGCTTTGTCTGCGTTCGTGAACACCTGTGTGCAGACAAGAAAAAGGATTGATCAGAGACAATAATAAACTGATTGAAAACCAAATTTAAGAGCTGAGTGAAAGCACATACAACTTTACGAATAGGCAAGCTAAGAATAATATTCCTCAAAATTGGGACAGGCTTCAGTGTTTCGTATGGCAATCTCCCATGAACAAAGCTGTAACAACAAAAAGGAGGAATGTCAAGTCCCAAACAGCTTTACTCTTTAAAGAAACATAAGCAAACATGAAAGTCAGGTTAAAGTTTAGTTACCTATGGAAATCGTCGTTGTCAAAGTCATATCCCACAGCCTGAAAGAATCAAAGTCAGAAACGAAGGGCATGTGTATGAACGAGACTGAACAAAAGTTATGGTAAAAAGAAGAAACCTTGAGACCAGCCATCGTTGTGCCATAGATTTTATAAAGCGAAAGGTAGAGTTCTTGCACTTTATCTTCCTCAACACCAAGTTTCTGAGTCATGTACTCTAAAAAGGCAACAACAACAACAAAGACAGGTTCAGCTATAAGCCTATGACATGAACAACTGATCTTACAAAGAAGAACAAATGAATGCGAACGGAAACTTTACCTTGGATGTTGTTTTTCACAAGCGTAGCCAAACCAGAGCTTTGAGGGTAAAGAGTATCATCTATGTCTATTTGATCCACGACAAACAATTATTTTGATCAGACAAACGTTTAAAAACCATTTCCCAATAAACAAATCCCATCGAATGTTAATGATATTCAAATAAAAAAGTAAGATTAATCAGTTTCCTTACCAAACAAAAGACAGTCATATTTCGGTTCGGAATTTTGTTGAAAGTTTTCCTCGTACGCCATTTTTGATACCAAATCACACCCTGAAAACAAATTCTAATGAACTAAATCTCAACGTCTCCAAGACACATTTCACAAAGTGACATCCGAATCAGATCCATAGAAAACTACATCTAATTTTCCTCCCGTTAAGCCATCAACGACAACATACACATATCTCTAGAGACCATCTCGAAACATATGACATTAGGGATCACTCACGAATCGAAATCATCCAACGAGCAGAAAAATAAAACTGAAACAAATGCTAAATGTAACCATGACTATAAGAGTGTAAGAGATCAAATCACCAATAGAATAATCAGAATGTCTGAATTGAAACAGTAAAGAAAAGGAGAAGAAATCCAAAACCAATAGAATAATCAATAGAAGGAGGAGGAAAGCGAGTGGTTACCTTCTCCGAAAAATGAAACTTCGAGAGAGATGCAAAAAAAAAAGAGGAAAAAAAAAAGATCTAAAGGGGAAAATACTTTAAATTATAAATAGGAGACGAAATGTCAGCCAAACGTCTCAACGGGGTTCTCATGACTTTCAATCCATTGGCTGTCGTTAAATCTGGAGAAGAAAGCAATCACTCACGTCAACATCCAAGATTTCTCCACGTGGCAATTAGGCTTTTCGCTTTTACTTTCGCAGCGAATAATCGGACGGCACGCGTAATTTCTGTGCCGACCAAACGCTTATTAAAAGTGTTATCGTGCGCATTAATTTACTCGGGTTTACTTTTAACAGATGGTGGTGTACCAGTTCTGTCTAGTGGACCGGATGCTATTTTCAGCAATCCGCCACATGGAAAATCTTATTATATATATATATATCTTATTATATAAAATTGGATGTACACAACGTGTTTGTGACACGTAGAATGTTTATAAAATATAAGATTGTGATATGTGTCATTTTTAATGTTATGTCCGTTAAAATCGTGACACATGTTTTGGGAAAAAGAAAAAAAAAAGGGAAATTTTTTATTTTTCTATAATAAAAAACGAAAATTTATATAATAAATTGAAAATAATGTATATCTTGGGAAAAAAAATAAAGGGAAAATTTTAATCTTTTATAATAGAAACGAAATTTATATAATAAATTGAAAATAATGTAATAAAAAAACCTATTAGTACATGGAATAGGTTTGTAAACTAAATATCCTAAAATTGTATAGAATAGGTTACATAAATCTTTTAATTATCTTTCTCTAATTTTAAAATCGTCTTTGAAAGTTTAAGAGAACATTGGAGATTATATTATTTAACTCTAGGTCAATTGGATTGAAATCAAAATTATCGCCGTACTATAGTACGTGTTATTCGAAAGTGGAAAGTTAGAAATCATAAAGAAAATAATATTTTTATGGGAGTTGAGCTTCTATTACTTGATGAAAAGGTTAGTAACATCTTATTATATTGATATAGATAACCTTATTACAACATTGATTAACATTAAAGTTTTACTTTTGTTTAAAACAGGAAAACACAATACAAGTTTTTGTGCATCATTCACTACTTCAAAATTTTGGAGATCAAATGGCCGAAGGAAACATTATCGAAATTTGTAATTTTAATATGCAGTCTATTGATAAAAAAAACTTCTATTACTTGATGAAAATGGGTAACATATTATATTGATATATATTTTATTAAGAAAAATAAGAAAGATAATTCTCATTAAGAAAAGAAAAAAAACCGAAAATCACACAAAAAAAAAATTTGTTACATCCATTAGAAAAGGAAAAATAAAACATATTTCAAATACGGAAAGGAAAAAATAATAATATATAATAAGCTATAGCCTTCATGATTTAATTGTGTGATTCTATCTTTTGACTAAAATAGTTTAATCTTTTTGTTAGGTGAAAAAATATTAAAAAAAATAAAAAATCATCAACCGAAATCTCTTCAATAGAATAATAAAATTTTCACGAATTAGTCAATAAATCAAACTTACACATGTGTAAGTCTTTCAATTTTAGATAAAAGTAAAAAAATAACAAATTAATTCATTTTTCATATCATGAATTCAGAAAATATGTCAAGAAATGTAAAAAGATTACCAATCTAATATTATTTAGAGGTATTTTATCGGGGTTTTATTATTAATCTACTTACTTTTAAAGTGTCAAATTTATTTAATATTATTATATGATTTATTTCAAAAATTGTATAATAAACCCGCGTATACGCGGGACCTAATCTAATTTCTTATACAAATCGAATTAAATTAAATTTACGTCTAACTAACAAATTTTACATGTTTATTGATCAACATGTATGTATTCATGAAAGTTGTGTGAATATTTTAGTAGCACACAAAAGATATATAACATTATTATTTAATACAGTATGTACAAAAGAGAGCATGCATACCATAATGTATGAAATAAAATACACTTATGAATCACAAATACATAGACCATATAAATATCAACCGTTGCATAAACAATAAAACGGTGTATAGATGGATATTTATTTTATTATGTAAACATTAGTTAAAAGTTAAAAACTAAGCTTCAACAGAAGTTTCAATAGAGATCTGTGTGGTGTAGGCAATTCTCTCAGATTCCTTGTTGTTGTCGGATTCCGACCATAACTCCGGAAATGCTTCTTTCATGTTGTGAATGCTTTTTAACGCGTAATCGCTTCCTTCCACTTTTTCTGACTTACCAACCTATAACAATTTGAAAAATTTATCTTCATTTAGTAATCACTTTTACAAAAGTTTATCCCATTCACACGACTGTTTAACACAAATACTGTATATACACTAGATAACAGAAATCGGTTTTAGTTGGTTTGGTTGAAGATGTTAACCGGTTCTTACCAGGACTGTATGGAGACCCACGGCTTTACCGGTTTGGATGTTCCGGACACTGTCGTCAAAGAACAACTGCAAAAGAAACATGATAACATTAATTTTAAGATAATCGTTAGATTAAGAAAATCTAAACAGAAAATGTCTATTTAGACTTTAGACATTAAGTTCTTGAAGCTTACGGTAGTGTCAGGATTGAGCTGTGCAATTTCGAAGGCTTTCTCGAAAGCAATCTCAGTTGGTTTACAGATAACCGGAATCTCGGGAAGGTAATCCGCGTCGCAAGAATCGTTGATCTTAGGGTTTAAGGTCTCGAAACTTATGATTTTCTCAAAACAATCTTCGATGTCTAGTCTTTTTAGAGCTTTCATCACGTGGACTTCATCTCCATTCGAGAAAACCTTAACAAAGAAAAGAAGATTCCTATATATTATTAAAATATACTATAAAGATTGTATATAAACTAAAATTTATGGAAAATTTGAAATGAAAGTAATACCAATTTTCGAAAAGGTAGACTAAGGAGGAGATTTCTCAGAACCGGATCCGGTTTAAGGTTTTCATAGGGTAATCTCCCATGAACAAAGCTGTGGTACACATCATTGTCGAATTCATAACCTACAGCCTGCATTAGTCATCATCTTAATTAAAATATGCTTGACCATAAAATATTTATGATGCTCATGTGAATATATGATTCCAGAGATAATCAAATTTTCGGGTTTGACCAACATAGGTATGAAGGTAATTAAATTACCTTTAGACCAGCCATTGAAGTTCCATATTTTTTGTAGAGAATTTGGTTTAGTTCAACAACTCCGTCTTCATCTATTCCAAGCTTCTCAATCATGAATTCTGCACAAGGGAAATTTGGTGACGTTTAGGAAATTTTATTTTTCTCCATATATATGAAAGATTAAACATATTAATCAAAATAAAACTCTTACGAAATTTTTTATAGCATACCTATGATGTTGTTAGCGCATGCGTCTGATAAACCGGAGCTTAAAGGATAAAGAGTATCATCCAAATCTATTGGAAACAAACATAGCGATATATCAATAAAATTCATTAATTGCTACCAAAATTTTCCTAAAACATAAAATTACTGTACATCATTTCTTACCGAATAGGAGACACTCGTATCTTGGTGAAGAGCTGTTCACAAATTCCATTTCTCCGGAAACTGCAAATTGAGGTGGGTTAAAGGAGCAAGATTGCCTCAAATTAAAAGAAGAAGGATTATAAAAGACGTGAGAGAAGGACGATTGAAGAGAAAATATTTGATGTAGAAAAGAAGAGAATGCAGGTGTGTATATATAGGGAAACAATAAAATGCGTATGGTTACAAAGTCCTAACAAAAAAGTCCTAATCATGACCGGCCTTTTATTAATTAATAATATAGACGACGAGTACTGTATCTTCTTTGTTTAATCGAATCCATTATTATAATCGTAAACTAATCAACATTTACGATTATAATAGTGTTCTCATGATTCCCGTCGATCTGCTATTCAAAAAACTAATGAAATGAGGTTATTTTATTCGTTATTTAAGTATGCATAAAGTCTACGCGTCAATAATTACACATCGTTCTCTTGAACATGTCATGCTTTTTGTTTATTTATTATTTTTCTTTTTTGTTAAAAAACGTTTTTCATTTTGATCTAAGACATAAATAAATAAGAAAGACTTGTGAGATGTTCTTGACCAAGAAGAATACTTTCCCCCTTCTGTTTAACAACACTGGTGGACGAACCGCGTGGCATTTATTACTTTTACTTTTACTTTTGTCGTCGACGTTTTACTTACTACTTAAGACCCCTCAATATATAAAAGAACCGAATTTGGTCTTAATCAATGGAACAGATACATAAGCACAGTGAATACTAAAGCTGAAAATCAAGAATTTAAACTATAATCGCATGTACAAAATGTTAATGCAAAACGCTGTAAAATATATACCACAACCACAAGTCATGTCTTTCACATATTTATTAGTTTTTCAATTCATTCTAGTTATTTTCGATATGCATGGTTTCTTTTTTTGGGGGTCAAATGCATGGTTCTATTTGATAACGTATTTAAATATAAATTAGAAAGATATAACTATTTTGTACTACTTTCGCATAACCACTAGTTAGTTAGTTTTCATTTCATATAATTCAATGTTGTAAAGTCATGGTACGAAAAAAAAAATTGTTTTCTACAAAAAAAAAAAGAAGTAAACGAAATCGTACGGAAGGAAGAATGCAACTGGAAAAAAAAGACAAATCAGTAGGACCATGGGTTGCTAATGTACGAGCTACTTGTCGAAAATCTGCATCCTATAACATCTAGTAGTTCCAAATTGTTAACTCCATATATAAATCAAGTTTATTTTCTTTTGCAGTCTAAGATATTTGCATTCTAACAAAAAGTGAGGTGGTGGTAGTTGTTAGTGCTGTCTCTCGCTCGCACTTTCCCTAGTGGTATTAGAAACTGGTTGATTTTTGTGTTCCTGATTTAAACTTCTTTTCGCACGAACGATTATTTATTTATTTCTGAATATGATCTAAAGACTGATTCGGGGGTATTGGAGAAGATTCTCAGTTTTTTAGTTTGCTTACATGAAACCTTCGTGTATCTATTGATGAGCAGGGACGTGCCTTACGTGTAATGAAAAAGGCATGAGCCTTGAGCCCCCTAAAATATATAAACTGGTGAAGGCCCCCAATTTCCCAAATTATTACTTATCATAGTGGTTATACGATTGATTTTCAATGTTAATAAGCCAAGTTCGATAATGCATCTTTCTTTTATCTTTAATTCTAGTAACTTTGTTTCTCTATCTATTTTTTTCACACTTTTGCTTCATATTATTTTTTCTTCTTTAAGCCATGAAACTATAGTACGTAGTTCTAAATTTTTACTAGCTTGACATCTTTTGCTAATAATATCTATAAAATATACTCTTTTCATTTTTTTATACTCTTACAATATCATTTAAAAGAAATAGAGAGATTGTCTGTTTTTATAATGCTTATTTGATATATTGTTTATTTTGATCATTACTTTTTTTTTTAAATTATCAGCTCTAAGAAAACAAATAAAAAAATTAGAACTATTATATATTTATTTTAATAATCATATTAAAGAAAAAAAATTAATTCCTAAATTTGCCTTAGGCCCCCATAACCCTGAGCACGGCACTGTAATGATGAGTCATTTATATTTTTATATTTTGGGTTCAATTATAGACACTTGGAAACGACTTCTTACCTATAGCCATGTGCGGTCGGTTGATTAAACATTTGGAAAATTTTGGAGAGTGTACATAATTTGATTTGTAGTACTAGTTTTTAAGGAAAAAAAGTGAGCAATAATTTACATGGAATTTCATTAACCAAACCGAACCGGTCAAAAGTAGGTTACACAAACTACACTACTTCACGGTTCTTGTATTCAAAAACATGAACTCCACATCTCACACTCTCCTTCTCCACAAACTCTGAATCCAAAAACCTAGCAACGAAAATCCAAAGCTTATAAACATCTTCGAAATTCGCAAGAAAACCCAACGCAGCAGTGAGAACAGAAATCCCTAGCTCGTTCTTTCTCTTCTCAAGAACTCTGTCTCTCACCTCAACATACTCCTCTTCGAACAATATTTTCTTTAAGAACCCTTGTCCGAGTGAGATATTGCTACAATCGGCTAGCTTCTGCACCACGAAAGGCTCGATTCTCTCTCCCTTTTGGTCGAACAAATTGAATGCAATCGCTGGTCCTCGGTTGAAATTAACTTTTGGACCGTATATTTTCACTAGACGACTAGTTGTAGAATGTTTGAGTTTGTAGAGAGCACTTACTAACCAGTTGATCAAACATCTTGATCTGTTCCCTGTCGATACCAACCCTAGTGAGTCCACATGATCTAAACCTCTGCATTCGATTCCACAACTAAAGCTATCATCTGTTTCTTCCGATTCTGTTTGTGTCCGGTTGTGTTCCAACGCGTGTAATGAAACTGGATCGTCGGTTGGTACGAGGTTAATCATACCTGAGCTAGTGGAAGACTCAAGAATCGGAATGGTGGATTTCTTGACGAACAAGCAACCGAATCCGGAAGGGTTTTCTCCAAACACCTTGTAGAACGAGCACACCATGAAATCTGGATTATATATCGAAAGACCGAAGCTGTCCATATCTTTAGGTCCTAAGCCACAAGCATCGATCATCACATGCCACCCGTTTTCTTGCGCCACACTCATCCATAGATATGGATACCTAGATCCCGTAACCCTAGAATGAAGCGGAAAGACAAAAATACCTTTCTTCTTCTTCTTGCTTCCGTTTTTCCCGGAAGTGATCATCTTCCTCAGCTTCGACGAACATATTCTCAGTCTTGGCCATGAGAATTCAGCTGCAGCTACTTTGGCTCCACGTTTCTCAGAGACTCTGTTGATCTCATCGACCGCCTCGCTCTCGTAGTCGTAAACCGTCAAAAGCTTTCGTTTTGAGTTAAAGGGGTAAGACTCAGCAACAAGCCTGAAAGCAGAAGTTCTATTGGCGGTGAAGACCATCGAGTAATCTTCCTCGGAGATTTTGAGAAAACCCATGATTCTTCTCTTCATTGAGTACTCAAACTCTGTTTCTTGACCTCCGTCGTTGAGAAGCTTCTCCTTGAGGTTACCGATCTTGGGAGAAACACTGAAGAAAGGACTTTCAGACAAGGAAGAGGAGATCTGGTAAGTGGAAGAGTCGTAGTTAAGTAGCTGTGAGTATGAATATAAACCAATCCCAATGTAATCAAGACACGTGTGATGTGATAAATCCAAGTGGAAGTAGTGGTCGGATCTGATGCGATCGATCTTGTAAGTGTCGGTGTACTTGGGATAAGCTTGGATGAAATCGGAAAAAGATTCTTGAAGGGAAGGAAGAGAATTTGGGTCGGCGAAATGAGTGTCCGGGAAAATGGTGGAGGCGGTGGTTTGAGCGAAATTACGGCGGAGAGTGGCGGAAGTGACGGTGGGGGTTGAATCTGGAGGATGCTCTGAGGCCGTAGCACCGATAAATGGTGACGATGAGAAGCAGCCGTGGAGACAGTTTGGTGGTGGTGAATCTCCGAGAGATAGTCGGTGCATTTCTTTTTCTTTTGGTGCAAAAGAGTGTTTTGTTTTGTAATTGGCATGAGCCTTGGCTTGTGTTAAATAATGCTAAAGTCTAAAGTTCCTAAAGTGGCGCACCTAAGACAAAAGCTTGTTTCTTTTGTCTTTTACATATAGTAAAATCATGTTTCTATACTTTTTTTATATTACAAATGAGAAAAGGTTAAATACATTTGAAAACGCCAAAATTTATACTGAATTGTTGATAATATGGTGCAAGTGTGTACTCGTATGTGGTTGATAAAAACGGTTAGAATGTGCATTTTCTCTGTCTTTTAGCCATTTGTGGCATTTTGTAATCTTTTTATTAATTAAATATGTATAAAATCTAAGTTTAAGTTGGCGGGAAACTTAAAACAATAGATCATTCAATCGTTGCAGTAAATTTGATGTTATATCTCTATGGTATAAAACGTCTCAAAACAACGACAAAGTTCGTTGAGCTATGGTTAAATTTTGATTGTGGTGGTGGTACATAATTATTTGAGATAATTACGGTGGTAACTAAAATTAAAGTTTCGTGTGAATGATGAATGTTTTTCTCTATCAGCTACAGCAACTATATGATTACTATCAAGAAAAGACTGAAAAGTGTTCACTTTGTACTGTTTCCCCAAGTTTTCTTTTTAGAAGTCGGAGTTTTAGTGGTCAGGAAAGTGTTTTCTTTTTCCCTTTTGTTTTCTTAGCTATTCACAATGCTTACATGCTAAGATATACATGCATCTCCATTTGTGTAAACAAAAGCAGCCAATGTGCTCTCATGTCAAATATATCTTGCTAATGATGAAAGGCGTGATATAAATATACATATTCGTCTAATGAGTACAGTAAACTCTATTTTTGTTTTACATCTATATCTAATTAAGTGGTGGTGGTTTAATGGTTTCCAAACTTCATGCAAAAGTTAATCTGTTGGTGTGTTGGTGAAGGTTAAGGATCGACTTTCTTTAAACGCGAAATTGCTAGATTTATCCCATTTTGGTCACATCAATATGAATTTTTATGTTCGACTCATTTGAATACCCGGAGTGAGAATCTATTCATGAGTTACATTTTCCCCATAGACTAGTTTGACATCCTACATAGATTTGAGATTTACCCTGAATTATAAATAAATAAAAATATTTTTAAAATACGTTATTTATTATCTTTATAAACGTTATAGGCGCATTAGTAAACTCTTAAGTGTATGTAACACGTCTCGAATGGTATCTAACGTTGATTATGAAGATTTTTCTCATTATTTTGTAAGGTAACGTAAAGCCAGTAAGTAAAAATAAATAAATAATTGACTAGGCAAAGTCCAGCTAATTGCAATCTCTGTTTAAGATAACACCAATAAATTCGTACCCATTGTTTTGTTCGTTTGTTGCATTACTAGTTATCTTCTTAACTATGTTTTTTTGTCGAGGAATGAAAAGAATATTGTTTTTTTTTTTAATTGTTTCTTCTTAATATTATGATGTGAAGTTGCATTGTTGGGTAAAGCTGGTATACACAACATCAAATTGTACTAAATTTTTCATATATATTTTTAAAGTTATATAATGGAGGGAGTTAATAGGTTTCATAAGTTCAACATGGCCAGCTATTGCTCTTCAACAACTAACCAATATAATTACATTGATTATGATTTATGAAGATTATTTGTTCACTATTTTATTAGCAATAATGAAACGCATTCGAAATTTCAAATACAATCGTCCGTAAACGTGAAGTGAACGATTGCAAAAGAACCTATCAAATCCTACAAGTATAAAATACTCCGCAGATACAACAAAATCCTATAAAAATTGGAAACTACGCAGATCTGCTGACCACGTGAATCATACTTCGTCTTATTGTATAAAATGCATGAAACCAAGTCTTTTCTTTTCCTTCCAAACATAAAATAACAAAGCAAAAATACATTCTTACAGTAGAATGGGCTTTCATATTTTCCGTACTATTCTCGTCGCAACTCTCCTCTTCCATGGCTCGTGCTATTCTGATAATGGTACCATTAAATGTGTGATGATTTGTTGACTTCAATATTCGTAAAGTTAATGTTTTTTTTTGTGTGAAGCTGGGCATTATCCATTTATGAAAGATGCAACGTTAGCACCAACTTATGCTAGTTTCGACTACATAATCATCGGAGGAGGAACTTCAGGTTGTGCATTAGCCGCAACGCTCTCTCAAAACGCTACCGTTTTGGTCCTCGAACGCGGCGGCTCTCCATATGAGAATCCAACGGCCACGGACATCGGCAACTTCGGTAACTCAGTCTTTAACATCACACCGAACTCATGGTCGCAGCTTTTCATCTCCGAAGACGGCGTTTACAACACACGGCCACGCGTCCTCGGTGGAGGCTCGGTGCTAAACGCCGGATTCTATACACGTGCGAGTAATGATTACTTGGAGGAAGCTGAGTTGGAGATGGAGGAAGTGAAAGCTGCTTACGAGTGGGTCGAGAGGAAACTTGTGTTCGAGCCACATGTGATGGAATGGCAATCTGCGTTTATAGACGGGCTTCTTGAGAGTGGTGTGAATCCGTACAACGGTTTTACGTACGATCATATTTACGGGACGAAGATCGGCGGTACGATATTTGACCGAGCCGGTCATAGGCACTCGGCCGCGAATCTGTTAGAGTATGCGAATCCGGACAACATTGTTGTTTACTTGCATGCTTCTGTCCATAAGATCCTCTTCACCACAACAGGTCAAACTTTCTCAAGAGCATTATTTAAAAATACCATTTTTAGTGTTTTGACTTTTTAATGTATTATGAATCTTATAATTTTTTTTGTACAAAGACTACAAAGTTATTAAAAAGGCAAAAATTAACGAATTTTTTTTATATTTTTTGAAAAAAAATATAGAAAATTTTGCAAGTTGATGTCTTTGGCAATATTATTTTGAATATATGGATCAACCTTTTAAAAATGGAACTGGACATCCAATTGCTTGGGTCTGTCGGTCATTGACTTATTGTCCAACGACCGCTCGACAACCCCATTCAATGACTCTGTTTGATTATGTATAACCCCATACGTTGACTCTATTTAATTATGTACAACTAGTTTCAAAATTTTAATATCAAAGTTTTTGTTAGGTTGTTTTATTTACGACTGTTTTCCCCCATTTCATACACTTTTTTGTATTTTAAACTGAATCATTTTTTTTTTTTTTTTTTTTTATATAAAAAACAGGTAGCAAGAGACCAAAAGCGTACAAAGTGATATATCAAGATGCGAATGGAGTGCTCCACAAGGTAAAGCTAGCGGATAATGCAATGAGTGAAGTAATCTTGTCAGCTGGAGCCATGGGTAGTCCCCATCTCTTAATGCTGAGCGGCGTTGGTCCTAAGGCTCATCTTGCGGCTCACGGGGTTAAACCAGTGGTCTTAGACCACCCAATGGTTGGGCAAGGAATGTGCGATAATCCCATGAATCCTGTCTTTGTTCCTTCTCTTGAGCCCGTTGAAATCTCCCTCATACAATCTGTTGGGATCACAAAGTTTGGTAATTACATTGAAGGAGGAAGTGGCGTGAGTCTCTCTTATGATTTGACCCGTACGTTTTTCGATGGTGTTTTGAATCTTTTCAACGAGGTATAGACGTATAGTAATCATTCATAGGTTATCATATTTTATGTTTTTGGTAAAATATCATATTTTATGTTCTTACGATACTATATGTTATTTAACTATGTCACATTATGTATGCAGACAAGCCGTACTACATCTAGGCAAATCCTGACCCAATCCATTACAACCTTTTTAGAATCCATGGATCTTGGATTTAAGGGGAAGATAAGTACGAATGGGATTGTCCAAAAAGTCGCGGGACCGGCTTCGAGAGGTCACATGGAGCTCAAGAACACGAATCCCGACGATAACCCATCTGTGACGTTCAATTACTATCAAGAACCAGAAGATTTGAACAAGTGTGTTAAAGGACTTAACATCGTTATGAATGTCATAAACTCCAAGGCCTTCTCTAAGTACAAGCCCATAGGTGTGACCGCACGTGAGCTGCTTAATCTCATACTGAGCCTTCCTGGTAATCTAAGGCCGAGGCACGTGTCCTCAACATTCGACTTGAAGCAGTATTGCATAGACACCGTGATGACTATGTATCATTACCACGGAGGTTGCCAAGTTGGAAAAGTTGTTGACAAGAATTACAAAGTTTTAGGTATTGATTCTTTGAGGGTTATCGATGGATCCACGTTTCTCAAGTCTCCTGGAACTAATCCTCAGGCTACGGTTATGATGCTCGGAAGGTAACCGCCAAAAACCAAATGATTTATCATCACATGTTAAAGATTTACTAAAGAAATTGTTGGAACGTAATGCGTAGGTACATGGGACAGAAGATTCTACGAGCGAGGGCAGATTTTCGTGGAAATTAGGAAAAAGCATGCATGACCTTTTGAATGGAGATATGCTCAGAACTTTGTTATTGGATTGTTGCTTCCATCGTTGAAGAAAGGAACGAAGACATGATCAACAGTATCAACAGTGGAATCACTAATAGAAAGTGTTGAATTTACATTCTTTTTAGACCTCAAACAAATAAAGGCAATTGTTAAGAAAAAAAAAATTAATTCTTTACCATTGTTTTTTCATTTGTTGTAAAACTATAGTATTACAAAAAATGATAAAATTATTAAAATAAGCTGTCACCAATTCACCATAACTATAACTACTACTAATAGAGAATTTTACAGTTTGTCACCTACATGATTTGGCAGAGAAGCCAACCGGCCCACTTATGATAGCCCATAGGCCCATCGTTAATTATCGAACACAAAAAGTAAAAGAAGTTCACTTCTCTCTGTGTGATGTTGTTTATCTGTTTTTCCAGTTTTGACTCGAATCAAATATGAAGCTGGAAGATTTTCCCTGAATCTTTGTCTTCTTCGTATCCGTTTTCCAAACTCTATTCGCCATGGAAGCTGTGCTTCTCTGCTCCAATGTTGCTCCTCGAGCAACGCCGTTGGAAGTCAACCGAAAGTTTTCGTTCAGGCATTTGAACAAACACCTTAAGTGCCATTCGCTTCGTGCTGATTCCAGAAACACTCCGTTACTACGCAGCTTCGAAGCGACTACGAGCTCACCAAGCTTGAGATTTTCTCCGTTCCCAGTGAGAAAAGGTTCATGGGTTCCACCAAAATGCTCGATTTCAAGCTCCGCTGTTTCCGATTCCGAGAATCCTTTCCTCAGCCAATTCCGTCTCCTCTCGTTTAGCTCACTGGTGAGTAAAATTCGTCAGCTGAAAGTGAAGCCCATGGATGTTGTGAAATTGACTCTCTTGCTATCGATTTTGTCCGTGGCTGCGAAAAAGATTGCGACTTTGGTCTTGGACCCGTTCTTCTGGATGTATTTCAGCTGGACATGGCTGTTCTGGCCCTGGTTTATCGCTGTGGGTCTCGCCGGTTACGGAATCTACTGTCTCCGTAAGCAATTCCTCGGCGAAGCCAATTCCTTTGAGCAGCTTGGTATTGTAACTTCAGTCTTCACATGGCTAACACTCGTGCCTCCTGCTTGTTTCAATGGCTATCTTGAAGGCTGGCCTTTTGTGTTCTTCTTGGCTTACCATTACTTCTTCTTCTTCAACGTGAGCGTGAGGAAACGCCTCTACGGAGATCACTACGCTCGCACGCATGACCCCAAATGGGATGTGAACACGCCCTTATGGTCTCGGGTTTTGTTCGGTATTGGCATCATGGTTGGACACTGGCTTGCGGCGTTCGAAGGTCCTGAGCTTCACCGTTTGCCAGGCGGTTGGGCCAATGCAGGGATATGGGTTTTGATTGTGGTTACAATGCTTATGCATTACGATTCAACGCTGTATCTCGCTAGATATTCGGAAAAAGTTGTTGTTCCAACGGATGTTGTGCAGTTTGGTCCTTATAGATGGGTCAGGCATCCGATTTATGCTTCTACGATGCTTCTCTTCGCTACGTACTGCACCGCTCTGCGTGCGCCTCTGAGCCTGTTGTTTCTTGTAGCGGTTTGTTTGGTGTACTACAACAAGAAGGCGAAGGTGGAGGAAGAGCTAATGGTGGAGAGTTTCGGTCAAAGCTATTCGGATTATGCTGATAAGGTTAGGCACAAGTTTATTCCTTTTGTGTACTAGTGATGTTTAGAGGAAACCCTGTGTTGTGTGACTAGTGTCTAATTATCTGGTATCTATCAGTCAAAAGATGTATCAATGAAGTTGAGTTGGATTTTTTTTCCATTTTTATTTGGAATGTTAGGCTTGTGAAAAAAAAGGATATGCTTTTATGCTATACGTGCTTAATCTCCAGTTCAATATATTTCTTATTAGTTTTAAGTTTAAAGTTTAACACTTTGTGCTAGCACGAATCTGAAAGTTGATTGGCTCTTAAGGAAACCAAACTGCCATTAACCTCATCTTGATTGCTTGTAGCTGTAGCTTATGAGTGCTTTATAGTATTAGTGCCTTATCTTCTGTCCTTTGATGACGACCCATCTTTGCTGTTGTATAATCAACCCTGATTGGGTACATGTGACCCTAATTTTTCTAAATCTCCTGATCTCGACTGATTCCCTGACTGAAAAGTGTATGAACAGCTCCAGTTAAAAACTAAAGCTGCTTGCTTTGTGAGTGTTTTCGCCTTTACACGTAAGGAACCGCACAGGGAACAATCTTAATCATGGTTTTGTTTGATAAAGTAGCAATTTTAATCTAATTATCTTCCTAATCCCACTTGTTTGATACTAATCAGTCATGATTAGTTTAATAAAAATTCTTCCATCCTGATAAAACTTTATTTTTATCAGTCCTTTGCATTTGCCACCCATTAACTATCTCCTCCACCTGGAATTGTTTCTTTAATGGCTTCTTCATGGTACTTTGGAGAACAAAAGGTTTTGAGGTTTGTGTATAAAGACACTTGAGATTTTCAGATATTTCATATGATAAACATCTCTAGCTTTGGCCTCTGTTCCTGACACTTGTACAGTCAAGTGGGCTTCTGTTATATTGATGTGATCTCTCTCAGACTCTCTCTCTCTCTATTCTAAAGTCGATTGCAGATAGGTTTTCTCCTGATGCTAGTTCTGTCTCTTTCCAAGTGATTTTACATCGACCAACTAGCTTTCTTCATTTAAGCGTTATATATTCAAGTACCTCTCTCTCTCAATCCACTCTCATACCAAAATCATCTTGCTGATTGATTTTCTTTCTGAATCCTCATGCTTTCCTATCTGCTTGTTCATTTGACAATGAAAGTTCCCAACTTTAGAGCTCGAACCGATAAGGATCTTTCATCTGCGGTTGATTTAGCTGGGTTCTCCATGAAAAGGCAAAAGATCTATAGCTTTCAACAGTTGTTACCAGCCGGTAGTCGCAGATGCGGCATCATTAAGATTCACATAAGATGTGGTTTCCTTTGTTTTGGCCTCTCAAGGTGAAGCAAAGGGTTCCTTTCGAATGGGAATCTTGATGATGCTGCATCAGCAAATACATGGCTTACTTCTTTTTTATGTCTTGGAGATCTTACAAGGACTCAAAAAACAGAAGGTAAAGTATCTCTTATTGTTTATGACGCTTGACAGTTTCTTGATCATGCACATGCTGTGAAATATCCTTAAGTTCATGTTGTTTGACTTGTTTCTTTCTTGCTTTTGTTATTGGCAAAACCATTCACATGTATAGCTTTGAAAGGATCCCACATATGCTTTAAAAAACCAGACAAAATTGCGACAATTGTATTTACATAAATAGACGTTGATAAGTTGCTTAGATGAATGTGAACACTGAACAATGAGAGCTGAGAAGTGAGAAGTCCCGTGTGGTTATGGTTTGTGGGAAATCACATGGCCACACGTGAAAATGGTCCATAAGTGTTCTTTGGTCAATTCTTTGCCTTTGGTTTGTTGTGTATTTATATATTTTCTTTGACCCGAAAAAGAAAAATAAAATCGTTTCTCCACATGGATCATATGAATCTCGAGGCACATTTTCTTTGTTAAAAAAAATTCTTGCTTAGGGGCAGAATTTTTTTTTTGTTTTTTTTTGTAATGAATATAATTCGAAGTTTGTTTGAAAAAGGAATTATTATTAAATATTCAAAGTTTTAATAAATTGATGGGTCAATCGTGCAATGAAAAAATGTGAAAGTAAATTCAAATTTCACTTGCTAGTTGCTAATATACATTTTACATAATGAATTTTCTTTGGCTAAATCGTACACTTATGGTCCCAACGCCAAAAGAAATATATTATCCGACATTTGTAAGCTTTTGAATAAGTAATTAACGACGACAAAGAAAAAAAGTGGCAGTGACGTCGATAACAAATACTTAAATAGGCCTGTCAGTTTGATTTTTTTATATATATGAAGATCTAACCCGATAAACCATAATCTCTTATCTTATTCAATGTTAAATGTGGGTAAAGAACATATAATGTCTTGAGTACCCACTATTTATCGATAATCTGCAACAAGACATGTAATAAAATGATTTTGTAATAGTGTTATTGTTGTTTCACGCTCAAATTTATATACAGCAGTATGTACATGTAAATTGTTAGAGAAAAAAATATACAATTGGCTTTTTGTAGTTTAAATTTGACCTATGTCATTCAAAACTTTATTATTATTTAAAGCAGACATATGTAAATATTAGTATAAGATGTGCCTTAATAGCTTTGACCTATTTCATTCCAAACTCTATTATTTCCTAGCTAGCTCCGTCTTCAATTCAAACATCAAGCCAAACACAAACACACACACGTATTCTACATTGATGTACATTTATATACGAAGTTCGATCAAAAGAGCTGAGAACATCCACTCTTGATTCATGGATGACGAAAAGTTGTGGAGAGTTTCTAAGAGAGATTCCATCTTCGAGACGACTCATTTCTCTTCAAAACCCGTTTTCACACGAAGCTTCTCAACAAAGTCTACTTCTTCTTCTTCTTCAAAACCCATGTTCACAAGAAGTTTCTCAACAAGACCCACTCCATATTCTTCATCGGAACCTATCTTTAGACGGAGTTTCTCTGCAAAGCCAACTCCCTCGAAATCTTTGTTTCTCTCTAGAAGTGGTTCGACGAAATGCTCAAGTGACACATCTTCTGCTTCCAAGTGTTCCATTTCTCGGAGCTTGTCTCAAAAAGGAGCTTCGGTGACCCGAAAATGTCGTAATATGGCCAAGGAGCACAAGTCTCGGTTTTACATCATGAAACGCTGCGTTTCCATGCTCGTTTGTTGGCACAAACACGCCTGAGATACGGTATAGCTGTGAAGAAAGACGATTAGGTTAATTAATCACAGAGTTTACTCCATTTTTTTTTTCATTTTTTTCTCAACCATCCATTAATCCATTTGTTTTTATTTCTGTATTAATGATATAAGTCATCTATTTGAACGTATTTTGTTTTCACTTCACAAAAAGTTCTGTTCAAAATTACACTATCGTACATCAGAAAAAGAAAGAAAGAAAGAGAATATTGACTCAGTATGATAGCAAATAGCAAGAGTTTATAGTTTTCAAAAAAAAAAAAAAAATCAAGAGTCTTATATTGAATCACATTTTATCGACTCATGATGTAATTGTAATACAAATTTAAAAGATTAGTAAGATGAGTTAAATTTTCACAACTATGAGTGGTATTTTTCAAACCAAATTCTTTAAACTAAAATGGTTGTAAAATTGTATTGAAGTGAGAGAGATTCCCTGTGAAACATTGGGAATTTAAAAGACATAAACAAAACTGTACCAGTGTTTTCAGCTCCACCGTTCGCATTTATATATGTCGGTCCATATCACAAATAAGATAAATAATAGTACGATCCCTTCCCACTAAACACTACTCCAAGTATTTGTAACTATTCGCAAATTTAAACTGCAAGCAATATTGGTTTGAATCGTTGCATTGTTGGGCTTCACAGAATCACATAGGCTGGATGTAATCTGTAATGGACCCTTAATATGAAAGCGCATGAGATAATTATCTAGCTAACGTCGATGATGTGACGAATAAAAATAGCTGAAGATCGATGTAGATTTCTACTGGCCTATGTAGCTAAGTTAGCTCACCAAACATCTTGAATGTTTACACTTGTATTTGTTCAACGATTTACATTGAATTGTTAAGTTCTTCGCAATTAATAATAAAGAAGAACTTGAACAAATAGAAAAGAAAAGAAAATCTAATGAGTGAAACTAAAGTGTTCAACAAAATCAATCCCAAATCATAACAGTAGAGAGCAAAGCAACGCCAAGAAAGACAGCAAGAAACTTGTATACTGGCTTGTCGAAGTAACACTCCTCACGAGGCTTATACCCTTTTGAGATGAGGTGGTTGACCGCAACGTAGACAAAGACTCCACAAGCGAGGCTCATCGTGATCGCATAAATCCAGTCACTGACGGCTCCTTGGCTCGTAGAGTTGATGGCAATCCCAATCCCGACGCCTATGGGACTCGAAATCCCAAAGGCGAAGGAGTAGGCTACGGTGAGGAAGAATGGTCGTTTAGGGATTAGCTTGAGGAGAGCTATTCCCATTGCTACGGCCGCGAAGATCTTGTGCATTGATATTGTCCATAGGTTTCTCCAAGCGTCGCTCTTAGTATCTGGACAACATATTCATTAGAGAACGTCATTAACCAATAATGTTTGTATCTCATACAAACAGTCACACCTACCTATATATATATATATATATATATATATATATATATATGCATCAAAGAGGCAATTAGGGTTTTTAATATTTTTGTTACCTGATACACCAATGGCGATACCCTCAAAGATGGAGTGAAAGCAAAGTGCAAGAATCAGCAAAGCTGTATCTCCAAAACCACTTGTCCGTACAATCGCTTGATTCACATCCACACCACTTCCATTCTCATGACGGCCTTCCTCTTTCACTGCCACATCATCATCCACCCTAGACTCCCCGGCGCCGGCTCTGCCGTGATTGTTATTAATGCCAGCCGCTACAAACGTAACCGCCACGTCTGCGAGCATCGTAAGGCAATATCCACCGACGGCTAACATGAAAGCGTAAGGATACTCCTTGTGTTTTAATGCTCGGAAAGTCTCGTTGGCGTCGCTGAGGAAATGGATTAAAGCGGTCGCCAGGAATATACCGCCGGAGAATTGAGTTCCCAGGAGGAGAAACGACTCGTTCCACCGGTAAAAGTATGGTGAAATCCCGGCCAAGAATGTGCTAAAGAAGAGTATTATAAGACAGTAGATCTTTACAAGCACCAAGCTTTTCGACCGGAGATTCACTATGGGTGTTCCGGAGGCCGGAGGTGGTTGGTTGGCCGCCGCAGCCTCCTCCTCTTCGTCATGGTCGTCGTCTGAGCCGCCATGAGCTAGGATTAAGGACAAACAAAGGAAGAGAATAGAGAGGAAGAAGATAGTTGACTTCAGGGAAGAGACAGCCATTTTAGTTATTGTCTTCTGTGTTATGCCTTTTTCACTTCATAAGCTTATATGTACGATTGTACGTGTTAATATATGTTGGTGTTTGTAGTACAGTGTTGACTTTATTGTTGGAGATTTGCTGTGACTGGTACAACGGTAAAAGTCATTCGGAAGTTGTACTACACAAAGTACACAATAATAATATTGCCGACGACCGAAGAGGTGGTTTCTTGTGAAACGGTCTGTACCGGATACAATCATTGTATAATTATTGGAATCAGTACGTTGACATGAAAAAGTAATATTAAAATGATTAACCAACATAGTTTTTATATTTATCTGGTTAATTGTATAGAGCTTAATTACATCTAAGATTTTTCAGACTGGACTGTGTTTGTTGATGATACCAACATGTTCACCAAAGACGAACAAAAGATACAAGATTTGTTTTCGAAAACTTTACTAATGGATGTCCTTTTTGGCCATGGAGAATTTACAAATTCGGGAGAATATATCAAATCTGTTTTCTTAATAAATTTGCCGTTATTACAAGAATCTTGGATATCTCCATTTTGATTCCCATGACTATGAAATAGGCAAAGTGAATATGTTGTAATTCTTTTTTCAGTCGGAATTTATATATTTTATACGTTAAAGATCTATAAATTTTCAGGCTAGCTAAGACAATTAGACAACTAATCATCTAACTTTGATACCAAAAATTTAGTCTAACAAGTGAGAAATTGGTTAACACTTTACAGTCCTCTCATATAATTTGATCTGTTATGATTAATTCATGTGATCTTAGACAATCATGGTGTGTGCTGTTTATTAGTTTAAAAAATACAAAAACTTCAACACATTAAGTTCCCAATGATCCTGAACCTGATGACAAAAAAAACAGTTGCCAATCATCCAAGTTCTGATTTTGGATTTTAGGGAACCTTGCGTCGCAGGGTAACGTCCACAAAACCAACAAATCTTGCATAAGAAATTGAGAGAGAGAAACAAAAATATTATATTTTAGCCCGTGCCCGTCCTTTGATTATTATCCATCACAAAAGTATTCAAAGAATTAGTTGGTGATGGAGGGCATGACGAATCCGAACATAATGACAGCTATATACATACATCATTTAATACCTTTAACCCATAAAACATTACTTAACTGTATATTTATATACATTTAGCTATGCAGACTCGTTACTACTTCGAAACTATCCACATATATAATTTTATATGGATGTGGCCTGTGGCTTGTAGGGATAGTATTAAAGTAGCAGTCGACAAAGGTATATAATAATCAAGAATACAATTGGTGTGGTATATACTCTTGGTGCTAATAAGAAAAAAAAAATTCATTTTTGTCTCAAACATGAATTGAAGAGGTAAAAGTTTAGAATCTCTAAATGAAACTAATTCAAAGTAGACGTATACTTTCTTGTTTTTGAATACAGAGTAGTTCAACACCCAAACACACACACACACAGACACTATACTTTCTTATTTTTGATACATTGGTTAGTTTTTGCATATAGCCAAGAACAGAGTAGCTGATCATGGAAACTTTTTAATTCATATCCTAAAATTCGAGAGATGCGATGCTCCACCGAGACCATTCTCAAAATATCCCATGGTGTATTCTGTTAGGGTTAAGTCTCTGTATTTTGGAGGGTTTTCTTCAGACAAAAGCTCGTTTATCGGTCCATAAACTGTGGAATTGGGAAGTGCACTTGAGCTGAAAAAGCTCGCTATTGATATCCTTATCTTTTCTCTATTCGCAAGCGCTCTATGCTCCACGCTTACAAACTTATCGTTTGTTATCAACTGCAAAATCAAACCCACCATGTATATATAAACCAAATTAAAAGACATTTTATTTTACAGTGTCCGTTTTTGTTCTTCAGATACTTTACCTGCAAGAAATCTCCGATGTTGATGACGAGAGCTCCGGGAAGAGGAGAGACATCGACCCAAGAGTCTTGATGAAGAATTTGAAGACCACCAATGTTGTCTTGAAGAAGAACCGTGAGGAAAGAGTTGTCTGAGTGTTTACTTATCCCTAAAGTTAGGTCAGGTTGTGGACAAGGTGGGTAATAATTGCATATCATAAGCATAGTCTTCAAGCAATCCATGCTCTTAAGGAATTCAGGTCTCAAACCTAGTGCTTTGGAGAGAAGCTCAAAGAGCAAACCACCTAAACTCATCACATGCTTTGAGTACTCGATCATTGCATCTCTGTGCGAAGACGTCACATTAGAAATCAATCTCTTTGTTCAAGTAAAACTAGGCGAAGACTTTTCAATAGACTGATGATAATTAACTAGTCATCAGTTGAAAGTCAACGATCGAATTTTTACTAATCACTATATTTCTTAACCACAGCGAAATTTAAATGGCTGGTGATTAATTTAGGGCATGTTTCCGTTACCTGCAAGTCACTGGGAGCTCCTCAGGAGATGGAGGATCTGGAGCCATGTAACAAGAGAAAGCATCTCTCCAGTTAACAGAAGGAGAAGCACTGTACAGATCGAAATTACTGTTGTAGACAAATTTGTTCTTGTTGAAATCGCGCGAGAAGAATGATTTCTTGACCTCAGGATCGTCCTCGTGAAACCTAAGACCTCCATCTTTAATCTCTTCAAGAACCTTTAATGGGACACCGTGATTGATCACCTGGAAGAATCCCCACTTCTCGGCCGCGTATCTGACTCTCTCCACGACGGCTTCACGTGAGGCTGTGTCCACGTGGACGCTTGCAAAGTCGATGGTAGGGATCTCTAGGTTTGAAACAGAGACAGAGGGTTTCGTGTCGGTTAAGGAATCTTGAGGGATGTGGAATATACGAGGGACTTCGGTTATTTTAGCGTCTACGAGCCCTTTGACTCCTTCTTTTGTCTCGTCGAAAGCTTTGCGCTCGACATAAGGATCGAATTCGATCGAGTTTTTGGTCACCATATTTTCTTTCTCTTAAAGATTTCTGCTTAGAAGAAGAAATAGCAAAATGAAGACAAAAAAGAGAAAGACGCTTAAGAATCAACGGTAGGAGTTTAGTTGTTGGTGTGTGGGACCGATTATGTCCGTTTTTTCTGACTGTAAACTGATGATCACATGAATGCTGTCTCTCTCTCTCTTTCATTGACACTCACTTTAGTGACTTGTCGTAGTTGAATTTTGCTTCTCTGCTTTTTGTTTTATATAGCCCTTGATTCAACTTTAATTACCGAAAGTTAAGCGCTGAAATCGAGGAGAACATTTTGAGAGTAAAAATGTTTTTACTCAACGACTAGACAGTTTTTGACCGGTCTCAACTATTCCGAAATCCGAACCATAATCTAACGGTACCGTCAAGGTATGAATTAATTAAAAGACTTGCACAGTTGAGTTTGAATTCTCAAATTTGGCAACTTTAACCATCAATTCTCACTGTACTTTCTTCTTTTCTTTTCCTGTGCATCACTTTCTCGGCTAGGCCTACTCTCAGCATCCGAGGAAAAAAGGTTAAAGTGGGAACACACATTCTTTTGCTTTCTCGGATTTTCTCGGAAACCAAACAGCCAAAATCTCGGGAAAAGTTGGGTCCAAGACAAAGCTAAAGCTAAAAAATGATGAATACTCGAATGAACATTAGACATTTGATGGAATGTAACAAACGAAGAATCAATCGAATTTAAAATAAAATGTAGTTTCCAATCATGCTTCTGAAGTTTCCATATTTACATTGTTGAATGAACAAACAAACCAAAAAAAAATATACATATTAAAATCTTCTCAATGTAGAACTGAAGAATCTCTGTTACTTCTGTTTCGCCTGAAGTATCTCAGCACTGAATTCGACCGATCCAAAACCCTAGTTTCTACTTCAATGTTCAAATCCATATCACTGGAAGAAGATGAAATAGCAGCAGGAGAAGAAGAAGAAGAGCCACGGTTTGGCCTCACTCTCCTCATTAACGAAACCATTCCACGAACCACCCGTCTCAATCTCCCTCCCGAGCCGGAGCTAGCACCGTTGTTGCCATCTGATTCCAGTGTACCGTGAGCTCTAACCCACGAGATCCGTCTTGGACCGTCGCTGTGACCAATCCCACCACCGTCCATTTCTGTTAACACCACAGGCAATACTCTCTCTCCGTCTCTCATTGCGGCGTTAAACCTCCCCACGGCGAATCCGCCTCCGGGAAGTCTCCAAATCGTCATTCCCACGGCGTTCTCCTCCTCGTTGTTGCTGCTGCTCCGCCGATTAGGCTCTGAAGGTATCTCGAATCGGCAGACGGGGCATGAGTTTCGAATCGAGAGCCAAGGCACGATGCAGTCGTCGTGGAAAAGGTGCTTGCACGGCATCTCACGCGCCTCCGTCTCCGGCTCGAAAACCTCCGTGCAAACAGCGCAATTGGCCTCTGCGCCTATGTGGCAATCAGAGATTTCAACTCTCGGCAGAGACTCAATCGCCGATTTCGACGCCGGAGGATTTCCAGATCTACCGATTCCGGTGCCCGACGCTTCGATCTGACTCAGCTGTTCGAGCAACCGCTCAAATCCCGATCCCATTAAGATCTCAGATACAGAATCCGGAAGCGGCCTTAGACCCGATCCGGATCCGTCATCGTAATAAAACTCAAAAGCGCGTCTAGCCGCATCTCCTTCTTCTCCCTCCTCCCGCTCGCCGGCGCCTCCCTGGAGGACGATGACCGGGTTAAACGATGGACGACGACCGGATCTCCGACGTCTAATCACGGATCTACGGTTGTTGTTGATCGATCTAACTTCAGTGGAAGCTGGAGTTGCTAATTCGGCAGCAGCGGATGAGGAATCGTTAATCTCTTCAATGAAACCGCCGTCGCAGTGCGGACAAGCGACGCTAACGGTGGTGCCTTGTTCAGCCCAGACGCTGACGAATCTCGTGCAGCTATAACACCAATACGACGCCGTAATCGGCGTTGTTGCCGTCGGAGTAGTAGTCGGCGTTGACGGCATCTTTAAACCTTCTGACCCGGTAAGAGGATCTGAAAGAAGAAGGAAGAGGAAGGAATCGCTGACCACAGTTAATGAAATGGATTGAGTCGAGAAAAATGAAAACGTGGTTTTTAAGGCGGTCGTTGGGAGCGGAATTAACGGCGTCGGATTAGACGGTAAAAGGACACGTGGTAAGTGTTTGACTGGGTAGCAGATAGCGGACGTATTAACGTTCGTTATGTATCGAGAAGGAGCGTTCGAGGCGTCTGCAAGCTGTTCTGACCAAACGCGCAAAGTGGAAACGCCGAGTTGCTGAAGAAAATTCAAAAGAAGCGCCGTGTCTGCTGGCTGTGGACCTATGCGGGACCCATTTGATCTCCGTTTTTTCTGGGAAAGACGCTAAACGACACCGTTTCGACCTGTGAATCATGCCAGAAGCAAAAGTGTGCTGAGTTTGCTGACGGCTAAAATAATTAAATGATTTTGTTCTTACATTTCTTTCTTTGTGACATATGTTTATTATCTTTAGCACAGAGGTGGAATGTTTAGATAATATGATTTCTTACACGTTGATGGCAAAATAAATTATACTGTATTGATAAAAAAACACATTACATAAAAGCAACTCGTATCTAATATGTATTGACTAATTAGATGAGCAGCTTGGTCAAGTTGATCAAAATACGCAAAGAAACCAAGTCGCATCTATATGTCTTAAACTTTCGCAGTTGTCTAAAATACAGGAAAAGTTGCTCAACTAATCTTTTGGCTGTGTGTTTCTCTCTCATTTGTTTGCAGCCAATGTAAACACTAAACAGGCAAATCGCAATTATAGCAACTAATTACCACAAGTTAGAGACAGAAAACACAAATGTAAACCGCCAATATCAACTTAGCTTTGAAATTTGCTACGCACAAAAATAGAGTGAAACATGTTGATTTGTGATAACATATTCATTCTTTGGATGGAATATTGAATTAAATCGAATTGATTGAGATCTATATAAACGGAAGGCTGCAACATCTTCATTATGACTAATCAAGCATTAAACTTTATTGACTGCAATGATAAGTCAACAAGTTTTGTCCCCTCCCTTGATGGCCAAAAGATTATGCAGTAAAAATGAGAAAATGTTACAAACTCACAAAAACAATGAAGCATCTAAAATCCCTCTGAAACCAACAATGGCAGCTCTGAATCAACACCAGCGCTGAAAAAATGCCAGCTTGAATCATGGAAAGCTGCAAAAAATTCATCTGACACAGTCTCAATAGCAAACTCGCTTGCGATTCCTCGTGCAGCTACGATTCTTTTGGTGGCACGTACCACTTCCGGGTCTAACGTCACTTGCTCCTCATACATCTGAAAGCTGTTCCCAAACAAGGCGATTCTAGACAACCGATCAAATCTCCAGTTTGCCTGCAACAGGTTGCTGTACAGATTGGCCTCACAGTGAGGCATGAAGAAAAGAGTAGGCTTTAAAGCTTCCCTGCGAGCTTGCTCGTTCACTGATAGAACAGTGCATCCAAGAGACTCTAAGACACTAGATTCAGTTGCAGAGAGGACTGGATCGAACACTTCGATGTCACCAACCCAATCAAACTCTCTCTTCATCAAGATTGCAATGCTCAGCTGAAGCCTCGGAGATTCGTAAGACTCGATGCTGCCTATGCCGTACATCACCATCTGAAGCTGCGTTTCGGAGGCTAACACGAGTCGAAACTGTTCTGAAACCTCTGGAGACTTGAGCTGGTTTAAGAATGATGTGTAGAACTCTGAGGTTTCGATTTTGTTCATAGAGATTTCCATCTTTTTGTTTAGTCTTGCTTGCCTCTGTGGATCAATTTCAAGATCATCTGATATCCATGGTTTCTCTTCTTCTTCTTCTTCTTGAACCTTTGGTTTCGGTTTTCTTCTTCTTCCATGTCTTCCTTTACTAGGTAAGACCACTGTCCACTCACCATCACTACTTGATTTTTTAACCGTTGCTGCCATTGAAGCTTCCATAAGAAACTGGTGTCTCTTCTCTTATCTAATTACTCATTTATTGGAGAAGATTTACCTGAACATCACAGTCAAAATTTCGAATCAATTATCAACTACGAGCTACATGATTGATAATGCAATTTCTTCAGTGAAAGAAAGTTGCAATTTTAGCGCCAAACCAATGTTGTAGCTCATTGCTATAACTAATATCGAATCGTTGCTTCCATATCGAATTCAAAGCAACACAGGCCAAATCAATACTGAAGGGACTATTAATTCGTCCAAAAATCAAAATCCAAGCAAAATAGAGAAAAATTCTATGAGTATGGTGGATAAAGATAGATCGAAAGACAAACACGAACCTTTAGATTTATCAGAGTGCTACTAATCTCTCTCTCCTCGCCATCGTCGCTTTTCCCAGATTCCCGGCACCGGGGAGGAGGAGCAAGTTGCTGCTCGAGCGTTTTCGTTTTTCTAGGTTTAAATTTCCGATTTGAAAGTTCCGTCCAAATTGACTATACTAGAACCTAACCGATTCAAACCGGATAAATGATTACCAAACCGAAATTATTCTGGTTTAGGTTTTGGGTATTTGAAAGTCTTAAGAACTTGAACTATGAACTTGAAGCAAGTCAGCTCATTTTCTCAGTCGAGATGGAGTATCTAGGTTTTGATATTGGCTGCGCGACGGAGTCTCTCCGAAACGGCGAGTTTCCGGCGAAAGAATGTCTTTTTCTTCTCATTTCGAAGCTGCTCGGTTCAATCCAAATCAATCTAATTTCGCACTCTAAATTCCCAATTTTGATAATGCTAACATTCTGTAAATTTCGACTGGGACTGTTTATAGATAAAGAAATTCGCGGACAGTAGGAGTGTGAGAGGCTTAAGCGTTGCAGCATTTGAGCTAGAGCTGGTGGGTCACACGATCTCTCTCCTGTATAGTCTTCCCAAAGAGAAAGAGCTCTCCTTTTAGCAATTCAAGAAGTTGTTTCTCTTTGGTACCAATCTTTGTTCTTGGTGTTTATCATCTATTGTTTCTCTTATCCTCTCTCTGCAACAACTCGGGTCAAAATGATTCTCTACTGTGCTATAGCAATTGTGCTTTCTGCACCGATTGATCCTCGTGTACTTGAAGCTCTATATGATTGGAGGCATTTGGTATTTCTCGCTGCAAGGCTTCCTCAGATTTGGATGAACTTAAGAAGCAAAAGCACTGGTCAGCTTAGTTTCTGGACTTGTTTGATGAACTTGGTTGGATCCATGGCGAGTACTTTCACCAGCAGCCTTGAGGTGAATGCTTCGTTTAGTATGGTTTTGGGTCTTGTTCTTTTGGTCTTCGCCGATGGAATCATCATGAGTCAGATTCTCTTGTATCGCACAAAAGGAAAAGAAGAAGAAAATGATTCCATGAAAAGAAAAAAAAAACTTTGCAAATTGGTAATTGTAAAAAAGATTAGATGATGTTGTTGTTGTAGTTGACAAAACTTTGCAAATTGGTAATTGTAAAAAAGATTAGATGATGATGTTGTTGTAGTTGACAAAAAAAAAAGATGTTGTTGTACTCATGTTTTTATATCATCAATAAACTCAGCTTGTTTCATCCAATCTTGCAAAGGTGGCTATTTTATTTGGACTTTTGTCTTTTCTAAGATTGTGTTGGAGAGTCACACACCAAGATCTCAACCAGAGGAAGAGAAAGTGACATTACAACAAGAGCCAAGGCTTTTTCTTCTTCTTTGTCTTTGCATACAAAGAGTTGGTACGTGGGTTTTAGACTTAGTTTATAATCTGTTAATATCTTTGCATCTGCAATATACAGTACATGTAAGCAGTGTACTCTAAGATCACTTTTTACTGATCTTTTTTATTTCGTTCAATAGATGACTCTTTTTCACAACATATACTAAACATTATATTCATATTACTTTTATGTGTGTCACTGGAGACACTTTTTAATAGAAGCGAGAATCTTGGATTTGATTCAACATCGATTCCCTTCTACCAAGAATCCAAGTTGACATAACATGTTTCTTCAATGAATGCTAAATGAATCTCTTCTGAGACACATTTGACTTTGATCAGGAACTATATGATTGCTGCATGGAACTCTTCGTTTCCAAGGAACTGACAAAATCAGCCAATGATTTACACGAGGAACCTCCACTTCTCACAGAGGCATTGAGCTTCTCTTTCAAATCCATGGCTCTCTCCCTCATCTCTGCCCCTTCCTCATCCATAACCAACCTCTTCACAGCTCTCTCCACACTCTCTTTCCCCAGCTCTCCCTCCAACTGAATCCCAATTCTCCAAACAGTCTCTAAGTACCTCGCATTGACTCTCTGATCGGCGGTAAAAGGTCTGCAGATCATCGGAACACCTTCTCCGATGCTCTCAAGCGTCGAGTTCCATCCACAGTGACTCCAAAACCCTCCTACTGCAGGATGTTTAAGAACTTCCACCTGCGGAGCCCATTTCACAATGTAACCTCTCTCTGCAACCAACTCACTAAACTCCTCCGGTAAGGACTCTGTCCATTCCGAGGCCCGAATAGAACCAGGTCGTATCACCCACAAGAAAGGTTGGTTGCTGTTGCTTAATCCCCAAGCCATCTCCAACATGTCTTTGGTTTCTATCAAAGCTAAGCTTCCCAAGCTTATGTATATCACTGATCTCGGTTTCTGCTTGTTCAGCCACTCGATGCAGCTTCTGTCCTCTTCTAGTAAACTAGAACACGCAGAGGCTGCAAGGTGTAGTGGGCCTATAGGATAAACTGGAACTTGTAGCTCTTCTTGCAACCATGCCAAAGAAGAGCTCTCTAGACAGCTCGCTGAGTTTATGATAACAGCAGAAGCTGTTTGGATGTTAACAACTTCAGTGTAGACCTCGAGAATACTCTCTATTGGCCCAAATGCTGAAGTTGGCAAGTCCTTGTACCTCAGAGGATGCAACCCTGGAAACACCTTGTCTTGCACTTCAGGATCTGCAAAGTTTGACAAACCGAACATCAGTTACATTGGTTCATCTAAATCTAAAATGGGGTTTTGAAGTTGAGGTCAAAAGCTAGAATCTTGAGTACCATTCATGTCGATCAAGAACTTGTCAGGGTTGAGTTTGGCCAAAACAGAGCGACAAACAAAGGCAGTAGCACTTGTAGTGCTAAAGATGACACTGGGGAGTTGAAACTCCTTTGATGCAGATTTTGTGAAGTACATATACTCATCGGAGACGACACATGCAATGTCACCAGCTTCCTGCAACAGTTGGCCTAAACAGTGCTTGAAGCTTGCCTCGCAGGTTTGATTGAGCTTGATGAGAAACTGGAGTGCTCCGAGGTTTTTGAGATCAGAATCGGTTAAACTACCTGGGATGGTGAGGAAGTGAAAATCAGAGAAGTCCTCGGAAGAGCTAACTCGATTGTACTGTGTCTGAAAAACAGTGATGGAGAAGCCCTTCAAGTGAAGAGCCTTCCCGAGTTGCATCATTGGAGTTACATGACCTTGTGCTGGAACTGGAACTAACACAATCCTTCTCTTCACTCGCTTTTCCTCCATTTCAACTCTCTCTTCTCTATTGTTCTCTCTTTTCTCTTGTTCTCTCTCTCTCTCTCTCTCTCTCTCTCTCTCTCTCTCTCTCTCTCTCTCTCTCTCTCACAGTGAAGGAATGAATGAAGGCATGAAGCTCAGAGAGACATATCTGGTCTGCTATATAGACACGTAAACTGTTCATTTACAGTTCGTTGATCTCAACTAACTATCTTCATTTGTGTGGAAGGACAATGACAAGCACGTGGGGAAGGCTGGTTGGAGTTGGAGTAATAAATTGGAGACAAAAAAACAGACAATACCAGATAATGGTTCTGATTCAGAATTGGCTAAATATCAAAAGTTTCCTTATAAGGCTAATCTTATCTTTTTGTCCCCTTTGAAGATAAGACTAATATATAGACATATTTCTTTATCAAGAATGGATGGGATACACAAAAAGATAACGGTGAAATCTGGCGGAGAAAACAATGCTGGCGGGAAATAGAGATCATAAACTGCTCTGTATCTAGTAACCACCAGACACAAGTCACACAACTGTTACGAATGGAAAAAAAAAATTATCAAGAAAAAAGACGTTATTGTAATGAAGAAAACTCCAAATGCAGAAACTCGTTTATATAAAGACAACAGCTTAAAAAGTTGCACTAAAGGTAGAAGAAGAATAAATCTCCGTGTTTGACATTTGATTCATTAAATGAATCTCTTCTGACTTTGGACAGAGATTACATACAATTCTTCATTTTCAAAGAACTGACAAAGTCCTCTAGTGAGCTGCATGAGGAACCTCCACTTGTCACAGAGGCTTCAAGCTTCTCTTTCAGTTTGATGGCTCTCTTCCTCATTTCTGCTCCTTCTTCATCTCCAATCAACCTCTTCACAGCTCTCTCCACACTCCCTTTCTCCAGCTCTCCCTCCAATTGAACACCAACTCTCCAAACACTCTCCAAGTACCTCGCATTGACTTTCTGATCGCCGGTAAAAGGTCTGCATATCATCGGAACACCTTCCCCGATGCTCTCAAGCGTCGAGTTCCATCCACAGTGACTCCAAAACCCTCCAACTGCAGGATGACTGAGAACTTCCATCTGTGGAGCCCATTTCACAATGTAACCTCTCTCTGAAACCAACTTGCTAAACTCCTCCGGTAAGGACTCTGTCCATTCCGAGGCCGGAATAGAACCAGGACGGATCACCCACAAGAACGGTTGGTTGCTGTTACTTAATCCCCAAGCCATCTCCAAAACGTCTTTGGTTTCCATTAGAGCTAAGCTTCCCAAGCTTATGTATATCACTGATCTCGTTTTTTGCTTGTTCAGCCACTGGATGCAGCTTCTGTCTTCTTCAACTAAGCTAGAAGACGCAGAGGCTGCAAGGTGGAGTGGGCCTATAGAGTAAACTGGAACTTGAAGTTCTTGTTGCAACCATGCCAAAGAAGAGCTCTCCAGACAGCTCGCTGAGTTGATGATAACAGCGGAAGATGTTCGAATGTTGACAACTTCACTGTAGAGCTTGAGAACACTCTCTAATGGCCCAAATTCTGAAGTTGGTAGGTCCTTGTACCTCAGAGGATGCAGCCCTGGAAACATCTTGTCTTGCACTTCAGGATCTGCAAACCGAAGGAAATGATCTAAAATGGGTTTTGGAAATTAATATAAAAAGGTGGAATCTTTGAGTACCTTTCATGTTGATCAAGAACCTCTCTGCGTTGACTTTAGCAATAACAGAACGACAGACAAAGGCAGTAGCACTTGTGGTGCTAAAGATGGCACTGGGAAGTTGAAACTCCTTTGCTGCAGCTTTTGAGAAGTACATGTACTCATCGTAGACGATACATGCAATGTCATCTTCATTACCTTGTTCTTGCAATAGCTGACCTATGCAGTGCTTGAAGCTTGGCTCGCAGATCTGATTGAGCTTCGTTAGAAAATGGTGTACACCGAGGTTTTTGAGATCAGACTCAGTTAAACAACCTGGGATGGTGAGAAAGTGGAAATCAGAGAATTCCTCAGAAGAGCTAACTCGGTTGTACTGTGTCTGAACAACAGTGATGGAGAAGCCTTTCAAGTGAAGAGCTTTCCCGAGTTGCATCATCGGAGTAACATGGCCTTGTGCTGGAACTGGAACTAACACTATCTTTCTCTTCACTCTCTTTTCCTCCATTGCTAATCTCTCTCCTCTCGTGTTCTCTCTCTCTCTCTCTCTGGACGTTGGAATACTATCACATAGAACTGGTGTACTATATAGACACGTGAGGCAACTGTTCATTGGTTTCTCAAGATTATGTTTTTATCTCTTATTAGTGGGATTCCAGATCTGATGATTTGTGGTTGGGGTAAGCTCTTGGTTCTCGCACAAGCACGTGGAGTTGATAAACTAGAGAAAGAAAACAGAAGACACGACGATAGCTTTTGATCCAGAACAAGGCATATTAAAAGCTTGTTTTGTCCTTGTCTAAATAAGTCGGCAATGAATTTTCCTTTTTTTCCTCTTTCTAAATATAGATAGCTTTTTGTTTGTTTGTCAAGGACTTGCACACAATTATCTTCTCTTTCTCTTCACTTGACTTAATTCACGAAAGAAAGAAAAAATCAGAATGGCTCTTTAGCATCAAACAGTTTCTACTTCAACCCAGCTACTGCCTGTAAACTTTCTCAACTTCTTCTTCTTCTTCTTTATCATCTTCTTCATTCTTAAAACACTTTCCCAACTACCAGCATTTGCATACAAACTAGACAGAAGCAAACCATTCCCTGAGTTCTCTGGCTCGATCTCTGCCAGTCTCTCTGCAGCAGTCCTTGCGAGCTCCATGTTCCCGTGATTCCTACACGCACCTAACAAAGCACCCCACACAAACAAATCTGCCTCCATTGGCATAGCCTTGATCATCTTATAAGCCCCAACAAGCTTCCCTGCTCGGCCGAGAAGATCCACCATACAAGCGTAATGCTCTAACCTCGGGTTGATTCTGTACTTGTTTTGCATCAAAAGGAACAGTTTTTGTCCAAGATCAGTTAACCCGCCGTGGCTGCAGGCTGTCAGGATCGCCGTGAATGTCAAGTGGTCAAGTTTCTCTCCTGTGGCTTCCATCTGACTGAACAGCTCAACTGCTTCGTCTGCGAGCCCGTGATTTGCATAACAGAAGATCATCGAGTTGAAAGTAACCGTAGTCTTCTTTTGAATTCTGCAAAACAAGATCATTGCTTCTGATATGAAACCACATTTCCCATACATATCGAGCAAAGCACTTCTAACAAAACCCTGATCTTCTAGTCCAGTGACTACAGAGTAGCCGTGAATCTCCTTCCCGTGCTTCACATTCCCGAGTGTTGTACAAGCAGGCAAAAGGGTAGTGATCGTAGCTGAGTTTGGATACAAACCATGAGCTAACATCTGTTTAAAAGCATTCAAAGCTTTCTCATTCTGGAAATTATGTACAAGGCCTGATATAACCGAAGTCCATGACACAACGTCAGGCTTGTGACCATCCAAACACATCATCTCAAGAATCTCACATACTTTTTCTTCATTTCCCATATTTGCGAATCCTGCAATTAGAGCATTCCAAGTGATAACATCAGGTCTTATCCTCAGTAGTTTCATATCTTTCACCAAGCTCAATGCTTCATCTGCTTGGCTGTTGTTAGCATAACCAGAGATCATAGCATTGAACACGACCAAATCTTGCTCAACCAAATCATCAAACACCTTCCTCGCGTTCTCTACCTCACCAAACTTCGAGTACATGTCAATGAGCGAGCTGACTATAAACGCATCAGACTCAAACGAACACTTCAGCACCAGACAATGTATCATCCTCCCAAATTCTTGATCGAGCAGATTGCGACTGGCTTTAAGAAGACTAGGAACGATGAAAGCGTCAAGCTTTAATCCTTCTCTACTCATTTCTCTGAAGATATCTAAAGACTCCTGAGAATACCCGTTTCGAGCGCAAGCACCAATCATGACGACCCATCCACTAATGTCTCTCTTGGGCATTTCGTCGAACACCTTCTTAGCATCTGTAACTTTCCCACATTCGACGTAAAACGTCACAAGCTTAGCTGCAATTCTCGTCAAGCGAGCAATCCCAGATGTCACCAGATGAGCATGAAGCTTTTTTCCTCCGCAAAGCAGTCGATCTCGACCGTTGGTTTCGATGAGCTCAACATAAGAACCGATTGACAAAAACCGGAAAGAACAAGGAATGATCGAAAATTTGTTCATGGCTAAGGATCAAAGCTTCAGATTTCATCAAAAACCGCATTATGATTGTAGATTCCACTAAAGCCTAACACATTTCCAAGTAAAAAGTTCCCAACTTTATTGGACAGAGAAGAGAGAACGAAGAAGTAAGAACAGCGGTACGAACCGGAATAAATGCTATGGTTAATAGATAACCAGAAACCGATGAGCGGTTAAACATAAACCGCAATTGATTGTCCCAAAAAGGAGGAAATTCGATCGAATGAGGCAGAGAGAATTATGTATGCAACATCTTCGATTCTGTCACCAACACCACAAAGTTTCTTCCTTTCTCCTCATCTGCCTCCAATTTCATTCTTCTACAGGGTAAAGTTTCCGGTTTTACCCGTAACGAAGTGCTGCTGCTATGGCGGCGAATTTGGTCGTGCTTCGTTCTATAGACGACGGAGTTTTGATCAAAGACGAAGAAATCGAATCGTAGTGCCGAGAGCTAGAGTCTCTCCTTACGAGGTTCTTGGTGTGTCTCCGTCGGCGACTCCTCAAGATATAAAAAGGGCTTACCGGAAACTTGCTCTCAAGTATCACCCAGATGTTAATAAAGAGGTACTTACCATGGTTGCTATTTATTTCAGTGGAGTTATGTTTTGTGAATTCAGCTAAGTTGGGAATGTGGATAGATGCTTATATGTCTTATGACCTTACATGGTGGTTTCATGTGTATATTTGTAGCTGTACCTACTTGTAGTTTAGTTGATGGATTGAAAGTAGTTAAAGTCTGTATCTTTATGAAAGAGAGTGTGATTTATAGCTGTTTTAGCAAATGAGAATTTCCATGGAAGTTGAGAGGATTTGTGATGAAGAAGAAGGAGATACATTCTCTCTATAAGATGAAGCTTTAAGTAGTAAAACTCTAAAGTTAATAACCAAACCATACATTGTCCAATAACCTGGCTGTTTATGGTGTACAGGCAAATGCGCAGGAGAAGTTTCTGAAGATAAAGCATGCATACACCACTCTGATAAACTCCGATTCACGGCGTAAGTACGGTTCGGATAGCCGTGCGTCTGGTAATTCTTACTCCACGAGTCGAAAAAGCGACAGTCAAGTGGAGGAAGATTTCTATGGACTTGGTAAAACCCTAAACCCTTTCAAAACCACCAACAAAGTTGCTATGAAATGTGGTCATTCAAGGGATCTTGCTATGTGCCAAGAGCATTTTTGTTTGAACACGGTGTGCAAACATTCGCAAAGGGTTCCAAACACCAATGCTGATTAGGATTTGTGAAAATGTTCATGGTGTTTTGAAACTTAGTACGAATGCTAAACACCATTTGATGCGGTTAATGGCTGTGGTTAGAAGTGTGTTGCGGTGTTCTCTGTTATGTGTTGTGTCATCTTTTGGGGGGACTTAGGTTGATTGAGGTCAGTGTGATCTTATGCACAGCACACTTTATTATGCAGGTGAATTCGTGAAGGATGTTCAAATAACAATCGGTAGAGGCAAACCTGTGAAATCTATTTTCTTTCTGTCGTTAGATTTGGTTTTTTCCTTTTTTCTTTTGCACGTCTACTAGAGATTTTGTCTGCACAGGGCATTGTATAGTTGTAGTGAAATTGTTTATTTAAAGGCTCACTTTCTGTGGTACTTACAGGGGATTTCTTCAAAGATCTTCAAGAAGAGTTCAAGAACTGGGAAGCGAGTTCGTCCTCACAAGGAAAACCCAAAAGTCTCTGGGAGGAACTAGCGGTAAGACTGATAATCCAGTGTCCTTAATGCGTGTCAAATATGAATTCGAACTTTGAAATTTTGTTGCTAATCAAAGCTTGGATCTTCCCTCTGTTTAAGGCTATAGTAACATGCATCCTCTGATTTGGTTTTAGCCGGGAAGTTTGTAGTTTGTTCTTCTATCAAGGAATTTTTCTATGCATCGGTTCTGATGAACGTAGGCTAAAACCGGTCTTGCCTCTATTTGATTCTCATGTTTTCCTTATTTTTTGTTCTCCTCAGGAAATTGGGGAAGAGTTTGTGGAGTTTCTTGAGAAAGAACTTAACATAAGCGATGAAGACAATGAGGGATCAAGCAAACCCGGAGAAAGATTTGACTTTGACGAAAGCTCCTCGGCGGATAAGTCGTCGGGGAATAGTAATAGTAGCTCGAAGAACAGCATAGAAGATAACATTGATGAGATCGAAGCAACTCTTGCTCAATTGAAGAAAGATCTTGGCTTGCAATAAACTCTACAGTTGCAGGAAAATGTTCTTAGTTGATTTGATATCCTAATGTTCTTTTTTTCAAGTTTCAACCCCAAAAAATGTCTTTTTTTGTTTGGTTCTGGATCTGTTGAGGACGTATATATCGTAGATAATATTTTTTTCATGAAAGCAATTACTCTATGTTTATTTATATAGAATATAGATATATATATTTTCAATAAATTAAATTCTATAAGCAAGGGTTAACCTAACTTAATTAGTATAATCGTATAAATATTGATAAGTACGAGCTCATGCAATAATCTGACTTTTGGCTGCTTCCAATATATAAGATTGCACCGGTAGCTTCTGTTCCAAATTAATTAAATAACTTGAAGTTTATGAAGCCTTTGGTAGCTTAGTCAATATTTTCTTACTATCTTTCCTGGACCAACACTGTACTACATAACTAATTTAAAGCGCTCTGCTTAGTGATTTGTGTTTGTAGAGAAACCAGCACCGATAGTGCTTAGCACTAGCCCAAGACCGTAATACCCGAGAAACCCGAAAGAAACAATAAACCCTCTAAGTATGAAGAGAAATATGGAAGAACACAAGAGAATACTTGAAAGACTTTTAAGAAGAACAAGAGAGAACTTAGCTTTAGAACACTCTTTATTAACTTGTTCAATTTCTTGTGCATTTACAAATGAGGGGGTGAGGAGGTATTTATAGCCTCCCAAATCTACTTACAAAGTTTCTACACTCTTCTATAACCTCCTTAGGTCCTAGATATTTCTTCTTCTTCTTCTACAACTTTCTACAAATTATCTTACAAGTTTATCCTAATCTCTAGAACTCTCTAACATAATATCTAGATTTCTTGTCTTACAAGAACTAGAAAGTTCTACATAAATATCTAGAGAGTTATCTAGTAGAATTCTCTAGAAAATTTGAGGAAGTGATGACCTCTTATGATGTTTCTAGAGAGTTCTAGAACTTGGGCCTAATTTTGGGTTTAATAATAATTTGTTTATGGACCCAAAATTAAACCTTGATCAAAATCAAGTTTAATTTCAATACTCCCCCTTAAACTTGATTTTATCAACCATCCCGAGTTTCGAGCGAAGTAACTCGAACTGACCTTTTGGTAGTGACTTGGTGAAGATATCTGCAACATTATCCTCACTTCGAACCTCCAAAGCTTCAATTGTTCCATCAAGCACCTTCTCCCGTATGAAGTGATGTTCCAACTCAATATGCTTCGTCCTTGCATGGAACACCGGATTGTTAGCCAGCTTGATAGCACTTTGGTTATCTCCATATATGGCAACCGGCTTGTTGATTGGCTCAAACAAATCTTCAAGAAGCCTTCGAAGCCAAATACACTCTTGGGCTGCGAGCGTCGAAGCTTTATACTCCGCTTCAGTGGTAGACAGCGACACCGTTGCTTGTTTCTTGCTGCACCATGAAACGCTTGTGTCTCCACACAAGAACACAAAGCCCGAAGTTGATTTTCGACCATCTAGATCTCCACCAAAGTCAGCATCCGTGAAGCCATAGAGAGAGACCTTGGCATTGTACTTGTACATTAGACCCATGCCAAGAGTTGTCTTCACATACTTCAAGATCTTCTTTGCCGCTTCTAGATGTGGCTTCCTTGGTGACTGCATAAACCGACTTACAAGACCAACCGCGAAGGAAATGTCAGGTCTTGTAATGGTTAAGTATAGAAGACTTCCCACAAGAGAACGATAAGGCCGAGGATCGGGTAGCAAGGATCCTTCATCGCGCTTCAGCTTGATGTTCGCATCCATCGGAGTAGTACGTGTCTTTCCTTCGTGTACCCCGAACTTCTCTACAATCCTTCTTGCGTAGCTATGTTGGCCGATGAATATTCCATCCTTCATCCTTTCAACCTCCAAACCAAGAAAGTTGTTCAGCTCACCCAACATCTTCATCTCAAACCTTATCGACATATCCTCTTGCAGACGAGCAATTTCCGCTTCATCATTCCCGGTAATTATCAAGTCATCCACATAAAGAAGGACTACCACGTGGACTCCTCCATTCTTCTTGAAGAACAGACTCGGATCAGAGTTCGACGGAGAGTAACCGCAAAACTGAAGAAACTGAGCAAGCTTTCCATACCAGGCCCTTGGAGCTTGTTTTAACCCATACAAAGCCTTCTTTAGCTTGCAAACATAATCGGGATGCTCTTGTGATATGTAACCAAGTGGTTGCTCCATATAGATTTCTTTATCAAGTTCTCCGTATAGAAAAGCGTTCTTCACATCTAACTGCCATAACTTCCAGCCAAAGCTTGCAGCTAAAGATAAGAGTGTACGTACCGTAGTCATCTTCGCCACTGGACTGAAAGTCTCATCATAGTCTTCTCCATACTTCTGAGAAAATCCCCGAGCAACCAATCTTGCTTTGTGTCTATCAATGTTTCCATCCCTCTTACGCTTGATCCGGTACACCCATTTGCATGAGACGGGTTGGACATCCTTGGGTTTTGGAACCAAATCCCAAGTTTCATTTTTCTTTAGAGCATCCATCTCCTCCTTCATTGCGGTCTCCCACTCTTTAACTCCTTTTGCTTCATCATAAGATGATGGTTCTTCTTCATCAAAAGGAGATGCAAAGTAGCATGAGTAAGTAGTAACAAACCTTTCATCTCTGTACCGAGCAGGTTTAACGATGTCCCGTTTTGGTCGTTGATTAGCCAAGGAACCATGATCTTCCTCCTCCTCTTCCTCTTGGTTAGTGCTCCCCCTTTCACCTTGCATCTCTGGTTCAGAAATTCCACCATCACTTGGTATCTGAGCAGCTGGTTCATCGTCTTTAAGTGAGCCCGCACCATCTTGCTCAACCAAGACTTGAGGAGATCCGTAATATGAAGACACTTCATCAAAGACAACATCACGAGATACAGTGTATCTGTGTGTCTCTGGATCCATACACCTCCACCCCTTCCTTTGTTCATCATAGCCGACAAAGATGCACTTTTTCGCCTTTGCCTCCAGCTTGGTTCTTTGAGAGTCGAACACATGGACATAGCAGATAGATCCAAATATCCTGAGATGTTTCACTGTTGGCTTCTTCCCATGAACCATCTCATAAGGAGACTTCATATTATTTGGACTAAGCGGCATCCGATTGATGACATAGGCTGCACATCTCATCCCTTCTGCCCATAGAGCCTTAGGCAAATTCTTCGCATGTAGCCAGCTTCTACACGTCTCACTTAGATGCCTTATCTTCCTTTCTGCTACTCCATTTTGTTGAGGTGTGTATGGACATGAAAATTCTCTCTTGATACCATGCTTTCGGCAGAAAGAGAGAAACTCGTTTGACATAAACTCCCCTCCATTATCCGTCCTTAAGGTCTTGATTTTCCGACCCAACTCTCCTTCCACGGTAACCTTGAATTCTTGAAACTTGGAGAATACTTCTGACTTTTCCTTCACAAAGTATACCCAGGTGTACCGTGAGTAATCATCAACGAACAACAGCATGTAGCGGAACCCGGAATAGGAGGATGTTCTCGTCGGACCCATCAAATCACTATGGATCCTCTCCAACGGAGCATTGCATCGTGAAGTAGAATTGTCAAATGGAAGTCTATGTGATTTTCCATATTGACAACCTTCACAAAGCTTTCCTTCATCTTGAATCTTCAACTTTGGGAGCCCATTAACCAGATCTTTATTCACCATAGCCTTCAGCTTAGTCATATTTATATGGCCAAGCCTAGCATGCCAAATAAAAGCATTATCATTCGTACTCATCTTCTCAATGTACGAATTTGAGGCCGATAAGACATAAAGATCTTTAACCCGTGCTCCGGTGTGAACTACGTCCGCCTTTAACTCTTGAATATTCTTCAAGAATTTAACGTCTTTTGGTCCAAATAAAACGTAGTTACCTGAGTCCACCGCATTCACCACGGAAAGAAGATTCTTCTTAACTCCAGGGACATGGTATACGTTCTTGAGAGTGATTGGGCCTCCTTCTTCTCCTTCAATAACAATAGTCCCTTCCTTCTCAACCCGGTGGATTGAATTATCCGCAGTGATAATAGCTTCTTTCCCGTCATGACGTTGAAGACTAGAAAATAACTTCTCGTTTCCGGTAATATGATGGCTACAACCCGAATCCACAATCCAATCATTTCCAAGATTTTTAGTTGTGGATGTACCTGAAGATGCAGCCTCCACCGTGAAACATTTCCCCCAATCTTCGTCTTCAGTATGACTTTTTGATTCCGCCATATTGGTTTCCTTCAGCTTGACCCGACAGTCCTTTTTGAAATGCCCAAGCTTTCCACACCGGTAACACTTGAACTGCTTCTTGTCTCCCGTAGAAGATCTTTCCCGTCCATCATTATTCTTTACACCATCATTCTTGGTTTTTCCTTTGTAGCTCTGTTGCCTCCGAGCTACAAAAGCGCTCCCCGAGTCATCATGGATTTTGACTCCCGCCATTTGCGTGGCTAAGGATTCTTGCGAAGCTAGCAGATTTTCAAACTCCTCCAAGGAAGGTTGTGTAGCCCATCCTTGAACGGAAGTCACAAACGGTGTATATTCGGGTCGTAAACCACGAATAATAGACCGCTTTAACCGAGCTTCCGAAATAGACTCCTCCGGATTAAGAGTGTTAATCTCAGAGCAAAGGTTCTTTACCTTGATGAAGAACTCTGAGATTGAAGACTCCCCCTGCTTCGCATTCGCCAACTCGTTCTCTAACAGTTGTAGACGAGCCTCATTCTTCTTGTTGAACAGTTGGTCCAACGCTTGCCAAATGGAACTAGCGGATGTGCACCTTGAGACATGCTCAAATACTCCCGAGGATATTGACCTCTTCAATGCAAACTCCGCCTTGGCATTCTTCCGTGTCCATTCCTTTGTCGCTTCCGCTGTCGCAGCAGCTCCCATTGGTGGTGTGGTGCTACTGCCGCCGACGACATCCCATAAGTCCTCACTCACCAAGTATGACTCCATACATGACTTCCATAACCGGTAGTTAGATTGGTTTAA